CCCGACCCTTGCCCTTCGAGGTGGAGGCGGCGGCCTTCGTCTGTGAGCGCGTTCGCTTGCGCGCGGGCTCCGGCTCTTCGACTTCGGCCTCGTCGGAATCGGAATCGGTGGCAACCTTCCTCTGTTGAAGCGTTAGCTATAGAACCACCAAAATAATCAAATAAAATGGGAGCGCACCTTAGCGGCGCGCTTGCGCTTCGTCGCGCCCTTGTTCTTGTCGTTCCGGTGCGCCTTTTGCCCTGGATGGCTCCTTTGGGCTGGTGTTGCGGGCGCGCACCCACTCAGCTTGACCTCACCGAGGCCGCACCGCTTCGCCTCGACCGCGACGTAGTCGGCGGGCAGCTGTGGCTGCTGCATGAGCAGCATGTCCTGCGGGTAGTTAGTCAGCTGTGAAACCATAAAAACACTGAGGGCTCACCAAGTCCTCGTTCGCCCTTCGCGGCACCCGATCGCGGTCAGCGGCACGCAGTGTCGCGTCGTGCGTCGGGATATCGAGCCCCACGATGTTGATCACATACCTAGATTGTGAAAATGTCAGTGGGCTTCACTCAACTATGTCCGAGACCTACCGAGGGCGCGCGATCTCTTGTAGCGCGTACCACTTCGACTCGGGGTCCGATGCCTTGAGGCAGTCGAACAGGAAAAACATCGCCCCTTGGATCGCCGCGGTCGGCGCCCAGGGGCCTGTCTCTCGCAGTTTGCGCGCTTGCGCGATGGCGTCGGACAGAGATATCTACAAACAAGCATTAGCGAGCGCCGGAAACAACTGGCACGACGGAGCTTACCAGCTTCTTCTTGAGGATCGTCGCGCGCTTCTTATCGCGCTGGATCCCCCGCACCAAGTTCAGCACAGTGGGTTCCTCGCCCTTGAGCAGTGCGCGCGCATCCTTCTCGATCTGGTGGAGCTTTCGGGCAAAAGCTTGGTGCTCCTTGCGCACCGTCGAGTGTGGGCCTTCGTTGCCGGCGGTCATCTCTAGATCGCCGTCAGTATGGCCGGCGCGTCGGCACGCGCGTACCAGCGACGTACCTTCGTGGTTCAGGACAAGTTGGAAAACCGTGGGAGATGCGCACGGCCGGCTTTTAAACGACCATGCATGTCCGGAACATGCGGCGTGAGCCAAAAGCTTAATTAGCGCCCCGCCGTCCTCCGACAACTACATACCAAGAGACTGCGGCAGCAGTCGACTGTGAGTCGCCCGACGACCCAGTAACAACACCGAGTCACCCATCCACCTTAACTGACCGAGGACGGTCCAGATTATTGGTGTGGGGGGGATGATACGCCCTGCGGCTGAAAAACGCGGAAAAACATACATAAACAAGCGATATATAGTCGACTTGGTCTAGATTGTATGGGCGGATCCGTATATACTGCACCGACGTCGCGACTGTACAACGGGCGCGTCGGGGGTATTTTATGACACAGAAAACCAGGAGCGCCACGCTTCCTAACCTTCAATACAACTAGTCCGCAGCATTATCCGTCTGCAATGACTGACCAAGGATAGTAGCGAGCTCTTCGGCGCCTGATCACGAGTCTGCGCGTCGTCGATGACATCCTGCGAGTCCTTTGGCGGGCCCTACTTAATCAAGTAGCCGCGCTATACGCGCCTCAAGCCTTCAGTCCTCTTGCCCTGCTGTGTCAAGAGAATCTAGATTATTGTTGGGGCTCGGACAAGCCTTCCTGCTGTTCGCCGTCATGCGGAGACACGCAGAGCACCGCGCAAGCGGAACTCGAACCATCAACGTGACTACACGTGACTTCGGGTCCGAGACCGGAACTTCGGGTCCGAGCTCGTGATCTCGGACATCGCCGAGTTGAACCCCGAACCGAGCGTCGGCGCCGCCAAGCGCTGTCCGCCCCGGCAAGGGCTTCACTCCCCGCGTATCGACAGTCTAGGCTGTACGCTCCCCGCCGCGCAGGCCTCTGAGCCGCGTCGCGCACAAGGGAACCGGTGGAAACCAGGCCGGCCTTGCCTTGGTAAACATCAACAAGTGTGGAATCGCGCCCGGCATCGCGGCGCAGGAGGATACCCGACCAGTCAACCGCTCTACCGCCAGGAACCGCAGTCATTGCGCGATTATTCGGACAGGAGAACGCGCGGATAGGCGTTATAGTTGGATTTTGACTCAGAGATAGGCATTGTGTGTTACCGCGCGGTCTGGACGGCCGAGACGACGCGTTCAAGTTATATACCGAGACCTACATACGATTCGGGGACTTTTCCCGCCCCGCGCAGAGAAGCCCTAGTACCTACACACCACACCAAATAAACACAACCGCGTTAACCCGCACTTTACACATCATAAAAGCCTGAACTTCCGAGCGCATTAAACCGCCTTGTGAACTTCAATCAAACCCGAAAGCGCTCGTAAGAACGCCGAGACGTCCGATTGCCCCACTCGACTTCTCGCTTCAGTCCAGCTCGTCTGGAACTGGCATAAACAACACAATCTATCCCCTAGTAATATAAATACTCGGACTCGCCCGCTCTCGTAGCGCCTCCAGTCTAGCGTGTTCATTGCTATCGTGGTTGTTGGTGTTTGGTTGTGTGGATCGTCTAGCTAGACTGTACTTCGCGTCTTTCGTGAGCGTACGATCCCATCAGCGCAGTCTCGAACGTCCTCCGACGTGGGACGAGCTCATTAAGGACCACGAGGAATGGCGCTGTATCTGCAGTGTCGACCAGTATCTACAGGAGCCGGGCGAACACGAAGGCGAGCTCAGTACGAGGAACCCGGAGGAACGCCCTTACTTCGTGCGCGCGCACGAGTGCTGGTACCCGCACTCTGTCCGCAACATCGACATCGTCCGTCGCCTCTTGGATCGCTGCCACGCCTACTTCCCACCGTTCCACAACCTCGCGGAGGCGAACCCCGTCTGGATCGAAGGGTGGACAGGCCTGACGGTCTTCCTGGACGCGGGGCTCAAGGACCGCTTGGAGTTCTACGGGCTTCCACGCGAGCTCAGGGAGTGCGGAGAGGTCAACTGCCGCGAGTTGAAGAAGATATCGAGCGCCCCTACTCCCGAGGAGATGCGAAACAAGGAGGAGAGGGAGCTCCTCGCAGCCCGCCTCCTCGACGTGCACGCCACACAGCTCGACGAGAAGGACATGCGCTCCCGTTTTACGCTAGCGCCCTTCTTCGCACAGGAACGCCTTGCTAGCGGGTGCAGGGAGCCGACTCTCCCGCTAAGCGCGCGCATCAAGCCCCCTCTCGCTGCTCGTCTCTCCTCGCCGGTGCCACGAACGGCGCCTCCTCAGCAACCTCTCGCCAAGCGCATTGGTCCGCTCGTCGAGCAAGCTCCTCCCGCGGACGCGATGGAGTGGGAAGCTGCGGATGGCTCAGCTTGGTCGGGCTCGGGAGTGTCCGTCGCCGACCCCTCGCGCGACACTGAAGCAACTGCCGCCAATCCGCCTGCTCAGCGCGGAAGGGGCAGGGAGGCCGCCCGGACCCGTGGGCATAGAGCCTCCAGTACCTACGCTCCCTTGGGTCCGAGTGCTCGGCGTCGCAGCGCTTCCCCTCCGCGCGCTGGATCCTCGGCGCGAGGCGCTCCCTCCGTCTCCTCTTCCTCCTCGGCGGCCTTCGCAGCACCGGCGCGTCCGATTGAGCCCGGGAAGGACGGCCTGATCGCGCTACCAAACCCGGCGGATAGGCTCGTCAAAATCGCCCGCTTCGATTCTGCAGAATGGAGGGCGGGTCTCCGTCAGCTCGAGTATGAGCTTGAGGCCATACGTGTCAAGACTTCGCCCGAGGCGTGCCTCCCAGAGATCAGAAGGAAGTTTGAGTCACTCCACTGGTCGCCGACGCTCATGCGATACGGCTACGTCAAGGTCAAGATGCACTGCGACCAAGTACGCCTCTGGGCGTGGGGGGCTGACAAGCGAGTCCATTACTACAACCACGACGTCTTGTGCCGCCTTCTCGCGACGGGGCGCCCGATGCGCTTCTGCCTGCCCGAGTCGATGCTGCCCCGGATCGCTCCCCCCGAGGCGCGCGGCGTGAAGAACACGGACCACGAGGTCCTGCCGCTCACCATGACGCGCGAAATGACCCTCAAGAAGCTGTCGAAGCTGTACAAGAGCGGCCTTGGATCGCTGGCCAACCGAGCGCATGCTGGAGCCTTCGCGGGTCTTGGCGGCGCCGCTTCCTTCGTCGTCCGCAGGTTCATGTGGGACGAAGTCGCCGACCGCATCGGCGCGGGCCCAAGTCGGGAGACTACCATCAGCCACGGCGGCAAGCGGGGACAGGTTAGCGATGGAACGACCGTTTACTATGACTTCGGCGATGACTGCGAACGCACCTTCATCGAGGGCAAAGTTCTCTACCCCGCGGACAACGAGCGAAATGCAGGTGTCCGACACTATTTCCCTCCGTATCAAATCTACTTCGCGGAGACTCGTGAGACGCACGGCGAGTGGAGTGAGTGGGACGAGGACTACTGTCAGAATATCGCCGACGCCATCGAGAACGGTACTGCCGAACCCAAGACCGAGGCGGAATGGCGCAAGATCCTCGGCCGCGATCGCATGCGCGCTCTCGAACACAAGCAGATGGCCCACGTTTTCCTCAACAGGCTGACCGGCAAGGAGGCGCGCGTCTGGGCGAGGCACCTCGCGGAGATCCACAGGCTTGAAGTGGGGGAATACCGTCGCATCAACACCTTGCTCGATTCGCTCGAGCCTCGCTTCCTGCTCAAGGCGTAGGGTTGAACGGAGCGCTCTCAGAGTGGGGGGCTTTGTGGGGAACCCTGTTCACTAGGTACTCTTCCAGCACTCCTACTCCTACCGTCATTCCTACATATTTTTTCGCATTTCATTTGTATCATTACCATATGTAGCGCTGGGTAGATCAGCGCCTCGCGCGCGCAGCCTTAGGTACTCGGCTCGCGCACGACCCGCCTACCGACGCGTTTACGAAAATAGACCTTACCTTTCTTGCCTTCTACTATTTCGTCCCGCGCTCGCCCGAAGAGGCTCGCGCTCGACGAGAGAGGCTGGTAAGCGGTATCCGCGAACGGGCCGAACGTTGGTAAGGCGGAATCGCCGAACGGACGTTCAACTCTCGCCGAGTAGGCGACCACTTTGCGTTAACGAGCGTCGCACCGCGGGTGATCCCACGCGGGCTCCAGAGTTCCCGCAGGCGCCTGCGAGGCTTCCTACGGTCGACGAGATGATCGGAATCAATTTTGAAGACGCGCAGTTACTTGCCGGTGCAGATGGCTTTCATGATGAAGCTGCGGCTCGCATTGGGCACATTGAGGGGTAGCCTGGGGCACCAGGGCTGATCAGAAGAGGCTCGATCGGTAGGGCAGAGACGCACTACGCGATCTCAGGCTGCAGGCCGTGATTCTCCTCTTGGAAGGCATGGCGGGGGACGCCGTAGGCCGATTGAGATGGCTGGCATGGATGAGCGAGTACTTTGATGGGATGGAGATGAGAACGCACTCAAGAACCCCGCTATCCGAGTATGCGAGTCCTTCGCAGCGTCATTGGGTGCGCGCGTTGTCGGCACCTCGAGGAGGTAGCAGCCCACGATCCAGGGCGTCATGAAGCAGATAGCGAGGGTAGGGCTTCCTGGATCCCGAGCAGCGCGAGCAAGCGTATCGGACACGACTCCTTGCGCTCTCAGCGCTCTTAAGACGTTCGGAGAGGGGAGCGTTTTGCACTATCTGTGCTGGGGGGAGCGTTCATGACGAATAGTACACTGAGAACGAGCAAGTTGAGAAGCGAGCATGAAGTCCGCGCTCAAGACGCAATGAGCGTGGCGCGTCGATCGTCATTGTACCGAAATAGGCACGGTAAGGTTTGGACCTATAAGTCCAAACATGGGTATACAAATGGAAGAACCGCACGGCATCTCCGCTGGTTAGTACTGAAGGCTCTGCGCCGATCAGAGGAAGTGAACTGACGCTGAGACTGCTCGAAAGAGACTGAGAATAGTTGAGCGTGTACACGAGGGCTTAGTACTGGTCCCACGAAAGCGCCGACCTGAATCCCATTTTGTGGGCCTTGAACCGTCTTTGCATCGTGGACTCAAGAGGTATCAAGCGCCTACTTTCGCTGTTATTATGTTTAATGCACGACCCATATCGTGCGCTCATCCCGACCCAAGCGAGGCTGACACGCCCTAAGTCCTGGTCAGTCTCTTCATGAGGAAGTGACACGAGCGTAGCAGGAGCGTCATTGTTCATTCATGAGTCAGCGCATCACATGTCAAGCGAGCGGCTCGGGAAGAGCAGGTATAAGAACGAACGTGGCTCCGAGTCGCCGCGTAGTCGTGATGCCAATTGAAAGGGAGTGTACAGAATTTTATAGTCCAGCACGAAACGAACTCGACATTTCTGAGCTATAAGAGACGCTTCCGCTCACCCTGCTGAGTCTTCATGTGTATATTCTGAATGTGGCTATCCCTATCGCTCTCTGTGTTGAAGCGCTTGAGACAGCCATGCGTCGTGCACGCGTACTCCCGCCGATTCTCGTGGCGAAGAAGGAGATCTATGGCAATTTGAGCAAACGATAATCCCGCGGGCTGCGACTCGCCTCTGAAGTTCTTGTTACGCGTGAAGGACCGGCCGCACCGGACGCAGCGCCTATGAGCTGGGTCAGGACCGCGCCCGGGGCGGCGCCGGCGGAGGGAGGCCTCTACCTGCGCCTCTGTCCCGACCGCTCTGAGAAAGCGGTCCGAGCGGAACAGATGGTCATCACCTTGCGGCTTAGCGCTGGTCCTCGAGATCATCGATAGCCCACCGGGTCGATCGTTGTGTGGTGTTTCTTGGGACGTGTCGGGCGCGTGCATGTTTCTCGAATCGTCCGGAGCAGAATAGGGATGTGCCATTTCGGGCGCAAGTAGGGTCTGAAAGTCATTGTCTGTCGTCGACAAGAGGACATCCGAGGGCCTTGGCGGCATGCACGGGTCGTTCAATACGGAAGGCAAAATGGCCTCAAACCCAAATTCTTTCCGAATGTCAGTCCGAGCGAGCTTCACGCGGAAACGCTCTTACGTACCACTGACAAGAAAGGTACCGCCAGTCGCAAAGGACTGGGACTGCGCGCTGAGCGGCTCTGGAGGAAACATGGTTGGCGGCATCCCTGAGGTGCTTGCATTAGACACGTCGTCGTCCTACAACGAGGATCACGACTTACCTGACTGATCATTGCTAATCGACGACGAGAGAATGCACACCTCATCCTGTTCTGTAAGGGGTGGCTCAGGCCAGAACCACGGCTCGTTCGTGAATCTGAGCTCTCGTGGTGAGCGGCACATATGGACGGCAAATTAGCTTGAAGCGTACTGATGTGTAAAATACTCATTAGACATCGCTTCGTGGAAGGTGGATGAACAGACTACTTTGAAGGAAGATATATATATTGGTCAAGCTCACCTTCCAGACAAACAGCGCCACAATGGACATGAAGCTCGACGACCATCTCCAAGCAGGGATCCCGTCTTTGTCCCGCAAAGCAGTGTACGGCCGTACCTTTTATTCACCAGTGCCTACCTAGTCGGGTCAACTCTCAGGCCTCGTTTTTCGTAGATGATATGGTAGCGATGTACCAGAATATCTCAAGCAATGAGAGTGTGGCGCAGTTATACCTCAGCCAGCGCTGCGGGGAACAGTGCATGAGCTGACACATGTGGGGGGCATACCAGCGAGGGCGTGCCACTGGAAAATGCCCCAGAGACACGTCGACAGCGGATATCCCTCTACATCCTCGAGTCATGACCGTAATGACGCGAAGAGGGAAAGAGAGTGCTGACGGGAGCCAATAATGATGTGAACAGTCTCTACGAGGACATGAGCGTTGTGAAGCGTGGAACATCAATGAACGTACACATATCTGTCGGTGGTCTTGTCAAGCCGACTGGCTTTGCACGTGTATGTTTCCGGGCTCAGTTCCAGTCACCGTCAACGCACTGAGCGACCTCGTGGATCACTCGCCCTCACACCACCGCATATCCGAGTACAATATCCTACGGGGTCGGAGTAGTTTTCTCTCGCCCGCGATCTGCGTAAGTGATTACCTTCGTTTGCGCCATCGTACAAGTGCTATACCACGCCTCCTGGGGCTGATCGTCCGCTCAACGAGATAACTCTGCGCTGAAGAGGTCAGCTTCCCTCTCTCTGACCCTCTGCTATATGACGCCTGGCGACGCTTGTCAGATATTGAGAACAGTGAGCCTAAGGATACGTACGTTGAAAACGGCCCATCCGTATCGTGTATCGCTGATGCGAGCGTTGGGTGCCTAGCTAATGCACAGGACTAGAGTTGAGCGCCAAGAAAACCTGCGGAGCGCAGCAAAGAATACGGTAGGGCGAAGAGGCTGCACGAGGGCGGGTGTCGCGCACCGAAACTTGATGCAGCCGGTGTACCTCGCCGTACTTGTACGCCCGTTTCGATACCCCGAGCACGGCAATGGAACATTCATGTATATAATGTTCTTGCAAGATTATGCTTTCGTTATCTCAGTCAAGGAGTGCAAGGAGGATACAGACGCGACGTGTACCACCCTCAAACTCCCTCGAAGTCCTTTGGTCTTTGTCAAAACCCAGGGTGTCATCGGCAATCCTCACGAGTTACTCACTATCATAGATCATCCTCGCTCCGGTACACTGAGCTACATTTACTGCCGGTCAGGACTTCCAGTCATCGATATGTTCGCTCTTCTGGATCAGAAGCAAGCTGCGCACCGGCGGTCCGTTCGGCGAGAATCGGCCCGATGACCAAACAAAGGGAAATACCAGATTCGGACATAAAGGACCCGAGATTCGTCTTTGCTACCGAGATCTCCAAAACTCTAAACCTAGAAACGTATGACAGAATCGCAGAGAAGCATGCCACCGCTCATCCCCGCCTTCCCACGTGACCTCCGACTGGAGGCCCCAACTCACCCGCGTCGACACCGCGCCTGAGGGACCGCGTGTATCGAGTACAAACACAGGGCCGGCGTCGTGCGCACCAGCGTATGATAGGATAGCAAGATACACAACCATACATCCAGGAAAAGCTGCTTTGATATGTACGAGGGCATGTGCAACCCAGCACTTCGCGTCGGCGTAGATCTGGGTCGAGTAGCACTGGTAGAACGGTCAATGAATGACCAGATACGTGGCTACTGGGGCTCACCTACATCAAGGCCGTACGCATTCAGGATCGTCGCTTCGTCGGAAACATGCTTATCCAACTTGCATTGGAAGAAGACGTCCCCCGTACCCTTCGGCGCATGCGCCAAGTCGTGCCGCAACGTGCCGCCCCGACTGTTGTGTTCCGCGATTGTCGTCCCTGAGGGAAGCATCTCGCTAAAGAAGCCATGAGAGTAGACGATATCGTGTGGGTCTTCCCGCCGTACTCTCACGCATTGAGCCTAACGCTGCAGTCGAGGGTGCACGAAGAGTCGTCCTCCGCGGCAACAGCGTCGAAGATGATACCGACGTCCGAGGCCGGGCTGTCGCCGAAGTAGCCCTTGAAGGCCTTCAAGTCGCTATTCGCCCACAGAATCGGAGGCGAATTGCGCCTCCTTGTAGCTATATGAGAAGGTGTGAGTGGCGAATATCGGAAGGAAGGACGAGCGATGCGTACCTCTTGTCGACGCAAGACCTCCCGGGACAGTCGTCACACGCGCTCTCGAGGCGCTGGAACTCGTGGCAGACGATGTTACTGCTGACGAGACCTTCGTGCTGCCGGCCTACACGTTGACCTTCAATGAGCCGCCGATCGACTTGAGTTTGTTCGCTGCGGCTTCTGGAACTAGGTTATGAGCCCGACGTTGAGGCGCCCGCACCAACATCATTGAGGTCGTAGGGCGCGGAGGCTACGAAGGTCGTGAGCAGGGACCATGGGCACATATAGTAAGGTTACGCACCATCATACGGCGCGTCCATCGACGAGCCGGCTGCACTTCATAGCTGACCTTCGAGAGCGACGACACCACGCCGTAGGGAGCAGTATTCGAGTCGACGTCGTTGACGAAGAACCGCACCGGCAGCTGGTTGTCGAACATCGAGGTCGTCTTGTAGACCATGTCGAGCCCGCTCTCGGCATGTGTGGCCGGTCGAAGACAGCGCCATTGTGCACCCACGCGTTGACGAAGATAACTTAGAAGCGGTGGATTGACCCAGCTGCGACGAAGGATGAGAGAGGTAGCGCGGACAGTGAGCGCGACTATGGCGGCTAACATAATGGTCATGATCGGCGTTGTGAAGGCAAACGCGGGCCTATCTTGCTGAGGGCCGACTATGAGGCTGTCGTCGCTCGGTGATGACTGCACGAGTGCGTTCCGCTGCCGCGCCGCGACGACGTACATCTAGAACGGGCGGAGTCGGCCACGCGGATGCAGACGGATGACGGTTACGCACAGCTGACACCCCTCGACGAAGTGTTGCCGACACAGGGTGGCTTCGTCGGCGGAGAGATCGAATGGTGAACAGTATCGTCAAGCCTGACTGTGCGCGTCGCGGGCGCTGCGCTCGCCGAGCCCCGCGCCATTGTGTCCGAGGTGAAGAAGCGCGACGATGATGGGTTAGTTCAGGGTAGCGTCTTTTGTCAAGCGGTCGTCCACACGAGCGTCGACCATCCGGATGCGCTATTGCAAGTACCGTCCGGGATTGGCAAGCCATTTGCACGGCCGTCAACGTCGATACGTCGGGCTTCAAGGCGCGCAAGGACAGGCGACGGTGCATTATGCCGGGACTCTGCAATATACGCAAGGGTGCTAGCGAGTCGTGGGGTATGGCCCATCTTGCTGTCTGGTATGAAGGGCGATTGCTGAGTTCCAAGCTGCAGGGCGGGCGCGAAGAGGGATCGAGGAGTATGGCTTGATCTTCCATTATCAATCCCTCTCGCCAATCCAGTGGCTACTCAATACAGTGCGATTCTGATGTGCCGACAGCTTCACTTCTCGCATAGTGGCGCCTAGGAAGAGGGGGTAATAAGCGTAGGCCTCCGATGCGTGGCCACTATAACGCACTTTCAATGGCGAGGACCAGCTCCTCCCCCTTCCAGGCTCATTCTTCATCTCCATCCACTACTCTCCGTCCGTAGCCTCCCTCTGCGACCGCTTGAAGCACTCCTTCCTTCCTTGACCGATGTTGAGCTCAGCGAATGGCTACCGAGGCCGACGGGCCCGCGAGTGAAGTACAGAGCCTCAGCGCAAAGCTAGACATAGAAGAGGGGTTGGGGAGGAGCTCGGGGAATATGAGCCAGTGAGCTGTGGATTCTGGACGAGCAGCTGGTCCTGTGACGATGTCGAGGAGGAAAGAAAAGCTACCGAAAAGCGAGTTCTCGGAAGCTGATCTAATCGGGCTGATATCCCCGATTGCAATTGCCTCCGCGGACCCACAACTTCCATTCGTCCGAACCATATCTCCGGGCGCGTCTTGACGCAGGGCTACCACTGCATCGTCTCCTAGACTTGACACAGAAAGCGTGAATTTACTGGTATATCGAAAGGTCGAGATACAGCTTTCATACGGGAGGGGGCAAACGCTCACCTAAACCCACGCGCTCGATAGTAGTGCACCTGCTGATCGTTATGGCATCAGTGGGCGTCTCGGCGGCGCTCGTAGCACATAATTAGGCGACAATGCCGAGTGCTGTCCTGCTTGACGACACTTGAAGCTGTGCGCTCGGGGATCCAGCAACCTCCCGGAGCTTTTTAGTCGTCGATACTTACTCGATAAGACTCAGGCTCGAACGTGACTGCCAACCGAAAACAGGATGAGATAATCTCTCCGGTCGGGTATTCAGCTGCGGTAAATAATGACCGTGTCAGTCAGCAGGGATAGATTGAACTTAAAAGCTTAGTTGAAACCTTTCGGAATCTAATGACATAACGTAGTCCTCGAAGGCGCGACCGACGCGGACACGCACGCTTGCAATGTGCATTGCATTTACCTCAAGGGCGGACAAGAACTTTCTGGGCAGGCCTAAGTCTAACATGTTGATGGTACAAGGTAATTCACACCATGCGTCGAGGATCCGCGAAGCGGGAGTTGTACGCCATGCCGTATATGGAGCTCATGACCCCATTTCTATTACCCTTCCTGGGACCAAATTTCTGGTGCACGCAATCAGAAAAGGTAAAAAGCCACCGGCATCAGGCTTCAACGACTCTATTACATGCAGGAAGGTTTGACTGGTACCTATTTTGTCCCGATCGAGCACGTCCGACTAAATTGACGAGCGTGCGCGCCAATGTTCTGTTATATCCCGCGATAGCCTATGCATTGAGAGCGAGCGGCACTCAAAGCACAGACCAGACGTTCATCAAGGCCATAGACTTCGCATAACCGGTCCTTCGCCAGTGTCAGCCTCGAGGCAAGACAACAAGCAGACGTAACGGCAGGAAGCAGGAAGCTCGCGAGCAATGAACAACATTGTCCGACGATAGCGGTACCGCCATTACGCCCTACCGGAACGAACTGCCGACATCAAACAGTAGGCCTTCGACTCGCGTTGGCACGGCGCATGCCCGGCGGCGCATCGTTTCGATTTCCTTTGAATTGCTTTAGCTACAACCTACTTCATCGTGGGTTTGATTGATTGTATCCCCGCACAGCTTTCCAGTGCGCTGTGCGTTGTCTCATCGAAGTGGTCAAAGGTGCCTCTTCTCTCGTCAGGGAGGGTTGGTGGCGCGCCGCTAAATATACGATAGGGATTACTTGTTACATGATGACAACGAGGGTAGCCTCGAGGAATTAAAGGTCCAAGATGGTATATAGTAAGAGCAATTTAGGTATCTGTTGTCGTGAGCGGTCAGGGAAGTACAATATCCATCCAGATGGATTGAGCGAGACGAGGAATAGCTGTGCTAAACGAGAAATAACGGGGCAAAAGCAGACCGTGCCCAATTCACGCTAGCTCCTAGGGCGTCTCAGCTGTTCGGTGCATCTTCTTGATGTGACTTTTGAGGTCGCCGTTCGTGTTGAAGCGCGATGCGCAACTGGGCGTATCGCAGGCAAACTGCTTCTGATTCGCGTGTCGCAGTAAATGGTCTATGCGACGAGAGCATCGATATCGCTTCCAGTACCACGATCGGGCGACGCACCATTGTAGTTGTGCTTCCTAGTAAATGTTCTGCCGCACATATCGCACCGAAACTTCGATTCCCCGACGTTCTCCGGGTGACGGCGCTGGTGAGATGCTGCTGCCTGTGCCTCCGAACCGACGTCGCGGCGGGGGCCAATGGTTTGATCGAGGCCACGTGTGGCGTCAGAGGGCGATGGGGGGATGTGATAGGCGCCCATGGACGCGGTGGACATAGCAGGGGAGGGAGGAGGCGGAGGCGCCAGCGGAGAGGGCGTGAAGTACGTTGGAGGACCGGGGGCATGACGGGGGAACGTGCCGAGGTCGCATGATGAGCCGCCGAAAGACGCAGGGGGAAGAGGGTGACGAAAAGCCGGCGCGCTCGCGTTCATCAGTGGTACTGACTGTCTATCGTCTGGCAGGTCTGCGGGACGTCTTAGAACTGGTGAGAGTGAGAAGGTTAACAACGCACCTGCGACGAAGCCAGAAAGTTCACTGGGGGCATGGCCCGTTGTGCTCCCTTGTTGATACAGAGGATATTCCAAGAAATGAGTGTACGCGTGAGGTTGGACGACTGCTGGAGGTCAGCGGTTAGCATACACATAGAAATCGACGCACAAGGTCTCTGAATGGGTTCCTCGCCCTGAAAAGCCTGAGAATTTTCGTCTTGCCACCATGCCGGAGCACACTCCTCGCTGGGCACCCATCTGCGCAAATAATCGTCAGATACCCTCTGCATGTTCAGCAGCGCTCCTCGTACCCCGGGCGATGCGTGTCTTGCGGCATGCTGTTGCTAGAGGGCGGCAGAAGCGAGACTCTACCAGATAGGAGGAGGGGCCTGCTTTTATACGCGAGGATATCCCCGAGCCAAACAAGGACACTACAATCAACGCGGGCGAGGCGATCAGTTCAGTAAGTACGATGAGATCTCACCGTCAAGATCTCGAAATCGAAACCTTCCTAGTGTTCTCTTTCCTGGGGGTGGGATCGTCATCATGAACGCGGTTACGTATCGAAGCATCGACAGGCAACCGCGAGAGCAACCAATGAAGATAATTTTGGAGGCGAGACGGTGCGCTACCTATGGTACCTTTCGGCGCCCGAACAAGGCAGGCCCACGGCCTTCCTCTTTCCCATCCATGGGCGGGACATGCCCAGTTCGACGACGAGACACGACGAGAGGATAGTCAGGAGGAGTTTGGGCGGCGACAAGTAGCTGATGCAGACCGCACGAGGATGTCCAGTGAATTCAGTCCCGAGACTAGCGCCGGAGCGGCAGCAGCACGGCGCTGGCTTCCGTCCACGAGTCAGACATGCCACCGGCAACTCGCGATCTCGATGTAAACTTGTCGTACGCACATTCATTTCAAGAGCGGATCCGGAGACTGAATTTGATGGGTCAGTTTGAGCGGGACTGTCACGATTCGACAGATAAATACACCTACGACTTGAATTTCGCGCTCCGAGCAGGAGAATATGGCCCACGGATACTTCCCGGGCGGAGAGCGCGTGACCTTTCTCACACGCAAAGAAATCATTGAACCAATGCATTGAGATCGCAGCGGACGACCGGCGATCTCATGCCCACGACTCTGAACCCGCGATCGAAATTATACGGTCAACGCGCGGCAGATACCGAGTGGAGCAGGAGGGGCATGCTCACTCAATAACCGAAGCCCATAAATCCTGTCCTTGACATGGGTCAGCTTCTAGAGCACGAGTGCTATGAAGGAGGATACTGACTAACTTACGTTCTGGATTTCGAAGACAGCACCGCAGGCAGTCGACATTTGACTCCAGGGTACCGCATGCGTAGATTCGCTGTCAGACCGAAAGTTCGACCGCCACATCTTTCTTGGACCCGTTCCCCCACGTGCGGCTTGGGCCAGTCCAATCAGCGCTCAAGATTGAAGTCAATTGCAAGCAACCAGCAGCGTCCCATACCCTCGGATTACAAAGTGTGCGAATGATCGAGGGTAGAACGCCTGCGAGTGTATGAGCATCCGGAACTCTGACACGCCAGAATGCAAGATCGACGGGTGTCCGGGTAGTATAACTGTTGGTAGTCAGGCGCGCGCTGATGGTACGCGCAACACCCGAGCCTTCGTCATGAGATCAACTGCGTTATATGTCGCGGAAGACGCAAGGCCCATGCGTAAGCGCTGCCCCCATGAAGTCGACGGTGGTTCTGTCGACGGGAAAGTTGGGGGAACGAGCGACGGTCCGATGGTCCACACGCAGATAGATGATTGGCAGTACCTACCTGGGAAGTGTACTTTGATGGGACGTTCCCTGCCAGATGGGGGCGGCCCCGTTCGCACATGTCCGTCCAATTATGAAGGGATCTCATTGATGATGCGTACATGAAGTGAAGACCCCCTGATAGAAGACGTATAGCTTCCGTGTCAGGAGGTTTGAAAGGAAGATCGCAAGCATTTGCGTACGCGTGATGGAAGTTCGAGACAAGAGGTGACTGTCGCGTGACAGATCAACGTGACGACAACGTGGCCTCAGGTTTCCGACACACAAGAGCTCAGTCGCGCAAAGTCCGGTGCCAATACTCGCTTGCGAACGGTGTTTCAAGGGAGAGAAGATGGTTGGATCATCTACTACGAGGGATGGTGATCATCCGGAAGGAACAATCGCCAATCGTACAGAAAGGTATTGACTTTCGCGACAATCAGGAACGGCTAATCTTCCGTGTAGTGCACTCACACGCTGCCTGACTTGGCTCCTCGGAAGCCATGTCCCAAATTTTCTCCGGCAAACTTCCAGTAATCTCCTCCGCTGAAGGTCCTATTCATGACAGCGTGTGAGCAAGGTGGCCACCAATCGTCGCCTTGGAAATGGACCCGCCGCGAAGCGACCAGCTAGGCGAAGGTGTCTGCCACGCAAGCTCAAGTTCGTCGATCTGAGGACGTAAGGATGAAATGCACGCACGGACTTCAACATGCAATCGCCGGACCATCACTAGCGGCGTCGCCTGGCCCGCCCACGTTGCACGCTAATCGCAACACCCGCTGTAGCGCCGCCTCATCAAATGAATCATGCAGGTCCCGCCCAGCGCGAGGAGACACCGTCCACCGCCGATGTCGCACGCCCAGGACTCGTGTTCAGGGTCTCACATAATTACACGGAGACTCCCGTCGCTCTGGAGGATTGGGTGCTTCAGCGCGCAGTATCCCGTCAACCGCGATATTAATCCGCACCTCGAGGAAAAATCGGGCGTCGGTCGGCGCTCCACAGACGACCACTGCCAGGACGCAATCACGGAGAGACTGAGCTACCGCCGCGGCTGATACTGGCAGACGCGATTGGTCTCGGTGCTTCCACCGCATTTTCAGTGGCACCCGTGAATTTTAGTGTTGTGCGGGCTCGGAGCCCGAGACCCGACCCGACCTGAGCCCGCACAACACTACCCGTGATCGTCAGCGAAGAGAAGTCTCCGTAGAAGGGACGGCGATACCGCAGCGGACACCGTATTCAGGAAGAGCTGCCCCTTGTTGTCTTCGACTGACGCACACTGTTCCGATGCAATCGCCGTCCGCGAGGATGTGGGCGGTCCCAGAGCCGTCCTCGAGGTGATGCCGAGTTGAGCAGTGAACCCTGCGCGCAAATGTGACCTGCCTAAAGGGACGGGAAAATGAGCCAGGGACACGGAGTAGCCATGGGTACAAGCGAGGGCTGTAGAACACATACTTTGTACGTACGGATGACAAGTCGGTGCGGGTTGTAGCTCGCCTCGCGCATATCGTGCGGTGGCAGATGAAAGCTCGAGGCCGCTCGGAGTTTGGGTCGACGCTGCGCCAGACGGTGGGCGCTTGCTTTATCGCATCAGGAAATACCGAGATGTGCTAAGTAGTGCACCACGTACCGCAAGCTTCCGTCTTGAATGGGACGCAGGAGCGTCGCGGATACCAATGAAACGCGTTGACGAAGACTTGGCCGATCGGGCTGCTCAGACCATGTCCAAGTAAACAGACAGGTCGCTACAGCGTATCAAGCGGCGAAGCACAAGGGACTTGAGTTGACGTACTCATCTGTCCAACAGCCAACAGATGCGCGAGGGAGTTCGATTTCCGCGCCAGTCAAAGGACAAAGATTTCCTGTCGTGTACGTCTGTCGCGTAAGACTGGTCCGCCCATTATGATTTCTTACGCATCCCCTGCTGAATGATTGGCGTGTCTGACTCCGCTCGCGCTGACGTAGATGCACTTGGTTGTGTTGGGAGAATAATGGAATTTCAGAGGTCAAGAATCGAGATTCCCCTCGTATGGTACTCAAAACAAGCTTCGGAATACCCATGCACGACAGGCAGCTGCTGTAGATATGAAGACCTGCGAAGGGGGTAAGCAGCTGCATCACGATTCCAGTGTACGGCGCACCAGCTATTTCCTTATCACCATTCATCGGCAGCGATGCGCGGCTTGCAGATCACGACAGAGAAGGGTACTAAAGCAGAGGATCGCGGATAGTCCGAGTATTATTATCGGAGTAAGTTGCATTGCACTCGTCGAGCAGAAAACCACATAGCCAGTACAAGTAGAGCCTCGCGAGAGCGGTGGGCAGACTTGGAGACCCTCGGGTGAGACCCGCAGTTGTCGTCTCGCGCTGCATAGGTGAGCGTTAGAAAGAGAACGACGCCCGGCAAACTCCGGAGCTTGCCGGCCGGATCGGAAGGCCACGCGACAGCAAGAATCAACAAAGGAAATTCCTGGTTGAGCTCTTGACTCCCACTGTCATCACCATTCTGCGCCATTCGTGGTTCCCAACATCGACTGTACTCCTCAAGCTTGATCAGGGCTTCGGCGTGCTCGAGATCCCATCAACTTGTCCCTTCGACCACCTTCCTTAGATCGCCACGTACTTCGTCACAATCTTCCCCAAATCTGAGGAGGTTCTCAGCCTTTGGCATGTCGCCATCACGATACAAAGAGGTACCTGCTATGTACCTGCTATAATTGGCTGGAGGCGGGGGGCGAGCAGGTGCGAGCACTCTTTGGAGTGATATACGTTGGTCGTGTGCAGCTGATGCTCAACGTACAGCATGACGCCCGCACTATGTCTCACGACCATCGATATATACCAAATACCAGTCCTTCCCGAATATTGCCCGCCGGTTTTCCTTAAGCGTCACCCTCGAGAAGAATTTCAGCTTAGCGTTGTCCAGATCAAGAAGGATAGTGATGACGTTCTTGGCGCCCACTGCACGCTCGCGTGACTCCTTAGCGGCTGCCCTTACACGCGAATGCATGTCTTTTCGGTCATGGGACGTCCCGAAAGACACCCAGGGCGCTCAGGTGTGCTGCGATCACTTGTGATACTCCTCCCCCGCACGACACCCGTGTCGGCTTCGGTAGCGAAGGTACTCGGATAATGAATAGCTGATGAGCTTCGTCCCGGGTTCCTACCTCCCGCCATGGTGTCGCGGGCAGTAAGGGCGATATTCTTCGCGCTTTCACTCTCTGGTGCGTCTTCGATCATCGCGTTGGAATCACAGCTGACGACTTCCAGGCCTATTCGGATGCTGGTTCGTCCTCATCGCCTGGGGGCGCGCGATCAAGGCAGAATGGGCAGCGCTCACATACTTGCTCGGGTTGACGCTATGCCAAGGGGTGTTCTGCCTCGGTATGTCCTCCCCCCCCCTTGCCGACGCTGAGGACTGGCTTGACTCAACTGGCGCCAGGCATGATCTGGGAGATGGATCCGTATTACATGCCTTGGGTCCTCTGCGTCGCTCAACCCATCGTCATTGCCTTCTCGACCTTCGTCATGACCGGGCTCGTCACTACGTTTAGCTGTTCGACATTCATCTTCATCACGAAAGGAGGGAGGACGTACGTGGATCACCCTCTCTTCTCAGTTGCGAACTAATCTATCGACCCAGCACACCCCTTCAGTGGCACCCATTGTTCCTCCTCCCTCTTGTCGCATTTCCCGTGGCCGCGACGATCGTCCAAGCAACCGTGGTCATGAAGCTCGGCGCGGTGACCCTCGAAGATGGCTTGCAGTGCGACGCAAATGACCCCCTTTGGTGCGTTGCGCCTCTTCCCGTCCAAGCCGCGTGACTGACCAACAGTAGGACGCGATTTCTGAGCTACGCCGGCGCACCATACATCCTCACAATCCCGTGCATCGCTTTCTCCGCCGCCTCAGTTGTCCGCATACGCGCCACAGATCGCAAGGCGCGAGTCTCTCGCACGCTCGTCGCCTCGGATGCAGGGCTCACATCCCCGGTGCATAGCATCCCACTACCCTCGCCCGTATCTCCAGTCTCTGTCCGGCCTTCGACGTCTTCAAGATATAGCAGACCACCTAATAACCGCTCCTGCTCATTCGCGTCCCTCAACTGCGCCAACCCGCCTGCTATACCACCCTCTCCAGATCGCCCGCCTCCGCTTCCCCCGATCAGTGCTTATGCGGAGGCTATACAGTCGCCGACGTCCGCGACGCGGCTCGTTGGCGCGACGTACAGCGCAGGGCGAAGACGAAGCGTAAGCTTCTCTGGGCCCGCCTCCGCGGCCCACGCGACATCATCTTGGGCAAAAGACGATGTATCGATCGTATCGGAAGAGGTACCCCTGGACAAACAGTCGCCCTACGATGAAGAACTATGGGTCGGCGCAGACCACCACGAGGAGGTTCTCCCGGTCGCGCAGCCATGCTATCTACCAGGCAACGGGTCGGTCAGGCGTGCTTTCTCGACGGAGAGCGAGGAGTTCGACGACGACAACCAGTCGGTGGAGAGCGCAAGCGTCTTCCCTGTGCGCTCAGCGGGCACGGATGCGTCGACGGTGCGCACTTCGTGCGACAGAACGACGGAGACAGATGGAGCCACGTCGACTCAACCCGAATCATCCGTTCGCGCGGCATCTCTCAAGCTCAGCCGAAGGCCAAGGCGGCTATCCCTTCCTGTATCCTTGCAGTCTCGTACGTTCTCTATCTACAGCTTTCCCCGCTCAGCTAAGCGTTGTCTGTAGGTCGCTCCGCATCTGCGAGTCAGTTTCGAGGGGCGATTTGGCGGATTGTATTCTTCCAGTTGTGCGTGCCTTCGACTTCGAGATTACTCTGCCCTGCCATGGAGTCCGGTCAACCCCGATGGCAGAGCTAGCCGTACTCCTTCGTATCGTGCAATTTGACTGATCAACGTCGCAGCACCTTTATCGCCGTCCAGATCCTCAGCTCCGTGACCACGGTCATCGACATCGCGACTGGGCGGCCCACGCCGACGCCAGTAGGTACTCATCACGCAGCTCTCCTGCTCGCGGCCTGGGGGCCCATATTCGTATTCGGTACGTCCCCGGGGTGCAAGGTTTTGGTCTATGTCCTCACTCGCGCCCCTCTAGGGTCATCACCCGCGGTTCGGAGGAGACAGTTTTGAGCGATACACCATGTACCAAGATACCCAGTTTTCACACGCTATTGTGTGCTGTACTTGTATTCCAACTACGTCTGGATGCTGCATAGCAGCGTTGTACTATAGGAAGCTGTCGCGCCTACGAGAATGAGTCACCCATGGACGTCCCATTCTCTTCTTTCTTTCAGGTATGGAGTTTCTTCTGCGCCTTGACCATAGCGTCAACTGAGTCTACGACGCTTGTTTCTGGAGGCTGCGCGTAAGGTGAGCGCAGTGCCAGTTCGCTTCCGCCCCATTATTCACGCTTTATATAGGTCTTTTTGATCACCAACGCAAGCCCAGAAGTTCAACCGTGCACCACTGAATATTTCATTCGACTCGGAACCAGCCTACTTCATCGCGACTGAAGACGTAGAGGGCGCGAACACTGCGCTAAAATGTACCAGTACGTCAACCGGTTAGCCGGCTGCGATGCACAATAATAGTCGAGGGCGTTCCGAGGATAGCACAGCTTTACGTCGCCTATAAGCATTGCCTCCAGAGGCACCGTCAAGGAACAGGCGCTGTTCCGTGCACATTCCGTGGGCGCGGACGACCCGCGCGTAATGGGCCTCCGGCTCGTACTCAACGGACCAATCGTCTGCCTCGGGGCGTGATGGTTCGGCGCCAGGCAATTTGGAGACTGGCAGTAAGGTGCGCCACTAGTAGGGAAACTGCAGGCAGTCCCCCTCCTTAACCACCCAACAGACCGAGATTGACCAGGGACGACGCACGGACTGAAGGACTCAGGAACGCTGCCAAGCAAGCCCCAAAGCAGAACAAAGGGAATGACACGTGGAATATCCGACTGATGCCCGACGCACGCGGGGGGCCTCGACCGGGATGATCGACAACCCTGAATCCCGCGGCGACTTGGTTACGCGCTCCACCCAAGAACTTCATCGCACGGTGCACCGCCCAGCCTGCTGGCCGCCCATACTTAGCAATTGCACCAACATGTGTGTCGGCATAGTTCCCGACTACAAGACTACGCCGCGGACCCTATGCGGGTCCAGACAACCTCCCCTCCCGCCACGACCATCCTCCCTCAATGACTAGCCCCGCACCGGCGGTCAAGCCCGCCCTCGAGAGCCCCGTCCGGATGCTGCGCTCCCTCGCGTCTGCAGCGTCCTCCCTCATTGGTCGCGCGGGGGCCCTCCGTCTTTCACGAACAGCTACGACTTACGACGAGCCTCTTGACGACCTCCAACCTTCCCCGGGGCCATTTCAGGTGCGTCCTGCCTCGAGAATGTCAAACGCGTACTGACCCCACCTTTCCCACCCTCCCAGATTCATGATCGCTGCCTTGTCCGTCGCTTCAAACGCGGCGCCTATTCTGCATGGGCCCCCGCCGAAGTCATTGGCATATGCCCCGTGCATCCCAACCTCGAGGCGAGGGGAGAGTTCCTGTACGAAGTACACTGGTTCCGCGACTCCGGGCGCGCACAGATGATCGGACGCTTCTCCCTCCTCCGAGGAGAGATCACCTTCCCACCTGAAGCGCGAGGGGACCCCACAGGAAGCAGGAGGAAGCGACGTGGGCTGCGGCGGCATAGTGGCGGGGACTTGGGGCGGAGGAGTACATCCTTCGAGTCATCGGTGCGTACCTCCTATCCTTCATGCTTGGCGACATGACCGCTGACACTCCACAGGAAAAGGTCTTGGTACACGTCTCATACAGGCAAGGAGAATACGTCTGGATGCCTGCACTTGTCGTGGTATGTGTTCTTCCCCCTACCCCCGTTCTCCGTTCTTTCCGCCGGTTTCATGATCATCTTGGCGCCCTCCCCCTTCCGCGCAACCGCACGATTTCTCAACGCGCCCCCAGAAACGACACCCCAAAGAAACGCGCGCCGAGTACAGCATCCGCGTCACCGCTGGTCCCCTGCGCGGTCTCGAGACGCGCTACGCCGGCCCTACCTTCTACTATCACCTCGCCAACGTCGAGATGCTCCGAGAGAAGGGCTACAAGGTCGTCTCCGAAGAAGACGTCGACGAGTTCGGCATGTCGAACTGTCCTGAATATACCCGTTGTTCTCTCAATTCACGCTGGTGACGGTCGAGCGGTGTACTTATTGCTCGACTGGCTTGAGCACCGCACATACTTATCTAATGTTTAACGCCCACCTTTACGCACTCTTTCGATCTTCACGCTGTGGTATTATAGACGTCCCGTATTTAATGGACGTGGCCACTCTTCTTTATGGATGTCTCTTTGGTTCGAGCAGTGCGATGCGACGTTAGTCAATAGGGAATAATACGGATACAAGATACTACAATACAATGCGCAACGGGTCCGTGTGAGATACCAAAAGCAAAGTCAACATGCAATCACACTACGACGAGGGTCCTGGTGGTGGCCGTCGAATCTGCACAGGCGCCCCAGTTTTTGCGGCGGGCTGCCCATCCCCGCCATCGGTCTTTATCCGCTTCGCGAGCGAGCCATCTCCGCCGGTCTCGTCCCGCTGGCGTTTAGCAGCAGCGGCAGCGCCCATGATGGACACGCCGCCGCCGCTAGCGTTCCCGGTCGCGGCAGCGAGGGCGTTGTTGACTGAACGAGTGGCGGGAGCCGCACCCCGTCCGCGCGCAGCAGTACCACGAGCGCCTCGGGCACCGCGCGCCGCGCCTCGTCCGCGAGCCGCAGCACCTTCCGCAGGCTTCGCAGCGTCGTTAGACGGACCAGCGGCGGCTGAGGCCGACGCAGCAGGAGTAGTCGTAGCAGCAGGGGTGCTTGCAGACGCTGAGGTGGCTCCTGGTTTTGGCGGTAGCGACGAGGGAGCTGCGGACGCCGTAGGTGTGGGTGGTGGGGCTGTCGCGCTGACCGCAGCCTTGGAAAGCGTAGACAAGGAGTCCGCGGGGATGATCCCCTCGCTCTGCCACTTCTGCACCGCTGCCTCGAACTGCTTGAGCTTGTGCGTAGTGCTCATGAGCTGCTTCTCCTTCAGCTTGACCTTCATCCCTGCCTCCTGACGACCGCGCTCGACAGCGTCGCTGATGTCCTTGTCGGTGAACTTGGACCCGCTCGTAGACGCAGCTTGGGTGGAAGCGGCAGCGGTGGCTTCTTCAACCGCCTTCTTCAGCTTCTCCTCGTGCTCCTTCGTGAGGCGCTCTTCCAACGCGCGAAGCTCCTCAGCGTGCTTAGCGGCGTCCGCTGGCTGTGCGCCGGATTGCGCCTCAGCCCGCGCGCGTTCATCGGCTGCCTTGACAGCTTGCGTCTTCTCGTGCAGGGAGCGCTGCAGGTCGGCAGCACGAGCGTTGGATTGTGCGATCTGCTGCTTCATCTTCTCCTGCAAGATCTCCTCAGTACGACGCACACGTAAAACACAAAGAAACTTACATTCATCGTGCGCAGACGCTCAACCTCTTGAGTAGCTGATTCGGAAGACTGTAACTTGGTCAGCCAGTGCCGTACTTGATGACATTAAAACCACCAACTTGAACCTTGGCAAGAGCGTCGTCGCGAGCTTTAATGAGCTCGGCCTTCTCAGACTCCCATGCGGCACGCGCCTCATCGGAGGGAGCGGTGGCCCCTTCCCCAGTCGCAGATGCAATCGTCCAGGTCGTCTTCTCATCCAGGAGCTTCTTGTTTTCCGCCAAAAGGCGGTCCCTTTCCTCACGGAGAGTTGCCTGATGATCGTTAGTGGCATACTTCAGCGGTCAATACGTGTACACGCACTAGCTCGGGCGTGACCTCAGGCGAGGCGGATGCGGTGGCGGCTTGAGCTTCTTGTTGAGCCTTGAGAGCATCCTCAAGCTCAGCGATCTTCGCATTGAGGGTCGCAGTCGAAGACTGGTACTCCTTCTCGCGCTCGTTCGCGTCCGCCATCCGCTTCTTGAACCGGTTGACGTTCTCCTTCTCCGCCGCCCTCCAGCGATCCATCTGACGAGCCCGTTCAGCTTCATGCATAACAAAGGAATGAGGTCGACTTACCGTAGCTTGCTTGGCAGCGAGCTCCCGGTCCTTCGCCTCGTACTGCTCCGTCTTCTCGGCCACCTGCGCCTCAAGCGCTGTCTGCTGCTGCTTCAACTCCTCCACTTGCTTGGCCAATGCATCGCTCTGGTCCTTGAGGGCCTGCATCTCGGCAGGATCCGCGCGGTTGTACTATATTGCATCAGAATATATATCAGACCATGAATTTGTGAATTCACCTTGCTCATGAGCGATTGGCAGCGCTCCTGCCAGTGCTTGACCTCGGCTTCCAGCTTCTGGATGTGCGCATCGCGAGACTCGAGCTCTGCCTTCGCAACACGCGCCTGCTCCTTCGCCGGTTCCAGCTGTGCTGTCACCTCGCGCAGCTTCGCCTCGAGCTCCTTAACCTTGCGAGCGTTCGCTTCAGACTCGGCCCTCAGCGTTGCGTTGCTCTCCCTCAGAATGTTCATCTGGTTGATGCGGTCCATCAACTCGTCGTGCTGCGCGGACGCGGCAGCGTTCTGGACGATCTTCTCCCGTGCATTCTGCAGCTGCGACTCGAGGTCGGACACTGACTTCTGGAGGTGCTCAATGGTGCTCTGCTGCCGGATGATGTCCTTCTGCTTGACGTCAATCTGCATCTCGGCGACATGCAGACTCTGTCGCAAGTACGCCGTGACCTTGTGCAGGTGCTCGTCCGCCTCTTCGCCGCCAGTTGTATTCTCATCGCCATCCGCGGAAGCCGCCTGCTTGATGCGTGCCGCTTGCGAGCTGACGCTCTCGAGGTGGGTATGGAGTATGTTGTTCTGGTCGGCCAGGCCTTTGCACCTGTCAAACGACGCGTTGAGTACCCCTGCCACCTACGCACTTATAGTACGCACCTGTCCTTGAGCTCATCAACCTCCTTCTGTAGCATCTGCTTCTGCTGATCCCAGCTGCGCTCTGACGAAGTGAGATTGGCCTTCGCTGTCTCTGCCGCAGCCTTGGCTTCGCGCACGGTCGCCTGCACAGCCGCGAGCTGCTCTTTCAGCTGCCCATTCGTCGCCAGCGTCTGCGCATGGGCCTGAACTTCGCGCGAGTAGCGGTCCTCGGCGCTCTGCACGCGCTCCTCCGCGCGCTTGACTTCCGTCTCGCGGGCGCTGCGCTCCTCCTCGGACTGGCGGTCGTTCGTGCTGAGGTTCGTGATGACGTCCTCGAGCTCACGCTTGTCGTTGAGCCACGCCTTCTTCTCGCCCTCGAACTCCTTGCGGAGGTTCTCAAGTGCCGTGACGGCGGCCTCTCGCTCTTCCATAGCCGCGGCAAGCTTCTCCTCGACAGCCTTGAGATTGGACTGCGCCGCGTGTTAGCAACCGGATGACATCCGCTGCCACATTCAGCTCACCTCCTGCGTAGCCAGTTGGCTCTCGGTCGACGCCTTGAAGTCGTCGAACGTCGCGTTCAAGTCGGACAGCGCACTCTCATTCGCGTTGCTGATTTCCCTGTATTGTTCCGCGTGCTTCTTGGCAGCCTCCAGGTCAACCTCCGCAACCTTCAGCTTCGACCTATGCACGAGTTAGTAACTCTCTCAAGAGTATGCCGTCAGGTGAGGACTCACCTCAACTCCGCTACTTCAGCCTGCAATCCCTCTGCGTCGCCACTAGCGGCCCCTGCGGTCGTGCTCGTGGAGCCGGAGACCGTACCGTGCCGCTCATAGACTGCCAACTTCTCCAAGTTGCCCTGCAGCTCGCGCGCCAAATCGCTGACGCGGTCTTCGAGGTGCTTGCGGCTGGTCTCTGCTGCGACCAAGGACTCGCGCGTCTTCGCCTGCTCCTGCGCCGCGCGCTCGAGGCGGCTCTGCAACTCGCGCTGCTCCAGGTCCTTTTGCAAGGTCGTCTGCCTGAGGGCATCGCGCTCCTGATGGACTTGCTCCCGAAGGTCCTTGCTGCGTCGCTTGTCAGAAATACTACTACACTCACATAGGAATGCATTACTCACGTCTGCTGCTCCAACAAGCGCACCTCGCTCTCCAGCCGCGATCGCTCTCCACGCTCAGCCCCTTCAAGCGACGCATTCATCTTCTGTACGTTGCTAAGCAAGTCCGTCAACTGCAAACGCTCGCGCTGCAGGTTCTGGTTCGCCTCCAGCAGCTGAGCCTGTGCGCTGCTTGCAAGCTGCTTCTCCGCACGCAGATTCGCGCACTCGTTCCGCAGCTGCTCCACGCGGCCCTGGGCGACGACGAGCTCGTCCGTAGCGCGTGCGGCTTCAGAGTCGAGGCGGATGAGTTGGTCGGAAAGCTGAGCGTTGCGCTGCTCGAGGCCCTTCAGCTGCGCAAGCTGTACGTCGTACTGGTTGGCGGCGTCGCGAGCACGTTCTGCGATCAATGTTAGCGAACGAACAAACCCCCAAGCATCCTCACTTACCAGCCAGGTACTCCGCCCGCGCGTTCGCCTTCGCGAGAGCAGCCGTCAGTTTACCAATCTCGCGCTGCGCCGCGCCGAGCTCGTCCCTGAGGCGTCCCGCATCCGACTCCATCTCCGCCTTGTACGCCCTCAGCCGCGTCAACTCCGACTCCTCGTCCGCGCTCGAAGATTCCGGTGCTGGTCTCCGCTCGACGGCGCGCGGCTGCTCGCCCTCAAGGTGCTCGCCGCGTTGTAGGCGGTTGACCATCGCCTTCAGGGCCTCCCGCTCCCTCCTGTTCGCCTCGCCCGCTGCAGAGCGCTCGTCCATCTCCCGCCTGGCGGCCTCAAGCTGGTTCGCCATCTCCGTCATCGCCTCATGAGCTTCCCGCACGGCGGCGAGCTGCTCCCTCTCGGCTTCCTCGCGCCACTCGCGCTCTGCATCTTCCATCCGCGAGCCTAGCTGGCGCACAAGAAGTAGCAAACGGCGATTCTGAGCTTGAAGTGCCGGGACGGAGTTGAAGAGCACAAGATGGTTGGCGATGACATCGTCGACGCTTTCTGCGGGGGCCATCGCGGCAATCTCGTTGATGGCAGTGGTACCAGCAGAAAGGACAGAGCGGCCGTCGGCGAGGGACCCATTGACGCTAGCCCCGTCGTCGGCGTCGATGTCGTGGGGCAGTGATGGATCACGCAGGCGGGCGTTTTCCCGGGTGAGGTGGCGAACCTGCCGGCCGAGGTCATCCGCGTTCTTCTCGAGAAGGGCGCCCTCCTTGAGAGCCTTCCCGAGTTTCTGCTCGTTGTCGCGGTTCGAAGTCGCCAGAGTGTCCCTTTCCACGATTGCCTGTGACAGCTGAGTGGACAGCAGTGCAGCTTCAGCGGAGACGCGCTCGTACTCTGCACGTTGCTGCGAGAGAATGGGTGCCTGCAAGTCGGTCAGCTACTGCACATAAAATTGTCAGATCAGTACATACCCTCTCCTCAATCTGAGCAAGTACTTGCGTCAGAGTGCGCTCCATGTGCTCACACTCCGCCGCCTTCTTGGCAAAGTCGTCTTGTAGCTTGACGTATTCTGCGTAGACCTCGGTGAACGTCTTTCCGCCCTTCTGCGCGCGGCTCGCCATCGCAACTGTCGGACTGAGCATGGCTATGCCCGCGTCAGCGCCGCCACCGCGAACGGGCGTGCCCGGCATGGACACGCCACCATTGGCAATAGGCAACTCGCCGCGGCCCATACGCTCGACGACAGTCTCCAATCGCCGGATGCGAGACTCCGCCTCGTCGCGCTCCTTCTCAACGCGGACGATCTCAGCAAGTAGTTCGGCCTCGCGAGCCTCGGCCTTCTCTACCATTGCTGCCCAGGAACCCTCGACCTTGTCCACGATTTCACGCGACTGCTTCTCGCGCTCCTCCATAATCGCTACGAGACGCTTCAGACCGCCGACCTCGCTCGCGTAAGCGGCTTCATGGTCGCCGAGACGGCCTGACAACTCCTGGATGCGCGCTTGTGCGGACTGTAGGGCGTGCGTCTGCTGGCTGTGCGCGGACTCAAGTGCAGCATGGTTGGCCTGCAGCGTATCGTACTGGGTCTGAAGAGCGGCGTGCGACGTTTGAAGGGCGAGCATCTCCTGGTGTTTGGTGCGGCGGTAGGTGGCGTACGCCTCCGTGGTGTTGTTGAGGGACTCGGTCGTACGCTGGACTTCATTTTGCGCGAGGGTGAGCTGTTGTTGGAGAGTGTCGAGCTTGAACTGCTGAGTGTGAGCAAGGGGTAAGCGGGGAAACAGACAGAGCGCGCACCTTGTTCGTCGACTCCGCAGACCGGAGCTCCCGAAGCTGGTTCTCGAGCTGTTCGTGATCGTGCCGTGCGTCCTTGAGGTTCTTGCGTAGCGTCGTGACTTCCTCTGCGGCGGGCAATGAGTATGAGACACGGAAACCGTATTGCGCTACGCACCTTCCCGTTGGCCGTTCTCCTGCTTCAACCGTGTGATGACTGTGACCAAGTCGCGCTTCTCCCGCTCGACGTCCTCCACCCTCCGCTTCAGCTCGGTGACTTCGGTTGACGAGGAGGACTGCGAAGAGGTGACGGCGTTCAGCTCGGCCTTGAGCTTCGTGTTCGCGGCCGCGAGCTCGTCTCGCTCCTTCTTCGCCGCCGCCAGCTCCGCGGTCGCGGCCTCCACCGCAACCTCAGCATCACGCGCCACGTTGTCCTTGTCCTGATAGGCCTGCTCGAGCTCGATCCCCTTCTTCTCCAGCTCGGCATTCGCGGTGTCCAGCTCGCGGTGAGCGCTGTCAATGTCCGCGCCTTGCGCCAACACGAGGCGGTAGAGTTCGAGTATCGTTTCGGGGGAGGGGGTCGTAAAGGACGCGTCGGAGAACATCTCCGCGAGCGCGTCGGTGTCCACATCGTCGGGGACGTCGACGGTGAAGGGGCCCGAATCTTGTTGAGCGCCTGATGTTGAGGCGGTCTCCGCCGCTGCCGCCTTCGCTTTTCTCCGGGTCTTCATCATGGTCTACCGCGCCTACCACTAGTGAGTGGCTGCGCGTAGATGATTCGAGGGGAGGTCGTCGCGTGCGACGACGAACGCGTAGAACAAGAGTGTTTGTCGAGGTCCGGCCCCCGATTCCAATTTCCCCTTGTTGATGACTAATCGGTGACATGTGATCATTGGACCTACAAAGTTGCCCGTAAGGTTTGGACAGCTAAAGAGGATTATGGGCCTCCCTTGGATCTCGAATACTACCTGGTGTTGTCTCATTGAGAAGTCAATTACTAGATAGCTCTTGTGAGTGCAATAATGGTCTCACAGCCGCCTTGACAGCCGCTTTAAAGCACGTCGGGGTAACGCGCCTTGTATCCCCTGAAATTAAGGAGATAACAATACTCGTGAGCCGCGTTTGACAAGCTGGACAGAGAAAGATCATGCCTCAGCTCGTTGATATTCCTCGGCTCGTTTACCAACGCCCGTCGCGTGTGGATGCAGGTCATGCATTTCCCCATAAGGGTGATGTGACTGATATCGCCGAGACCATGGTCCAATAACGTTCTTCAAGTTCCAACGACCATCTGAGTGGTCTGCTGCAGCTCGATCCAAAGGTGCCTAATAGCCTTGACTCTGCTCTCCTGCATATGACCTATAGGTACTCGAAAAATTTCTTTCGCAGAACAGCGAGCATTCTTTCACTACTCCCATTCGAATACAGCGTCCCGAGGCCAAGGCCAGTCCGCCATTCGTCCTTCGCGTTCGGGCGCCAGCAGTCCGACGCCATTAGAGTGCAACCCTCGGGGCTGAATTTAACCCAAGATTCTGTCAATGACCTGATGCATACCTATAGCACAGCTAAGGGCAACGTCCCAGGTCCTCTGCATAACGCAGCTGCGACCCGCCGCATAATGCGGTGCCGTCCTGCATAATGCAGGGCAAGGGCAGCATAGTGCTGTCAGACGCGCATAATGCGCGTCTCGGGGTACTTTTTGCCTGCCCAGCGGTCCTACCGCTGGCAAGAGGAGAGGACGTTCGCGGGGCGGTCCGCGTCCTGGCCCACCTGCTAGTCTCTATCGATTTGCTTCCGTACAGCCTAGCGCTACGCTTCAGTCGCTATTTTTGCGCTATTGCCGCCCTCCTGTACACGGCGGTCATCGTTGTACTGCGCGAGCCCCATGTCTGAAGCAACGCTGGCCAACTATCGGGCAGTGTTCCTCAGCAATTACTCGTAGGTACGTACTCTCAGACGCGTACCGCTGAACAGTATGAGGGAGATTAATCTCTGAAGGTGACCCGGTACCGCGTGAAGCGAAATATAGTGACTAGCAACTTTACTATTACATCCTGAGGGTAGACTGTAGGGTAGACGGAGCGACCGCGCGTAGGAGTACGGCAAGCCGATCAAGAACCAAAGGTAGCGGTGTGAGAGTTGACGTTGTTCACGTTGAAATTGTTCGTCTTGTAAATCTTCTTTGGGGCCTGGCGGCGCAAAGGTCGGCAGTTGGGAAGGTAGTTGTCGCGCGTGTGCGACTCGAACTTCCCCCCGCCCACGTAGCGGAAGTACAAAGGGCAGTCCTGAGCGCCGTGAGTATACTGCGCACACAGCGAGCACCAATGGCTGTCGGTCGGGCAGTCATTGGAACAGCGTAGGCCCTCGTTGAAGTCGCAACAGGCTTCCGGGCGGTCCTCGAGCGTCGACACCCAGAAGGTCTGGCCGTCCTCATCCTCCACTCGGCGATGCAGGGGCGCGTACTCGGCAGGGCACGAGCTCGACAAGTGATGCTTGGAGGCCTTCGAGCAGATAGCGCAGCGGCCCCTCGAGAATTGGTCTTTGCCGTGCGGGCGAGCGAGCGGGGGGAGAGAGGCGGAGCGAAGAGACAAAGTCGAGGGCTGGCTAGTGACGTCCGAGGTGCTATACAGCGAGGGCGATAGAGCTTCCTTCGCCTTCACAAGGAGCGGAGGAGTAGGCGAGAAGGCATATCTAGCTGATGCACGGTCAGGAACACCAGGCGGTTGCGCAGAGTCTTGCCCACGCACATGCATCAACCAGAGTTGTGTCCTCGATACCCTCCATTGGCTCCCCGCACGCGTCGTCCGCAGTGGTCTAGGCGATCGGTAAACGAGCACGATCGGGAGGGTGACCGTGCAACGTACCTCCGACGCATCAGTCATCTCGATGCAGGGTATGTCTGAAGCGCCAAACGGAGTCAACGTTGGCATGATGGTGGGCCAGCCATCGTAGTCGATCCGTTCGCGGACGCCGTCGTTATACGTAGTCTGGAGAGAATAGCAACATATCGTCAGTCATCAAACGGGGGTCCATGAGCGGCGCGTACCTCATGAAGGAACTGAACTCCGTACGGATCCATCCGGCGGGCATGTCGCTGCTCTATCGCTAGTGCATGACGAGCCACGGCCGGGGAGACAACCGCCCTGACTCCAGGGTCGCCCAGCGCCTGAAGGGTCTTCAGCGATGCTATTAGAGCCGTCAGTTGCTTAGGCGGGCTATCGTTTGAGGCGCCTACGTTGAAAGGATGGTACCGATGGGTCGAACAGGAAAGGCGGGGGTGAGGGAGCAGTGTGATAAGCGTTCCTGCGGGCAAGACGTTAGCGAGTCGCCATCTCCAAGTTTCCCGCTGAACGTACGCGGAGAGCTCGACAAAGCCAGGCGGGTTCGGCGGGCGCGGAGAGAATATCATGGCGAGGCCGTACAGTTCGCGTGTCCGATGGCGAGAAAGAGATAGTATGTGTCGCCGGGTAAGTTGGCGTAGGACAAGCAGGAATGAGCGGAGCAGACGCCATACTGTATCTTTTGCCCCCGACGCGTGAGCGAGCTTAGATCGACGCGACGGTGGCGGAAAGCCTCAGATCGCCCGCGACGGATCGGTGATCAAGTCGGTGATCACAAGCAGGGCACCGCCGGCGTGCGGCCCGATTCAGAGTACGCGGTAGGTTCGAACCTTGTTGAGCGATGCGACTAGTCCCAGTCGTCGGAGCTCGGACGTCCCTCCTTCATCATGCAGCCTGGCGCAATGATAGTCTCACCAGTCAGCCTCTTCTCACGAGCGGGGGAAGGTCAAGTGAGAAGAGCGCGATATTGCCTGTTGACCTGCTGCATGGCGAGGCTGAACCCGCCGAAGCATTGACAGTGCTCGCGCATACTGCACGCAGACATATTGGCCCCATATTGCAGCATGTTGAAGGCTCTCAGAGAGTCATAGGTAGGTGAACGCTTGGAATATACGCCATGATAGCTGCGTGTTGCGCCCTTTCTTGCGGTAGCACAAATATAGCGACTGAAGCGTAGCGCTAGGCTGTACGGAAGCAAATCGATAGAGACTAGCAGGTGGGCCAGGACGCGGACCGCCCCGCGAACGTCCTCTCCTCTTGCCAGCGGTAGGACCGCTGGGCAGGCAAAAAGTACCCCGAGACGCGCATTATGCGCGTCTGACAGCACTATGCTGCCCTTGCCCTGCATTATGCAGGACGGCACCGCATTATGCGGCGGGTCGCAGCTGCGTTATGCAGAGGACCTGGGACGTTGCCCTTAGCTGTGCTATAGGTATGCATCAGGTCATTGACAGAATCTTGGGTTAAATTCAGCCCCGAGGGTTGGCCTTCCGCTTGCGCTGCGCTAGTGCACGGACGCACGAAGTTAACGAGCAGCGTATCTTCAGCGCGGCCGTGCGGGTTGACCGTGGGACCTGCCTTGACGTTGTGGGCGCTGGATGTGGTGTGATGTGATGACGGCTAAATATCCCCGTTGGGCAGAAAGCAGCGTGAGAGCGGCAAGGCCGGCCGCTGCCTCCCGAAAAGCTTGTCCTCGACGATGACCTAGCCACGGCCCTCCGAGTCCTGGGCATTGTCAACATCTTGCTATCGTTCTGAATTTCTTTCTGCGGTCCGCTATCTGGATGTTCATGCCTCCCCAACGACCGCGGTGACCTGGTGCACGCAGGCTCTTTCACGGTTCCGCTTCTCATCCACCATTACGATCAATGGAAGGTCCTGATAGTAGCGCAAGCTCCTGCACGACTTGATTAGGGGAAGGGCTTGGAAGGTAAGTCCGACATCATCCACAGACCCGCACCAGCTCACCAGGGACGGCAAGATCACCGAGCGCGTCCTGCCGCCAAGTTGACGACCGTCGTTGCCTCCGAGGCCTGCTCAGGAGCTTCTTCGTGACTCCAGGGGGCCCCAAAAGGCTCACCTTACTTGTCCGAGCGCTTACCGTCGTCGCCGCTCGCACGATTCAGAAGAAAGACCAATCCCCGATCGAATGCTTTGGACGGACAGCCTGCTCGACTACCTTGACGAAGACCGCGTATTCAAGATCCTATAGCTCGAACCTTGCAACTCCTGGAGCAGTGATGCGCTCGGACAGACTGCCTGGCTCTCACCTGTCGATCGTAACTTGCGCTTTCCCTGCCCATCCCCGACACGGACAGGACATCACCAACAGCCCTCGAACGGGAACTTCAGGAACCTGCTGCTTATTCACTTCTCCAGCCGGTTGAGGCATACTCGCTCGGGCATCGTGCTGTCGGCGTCGAGCCATGACTATCGTACATCTCATATCCGTCGCGGTACTTCCCCAAGTACAGTACCACCGTGACTGTATACATCTTCATGATCTCTTCCATCCCTTCTCCTGTTGGCACCCGCAAGGAAGCCCTGGAATGTTGCGATGACGCGTCCAGATACCCAATGACGCGCGAAGTTCTGTCAAGGACGCGTCGGTCACTTTAGCTTTCATGATCCCCAAAATGGGCAGCTGGCGCTCGTCCAGGGACACCCACGCTCTTCTCTTCCCGCCATCATCAACGTCGCTTGGCAGTCAACGACGAGCAAGACAGCAGAACAGTACGTGGCACGCTTCGCCGTCGTCTACAACGCCTGACTCGTCCCAAGCACCCTCATTGTCATCCTCTTCCCCGACATCTTCGCTTCGCCGCCGTCGCCGTACGTCGCATATATTCCCCCCTCGGCTGTTCTGCTCACAGTGCACAGGCGACTGGCAGAGAACAATTCTCTCGCCGACGCGCCATACCCTCATAGGTTCGTGAACTTCACGCCCGTGAAGGTTCGCGTGCTCAACTGTGCACAGTCAACACCTGAGCACAATATGTCAATCATCTTGGACTCACCTCAGGTCGTGGTCTCCCTTGGGTGCGTCTCCTTCAGCGTCTTAGCCTTTCCCCGCACTGACGCCATGGCAGCGTCGCCAGTGGAGTCCCTCTCTCACCGATCCTCGAGAACCCCGGTGTCACAGAAGCAGCGGCCCTCGCCAACGCTGCTGATCAAACCAATCTCAACAACGCAGAGCACGCGAAGTTGAAAGATGCTGGGTGCGTTTCCCCGCGCATATATCCACCTCAGAACGCTCACCTTTGCTCCCCTCGTCAAGCCCTCGCAAGCCTCGTAGCCGCGGTCGCGGCCAGCAGCGCCGAACATCGCTGGAGGCAACAACGGGGCCGATGAGTGAGCACTTTCGACGTCGCCGAGCAGGCGTGTGCAGTCGATGACGCCCGAGCAGACGTTCCAAGGTTTGGCGCATCGATGCGATTGCCGAGCACGATTAAGGAGGAGGGGGTTGTAAAGATGGAGGCAGCGAAGGCTCGCAAGGAAGACGGGTACGTCGCACATTGCTCCACGGTAAACGACCCTGACCCCTTGGCTCAGTGATGCGGCCAAGTCACAGCAAGACGATGGGGTGGCTGTCGAGCCGGAGCAAAACATCAAGCTCGTCGAGGGCGAGAACAGCGACAACATGAGCAATACGAACAAGAAGCGCGCGAGCAAGAACAGCAAGAACAGCAAACAAGCACGCTCCAGCGATCAGTTGAACCCCACCGAGGATGCGGAGGACGTCTCCAAGGCCAAGAAGGTGCATATATGCGCTCCATCTGCTCGATGCTCGATGTCGACTGACCGGAGGAGCAGCAGAGCACGAGCAAGCGCCGCCAGTACACGAGGAAGTCGAAGCCTAAGGACAAGGGCGGGAAGGATGAAGTCGCCGTCGAGCGTGCGGGTACTGCTCTCGGACGCGCCGTCGCGGAGGTGGTCAAGAACGCTCGCGGGGCCCCGGCTGCTGACGGGGGAGGGAAGGGAAACGCGGTTGCGGACGGGCATCCGAGCGCGGGCGGAGACGCTGGGGCCGCAGATGCTGTCGGACGCCCGCGCGCGGAGGGGGGCGAGGCTGGCCGCGGAAGTGCGATGGCGGGCGGACGGGAGGAGGACGCGGGGACGAAAGCGGCGGTCGACTCTGAAGGCGCGGTCGAGGCAGTGGCGAGGCGTGTCGAGAGCGCGGTCGACGCGCATACCGGCGTCGGGCCCGCGCCTACCGAGGCCACCACGGTGACCCCGGAAGTCGCTGCGGGGACCGCCGAAGCCGGCGCAGGATCTATCGAGGTCGATGCGGCGCGCACCCAAGTCGATGGCAGGCCTGTCGAGGTCGATACGGAGGCGAAGGTCAAGTCCAAGTCCAAGCCTCGACCCCGCAGGAACAACCGCAAGGGCGGCAAGTCGAAGAAGCGGTCGGTTACGGAGGAGGCGGAGACGGTGGCTGGAACGAAGGCGGCTCCGGTGGAGGCAGGTGGCGGCGCGCCCGTCGAAGCGGACGGAGGAGCGTCCACGGGCGGAGGCGGAGAGGTATCCGCTGTCGGAAGTGAAGGGGGACCTCCGACCGCGGACGGAGGGCAACAAGCCCAGACTCGCGAGGACTCGATGGGGTCGGGTGGAGAGCAGGCAAATGGAGCACCAGTCGACGTCGCGGATAACGTTGCCGGGGCCGCGCAGGGCAAGAAGTCGGGCAACCGGCGGCGGTTCTGGAAGGGGCGTGCTAAGCGCGGCGGAAGGCAGGCAGAGAAGAAGGTTGCAGGGGAGCCCGCCGATGGAGGTCCTGCTCCTGCGGAGGAGGGGAAGGCCGCATCTGTGGACAGCGGGGCGGCTCCCTCAGCGGACCCAACGGCCACCGCTTTGGACGCCCGGACAGCCGCGCTCGCGCACGATGGGGCCACGGATTCCGTGAGGGGTCCCTTCGTCGACGCCTCCAAGCTCAGCAGGTCCGGCACGCCGTCGGGCACATCGCAGGCGCGCCGCAGACGCCGTACGCCCGCGCGTGGTGGTCGAGCCCGCGGCGGTCGCGCTCGCGAGAACGCTGCTGCTGCTGATGCCGCCGGCGAAAGCGCTGGCGCTCACGACGAGGGCATTCGTACTGCGCCGGTGGTCAGCGATGTAGACACTCCCGTTGCTGGCCAGGTAGCTGCCTTCTCGGTCAGCGGCACGAACGACGCCTTCGTCGTCACCCGCACGGTAGATATTGGCGCCGATGTCCCAGTCCCGGTCGTCCTTCTGGCAGTCACCTAGAGTAATCGGCTCTCAATTCCTCGTTCTTTCGTGCGCTCGCTATATTCTTCCTCGGACTTTCCTCGAACTCCCTATGTTGACGAATCTCTGGACATACCTCGTCGACAATTTCTTCGAAGGCTACGTGCCTTTCTCTCGCCCTTGGCTTGATTTTCGACAAGTCAACTCATCTGTCCTACGTCGATCAGTCTCTAGGTGGTTCGGTCGATTCGCATCCTTCCCTTGTATACCTCTCTGGGTGGGCGCGTCGCGCACAGCTGGCTTCGATGGTATATTATCCACTGGTCGAACGGTACCATCTTGTTTCCAGGTTCTGCATACGATACTGTGATCGTCTATTGAGAGTTGTTCTCTATGGTCTACATAACAATGGAGTGAGCATGTACTGCGCCCTGACATGGTCCCCGAATCCGACCACTGCTCAAGCCCATCCGCGCGCATCGTAATCCGCAAGCGTGTCTCGCGTCGTCTCCTCCATTGCTAGGTATGTCATACCCAGTATGTCCTTCGAACGCGAAGCATCGTACAGAAGGAATGGCGGGTCTTCGGTTGGAAGATCGGGATATCCGACCGGCAGCTTTCTCCCAGTCTTGTTTAACGCGTTCGCTACGTTGACTACGCATCGTGGGTCAGCAGTACGCACAGGATGCGTGATATGAAGGTCAGCTCACTGAATTCCTGCACGCAAAGCGAGCCGGCGCTGATGATGAATCGCTTGCCACCAGCCGCCTCCGTCTCGAGCGCACGCACATGCCCCTCGGCAACGTCGCGGACGTCGACCCAGCATGCGCGACGGGAGAGGATGACCTCCTTCGGCTTGCTGCCCATGTCCAGGCTGGCGACCGTCTTGTACCACTCGAGCGCGGACCAGTTCAGCTCTTCCGGCTTGCTGACCTCGTGGATGGCGGGCTGTATATCCGTGAAAAACAAAGCGGGTACTCAAAGGAAGATGCCTACGCCAAAGATCTACAAGCATACTGTCAGCTTGGATCACTCAGGACGCGGAAGAGCCTAGCTACTGACCAACGGTGGGTTAATAACCGCAAGATCCCAGCTGATCTCCTTCGCGTGCTCTTTGACGAAGTCCCAGGCCGCACGCTCAGCAAGGACCTTCGACGCGCGGTACTTCGACGTAGGATTTGCCGCGATCCCTTTCTCCTCCACCTCGCGCGGCGCCTGCTCATTCCAGTGCGATTCGTCGAAGACTGCAGGCGCGTCGCGCTCTTCGACGATGGCCGCGACGGAGCTGGTGATGACGATGCGCTTGATGGATTTTCTGAAGAGGGAGATTGAGGCGAGGTGAGCGAACCACCTTACCGGATGGCTTACCCGTACTTCAAAGCGCTGTTGAGGACTCCAAGAGTGCCTTGCAGAGCAGGCCGGATGAGGTCTGTCGACACTGTCAGCCGTTGGCTCCGTATGTGGCATGACATCCACCTTGCGGATCCACAACACCGAAAATCACGGGCGAGGCCATGTGAAAGATGGCGTCCACACCAACGACCGCTTCATCGAATGCGGTCTCCTAAGTGAGTCCGTCAGCGTGAGTATGATGAGGTCGATCTCTACGAGGTGACCAATCCTACCTGCGTGATATCGGCCACGATTGCCAACCCGAACTTGTCCCCGTACTTTTCGAAGTATTTCTCCAGGTGTTTACCCTTCTGCGCCGAGCGGACCGTCGCTCTGACAGAGTACCCGCGCTCAAGCAGCGTGCGCACGGTCCACATAGCGACGAAGCCATTCGCGCCAGTGACGAGGACCTGGAAGATCAGACGGCCATGATTTATCAGCACCGAGCGGCGCTGCGCTGAAGAGATGGTCTCAGACCTTAGGCGGCGCAGAGGAAGAGGTTGCGGATATGGCAGGCATCTGATTAGGCAGTTAAAGGTATTGTGTGCTTTCGACAGCTATGTTCGAACCTACTCGAGATGACGGTGGTCAGAAACAGGTACTTTGGCGGCCGCGATGAGCTCCCACGAACCGATAAGATGTCGCCACGGTCACGGGATAATGATTGCAAATCGAGTGTCTGTCTTGACGCTGATTCCATTGTCAGCACGGTGGTCGGGCACCGGCGATGGTCGATCTGGACTGGCCAAAGACAACTTCTTGGTTATGTTGACGTCGAAGCGGGTACTCCCGTCTGCTTCTAGTACCCCAGGGCTATGACATGGAGTCCTAGCTGGCGGTCAATGGCATTTGAGAGCATGAGAGCGCTTGAGTATGCACCAAGATGAAGAACAATCGAAATCAAACCTTGAACGAGCGTCAGCGATGCCTGTGACACAAGATATTAGCCGTCTCGACCAGGTATACCTGTGGCTTGCTTACCAACGCTACTATCGTACGCATGGTAACACTACACGCGTTGCTACCTTTTGAGAGTATGTAACGTATATTTTAGCATCCTTCTCCTCTCGAGGAGAGACCAGACGGGCATTCAGTGAGATCAAGTGTCGCCGTCGCGTTCATGTTGGAAGTGCGCGTAGTCTGAGTCATATTCGTGGGCACAAGCAGCGACGCTGATCTCAGTAATTAGAGTAGGAGTATATCAGCTTTCAATTGCACGAATGAGCGAGCAAGCGCTCTGAGTGACGGCGAAAGGCAAGAGCAGAAAGCGCTGGCGCGTCACGCGGACTCGGAAGGCACGCTGTACCGGTCATCAAAGTGCCCGCGTGTGATTCCTCTCTCCGATTTATCACACAAATCACGTTCCGCCAATCACATCCGGACCCACAACGTCGACGCCGGTTCCCACGATCCCCCTGAACGCGTTCTCGCTCTGGTCCGCACCAGTTACAAGCCAACCCAGGACCAAGTTGACTGACCGCACTGCCACCCCGCCTACCACAGCCACCAGAGGTGTGTATTACGTGGCTTAAGCCGACGGGTATATAACCAGGACGCCCATCCCCAAAGAAATCAGGCCGGTGAGGCAGCACGACCATCGTCTGCGTAAGTCCCCGGCTTAGATCTCCGAGCCAGCGCGTCGTCGAGGTCCCTCCTCAGGAGTGCTGCTATGCCATCGCATAGCCCCAGCAACCATCGTTGTTGGTATCATGACAGCAGTCCTAGCTGTCTTCTCGTTGACGCATGCCGCATGTGTCCGAGCCCAGTTCTTGGGACCGCCCACTACTTCCTAATACCTCACGAACTCTCATACTTACTGTACCCTGTCTTGCATGCGCGTGCTCTTCGCGCTCGCTCCCCCTCTCTTCTGCCTCTTGTAGTGACACCGTCTTCCGAGTCGGAAAAGATGACGCCTCGTACTTATACCTACTTTACAAGTTCTCGATCGCTCGCAACTTCTCACCTTCAGATATCGTACAGTATAGGCTTTGGGATACGACTGCTGCTTCAACGTGTATCCAATCTATCAGTCCATTCGTACATAATTCGACAACGGGGAGCGACTTGGACTAAAATACAGTAAGCGACAGGATGAATCAGTAAATAAACATTTCAAGAGGAGAACGAGGCAGAGAACGACTATGAGCAAAGCGGAAGAAATCGTCGGGAATAATTTGGAGACAATAGAATAAATAACGACGACGGATACATACATAGTGAGGGAACGACTGGATGGGTTGAAAGGTGACAGCGAACAACATAACTGATAAATAATGGGGCAAAGCGTAAGGAGTGGTCAAAGTTATATGTGGCGGAATTGGTGATTATATGATTTGCGCGTCGGTGAAAAAGCGCGCGCGATTGGACGACCGAGTTCCCATCCTCAGTACGCCGGCATGCGATGGGTATGCTCGGTTAGAGGCGCGTCGGGTCGTGGTGGATCCTTTGGAGGTGACTCCGCAGGCCGTTGCGCGTGTTGAAGCGCGAGCTACAGCCCGGCTTGGAGCACCTGAAATTGCCCTCGTCCTGGTGGCGGCGGATGTGGTCTGCGCGAACCGTCAGTTACGACCGTCGCACGCTCTGCACGATTTCGAGAACGCACCACGGTAGTTATGCGTCCTCGTGAAAGACCTGTGACATCTAGGGCATGTGCGGGATGGATGCGGCTCGTGACCTGGCCGGCGTCGGCGCATCGATGCGTTGGTGTGGGCCGTAGATCCGACCTCTCGCCAGTGCAACTGATCTTCATTGTCAAAGCTGACTTCACCTGGATAGGCGCCCAAGGTCGGACCGAAGCCGGAGTGATAGGCGCCCATCTCCATGGCAACGCCTGACGAGACCGCAACGGCCCCGCAGGGCGTATGAGCGATCGGCGACGGCTGGACGATCAAAGCCGTTGAGGAGGGGATCTGAGGGGTGGGAAAGGATATGTTTTCCGTGGGTGTATAGCGTGTATTCGGGATACGGTGAGCGCCGATCGTCGACTCGAAGCCTACGCGCGAGATAAGAGTAGAGTCCTTGAGACATGAGGGAGGAACCTGTACCGAGTTCAATCTCATTCGTTGGGAGAGACGAGTTGCTTTCGAGGAGTTCGAAGACGAAGCCGCCGACGAACATCTCCGGGGACGGAGTCCGAGCTGTCGGGATATACGATCGGTCCAAGCTTGGGGTTACATCACATGGAAAGACGCACCTGGTTCGGAGTCATTGTTCACTGGCGCCCAGTGGCGCGTATCAACGTCTCCTCGGGCGACAAGCGCCTGGCTTCCCCCGATCTCGTTGTCCCCCGTCGTCGGAGGGTAGAGGGTTTCAGGCCTACGTCGTTCATCTCCGACTGAACAAACAGGGCAGACGAGGCACACACCATGAGTGGCTAAGTTCGCTTTCCATCTCGACGTGTGAGTCTCCAAAGTCGTAGAAATGCCCCAGTTTCTGCTATGGATCAAGTAGAGGAGGCGGCATCGCCGCGACGCACGTGGTAGGCCCTTATTCAGAGAAGCTCACCTGATCGTGAGGACCGGAATACAACCCATAGTGAACGACGATATGTGATTGAGCGCCCTACCAGCGCAAAACAAACAGAGAGCGCTATCTGAAACACTGCAGAACCTGGCATAGTACAGGACAGTATCAGAATACAGAGATCGGGCACGAGAAAGAGAGGCTGAAAACAATGCTGAGTCCGCGAGGGAACTGTCAAAGGCTTCGAGCTTGGTCGCTAATTTTCCTGCCAACAAGAGGTCAGCCAGTAGCTTCCAAAGCGCGGCTTCCAATTACAGGCATTCGTCAGGAGACCGTACCACTGTCGCTCCTGTCATCGTGCAGTGAAAGGACTTCAAACGGGCACATATTGAGTCGCAGTCATATCAGGGTCGCCGGCTTACGACGTGCTGTGTGTCGCCTTCTTCGACCGCATCCAGACTGCTTGGCACGGGATAGCATTATTTATAGGGTCAAGGAAGCTGCAATGGTCATTGGCGGTCGAAGACAAAGGGCGGAGGTGATGGTACGATCCAAGATGAACCAGTGACATGAATGTCACGGTCGAACTATGCGGCAATCTCCGAGGTTTCATCCAGCAATGGGGCGTTTGCTGGTGACCGCGATCCAGGAGCGGATAGCAGAAGAGACAGCCATCAACCACTGAGTATACGGTAAAGATATATCCAGCAATGTGCAGAGAGCTAGAGACAGACAAGCAGCCAGAACGACAACATGCAAGTAGCGAGCGACGAGTCCATCAGACTGGCAGTCAGAGTCCGTGGTCCAGGAGACAAAGAGCGACGAGCAAACAAACAGATGCAACGATTGGAGAGCAAGCACCACGACGCCTGGTCAGCTAGGCGGCGCGGTGTCAACTAGAGCACTGGACAGCCGCAGCACAAGCACTACGCGAGCGCGCTGCGGCCAACTATCTATGCGGGGGGAGTAATTGAATCATAATCATCGTCTATGAACATGGGCGGGTCGTTCTGGTAGTATGGGAGTAAGTATGTGTATCCCTGCGACGGGAGTATCAGTATCGCTACTATGCAAGATGTTGGTGTTATGCAAGGGGTTATGTATACCGTCCTTCCGCTCGGCGCACGAGTCAGTATATCCTCCAGACGATGATGAGCATGCATGGGCTTTCCCTCTGCCACTGGACCAAGAGCAGTCTTCTACAGCGAGGGCCCTTCCCAGGAGAGACCTCCTGGCTGGGATACCCCGCGGCAGGCGACGACAGCCAACGGCAGGGAGAGACAGGCTTTTCCTTCCTCACGCCTCCTCAGTCTTGCCCTCCTGCACCTCCTCCGGCTCTTCCTGCACCTTCTCCTTCTTATCCTTCTTGAGCGCATGCGACAGCGACCGGAACGGCGCCTTGAAGCTCAGCGTGCGTCGCCTGTGCTCCTTGTCCTTGCTCTCCTTAGGCGACGACGCCACGGACGCAGACAGCGACTGGCGCGAGCCCGACGACAGCGTCGGCCGCGAGGGCGACGGGGGGAACGCCTGCCCTGCCGCGCCCGGGTGCGACTGACGAGGTGACGCAGAGGGCCGCGAAGGCGACGGGATTCTCGAAGGCTTGATCGGCGACGACATTGGACTCGCCAGGGACGGGTCACGCGATGACGACGGCAAGGAGGGCGTGCGTGACGGCGGCGTCGCCGGGAAGGCGTCCGTGCCCTGCGCGAGGAGGAAGCTCGCTGGCTCGCTAGCGGACGCGGCATGCCCCGACTGCGCGCTGGCCGCCAACCCAGTCTCTTCCGTCAAGCCCTCAGTCGGGGCCTCGCTGAGACCATGCGGAATTTCACCCAGACCCATGCTGACTGCCCGAGTGTGCAACTCGCCCGCGGGGGCTGTGGCCGCACGGGCGTGCATCGAGACATGCCGCTTCCTCAACTTCGCGGGATGCTCGCGGACGCTGCCATCCGTGCGACCGAGCAGACCGCTCCACTTGCGCGAAGGCGTCGGTGAGTTGTTGGCGCTGACGGTGGTGGCCGACGAGTCCGCATGACCATCTGTGGAGGACGCGGCAGTCGAATGACCAGTTGCCGATGACGAAGTGAATGAGTGTCCGGAGTGCGAGTGATCGTCTTCCGACGCGCGAGACGAGACGCTGACGAGGGAGCGCACTGTACTCGAGAACGACTTGGCAAGGCCACGACGCGCGCGGGAAGGCGAAGGATGTAAGTGCTCGTTAGAGGAGCGATGAAGATGCTCGTGCGACGAGCGGTGAAGGTGTTCTGTCGATGCGCGGTGCGAAGGCGGCCTGTCCGCGGTCGGGAACGCAAACGTTAGATCCGGCGACGCCGAAGCTGCGTGCGCTGCGGGAGGACGGGGGATCTCTGACGCTGGACGGGGCTTGGGGGAAGTGAGCGCGAACTGAGGCGCTGGTTCACCGGTTTCAGGTGAGGTTGGCTCGGGAATCGTCTCGAGCTCGGTGGGAGGAGGGATCAAGATGGTAGTGGCCGGGACCGTGGGTTCGGGCGTAGGGTCGGGGGACGAGTGGTCTGGGGTGCCGCCGCAGGGGTTGGTAAAGAGTATCTCGCTTGGCGACTCGACGAGCGTGCGGCCGGAGAGGGATTGGGAGAGGCCGGGGTGGCAGTCGCTGGCGTCTTGCGGGCCGGTGAAGGTGAGGTGGATGGAGGACGCGAGGATGGGGGAGGTGGCGGTGGCCTTGTTGTCCTTGGTGGATTTGACGGGTGTCTTGTCGGTGTCGGTTTCTGCCTCCTTCGCGCGTGCGCGGAGGCGCTTGAGGGTGTCCTCCCTGTTGGACGTTGTTAGTACTGGGAAGATATTGACAGACGGGAGGCAAAGAAGGCTCCTCCATTACAGCAATACAAGAAGCGGCTGTCCTGTGACGCGCGAGCCTCGACCTCCTCGCGCGCGCCTCACACTACGAGAGTATATAACTCCCAGCCCTAGCTGCATTACAGGGAGTGCATGATGACTATGGTTCCGAGGGCATACGGACCTCATCCCAGGCGTCATGCGCTGGCGGTCACCGGCGCAAGCACCGATCGGCCACCAAACCCTTCCCCCGCGCCCACCTCGTAACCCGCGTACAGATATAGCACTCACCGACTTCTCTCTAGTTCCCCCTCTTCTGCAGACAGCGCCAGTCCGTCGACTACGTCCGTCAGATACTCCACTACCCCCGGCGGGGTGTCTTCGTGGTCCCAAGCCGCGCGGTAGGTCCTCGCCCAGACGACAAGCAGAAAGCTGAGGTCGTGGATCGACTGCAAGTGCTCCGCCTTCGTCCTCGGCGCGCTCATCCTTGCGACATCGCGGAACTTCGCTCGTAAGAAGGCGTGCGGGGGCGAGGGCGCCTGCGCAGACACTTGCTGGGCTGAGGGCGACATGGAGCGCGAACTAGCTTGCAGCGCAGGCGAGGGACTCAGTGGGTGGGCGTAGTGAACGTCAACGCGCTCAGGGGAGATATCGACGTCGACGGCGGATGTCAAGGTCGGAGTTCCGCCAATAATCGGCGGACAGTTTTTCACATCCCCGCTTAGACCCTCGCGCCCAGAATGTTTACAACCCCGCGCGCAGTGGCGGTCATGCGATATCAGTGGCGGCGCCCAGAGCTGATTGAGCACGGTGTAGACATGGCATGGACTTTCAGTGACAGGGCTGGACTCGGGATTGTTGAAAATCCGTGCGAGGCTTGTGCTCAGGCGGCAATCCGACTTGATCCACATCGGAGGGCATCATATCCCAGACGTCGAGCGATTCAAATCACATCTACCAGGTAGCTAGCGCTAATTGTACGATACCATAGGCGGTCCGACTGTCGGGACAGATGACTTGGCGTGAGGTACGTAAGGAAAACAAGTGGCAGAAACATGCGGGAGAGAGGAATGCAGTTGAATGCGGTTCATGCCCATTCAGCGGGCCGGCAACCTAATCAGGTTCAGTCGTAGATTAAATTAATCTGGCGGCGTACCATAAAGATGATGCTCGAAGCATACTAAGCGACCGAAATTCGCCAGAGATAAGAAGGTTGAAGGCGAGCCTCGACGGAGTTGTCCCCACGCGAGACCCATGCACTCAGCTCTACCTCATTATAACCAAGCGTTGCAGGTTCTGGAAGTTGGATAAGAGGTAATGTGATCCGTCGTGCTGATGCTCGTAGGTGGTCAAGGAATACAAAATGGCGGCAGGTCCCCGCTGCCGACACCGGCGGCAAGATGCAAGGCCGAGTACTGTAGACTTTCCGATGCTGAACTCGATCGTGTGGGTGGTATTGGCGAGTAGAGCTGTACGTGGGATCCGAGGCAACATTCAGAGCAAATCCAGCGGTCGAGCTAGTCCAGCCGGCGTAAAACGTGACCACCACGAGTAGCCAGACACAACATGGGGATAAGCCGTGCACGCGGGCATATTAGAGCGATGGGAGTCTCTCCATGGCTGGCGGCGAGTCCGCAACTATGCGCGGTCAGCAAAAACACTGACAACGGCCGACTCACCGTCGGTTTTCGCAGTGCGAGTCTACGGGTCACAAGTCAGCAGAAAGCACATCTTTAGCTTTGGGTAGATCAGACCGAGCGAAGGCCGAGGCAGAGACAAGCAGATGGAAGTCCGGACCAAGCTGCACTCTCGCGCGCCCAACGCCACATAATAATAATATTTGACCTTCCCCATAAGGCTCTGATGGGTTGATATCCCCGAACAAATGGACCCACAACATTTGGTTCCGGCTGGCGGAATCAAATTGACGACCTCGGTCAGCAACGCATTGGCCAGTCATTCCGCCTGTCACAGACGAGATGGCTCTTAATAGAGGATCTCGCCTCCATTGAATTGCAGTGTCATGATAATTGTACAAGTAAAGCAGATGAATATCATGATAGCTTGTCCTAGACGTCCGAGTCAGGGAGCCAGCGGTATCCACTATCGTGAGTAGACGAGCTACGAAAAGTTCAAAGAGCTTAAGTAGTCATAATCATATATGTTTCGGGAGCGAAGCGTAGCGCTCGGCTGCCGAGCTTATGCTCCGCGTTGCTTCTTCGTTCTTACGTTTCCAGAGCGACTCCAGGGGAAATATATGCGTCCGCCATAGAACAGAATTTCTCCTCACGTTGTGCCGGGCGAAGTAATCGCGCAAGTTTCGACATCTTGGGCGCTTGTGGGGGGGAGCATAGTCTGAGAAGAAGTCAGAAAGGCAATATACCAGCGCTCGAAGCAGACAGCTATGCACTTTGAAGGTCGTTCCTTCCGCCTGGACTTCTTGGAGCATCGGAAACGCGAGGAATGGCGGTTCCTCGACACTTGGTGACCAACTGCATCTTGCCTAGCGTCGGAGACCGACATGCTTTGCGGCGGCAACGAGGGAATCAACTCCCAGGATTCTTCCAAGCCGACTGGCTCGAAGGTGGTCGTTTCGAGCGGCCGGAGCGTATAGTACCGGGTGTCCAATCTGTCTTCCTTCGATTGAGGAGTCGCGCCCGCAACGAAGGGCTGGTGGCGCGAAGGTGGAGGGATTTGCGGATATGACGATGTGGTCCACGAAGACGTGCTTGAGTCTCCGAGAGATGACGAAGGATATCCTGGTGGTGGCGCCGAACAATCCAGAGTCGAAGGAAGGGAGCACGAGCGCGAACCTGTTGACGGTTAGCAGAAGCTACGGAAAAGAGATGATCCATGGACGTACGCTGGTCAACATGATTCCAGTTGACGGAGGACTGATTATCGGCAGAGCAGGAGCGCATGCTGCTCAAGTGCATCAGTACGAGCAACTTGGAAAGGACCACCATCACATACGCGAAGGATATCGATAACTCGTGATAAATCTACGGAGGTTATGGTGGATGGTGGAGGAATGCGTCCTGTTGCCAGGGATCGGGCACTTATACAAGAAGGGCATCGCAGAGAACTGTCACATCCACTGCTAGGCGCTGTACTTGACTGCAGGAATTCTTGACGAAGACCGACAACAGGGGACAGACAACAGTCGACGTGCCGCCGTGACACGAGTTTGAGCAGACAACGAATCCTAGATAGAAAGATATGATTGTATCCGACGTGCGGTAGTCGTGGCTTTCATATAATAATCTTCAAGGCAGCCGCGTGCTTGCGGACAACTTGACGTTCAACGCAGGTATTGTCGGCTCGAGAGTTCAGAGGGTAAGTACATCCAGTCGCGTCCCGCACTCGTTCTTCGATGTGCGTCAATACGATATTGACTACTTGCCGGCACTCCAAGTAAGGCAGGTCAGGTTTTGGAACTCTGTATTGCGGGACGAAAGCGGATGGTAGCGAACGGATAAACGGCGAGCGCCTAGCTGTTGTCGTCTTCGCATGACATCGACTGGTAATGGCGACAAGGTCGCGGTATTTGGTGCAGATAGTCGACAGTTTATTGAGCGTGCGTCGAGTTCAGAATGAAGATATGGTGGAGAAATTTCGTTGATGCATCCCGCAAGTAGCAGAAGAGGGCGTTAAAGACTTGGCCACCGAAAACGCTGGCCAGCCGCCGCAACTGGTATCTCAGGCGGAATATGTCGATGAGATGGGCTAAGCCAGATGACTAGACGTCAGATGTTTCTAGCTCGAAGTCTCCATGCAGTCGAGCTGGATCTTGCGGTCAGTGAACGCGGCGGACAAGAGGCAGACGACGCACGCGCTGATGACGCGCGGATCTCACCGAGATCATGTGATGTGGACTTACCAGGACCCACTGGCATCACTGGAAACTTATTGATGTGCGAGGCATGATGTTGGAGGGCGCCAAACATCTTTTACGCAGGACAGCGGCGCCATTTGAAAGCTGTTTCTCGCGCAGGCTTCCGTGCGGCTGTGAGTACCTGACGGAGGCCCATCAATGGCGGTGGCCAACAACAAGCAGACAACGCCTCACTTCGAGTGACCACGAGGAAGAGATCCCCGACAACCACGCCTCGACCATGAATCGGGCACACATCATGAAACGAACTTACCTCGATATGCGAATTGACCGGCGACGAGCCGCCGCGACCGACACTAAAATTTCAGACAACGACGAGTCCCGAGATTGTCGGCAGACGATCCAGTCGTCAAAGGACCTAAATAGATCCCTGACTGCAAAGAAGCGTTATGTACCAGCAGATTATCGGCATCCAATGGTGACATACGGTTTGCGGCTCCTTCACGCCATTGACTGTTGCCGGTACTGCGCAAGAAGTCAGATGGATCGAAAGCGTGATACGGGTTGACCTCAAGGAAAGAAGACGGTCGACAAGGGCATGGCGCTTCGACGCACCTGTCACGAGTGTAGCAGGCCTCAAAGGATCCGGGATCCTAAAAACCTAAAGCGACGCACCTTCTACGAAGACGAAGACGGACGTTCTGATTCAATTGCTGAGCTGTGCGCAGATACCCAACAGCGTGCTTACGCAGCGATGTTGGCCAAGCAACCATAAGAGCATCAAGGAAGATAGCAGCCAGAGAAGATCACGCTGAGCCCGCCGCGCTTGTGTTGATCGAAATATGAACTTGTTCGAGGTGCAGCTTGAGGGGCACGCGCAGAGGAGGGATATAACAGAGTAAATAACATTTAGTACGATACCAAGACCAGCATACAAGCTGGAGGGGCAGGGTCGCTACGCGAATGGGACGGATCCTCAGAAGGCCGAGATGGGGGTTCGGGTTCTTGCCAAGGATGGCGCACCAAGCAATCCTCCTAGTGGTTCCGCGAAGAATTCAATGGCCAGAAAGAGTGACTGAGATGGGAGCACGGTTCTGCAAAATCATGGTAGGGGCTGGACAACGGTGAAGAGGAGTCGTGAGGCATGACTTCGCAGGGCCACAAGACCATGACGAAGACTTGCGAGTTGTTGACGCACCCGAGCGCCAGGAAACTCCACTGTAAAGCAGCATCGCATGCCATGGAAGATCCTCTGACCGCCATGGTATCGCGTCGCTGGGGTCTGCCATGAGACGATCGAACTTCGTACGTACGGTATCAGTAGTACGCACCTGAACATGTATCCCTGAGTCGGTGACCCGTATCGTCGACCTCATCGTGTTGTTCAAGCAATAGGACTGAGAATCATCTTCGCAATCCTGCACGCATTGGCGAGACAAGGTCCTCCGGGAAGGCTATCGATCGCGCGCTTAAGCTTGGCGGCAATGACTTCGCGCTCGTAGATGAACTCTAGCGCATCCAGGTGGACGCTGCCTGGCCAGAAGATCTCCTGTCTGTGCGTTGGAGCCCATTGAGATAGCCAGCGTAGTCTTCACGCAACACGGATATGAGGTGATGAGGATAGGAAGCAGGAGGCGGACTACCCAAATCGGCAGTGTCCATCTCTGTGTCATGTGACGGGGACCCTCATGGACCTACTTCATGTCGGACGTCTCCTTCCAGCTCACGCAGATTCAGAGCACTTAGAAGGAGCTGTCGACTACACTTATATCGGACTGCACTTGATGCCAGAGCGACTATCATGCCCCTACCCTATAATCGCTTGTTCGGCCTACGATACGAAGTACGACTTCCATTTGCACGGTGCCTTCACTGTGCTCAGAGTAGCATGCAGGACTCATCAATCGCTGCTTTCTTATTCATCCCTGTATTCATGTTTGTCAGATATTTCCCTCCGATGTAAGTCGCACCTTCCCACAGACAGACTCCGAATCGGGTACCGCATACGTAGCCCTTCGAGGGGAGTATCTGCGTACGATGAGGTCGACGAGCGGATGGCTGCCGCACTCGGGGCAAAGCCCGTTAACTGGCCGTCCGCTATGCCGAGTGCGCCGTCCCCGGCAAGCTCGTCTCGAGGGCGACGGACGGACGGAGGTTCTTGGACATCATCACAAACTCCTATGTCCTGTAAACTCCGATGACAATGCCTACCATATACGGCGAGCGCGTCAGGGTATATAAGCCCCTGAGGGCGCGATGGAGTCCCAGGAACTAGGATCGCACACAACTCACCTTCCACTACACACCCCATCCCTCACAACATCATGCCCGCCGTCACTGCACCCGCCAAAGTTCTCGTCTCCGGCGCGAATGGGTACATCGCGATGTGGGTCGTGCGCACGCTGCTCGAGAAGGGCTACAGCGTGCGCGGTACCGTGCGCTCGTCCGCGAAGGGCGCGTACCTGAGTAACTACTTCCGCTCATACGGCGACAAGTTCGAACTCGCGATCGTCGACGATATCACGAAGGTGCGTGGGCGGGCGCTTGACGCGAGGGTAGCGCGCTGATTGGCGATCATCACCAGGAGGGCGCGTTCGATGAAGCGGTCAAGGGCGTTGACGCGGTCGAGCACACGGCCTCGCCGTTCCACTTCAAGGCGGATGATCCTCAAGGTGCGTCGCGCGATCGTCGACCGGCGGCGCGCGCTGATCGTCCCGCCAGAGCTTATCGGCCCCGCCGTGAACGGCACGCGCAGCATCCTCAACAGCATCCTGAAGAACGGGTGCGTCGTACCCTCCCCTCTCTGCGGCGCACTCACCTGACCAGCGCCCTCCGCAGCCACTCTGTCAAGCGCGTCGTCGTCACCAGCTCCGTTGCCGCCATCCTCGAGTCGCGCCCCGGCCCGGTCGTCTTCACCGACAAGGACTGGAACCAGCAGTCCATCGACGAGGTCGAGAAGCTTGGGAAGGGCGCATCCGCGGCGGCGAAGTACCGCGCGTCGAAGACGCTCGCGGAGAAGGCCGCCTGGGAGCTGTACAACGCGAACAAGGGCAAGATCCAGTGGGACCTCGTCACCATCAACCCGCCGTTCGTCTTCGGGCCCGCGATCCATGAGGTCGACAAGGCCGCGGCGTTGAACACGTCCGCGCTCGACTGGTACAAGACCGTCGTGGAGGAGGACGCTGCCGGCAAGAGCGAGCAGGCGCTGACGACGCAGGCGAGCTGCTGGGTAGACGTCCGTGATCTTGGGCAAGTCCACGAGCTCGCGCTGTCGAAGGAGGCCGCCTCCGAGAAGCGTGTCATCGCGTCCGCAGGGCCCTTCACCTGGCAAGACTTCAGTGAGTAGAAGCTTACCCATCATCGAGTTATCTACTCACCACATCTCCTCCCAGTCGACGCCGCCAACAAGGTCAAGCCGAACGGCCTGCCTAATCACCCCAAGCTGGCGAAGGGTGCTGTCAACACGCCGAAGCCGGACAAGATCAACGTTAACTACGACACTACGACCGTCACGAAGGACCTTGGCTTCACCTTTATGTCCATGGAGCAGTCGACGAAGGATACGCTCGAAGACATCGAGAAGAGAGGATGGTGATAGCTTTCGCTCAGGTGGTCGTTCGGGCGGAGAAGAGGTGGCAGTCGGCAAAAGGGAGGTCGTAAATATCCCTGTACTTTGCCTCTTCACTTAAGTTAGAATGTAGAAGACTTAAAAATCATTGGCGCTCGTGATGAGCGAGTTGCTCGTCATTCATCTCCTGTTATTGGTGCGTGGTTTCAGCTCCCGCCTGTCGGCGACGTGCTACAAGCAAAAAGGCATTCGGATACGGGGAATCGAACCCCGAGCTGCCGCGTGAGAGGCGGCAATGTTAGCCGTTACACCATATCCGACTTGACATAGAGAAGTAGCACATCGCTATAGCATACGATCCTGAATAACTACCTGTGCAAGCCGTTAAGTACGATAATGATACTGCATGATCCAGGCATACTATGTCAGAGGCACATACGCAAACAAACACGGCCATTGCAGGCATAGTTGACGAGCCAGAGGGTGGGGCCATAAGTTGCGAAGATGCGAAGACGCTGCGTAGTCGTTCTCGCGCAACATTCGCTCGTATTTCACAGCAATGTTACAGTGATGGGTTATAACCATGACGCGACGGGCTGCTGCGTCGTTGCGGCAGTGCGCGCACAACATGTCTTGTCGAGAATCCGTACTATGAATGTGGCGAAGCTCCTCGTCTTGCAACACTTCGTCAAGGTCGAATCTGGCCGGTACGATTCTCTTATGGCGTGCTATGGCAGCGAGGTCAAGAGCGACGGCAGCAACGGGCTGTTGCCGATTGGCGCAAGCTCCGATATGGATGGGACGATCAGTCGACCACCATAGCCATCTCGCCGACGTCCCCCTTCCCAGACATGGCGAACACGTCTGCGCCGGATGCGAGGGAGTCGATCAACAAGCTCAGCTTCGGCGTAGTAAGGTTTGACTCCTGGGTGTGTGTTAGCGTAAGAGCACAGGGACCTGGCCCATGCAACGCACCTTACGGATTTCCTCCAAGTCGTCCTTGAACCCATCCACGACCGCGGACATCCAGAACTTGCGAAACTTGTCTCGCAGCTCCTGCTCCTTCTCTTGAGCGTTAGAAGCGGTCTTTTCTGGGAGGAAGGAGGGTATCTTGGTAGAGGGGAGGGGCGGGGAAGGTGATCGGCGAGAAGCGAAGGGTCGAGGTACGCCAGAAGCAGCTTGTGCAGGCGCGTCTTCCGCAGCGCTGCTGGAGTCAGAGTCGGACTCTGATTCAGAGGAAGACGAAGAATCTTCCGAAGAGTCTGAAGACTCGGATGGTTGTGCTGCCGTCTTCGCCTTCGCTGCTGCGATAGCCGCCGCTGGCTGGACGACCGCGCCCGAGTCAGAGTCGGAGTCTGAGGAAGACGACGAGGATGAAGAGTCCGAGGCGACCCTGCGCTTTCTCTTGCGTATGCGCTTGCGCGGTGCGGCGGCGGCGGGAGGGGCCATGAGAGCAGGAAGAAAAACCTATCGATCACTTCCATTGTTCCCCTTGAGGAACAGTCGCCAAAACCGACAAGAGTCCTTTCCTTCTGACCATCATCATCATTGTCGGTTCCTCGAGGCGATCGAACTCCTTGCTCGTGTAAGGCTCGCGCTGGGCTCAGTAGGAATACACGGCTAATCCTCACGTTCCAGACGCTACACAAATAAATACACAATAGTGGTCTATGATACACCTGCAGAGTCCATCGCCTCCCTCTCCAATTAAGCCTCGCCGCCCCTGAGGGAGCTGTTAGAGTGTATGCAAGGCGTTGCTTGGAAATCTATTTACTTTCCCCACTTTCCGAAGAACGAAGGGAACGTGCGCAGACCAGGTGTCGCTGCCGGCGTCGTCGAAGAGAGCTCGGGCTTGCGACCGTCCTTGAAAGCGGAGATGGCCAGGCGCTCCATGAGCTCCTTCTTCGCCTGCTCGAGGGCGTTCTTCGACGCGGTGAGCTCCTTGTTCTCCCCCTCGAGCTCCGCGTTGGACTGCTCGAGCGCCTTCACGCGGTCCTCCGCCTTCTCCTGATACGTCCGCAGGCCCGCCAGCTGCGTCTCGAGCTCCTGTATCCGCGCCGCCGCGGCCTGCTTCTCCTCCTCAAGCTTTCGCTCGGCCTCCTCGGCGCGCGCTGATGCGCTGGCGGCCTGCTCCTCTGCCGTCTGGGCGCGCGCGTCAGCCTCCTTCGCTCGTGCGTCGGCGTCCCAGGCGCGGCCTTCCGCCTCGTCGGCCCGCGCGGCTGCCTCGCGCATCGAGGCTTCCGCCTGTTCTGCGTGCTCTGCAGCGGTCGCGGCGCGGTCATCGGCCTCGTGGGCATGCGCCTCCGCCTCGCTCGTGCGGCGCTCGGCCTCCTTGGCTCTGCGCTCGGCGTCGCGGGCCCGCTCGTCAGCGTCGTCTAGTGCGCGGGAGAGGTGCTTGGCACCGCTCTGCGCCTCGCGCAGCTGGCGCTCGACGGCCTGCAAGGCATCGTGGGCGTCCTGCAGCCATTGCTTCGGCATGCGGACGATCGGGCTGTCGTCGCGGGTCGACGGGGTCGATGGGCGGCAGAGAAGAGGGGAAGAGCCAAGTGTAGATTCCATGCTACGAGGTGAGTCAGCTTCCATCGACGACGTAGTGGCTGAGACGCACCTGAACGCCGTTGTCGTGATAGTCGTGGGGATGGGGGAGGGCGTGAACGGTCCGGCCGTGGAAGAATATGCGTGTAGATGGAGAGGAGGCAGATGACACCGCGGTGGTGGGTAATGGAGAAGAAGGGATGCAGGTGGCAGGTATATAACCTAACCAACACCCAGCCGACACATGTAAGCGGGCACGCACTGCGCGCGGCGTACACGGTACCCCGACACGTCGGTACGCAGCCCTATCGACTCGTGTACCCGACCCGATGCTGACATGGTCCCCCCAAATCACAGGCGATCTATTGACGCTCCCCGCGCTCGACCTCAAGCGATACGTGCAATGCTCATCCGACACGTGCAGGGCAGGCGTGGGCCTCGTGCAGTACGCCGCTCCGTCATCTCATCTCGAGGCTGTCTGGAGGAGAGCCTTCTCGTGCATACAAATGCGTGTTCGTGTCCCTGTTTTGCCCTCACGATAGCCGCTTCTAGGGCTATCGTTGTCGTCGTCTGACTGCCCGCGGCCGGGTGGGCATTGTTCTTTTACAGTACAGTAACATCCGGATCCATAACTTAGGCAATCGCGCTCAACGCGAAGCACCTCTACTACTGGCGTGTACGTAGTAGATATCGATAATCAGTGTCCTTCCGGGTTCCACCCCCAACCCAGCGCACAATGCACATCCACAAGACCTCGTCTACTTGCGCTTCCCCGCGGGAGCCGGGATCCCCGTAACGTGCTCATCGATGCTCCTGCACAACTTGCTGACGATGAACTCGAGGCCCTCCACGTACGACTCCCGCTCCCGCATCCTCGCCTCCGCGGCATCTGCCCGCGCCTCCGCCTTCCGCACGCGCTCCTCCGCGTCCGCGGTCCGCGCCTTCTCCTCCCGCACAGCGCGCTCGGCCGCCTCCGCGCGCGTCTCCGCTGCGGCGGCCTGCGCCTGCACGGCGTGCATCGAGGCGAGCGCCTCGTCCTCCGCGTCGTGCAGGTGCTGCGCGAGGAGCTGCGCCGCATCCTGCGCGTCCTGGAGCTGCTGCTCGAGCAGCCGCGCGGCCGCGTGCTCGTGCTCCGGGCTCACCGCGCTGTACACGGGCGGCGGGATGTCGATGGACATCGACCGCGAGCGCTGCGGCTCAATCTCGAGCTCAAACCGCTGCTTCGAATGCGGGCTCGGGTGTGACGGCTTCAGGTTCTCTGTAGACGGCCCGCCGCGGGGGAAGTCGGCGCCGCCGCCCATAATGTCGTGCAGGCTCATGGCGAGGGTCGCCTTCGTGTCCGCTGCGACATCGGCCAGCGATGGGCGGTCCTGGGTCGGCGAGACGTGCGTGGGCGAGTGTGGGTCGGTCGTAAGGTGAGGCATGGCGCGCAGCGCGTTCGTGAATGAAGTGGTTGGTGGTGGTGATGGTGTTGGTAGGTACGAAGGGAGGAGGATGGGCCCTCTCTTGGGATGCATGAGTGCCGCAAGGGGTGGCGGTGCTCACCATCATGCTCCACGCCTCGTTCAACAAGCGTGTTCTCCATGAAGGGACGAAAGCCTTGAGGTTGGCGACCCTGATATTGCCGGGAACGCGCGTCTAATACGTTATCGCATAAGTAACGATACAGTACAGTCTGGTGATACAACAACAGTTTGTCTATACAAAATGCGACCTGCGGTGGTCAATTGACCTCGGTTTGCCGTTTTTGTTCGAGGTGCCTCTACTTCTTCACCACGTAGTGCTCGTAGCCTTCGCCTTCGAGCTTGTCAGCCTTCTCTAGGACCTGCTGCTCCAAGCCGCGGGCGAAGGCTTCGGTGTCCGTGACGAGATGCGGGATTGCAACGCCTAGTATGCGGACCGCCAACAAGCCCGCGTTCTGCCCGTTGTTTATCGCCACAGTAGCGACAGGAATGCCGCGCTAATATCTTATGAGCAACTACATGTATTCGTGGGAATGAACACTCACCGGCATCTGCACGATACTATGCAGCGAGTCCACCCCATCGAGCGTGCTCCCCTTCACCGGCACGCCGATGACGGGCAGCGGCGTCATGCTCGCCAGCATTCCCGGCAGGTGTGCCGCGCCACCTGCGCCAGCGATGATCACCTTCAGCCCCCGCGCCGTCGCGCTCCTGGCGTACTGCACCAGCCTATCAGGTGTCCGATGTGCGCTGACGATCGTCACCTCGTGCGGGACGCCAAACTGCGCCAACGCCCGCGCCGCAGGGAGCATGACTGGCAGGTCAGAGTCAGAGCCCATTACGACGCCGACGAGGGGCGCGGGGTGTGGTCTATCCGCTGCGCGAGGGAGGGGCGCGTACGTCTCCGCGTCCTTCTCGCCATCGCCGCCGGGCAGGGCGAGCAGCAGCGGACGCAGACGTTCACGCAGCTCGGCGTCGCTGCCCGCGACGACCGTGACGTGGCCCATCTTGCGGCCCTTGCGGCAGCCCGACTTGCCGTAGAGGTGCACGGAAGCGCCGGGAGCACCAAGCGCTGCCTGGGCAGCCCTTTGTATCTCCCCTACGTCGTCGGAGGCGCCGATGTAGTTGAGCATGCCCGCGGCTGGAACGACAAGCTCCGTGCTACCCAGGGAAAGGTCGAGGATCGCGCGCAGGTGGTTCTCGTACTGCGACGTTGCGCAAGCCTCGATGGTGTAGTGACCCGAGTTGTGCGGCCGAGGCGCGATTTCGTTCACGTACAACGTCCCATCCTCGAGCAGGAACATCTCCACGCCGAACACGCCCGCGCCGCTGAGCGTGCGTATTGCGTTCTCCGCGATCGTCTGGGCGCGCGCAGCGAGTGTCGGGTCGGCGCTGCGCACGGGCGCGAAGACGAGGTGACAGATGTTGTGCTTGTGAATCGTCTCGACCGCGGGGTACGCGCGCACCTCGCCAGACGCGGCGCGCACGACCATGACGGCGATCTCCTTCTTGAAGGGAACCCATCGCTCGGCATAGAGGGCGCGACCACCGAGCGCGGCGAGAGCGTCTGGAACTTGACCGAGGGAGCGGAGAGCGTAGTTGCCGCGGCCGTCGTAAGCTTGCGTGCGGCTCTTGAGCATGAGGGGGAGGCCAAGGGTCTTGACTGCGGCTTGAACGCCGGCCTCGGACGCATCAACGGGGATGTACTCGCCAAGCGGGGTGTCGTGGGCGCGCAGGTGCTCCTTCTGGCGGAACTTGTCCTGGATGAGACGGATCGTGGAGGGAGAGGGGTGGATCACGACGGATGAGTTCGTCGTCTGCGCGGCCTCGAGCGCGTCCGCGTCAACGTGCTCGATCTCGACAGTGAGGACATCGACCTTGGCAGCGAGTTCCTCGATCTTCACCGGGTCGGCGAACGATCCGTCGACGTGAGCGTGCTGCGCATTTGCAGGGTTGACGATCTGCTTCGCGGGGCTGTGGCCGCTGTCGAGGAAGACGAGGGGAATGTTCAGCCGCGCGGCCGCCTCCGCGAGCATACGCCCTAGCTGACCACCGCCTACGCAACGTCGGTAAGGTCATAAGAAGTATAGGAAAGACCTGTAAAGTCGGCGATTGGTGAATGGTTACCCAGAGGACAGGTCCACGCACTCGTACCGAGAACACCGACGACCTTGTCCGCCATCGAGGGATTTCGTGATGAGGGTAGGATGGAAGATGCGGAGAACAATGGCCCGAGCCCCGGGAACACGGCGGGAAGAACGATGGAAATGATCGATAGATTTTTCTTCTCGCTCTCATGCCCCCCCCCCCACGCCGCCGCCGCCGCCGCCCCGCGCAAGCGCATACACAAGATAAAGCGCAGGGTCGCTTCGAACTCTTCATCCTCGTCGTCTTTCTCACTCAGACTCTGACTCGGGCGCGGTCGTCTAGCCAGCGGCGGCTATCGTAGCAGCGAAGGCGAAAACAGCACCACAATCATCCGACTCTTCAGACCCTTCGGAAGAATCTTCGTCCTCTGCAGAAACAGTGTCCGACTCTGACCCCAGCAGCGCTGCAGAAGACGTGCCTGCGCAAGCCGCTTCTGGCGTACCTCGACCCTCTGCCTCACGCCGATCACCTTCCCCGCCGCTCCCCTCCACCGAGATACCCACCTTCCTCCCAAAAAAGACCGCTCCTAACGGTCAAGAGAAGGAGCAGGAGCTGCGAGACAAGTTCCGCAAGTTCTGGATGTCCGCGGTCGTGGATGGGTTCAAAGACGACTTGGAGGAAATCCGCAAGGTGCGTTGCATGGACCAGGTTCTTGTGCTCTTACGCTAACACACACTCAGGAGCCAAACCTTACTACGCCGAAGCTGAGCTTGTTGATCGAGTCCCTCGCATCCGGCGCAGACGTGTTCGCCATGTCTGGGAAGGGGGACGTCGGCGAGATGGCTATGGTGGTCGACTGATCGTCCCATCCATATCGGAGCTTGGGCCAATCGGCAACAGCCCGCTGTTGCCGTCGCTCTTGACCTCGCTGCCATAGCACGCCAAAAGAACCCCGGACAGGCCAGGTTCGACTGTGGATAAGTGTTGCAAGACGAGGCGCTTCGCCACATTCATCGGACGCATGTTGTGTGCGCACTGCCGCAGCGATGCAGCAGTCCGCCGCGTCACTTGGTTATAGTCGTCACTGTAACATTGTTGTGGAATAGGAGCGAATGTTGCGCGAGACCAATTACGCAGTGTCTTCGCAGTGTCGCAATGTACGGCCCCTCCCTCTGTGCCGTCCCTTTCAGCCCTGCGGCTTACGCGCGAACCATATGCACCATTGATTACTCGCCGTACATCTTGGGCTATCTCACCCTACGTCGATTGGCTGTATGATATTATGTGCATGTATATGCCGACCTTTCAATGGGATCGTTTTCTTTGTCTTTCTTTTGCCAGCACCCGATGTTGAACTTCCCCGGCAATTGCCGACATCGAGCACGGAAGTCGTGCGTTGAATTTGTGGCGCTCGACGGCTTGCCTCTGCCCATCGTCCTCGCGCTGGACTCGGAGCTCTCTATGTCACCTTAAAGCTTTCGGACACCTATGATACACCGGGAAGTATGGACGTTATCATCTTTTCTATATCTCTTCGCTCTTCAAGCTCTCGACGGCCTACACGATACTCAGAGTTTAGCAGGGCGATTCTGCCCCCGTTGGCTGCAAGAAGGACCGTTACCTTCAGCATCGCTGCATAATTGTATTTTATTATTACCTTGTAAGTGTCTTTTGATGATTAGAGGGAGGTCTGACTCACTAACTTTTCAGCTATTCCTGACCTTCATTGTCGTCATTCCAACAACGACGCTGCTGTCTTTCTCAAAATGTATCTGTTCCCAGTATCATCACTTTCGATGACGGAAGTCATGACTATCTTCTTGCGACCGATATCGGTGCTGGGAACTGGAGAACTCGTCAAGGAAAGGCAGATACTCACGGAATTGTCTGCTCTTCACCGTCGCTGGTAATGCTATTCGACCATCGACAATACGCGTTGAATCCATGGTTAGGACAATTCCGATAACTTTCTTCTCATTTATGTGCGCTTTCTTTGCGACAATGGATGGTTCACGGCGCGGACAATCGCTCAACGCAGTCAGACCGCCAATTTCAGGCTTTCGGTCGCCGTAGAAGACAACCGACAAGCCGTGAACAATGGGGTTCAAAAGGAAGGCGCGCGATGCTGGCTCTCTACACTCGAAGGCCTCGCATAGATCAGCCCAAGCTCGATAGCTAAGCACCATGGAATCCTCTCAGGCGAACTCCTGTAAGTGTCCCGGAATCGTAATTGGCATACTTACTCCTCGAATAGCCGATGCGCCCTTATTTAATGGCATTACTTCACAAGAGCTTGCTTCTCTGCTACAAGACGATGGCCGGCAGACTCCTCTGTTCTTTCAGCAGGAGTTCCTTGATGACACCATGTCGCCTTGGAATACCAGCGATATTGACTGGTCGTCGGTGTACCAAGACATCGCTGCTGCCGCGCCTGGTCTTCGAGCTCTCATCGCCCAGATGGAGTACGATGTGCATGGTGACACTATCCAAGACGTTGTTGGTGCGTGCGGTGGCGCAGTGCCTTACCAATTTCTAAGACTTCTTACGCAGTGTCACCCTCGGTTCAAGGCAGCACCTCCTCGGAAGGTACGTGGATTCTGACGGTATAGGTCTCTCCATGCTACCATTTTCCATTAGTCGTTGCTTTCGTCAACTTGAGCGAGTTCACCATCTTCGGTCCCTTCCCAGTGGAGGGACGGGACTATTCGGTATATGTGGCGGCGTACACCCATTACCTCCCCGAGCCGTTCCTCGCCGCAGATGCACTGGCAGCCAGAGGAGGAGCGATAGCGCGTCTAACAGTGTCCACGCTCGCACGACGTATAGCTGCAGACGCGCGGCGCAGCAACAACTGCACGCTCTTCCACCTTTGTCCAATCTGCGAGGAGATGCTCACGCGGAAGTCAACTCTCAAAGGCCAGTCTCCTCTCGCGCTTAAGCTGTGTGTCTGCTGACAGACAGCGCGTCGCAGGTCACCTTAAAGCACACGAGAACAAGAAAGAATTCCTGTGCGACAAGCCGGGCTGTAAGGACAGGTTCAACACGAAGGCGTTACTCCGGAGTCACCTCAGGCATCGACATGGTGGCGCGTAGATCATCTGCTGCCCTAGCATGTATATGCGGACTGCTGCCCATCGGTGTTGCCTCTTACTTCCAGGTTCAGCACCGTCCTTTTTTGAATCAGTCCGAACTTATGTGCGCTACCATGCTTGCTATCATTTGTTAACTCGTACTGTCCGCCTTCTATCGGGCCATTTTCTGTGCTGTAGCTATACTACTCCTTGTAAGCTTATCTCCTCCGTGTAAAATGCCATATCCTTATAGCCCCGCACGGCCGCAAAGTTCAACTTCGCCTTGCTCGGCGGTTGCCGCAAGCCCGATGCTGACTTTGTGGCGTTCCGTGACTTGCCTCTGCCCGTCGCACTCATGTTGGTATTCGAGGAGGACAACGCTGACGAGCAATTTCTTACTCCTTGGTAATGCGCTGAAGATGTGTTCATCCACTCTGAAATCATGCCAGTGATGCTTGAGGTGCTACTCGAGTGGCTTTGAAAGACTTAGCCTGGACTGAGGCTCCTCAGCCCCTCATGAACGAATCGCTCCTAACCGCAGCTCCCCGCACAGTCACTATGCGAAAACCCAACGCGCTGTTTTCTAGAGCTCATTTCATCTCTTGTCGGGCTGTCGTTCGTTGCGAATCTTACGGCGGGTCTTCGAGCTTGTCGGGGTCCAGCAACGATGCGCCCTCGCCATTCACCATCGGCGAAGGTCTCCGGCGTATCTACGCGAGTTGTTGTCCTTTTTCTGGTACGTACTGCAGCTCTCAACTCTCGGTGACTGCAGTACGAGAACCAGAGCCGAGAGGGATTCTCCTCAGACGACAAGCAATTGTCCTGCATTGTCGACTCTCGGTTGACCGTCGTTGGTATTGTAGAGTGACTGTGCGTACTATCTACGAGAAGGGGAGATAAACTGACTGTCTACCCATAGATACGCTCCTCGGCGCGCTCGTTGCGTGACGGAGTGGCGAGAAAGACGAGATCAAACAAGCGGTCAAGGTTGCCAACGTCTGGATGTCGGTCACCGTCTATGGTGCGGACTACGATCAGCAAATGTCGGAAGCTATGTTATAAAACATTGCTCGGCGCTTGCTCTTCTAACACAGATTCAACCCAAGTTCTTTTCCTCCACCCCTACGCGCTCAAAGCACTCAATATGCCCACATTCACCGCATCGACCACTTGTGAGTGTATAGTCACTTTGCTTTCAACATCGTTTGACCTCCGGTCAGCAACGCAGCTCCCATTGCTAGGCGTAACTCTGGCCGAGCTCGCTGCACGTCTGCTCGAAGATCGTCCACGCACGCCAGAATACATGCGGGCGGAATACCTTGATCAAGTCATGTCGCCTTGGAACTTCGATTTCTCGTCGAACATCGCATTGCCTTCGCGCGCGCTATGCGATCTGGTCGCCGACACCCCGATTGAGCCCGATGGTGACATTATTCAGGCCATTATTCACGCTGGTGGTACGCGTGATTGCGTCGAGCTGCACATACACTGCTAACACCGAGTCCAGTTCAAGCTGTCGACGACCCAGACGGTGCGTGATATAAATCACTCTCTCACTGATTGGTCTGATTGACGGCTGCAGTCATCGCTGGCGTCGACTTGAACGAAGTCTGCGTGTATGGACCATTCTCAGTGGCAGGGCTTGAGGAACCGATCCTGCTAGCGATGTACTCTCAGCCGCTACCCGTGTCGACTCTACCTGAGGATGTCAGTCGTGCGGCTGCCAGTGCTGCATCTGCCTTCCAGCCGTCAGAGATAGAAATTAGGTCCGCGCGACAGGCGATTTGGGACGCGGGACGCGATCAGAACTGCAAGCTCGTCCATCTCTGTCCCATTTGCGAGAAGACGTATACCCGCAAGTCGTCCCTTAAAGGTCAGTTGTCATGATAAGTTTGCGCGCTAGACTCATTTAGAATCGCCTTCTTTCTAACAACGATCTACTGGGAGCAGATCATCTCCGAACCCACGCAAACAAATGCGAGTACGTGTGCGACGGACCAAACGGCTGTGGTGCCAGGCGAAACACAAAGCACTACCTGCTCAGTCACCAGAAGCATTGCCACCATGGTGCACATGTCGTGACCAGCCAAGAGGTGCGCAGACACAGATACTAGTCGTCCTGTACTGAACTACTATCATCCTTTTAGCATGAGCATTGATGAGCGCGAACCCCGTCTATGTATTTGTCATTCTCATAACTGTCTCATTGAGCTCTCTGTAGCTGTATGATACCTTGTAGCATACCTGCATACTGCATAATGAGTTATACGTTCTATTCGCTGGACTCATACTCGCACGAAGTTGAACTTTATGGTCGGCGGCAATTGCCGACTGCCCGAAATGTGGCGTCCGCCTGCTTACTTCTTTCTGTCATCGCCCATGCCTTCGACCCTAACGTGCTCGGTAGATCCCCTTCGCCCAACGCATGCGGTACGTTCCATGTGCTCTAATGGGGTACTCATTCGTCTGAGAGGTGTTCATCGTCCTCGGCCTAAGTAAGTACAGAAATCGAAAGAGGGCTGCCGCATTATTACCTCCTCCAGCTCGCAGCGTGCCCCTTTGCTCCCTCGCTCGGCGCATATCATGACTACGAGTTGTTTCTGAAGATGGAGCCATGGACAGCGATCGGCAACGAGGATATTGCCTCCGTTTAGAACAAATACTTCCGTCGTCACGCGCGGCAGACCTCAGTCCCCTACCACATCGCCATCGCTCAGCGAGCTTTCTGTTGACTATACGAGCTCGTCGACCAACCCGCCTTTATCCAAAATGACTTCGCTACGAGGAGATGAACACGCTAGGTGCGTTAACGCTTCGACTGGTCAGATTGGCGGGCTATTGACGGCTGGACAGCCCGGACAGTGGATAATACAATGCCCCTCGCCTCGAAGGGCAGCCAGCGGAGGTTACGACTGACGGCCTCAGCCGGCGTACCCCCTTCCCCGACGACTCCTCTGCAAGCAACGCAAGCTTCCTCAGCAACACGCCCTCGCTCTGCGATTCGTCCTTCTCATCAAATGCGTCTTCCTACTTCGGCGACTCGCTCTCTCTGAATGGTCTTTCCGTCAATGGCTCGAAGTCAAACCTGTCATTTAACGTCAGTAACTCTGCGTACGATTCTATGTACCCCGAAGCCGGCTCTGACAGGCGCAAATCCTATCCCGCGGGCGATCCCTTGGGGAAACCCGATCTCCCATCCGGGTACCGTAGGTGTGTGTTCTTTACCCTTATATCTTCTGAAGATGCTTTAGCTGCTCTCTACAGCTACTCGTTCGACAGAACCACCTTCGCCATCTCGGGCGTAGACCATTCCGCTTCAAACTCTCATCATTCCGCCGTTCAGTCATCTGCGACTCTTTCCTTCCCTCGTCCGCCCCTCTCCTCTGATAACACGGAGGACTTCCTCCCCGCAGATTGGCAGCAAGCCCAGCGCAAGGCTGACGCACTATGCGACGAGCTCCACCGCGAACAGGCTGCCTGCGACGTCGCCAAGGCTACCTACGCACGCGAGCGCGCCGACCGCCGCCAGAACTTCGTCCACCGCATGAACCAAACCTATGAAGCCAGGGAAGCCCCGCTTGCCGCCACACACCGCAACAACCTCGCCGTCATCCGCGCCGCGCACGAGCGTCGGCAGAAGAAGCTGCGCGACGCTGTCGAGAAGCGGAATGAGATCATTCGCGTCGCCGATGAGTTCGTCGCGCGCCCGCACTGTCGGCTACCACCCCAGATCGAGGGCTTGGTGAACGCGTTTCTGGGCGGCCCGCTTCGTCAGCAGCTGCTGAAGAGGATCACAGAAGACGAGGAGGTCTTGAAGAAGGGCGACGATGCGGAGAGCAAACAGAAAGAGGATCTGGAGAGCGCGTACAAAGCCGCTATCAATGCGCGCAGACTCATGTTCGTGCAGCGGGAGTTGAAGCATGGGATGACGTTCTTCAACGAGGAGGAGGCGGATCTGGACAGCGCGTATAGGGAGATGTTGCGGATGCGGGAAGGGGCGTTGGAAGCGAGGAAGAAGCGCATCCGCGGGGAGCTAGAGGCGTATGTGGATGGCCTGAAGGAGAGTGGGCGGGGCAACGAGCCGACTTACTTGGGTTTGCTGGAGAGTCTGGGTCGACTTCATGAGGTGCGTAAAGACATCGTACCCCGCTGTGCTGTCTCAGGTCGTACTGACGCCACCATTGCAGGCCCTGTCCGAGCGGAAGGAAAGCATGATCACGCTTAACATCGATGGATTGTCGGCGCCGACGCAAGCTGGCGTCGTGGGTGCCCAAGCTTCGAGCGCGCAGATTCCTGTTGACCCTCAGCTGGAGGATATCTGGAAGTCGACGCAATCCGGTTCGGCTTCTGACAAGCGGAGCGGCCTTCAGCGTCCATCTGGTAAGGAGAATCATGGTGCGGGTACCTCTGCCCCGATGGCTGTTTCCCATGTGAGCCGCCTCTTCCTGGTTTCCCAACCAGTTGCTCAGACAACTTGCAGGTCGGGGCCTCAAAAGACGATATGGCCATGGACGTGTGCGGTTCCGACTCCGACGTGGAGATAGGTGAGCTTTCTTTGTCTATCTGGCTAAATGTGAAGACTAGGATCTCATGCCTTGCGCGCAGTTGACTCCGTCCAGGCGGCTCAAAAGCGCCGTCGTGCACTGGAAGATCTCTCGGACAATGGTCGCAGACGGAATCCAGGCCGTCGAGCCGCGCCACGCGTCCGCGGACGCTATGTAGAGCCACCGATGGATGGATGACTCCCTAGAGTCGAGAACGGCGTACTAAGAGAGCGTCCTTGTTTTCGGCTTCCTACAGTTCCGTTCGGGTTCGCTGTGTAGTAGCGTCTTTCCTGGGTGTGTGTAGTCCTTCATCGGTTGAGAAGTGTAATCTCGTAGCAAAACTGTCCCGATGTGACCATTCGAAGGAGATCAAGCGCGTCGCAGATTGCAGCAAACTATATCACAGAAATAAGATACCTATGCGAAGGAGAAAAGAGTTCTCTGTACTACATCGTCGGCCGAAAGAAGATGCTGAACGCTACTCGGAGACGTTCTGGGCATCCTCTTCAGCGGCTTTGTAGGAGGCCATCTCAGCTTCCACAGCGCGATCGATCCTCCATCCGACGCAAGGCCGGCATTCGCAGGTAGCACGAATCTCCTCGATGTTGGGAAGAGGCTCAGACTTCGGCGTAGGCGTATCTGCCGGGGACGAGTCAGTGAAGGAACTTTGCCACGAGGAAGCTGGCGCACTCTCGAAATCAGCAAGATCCCATTTCGGCACGGGCTTGCGTCGGATACTGTTCGTGCGGACAGGCTTTGGTCGAGAAGGGTCATCGGGTTCGACCTTTGCCGCATCTAGGAACCCAGCAGCCTTCCGGATGGCAAGAACATCTTGATACTCGTACTCGGCGGTCCGGGCGATGCAAGGAGGGCAATAGCAGGTCTCAACCATCCTTCTCATCCAGTCAACTGTCTCTGATGTGACAGAATGAGCGAGGGGATCTCTGTTACGGGTGATGGAGTGGCGTACCCACGGATACCACTGAATCATAGTCTGGCACCGGCTTGCGCCTGATGCTGTGCGTTCTGACGGGCTTGGGCTCTGGTGGCATGTCGGATGGCTCGGAGGGGCTGCAGGGCAATGTGATGAGCGAACAGAGCTGGATAGAAACAGAAGTGCCCTTACCTCGACATGACCGGCAGATGGGGTGGCACTGTAAGAAAGGCAAAGTGGGAGTTCAAAGCGACGAATATACAGGACCACCCACGCTCTTTTATATATACCCCCTGGTCATAAACATCGGAGTCTGAAGGTCAATACTAACGGCGACATAGCGCAGCCGATAACAATGGCTGGTCTTGTTCGCCTCACGCGGGCTGCATGTCGTGCGTCACAAAGGGTCACCATGTGGCAACAAAGGCTTTGTGTTAGATGTGCGTGATGATATACCTATGCTTCGGCACACTGCGGTGGCAAAGGCCCTTGTTAGCGCCACAAATCTCGCGGACTCCCCAATTCGCGCGTAGAGGGGGTGGAGAAGATCTTGAATAGCGGCGATATTGCGCGCTGTGGCAAGAGAAGCCACTGTCCGGGGTCCAGGCTGACAAATCGATCTCTAAGGGCGGTACATATCACAACGGGTTGAATTTGAAAGGTAAGTTGAATTAGAAGAAAGCCTGCTGGAGAAAATGAGCATCTCCCGGGGTCACTCCCACGTTGGCCGTCGAGAAGAGGTCAAGAGCGACATCCGTGCTCGAATAGGATTGTCCCAGCAAGTCTTGCGCGTCCCCAAGGACCGCGGACTCGCTAGGCCTTCGCGAGCCGCCGTTGTTTATGTCGTCGCGACCAGAAATTTCCTCATCTTGTGTTATCTGGAGTCCGCCGGGCCAAGGACTGGGAACGCCCGAATCCCTGCGACTCAGCACGAGTTGCTGCTGAGCATACAGGTCGTCCATCTTCGCCTTGACAGGGAAAAGCGCGCCCGACCGGTCCACCCATGCGAACCCGTCGAGCTTGATGATGGTGGCCATTCTACGGCATCGAGAATCAGTATCTCGTGCACGAACATCCACTGGTAGAGCGCACCTTTCGAGCATCTTGTACCTCTCCAGCGGCGATATGTCCGTTGGATCGCACTCATCGACGGTCAGCTTTATCCACGCCGCCCAGCGAGAGCACTGCAGGTGCGTCATGTAGGTGATACCCGGTAGGTCCCGCGTCCGTTCCATCGCTTGGGAGAGGGCCTGCAAAGCCATGACCCGCACCTTGCGGTGCAGCGAGCCGATGCGCTCGCGAGCCTGGCTTGCTGTATCCGGGTAGCATCCACCTGCGCTGTTAGGGTCACTTTGAGGAACCTCAATCGACCCCTCGGCAAGACGCCGCTTCAGGTCCTTGTGAAGCGGCACCAGCAGGCTGGGCACCGCGAGTCCAGTGACGAATAAGCCGTTCGCCAATGCGGGTCTAACCCAGCCGCGCTGGGCTTTGGGTATGGCCGCCTCGATGCAGTTGTGAAGAATACTACAGATACTCTGGAGCGCTTCGACGGCAGATATATGGTTGAAAAGCACGGCCTCATCCAGTGGAAAGCGCCGAGCGTGAGCTGAAGATTCACTTCAGCCTTTTGAATGCGAAATCATGATCTAAGCCACTCACGCCCGATAAGTCTTTCGGAACTCTGACGTGCTAAGTGGATGACGTGTGTCAAGACTAAAAAGCGACTCCTCAGTCTGCAGGCCATTGAGTAAAGCCAGTCAAAGCATACAAGGATATATGAATTCGCCGATGGTTTGGACGGTGACCGGCTGATTCGTTAGGTTGAAGGTCGCGCTTTTGATGTCAAGGGGGGCTGGCCCACAAATAAGGCGCTCATCGTGTTCGGAGCTAGGAGATATTAGCTGAAATCTCTGCAATGTAACAGGGACCCACAAGGGAATTGAACGGCCAGCGCTCAGAGATAGGAAGGCACAGTTCATCTGAGCGTAACGTTAGTCGGGCGAGGAATGAGACGCGGACAGAGAGATATCTCACTAGATGGATTGGCCAATGCAAGCGCCGAAAAACGGGCGTGAAGAGCGCGTTATGGTCCTCTGACTCGGATAGCCTTCGTACGTGTGTGATCATCATAGTCGTCCAGGTCAGTGGACATGGATCCGAGTTGGTTGCTGTTGAATACGATCAGAAAGGTCCAGAATGAAGAATACGTACGCACAGGACTCGAGGAAGTCGAGAAGGTAACACGCTGCCGCGGTCTCCTCCGAGGAGATAACAGATACACCCGTGCTGAACGCGACTTTGCATGCCTCGTCGTATAGGTCCCTGCAAAAAGCATTGCGATTACGCCCGAGCTCACGTAGATCCAAGCCTGGCGTGATAGCCAAGTTTCCAGAGGAGAGAAACTGCAAGACTAGCGCGTCGGTCACATCCGCGCCTATGAACATAGGATGCGTGGAGATGCGCGCGGTCACTGCCATGACGCAATACGCAAGTACGCGCGCATGGGCGTCCAGGCGCGAAAGATCCCACTCGTAAGCCTCGAGCGTGTCGCATAACCGTCGGTACGGGCCGACGAATAGAAGCGACTGGGGCACCATAGGGAAGACTGAAAGGACAGTCAGTTTGTTCCTTCGGGACGCGTAAGAGGCTTCTGACGCGCACGCTTGATCAACTCCTCAATAAGAGGTAGAGGAATAGGGTGGGCATCTCGCCAGGAAAGGAGAGCCGAAGGCGATGACGCCGCCGAAGATCCAGAGGCACTGCCACAACCGCTCATTCCCTCCGGGCGCGACGAGTTGGCGAAGTGTATTGAAGTAGAGGCGGCCGCCAGGGAGGCAGCTTCGTCTGCCTCGATTTGCTCGCGGGTCCTTCGCTTGCGTCGCACGGTCGGCGTCGTCGTGCACCTGGAGCCTCATGAGTATTGATGATACCGCGTTGCAGTAAGAGCAGAGTGGACTTACTCAACCCCCTTTTCTATGCATCTAGGACAGGACTTGCCATCTGGCTGTGGGTGACATATTACACGACGCGCCTTGCAGTAGTCGCATGCCGGCGGCTTCTTCCTCCTCCTCACGGTGGCCGCCGCGTGAGCAGCGTTTTTCGAGACGTTCTGCGCCATATCGGAAGTGTTAGATGGCGACGAACTCGAGTCAAGATCGGCGGGAGACTGCAGAGTCGAAGGTGTGTCGCTCATGACTGTAAGAGGGAAGATATACAAGTTGGGGACGGAAGCCAGTGGAAGCGTCGGGTTCAGGATGGGTCGTAGTGAGATCGCATAAGAAACATTGCCAGATAAAACAGTGAATCTGATGATAGAACAAGCCAGATGATGAAGTATGACTTTCAAGACACAGGGGAGAACAACACAGGATATGCCTCAAGCACCCGTGTTTCACCCACGTTGAAGGCGGAGAAAAGGAACGAACGTGACTCACCGTCACAGCTGTCACAAAAGTTCAACCGTGGGCGTTGATGTGAAAGCACTTCACTACAGCCAACGACATCGAAGTCGTAAAATACCGAGCTCTTGTCCATTTCTTAGGCTGACCTTTACTGAGTCATCCAAAATATCGTTCCAGTGAGCCAGGACACTCCGACCATTGGCTTTTCGTGGCTTTTACAATCGTCTTGTCGCCTTGATTTGCCTCACTTATGCCCTTCTTCCATCTATGATAGATTCATTACATTCTCCACCAATCCTGAAGCCGAAGTCCCACGATGATCACCGTGATCAGCACCTCGGGCTCTCCGCGGTCCGTCACGTGCTCGCTAATCACCATTGTTCGCCCATTCCAACACATCGGTCTCCTTTTTCGCCGACAGGGTCGGGGATTCGCCTTGACTCATAGCGCCTCGAAAGGTCAGGCGTCTTGAGAGTATGCATGCGCAGCATGTCAATATCTGGATTGTGACGCGTTTCTAGAGTAACTGGGCCCAAGCAGCGCTTGATCGAGCATTTGGCTCTCGGACTCCAGCATCCCTCCCATGCTAGTCGTCCCGGATGGATTTAAAGAGTGACTCGCACTGGATCCCGAGGGGTAGTTATGCAGGGTAGGACTGTAAGCAGGACGACCCTCGTACACGGCGCTCGGCGCTGGCGACCGTCCGAACGTCGCATGGCCGCGTTCGTACGCCGCCCCGTTACGCGCCTTTCCTGTATAACTGAGCCACGTACTGGAGACCCCAGGATGCTTGCGATGAAGCGCGAGTTGCTGCTGCCCCTCAAGACGCGTCATGGCCTCCTTGATATAGTTGACCGTCCCGAAGCGCTCCACCCATGCGAACCCGTCAATTCGCATAATCGTGACGATCCTTTACAGGCGGTGTTAGCCCTCGTATCCCGCATCTCACCGCGTATGGACTAGGTAAAAGGTAAAGCGCACCTATCAAGCATCTTGTACCTCTCCAGCGGCGTCATATCCATCGGCTCGCACTCCTCCGCGGCAAGCTCGATCCACGAGATCCAGCGCGAGCACTGCAGGTGCGTCATGTACGTGATGCTCGGCAGGTCGCGCGTGCGCTCCGTGACCTGCGCCACGCCATTAATGGCCAAGGCGCGCACCTTCCAGTGCAGCGCGCGGATGCGTTTCGCTGCGTCGGAGGCGTATTGCCCGCCACCCTGCCCAGGTCCGCCACCATCGCCGCCAAAGCCCGTCTGCAGGGTCGGGATAGACCCCTCTGCGAGCCGGCGCTTGAGCGCTCTGTGAAGGGGTACGAGGATGCTCGGCACGGCGACCGAAGTGACGAAGAGGCCATTCGCCAGTGCGGCCGGAACCCAGCCGCGTTTGGCTCGGGGGATGATGGTCTCGACGCAATCGTGGAGGAGATCGCAGGCGCGCTGCAGGCATTCGACGTCGGAGACGTGGGCAACGAGGGCCGCCTCGTTCAATGGGAAGCGTCGGGCATAGGCTGGTAGTTGGGCTGAATATAGCATGAAGCAAACAATAGATGAAGTCACTCACGTCCAACGAGGCCCTCAGAGCTTTCACGTGCTAGGCGTATAGCATGGCTCAAGTCTGACGAAGGTGTGAGGGCACTAAAATGGGAAGAAGATGAGATCGCAGACGTACAAGGGTATATAAACTCCCCGATGGCTTGTAGGGTGATTGGTCCATGGGAAAGGGTGATCGTCGCGGCTTCTAGGGCGTCAGGAGCCGGTCCACATATAAGGCGCTCGTCATGTTCGGTACTAGAAGATCGTGAGCCACAGAACTTCCAAGCAGTATTCTGAACTCACAAGGGGAACGAACGGCCGAAGCACAGACATATAAGTGCGCAGTTCAGCTAAATCAACGTCGGTGTCAGCGGGATTCGAAGCCAGTCGCGCGGAATAGCTCACAAGCTGTATTGGCCAATGCAGGCGCCGATAGCTGTCACGGAAAAGGTCATGGTGGTCGTCGGACTCGGCGACCCTCCGAACATGCCACATCATCAAAGCTGTCCAGGTCAACGAGCAGTCGTACGGAGTTGTCGCTAGCAAGACGTCATGAGCAGAGATTGGAGTAGATCAAGCCGGCTTACAAGACTCGAGGAAATCGAGAATGTAGTACGCCGCCGCGCTCTCCTCCGTTGGCACCATCGAAACTCCCGTCTCTGTCGCCAGACGGCATGCCTCGTCGTACAAACGCTTACACTGAGCATCTCGCGCGCGCCCGAGCCCGCGTAGGTCCAACCCCGGCGTGACCGCCAAGTTTCCAGAAGCGAGAAACCGTAGAACGCGTGGGTCGGACACATCCGTGCCGATAAGCATGGGATGCGTGGAGATGCGCGCGGTCAGAGCTAAGATACAGGACGCAAGGAAGTGTGTTGGAGCGTCTAGCAGCGCCAGATCCCACCCGCAATTCTCGAGCTTGGAGCAGAGTCGGCGGTACGGGATGCTGAAAAGCAGCGACTGTGGGACGGTAGGAAAGACTTGCACAGTATCAGCAGATGCAAAGAAGACAGAGGTAGGGAGACATACGCTTGATCAGTTCTGTGACGAGCGGTCCTGGTAGCGGATTGGCATCTCGCCAGGAGAGGATAGCCTGAGCTGCGAAGCTCGATAGAGCGGGACCTGTTGTCGCGATGGCGACTGCAGGACGGCTTTGTGGTGATCCGCCGAAAGGCACGCTAGACGGTGATGACTTCGCGCACGGCACACGAGATTGAGCGTTTCGTTCTCTTTCTTCCTGGATCTCCTTGCGGGTCCTCCGCCTGCGTCGGACGGTAGGCGTCGTGATGCATCTAGAGCGCAGTCAGTATCGGCGAGATCGCGTGCTCTGAGAACTACGGAGACTGACGTGACATCCTTCTCCTCGCATCTTGGACAAGGCTTGCCGTCTGGCTGAGGATGGCAGATAACACGACGCGCCTTGCAATAGTCGCATGCGGGCAGCTTTTTCCTCTTCATACTAGAGGTGTCTTCGGCTAGTTTTGACGCCGGGGAAGAGGTCTCAGAGAAAGTAAGGTTGGGAGAATGTTCGACAACGGAGTGAGAAGAGGGTTCGCGGTCGAACGCTGAGGGTGCGTCGGTCATAATGGACGATAGGCAGTTATTCGAGGAGATGAAAGCGGATGCCAGGGGCAAAGCTGGCCATCGCGGTGCTGTATAAGAGCCATCACCACCGACAGCCAGTCACAGAGGTTCGTTTCGAGAGAACCTGGGGTATTAATGACGTTGGGGTCGGAGGAAAGGGAGATATGTGACTGATGGTCACTGGTGTCACGCAAGTTCAACTCTTTCTTGACCGACTTGGGTAACATTATTTGTGAGATGCGAGGGCATACCAGCACCCAAGGAGAGCTCTAAATGGATTCATTATGCTCCTTCTGTTGCTATAAACTAATATACAAGCTGTGATTGTTTTCGACAGTCTTGATGCCTTTCTTTCCTGATTTCCTTGAGTTGTTGTCCTTCTCGGCCTACTCGGGCTGCTCAGCCCATGACCTTGTGCTTTCGGAAGCTTTCCGGGTACTCTGAGCTCCCTGCCAACGTTTGGAAGCCACTCGAGACCCAAGATGAACACCAGGGATCAGCACCTCGGACCCTTCGCATCGGGCCACGAGTTGTTTTGCGCCCCCGATCCACATTTCCCTGCCAATCACAAGCTCGAAGGCGAAGGACACGACGCGAATAGGCCCCACACGCCCTTCGACCATCTTCACCGAGGACATCGGGATCAAGGGTGGCCGTGGGTTGCCCTGGTCCATGATCCCGATGCGACGATCTTGGCAAGCTACCCTTCCCCGCCTGGCGTACGCGCAGGTATGAGATACTTCCCGAGCTCGTCTCAGTCGTTGAAGAGAGCAATGACGCAATAGCATAGACTTCTTACTCGTTCATCGATATATTAACAACCCTTCGCCTGCACTTTAGATATCACTGCGAGGTAGGTAGTTCTGTACTACAGTCCGTACATATATAGGTTCCGTATAACAAGAGGCTAGCTATAGCGCCTCCCAGATGTCCATAAGTAAGAGGAAGAAGAGCAGAAGACAAGTATCTAGGTAGAAAGAAAGTCAAAGAAAGTTCGACTGGAGCAGCGCTTGCTCCAGCATACGACTGTCCGAGTCCAGCATGTTACCGATACCAGTGGTCGACGAGAAGTCGGGCGAGATGCGAGCGCCGGACAGAGAATTGCTACTTCCCATCGACATGTTCCAAGCGGTGTCATAGAGGTCGTCATTGCCGTGCAGATCCCCGAAGGCGTTGTCGCTGAACGCCGTGCCACCGCCACCACCGCTTCCCAAGTCGAGGTCATCAGCCCAGGCGCGCGGCGTGAAGTGCGGTACGAGCTGCTGCTGGGCCTGCAGGAGGTTCATCTCGCCCTCGACCCTCGCCAGGCTCCCCGAGCGGTCCACCCACGCAAAGCCGTCGAGCTTGATGATCGCGCACATCCTACACGAGCGTCACCTATCAGTCCCATGCGTCTCAAGACCAGCAAGTCGCTCACCTCTCCAAACACTCAAACCGTTCCAGCGGCGGGATATCCGCCGGATCACACTCCTCCACGAACAGATCTATCCACGCCGCAAACCTCGAGCACTGCAGATGCGTCATATACATCAAGCTCGGCAGATCCCGCGCCCGCCTCGTCGCCTGCGCCACCGCATGCAGCGCCATCGAGCGCACCTGGCGGTGCAGCAGCTCGATGCGCTCGTGCGTCCGACTCGTCGTGTCCACGGAGAGCTCGCCTATCCCATCCGTCCCGCGGTGCATGGTGGTGATCGACCCCTCGGCGAGGCGACGCTTGAGCTCCTTGTGGAGGGGGACCAGGAGGCTGGGGACGGCGAGGCCGGTGATGAAGAGCCCGTTGGCGAGGGCGGGTCGGACCCAGTCGCGCTTGGCGCGGGGGATGGCGTATTCGATGCAGTCGTGGAGGAAGACGCATGTCTTCTGCAGCGCTTCGACGGCGGCGAGGTGGCTAATGAGCGTGGCCTCGTTCAAGGGGAAGCGCTTGGCGTAAGCTGGGGATCGCGTGAAATACTGACTACGAGGAAGTTACGGAGGAGAACCTACGTCCGATGACGTTCTCAGAGCTCTGCCGGGCGAGGTGGATGACATGGCTCAAGACTGGATAGCAGGTCAGCACGATGTTGTGAGAGGCGGTCGAAGATAGCGTACAAGGATATATAAACTCCCCGATGGCCTGACCGGTCACTGGCTGGTTGGCGAGAGTCAAGGTGGCCGTTTCTATGTCCACAGGAGCAGAGCCACAGATGAGGCGCTCGTCGTGTTCGGTGCTAGATCCAATTAACGTCTAGCTCGCGAGGATCATAGCTTGACAACTCACAAGGGAATGGAGCGGCCTGAACAAAGGGCCAAAAGAGCGCAGTTCAGCTAGTCGATCCGTCAGCGACATTATCGTCCCTCGAAATAGGTGGACTCACAAGCTGAATCGGCCAATGCAAGCGTCGATAGTTGACGCTGAACATCTCCTCATGCTCCTCGTCCTCCGCGAGTCCTCGGATATGCCACATCATAGCCGACGTCCATGTCAGCGGGTTGTCGAAGCAATCGGTGGCTGATCCAAATTCGTCACTACTGCCCAGTCCACAAGCGAAGAAACCGACATACAAGACTCAAGGAAGTCCAACAAATAACACGACGCCGCATTCTCCTCCGATGTCACCATCGTGATGCCCGTCTCGAACGCAGCCTGACAGGCTTCGTCCTGCAGTCGCCTGCATATCGTGTCTCGCCTCCGCCCGAGCTGGCGCAGGTCCAACCCGGGCGTGATCATCAGGTTCCCGGACGACAGGAAGTCGACGAGTTGCCCGTCCTCCACGTCCGCGCCGACGATCAGGGGGTTGGTGGACGCGCGCGCGGTCACGGCCATGATGGCCTGTGCGAGGACGCGCATGTGCGTGTCGAGGCGGGATAGGTCCCACTCGCAGGCCTCGAGCTGGTCGTGAAGGCGGCGGTAGGGTATGATGGGGAGTTGGCATTGTGGCAGGAAGGGGAAGACTGCAGATCCGTGAGTATGAAGTTGGACGGTCATGTTATGGGTACGTACGCTTTATGAGCTCCTCGACGAGTGGGCAAGGCAGCGGATGGGCATCGCGCCAGGAGAGGACAGCATTGTTTGTTTTGAAAGCAGGTGGTTTCGGTGGAGGTGGCGCAGGGGCCGGAGGGCTCTTCTCGGCGCTCTTCTTGCTTGCTCCTGATCCGCTCGCAGAGGAGCTAGAGTTCTGGGACGGAGTAGTCGAAGGTGCGGGGGGCGCGGGAGCGGGGGCGGGAGCAGGAGCAGCTTCGTCAGCATCATCCGCTCGTCTTCTCGGCTTTCTCCTCACGACTGGTGTCGTCGTACATCTACAGCCCGATCAGTACCTCCAGATCGCGCTAAGCAGAGACGATACTGACGTGACTTCCTTCTCCACGCATCTTGGACAAGGCTTTCCATCTGGCTGGGGGTGGCAGATAACTCGGCGGGCCTTGCAGTAATCGCACGCGGGCGGCTTCTTGCGTTTACGAACCCCCGAGGTACTTGAGGAGGCATTATTCCTGAGCGACATGGGCGCCATGATGAGCGGGGCCAAGGGAGGCGCGGCAATAGACAGGAGGCTGCAAAGGATCGACCGGGTCAAAGGCTAAAGGTGCCTCGGTGATGATAGATGGGAGGAAGATGCGAGGGAGTCGAGGTGAGCGTTGGGGTCAACGTCGGCTTCGCCGTGGGGTTACATAAGGGCTCGCGCGCGGCCCCGCCATTGGTCATCAGACGGAAATCAATCACAGAGGCTCTGTCGCTGGGGGCGGGCATACGACGAAGAGATTGAGCTCAAGCACTTGCGTCGCCCGGTTCTCCGTGAAGCTGCAACGAGCCCGTCGAGGGCGGACGCCATCATGCATCAGACGCGATGCGACTGATGGTCACGGTTCGCCACGAGTAACTATGCCTCTTTCGACCGTTTCTTCCTGCGCTCATGCTGAGTGAGCCTCTTGGCGGCGCCTCAAGCTTCAAGCACCGTAGAGGACGGGCTGTGCGCTCTGCGCAACGTAGACGGCTCTGCGCCCGCTTACCCTGCGTTATCTGGTCTTAATATTATCTCGGGCGCCGAACGGCTTCTGGCGACCTTGCTGAGGATTCTAGTATGCTGCCGTCGCTCCTCAGGATCTTCATTCTTTGGGACTCAATTGATACACGGGATTTCCTGTGTTTGGGTCGCACGGTGATCGTCAATGATCAGCGCCTCGAAGCCGTCCATCTACCCGCTCCTAATCCTTGTCTTTGCAAGCTCTGAAGGCCCTCTTCACTTGTCCAGAGTCTATAACTTCCACTAAACATCAGGGTACCCGACACAGTTGCGCAAAAGGCCTCTTCAGCAAAGAGGGCTGCTCGCTGACCTCTGTGCAACACAACCCCTCCAAGCACTCCAATTTCAAACGGAAATCTCAGCCCGATGCCTCCTCCGCCGTGTCACAGATTGCCTTTCCCAACTCGTCGCGCCCCGACGCCCAATCGCTGCATGCCTGGCCCTTTGTCTCCAGCGTTCAATGAATTGTCGCAAAACCACGAAGCCGCAGAACCCGCCGGCTACGCACGTGGAGCGGCGGTGGATGATACACGTGTGGTGTCCCCTTCATTCGACACAAGCGATGACTTTGCTCGAGACATCGTTTACTGGAGACACCCGACGCGACGCAGTCTCCGGCTCTCCGACATGGAAAGTCATTCGCCAAGTATGTGTTACTTTGGTTGCAAGTTCAACCGTGACGTCACGGTCGCGCATGACCCCGTGCGTGACAAACGCGGCCAAACAAAGGCACCGCGCGGTTGAACCTAGCGGTCACCAAGAACAACTTGGACGCTTCCGGAAAACAATGATACGCGCGAAAATACACTCGAACTGCGGACGATACTCCTCGTGCCGTGAAACCCCGTCGGGCTTCGGACAAAGCCCCTCAGAATGCAGACAAAGCCATAGAAGGCAATTGATGGCGGCGCACCATGCTCACGGTCTATGGCCATGGCCATGGCCATGAGCACGCCTCACGTCCACGCGTGGGCTTTGGGCTGTCTTAATAAGGGTGACCCTCGATAATCGCCTCTCGTCCTCATCTTCCCACACGACTGACTGGCCACCGACGCGTCGCTCGCCCCTGACTATTCAGCCACTCGCCAATGTCTACCACGTCGTGAGTCCTGTTCATCTGCACTTTGCTCCTCCGAGACTGATAACATTTCTCAGCTCCCCTACCTCCAGCCCACCCGTGTCGACGGCGAGTCGGGCCATGACGCCGCCCTGGCAGCCACTTCGTCTCGAGGATGCGTGGAAGGCGCTGCCGTTTGCGGATGTCGACGAGCTCCCGCGCTCGGGCGCCACCGATGATGAGGCCACCAAACGCACGTCTGAGGAAGCTATCCAAGTCGATGCCAACGAAAGGCGTGTGCGCTTTGGCGTGGACACGGTCGCTGAGTATTCTGTGCAAGTGCCCGATGTCGCTGCTGAAGGTGCGGAGTTTCCCGACGCCTCTACTGAGATTGCCATGTTTACGCACCGCCTAGAAGAAGACGTGCTTCGGTTCGCACCGATGGACATCGACGAGCCCGCGGTCAAGGTCGACGCTAAGAGCGCCAAGAAAGCCATACTATCGACAGATGTGGCCGCCCTTACCTCCAAGCCCTCGCACCCACACACGGCCTCCGGCGCGCTCAAGAACCCCATCTTGGAGCCCGAAGAACACACCTTCAAGCCCAAGAAAAAGAAGACCCGCCCCGTCTCCCTCTCCAACCCGCCGCTCCTCGACTACATGTGCCGCTGCGACGACTGCGCGGCGAGGCGCGCGGAGTTCCTGCAGACGATCGGGCGGCGCACGGTGCGCTGGGACGAGTGGCCGTGGTACATGGTTGGGGACGGGTATGGGACGTGGTATGAGGAGGAGGTGACGGATAGTGAAGGCGAAGAGGAGGCGTAGGAAGGAGGAAAAGGCTCTAGCGAGAGATTTCTGTACGAAGGACCGACTGGCTAATTACTCGACTATGTATTCTCTCAATGGCCGTGTACTACGAGGGCGCGCTCGCTCAGAGCTCGGCAGCTGCCGAAGTCGAACAGCAGCACTCCGGCCCGCGTACGGTCAAGACACCGACCACGTGCCGTGGACCTTTTCGCTGATGTTTGACTGGGAATCATACGCTCCTCCCGCGTCGATGAGCAGGTCAAGGGCTTGTGTAACTCCAATCGCAATGATAGATCCAGACATACCTGGAGAAGATACTTTCGTCGCTGTAAGATACTTACGTTGCTGTCGAACACTCAGCCGAACGAAACAATAGCTCCATATTCTGCTCAAGTCCTCGGTCCGGCAGTCGTTCTGCAACCTTCTCTGGCAGGACCAGGCCTTTCAAGCTTAAGAAGGAAGACGATTGATACCGGGGCATAGACGGCTTCCTTCTTACCTCCTGTTGAGCACGCTGGTGCTCCACTTTTTTTTGTTCGCTGTCGTCCGCCATCCTCGACTAACTTTCCGATGAAGCTCTACATAGTTGCGAAGGCTTGGGCAGCAAGTGAGTAGTTTTTCTTGACGACGGCATGAATCTCTGTTTGATGACACCTTCCTCAGTCGCTTCTCGCCACAAATCTCGCAGCGGGATCAACAAGCGGCTTCCTGCCCTGCCCAAGCCAGCGATATCTTCCCCCGAGAACTTCGTTCACATTTCGGGCTTCTACTTTCAGAACGCTAGCCTTAGTCGTGAACCGGCACAGCAGCGTCCTGGCGATTATCATGAGCTTGAGCCAGTCCAAGGCGCTGCTTTACAAGCCGCACTGGCATCACCTCGCCCTTCTCGGATGTCGCCTCAAATCATGAAAGACCTTCCATCTCTAGGCGGTTCTTCGGCGAATTTGAATGCTCTGTCAAGTCCCACTCAACCACATTGCATCGAGCGAACGGGTGCGTAGCCAATCTTTTGAGGCGCCAGGTCAACTGATCATACATACACCGCAGACGGCCCATCCGATAATAATGGCGAAGGATTTGGAGGGCGTAACATCGAAGGGAGCATATCGTCGTGCACCTCCGAGACCGCTGTGGCGTCTAGCGCGGAGAGTGGTCCTGGTTTCGCATCAGTAGTAAGCTCCGTCGGTCGATGGGAAGAGGCTGACTTGATCGACTTGTATTCGCCACTCTCCCCTGTCCCTGAGAGCGATTCTGGAGAGTCACGCTCGGCGACTCCCTCACTCTCAGCTTCGCCCACCACCACCGCACCTCAAGTCAATACAGAAACCATCCTTGGTGATCCCAACTCCGGTGATGGCCTGATCGTAGAGAATCTATCTACCACCGTCCCGCCAATCATGGCGTCACTCACCGCCGAGGATAGAGACGCTCTCACGTCCTATCTGGCAGAGGCCGACGACGATCGCAACCATGTCGAATTCCTGGCGACCCTCTCGCAGCCGCGCGCTGATGATCCGGTTCCTCGTCTGGCTATCAACGAGGAAGGGCGTGCAGCTCGTCCACCCTTCACGTCGGGGACTTTGGAGGCTCCTTTGCGCCTACGTAGCTCGAGTGCTATCACCAGTGCCGGAATGCTCCTCTTCGCGTTTGGCGCGGGCGACGAGGCCCAGTCGCAGTCAGTAGAAGAAGCTCTCGCGGCCTTCGAGGCGTTTCTGGGTCAGAACCTGGCGGCTGATCAGCTGGACCTTGTACTCGCACCCGGCGCTCCTTTACCTGCTGACTTCCTTGCTCGAGCAATAGGGAGGGCCCACGTCAACCTCGCGCGTTTTACCCGCGTTACCGTCCACCTACAATCCGCTGCGGCGCAGGCGCAGGCACCGTGGACTTGGCCTCTGAAGTCACGACTGATAGACGTTCAATTGAACGGCAATGCGCGCGGGGCCGTTTTTCCCTGGGCCCAACTCCAGGTACTTCGCATCAGCGCGGCGGTGAAAGCCGTAGAAACCGCCGCCTTTTTGGTCAATCTCCCCCAGCTGCGCGTCCTGTCGCTTTCCCTGGGGTTCGTGGGCCCTAAGAAGACTAAGTATAAGAGGACCAGGCTGCCTCGACTCGAGAAGCTGGAACTTCAGGCGAAGGTAGACCCTGCGGTATTCCTCCGTCGCGTGCACTTGCCTGCGTTGCGTGTTTTGGGCCTGCATCTCGACATTGCACCGCAGGGTGGCGGAGATAAGGTCGACTACGGGGACCGTCTTCTCAAGTGTAGTATACTCTGGAACGCGCTCCAAGACGTTCAGCTCAGCGGGCCCTCCGTCGGACCCACGACGCTCTTCCTTCTTCACCGACTTTTCGATAACGAAGACCCCGCCATCCAGACCCGGTGCCGCCTGAGTCGCGGTCAGTAATGAGACTACTTAATTCATTGATTATTCTGTAATATATAAATTGTCCACCGCAGATATTACTACAGCGGCGAGGTTACGTGTATATACCTTGACGAGTCGAAAAAGAGAATTCCAAACCGAAAGTCCGAGCGCCCTACATCGCAGCGCCCCTTGCAAAGTCCGGTAAAGACGGGAGTGATAGCACATACATACGATTCTAGATTTGTAGCTCGCAGTCGAAGGGTTAGGGCAAGCGTTAGGAGGGACCGAAGTTCATGGGGATGCTGGATTGGAGGAGGGCTTGCTCGAGCATTTGCGAGTCTTCGAGCAACCCTGGCATCCCAGCGGGCGCGCCAGGGAAGTCGGGCGTGATGCTCGCGCCGGGAAGGGTAGGGGCGTGATTATTTATGGACAGATTCCATGCGCCGTCGTAGACGTGGCTGTCGCTGGGCGGTCGATCATTCCGAGGTCCATCGGCTTGCATGGCACCGAAGGCGGAATCGTCGTACGCCGCCGGATTTCCCGTCATAGCTAGATCGTCTTGCCAGCCGTTGGGGACGTCGGGGCGGTTGTAGTGGGGTACGAGCTGCTGCTGCGCCTGCAGGAGAGCCATCTCCGCTTCGACGGCAGGCAGGCTCCCCGAACGATCGACCCAAGCAAATCCATCGAGTCGAAGGATATCGCACAGCCTGTACCCATGGTCAATACGTGCATCTACGTCCAACGGCCGACCACGCACCTCTCCAACGTCGCATACCGCTCTCCGATCGAAATCTCGTCCCCATCGCACTCCTCGAGAAGCATATGCGTCCACGACGCGAAGCGCGAGCAGTGCAGGTGCGTCAGGTATGGCAGGCTCGGCAGGTCGCGCGCCCGCTTCGTCACCGACGCGATCGCATGCAGAGCCATCGCCCTGACCTGCCGGTGCAGCAGCTCGATGCGGTGGCGCGTGCGGTCCGTCGTGTCCAGGGAATACTCCCCGATACCATCGGTGCCGCGGTGGAGGACGGACACCGACCCTTCGGCAAGGCGGCGCCTGAGCTCACGGTGCAAGGGGACAAGGAGGCTCGGCATGGCGAGGCCTGTGATGAAGTAGCCGTTGGCGAGCGCCGGACGCACCCAGTCCTGACGGACGCGGGGTATAGCGAATTCTATGCAATCGTGGAGGAAGACGCAGGTCTTCTGCAACGCTTCGACGGCGGAAATATGGTTGATGAGCGCGGCTTCGTTTAGGGGGAAGCGCTTAGCGTAAGCTGGAGAAGATGAGGAAAGGGATTTTTCATGTTGAGCAGATGCGACGCACGGCCAATGATGCTTTCCGAGCTTTGTCGAGCTAGCTGAATGACATGGTGCAGGACTATCGATCGGCTTAGTACGATCGGACAGGAAGCGTAGGAGATTGACGCACAAGGGTAGAGGAATGCGCCGATATTCTTTCCTGTCACAGGGCCGTTGGCTAGACTAAAGGTCGCCGCCTCTATATTCGGCGGAGCCGGTCCGCATAGTAGACGCTCGTCGTGTTCGGTACTGCCGCCAATCAGTTGACCATCGAGAGTATATCCAAGCAGACTCACAAAGGGATCGATCGACCTGCGCAAAGCGCGAGGAGGGCGACGTTCATCTGGAAAGGATTAAGCAAGCTACTTAGACAGGCGAGACCGATAAGACCTAGGGACAATCCCAACTCACGAGCTGAACGGGCCAGTGCAGGCGGCGGAAATTGACGCCAAACAGCTCAGCGTACTCCTCGGACTCTGCAAGCGATCGCATCTGCCAGGTCATCGCGGCAGTCCAGGTCGTCGGGTTGTCGTATTGGTTCGTAGCTGCGCTAGCGTGAGTAAATCGCTGGGAAGGATTGGAGTTGAGAGGACGTACAAGACTCCAGAAAATCCAGCAGATAAAGAGACGCTGCATTCTCCTCAGAAGCCATCATCATGATACCCGCCTCATGCGCGAGCTGACACGCCTCTTCGTGCAGTCTCCTACAAATCGGGTCTCGTCTGCGCCCGAGCTCGCGCAGGTCCAAGCCCGGCGTCATCATCAGGTTCCCGGACGAGAGAAAGCCCGCGAGCTGCGCGTCGCTCACGTCGGCGCCGACGAGCGCGGGATGCGTCGACACGCGCGAGGTCACGGCCATGATGCATTGCGCCAGCACGCGCGACTGCACGTCCAGCTGCACTGGGTCCCACCCGCATGCCTCGAGTTTGTCGTATATTCGTCGGTACGGGACGATGGGCAGCTGCGATTGTGGCACAAAGGGGAAGACTGGGGAGAGGGTGAGCACATAAAGGGCGGACTGAGCCACGATACGCACGCTTCATAAGCTCCTGGACGAGCGGCGGGGGCAGCGGATTGTGAGTATCACGCCACGCGAGGACGGCATTGTTCGTTGAGGTGGACGCTGACGCGGCTGGTGGCGCTTTCGCAGGTGGCGTACCGCTCTTATCACGACTCTTCGCGCGAGCTCGTGCTGAAGAAGAGGTGCTCGGGGACGAGTGAGCAGCGGCGGATGGCGCAGGCGCCGATGCCGCCTGATCAGAGTCCCCCTCGGTACGTCGCTTCGGCTTGCGCCGCACGACTGGCGTGGTTGTGCATCTGCCATTTAGTGAGTATACATGTTCTCGCGCTATTCAAGGCAAGAAGAGACTGACGTGACCTCCTTCTCGACGCATCTTGGACAAGGCTTGCCGTCTGGCTGGGGATGGCATATAACTCGACGCGCCTTGCAGTAGTCGCATGCCGGCGGCTTCTTTTTCTTTTTCACCGCCGAGGTACTTTGAACCGTATTTTTGAACGTGACTGGAGCCATTTGGGGACCGAGCGCGGGGGACGGTGATAGGTGGGTGCCAGGAGAGATCTACCGGGTCAAAAGGTGCCTCGGTGGTGATGATTGAGAGCAAGATTGGCGCGGGGGGCGGGGTGGCACGATGGGTGTCGAGGACAAAATGCAGAAACAAGTCGAGCTAGGGATCTGACATAAGAGGTCTCTCCGCGACCAGGCATTGGTCATCGGACGGAGAAATCAATCAAAAAGGCTCTGTCTCTGGGGAACGGACATAAAGCAGAGAAGATAGAGCTCATGCACTCCCATCTCCTGGAAAATCGGCATCCATCCCGTGCAGACGGTAGTCTTCCGAGTTTCAAATCAACGTGACTAATGGTCACGTATATCACATCCCCTTGTCCCTGCTTCACTTCCACCATGCTCTCCTGACCAAGCTACACCTCCTGCCTTTTGTTTGGCCAGCTAGTCGGAAGCGCGCATCGTTACCCTGCTCCTTTTGACCCTCACACACTCGCACTAAATTTGCTCGATTTCACTCCTATTTTCCCGCGCTCTCTAACCGCGGAGCATCAACCGTATTCAAGCAGCCTATGGCGACTCTCCGGATCATCTACATGACGCTCCAGCTGTGCCCCTAAGCCTTCGTTGAAAGGAACATGGTGACTCACGATTTCTGTCAGTGTTTGGTTCTCACGGTGATCGCCATGATTTGCGCCTCTGCCACTCTCCGTCGTCGACTTTCCAGATTCCACCTCCTACCCTCCTCACTAGATCCAGCAGCTCCTCTCCTCTCTGCCTCAGAACGAGCGACTTTCCCTCTCAATTTTGCATCCTCTCGGTCAAGCTTCGCCTACGCGAACTTCAATTCACTCGCCAAGTCTCACGTCGGGTTCGGTTACCCGCTACATTCAGCAATGTAACGTACTGCTTCTTTCAACCAGTCGCAGGCTCGCATGCCCAGAACGATCAATGCTATCTCCCTGTCTTGACGGCATCGCAGCAGAGGAGCGCCCAAGAAGCAGAGCTCGAGCCACCCGCAGGGGTCCCCCGCTGATGGACGTGCGCGGAGAGCTGATCGGCGCGCGCTGCAGGCTGATGAGCGCAAGACGAGCGTGCGCTGTGGAGACGGGCGAAGAGCTCTGGTGATCGGTATTGACGACGAGCGCGCCGTCCGGGCGCCGTCGACCATGGAGATGGGGAAGTCTGGGGCATGTGTGCGTCGTTTTCGAAGTGTTTCCGCCTCGAGGTCCGTTGAGCAGCCGCAGGGCCGCGTAGACTCGCGGCGCGAGTCCAATCTCCTCCGATCGCCCATTTTTGCTGCCTTCATATCCACCCCTGTGACTTCATTCTGCCACTGCAGCAAGCCCCGAGTCGGGACGCTCGCGAACATGAGTCACTCCCCCTTCCCCCTGCCCTCACCTTCTGTCCTTACGCAGCCTCGTCTCTCCCGCCATCGTCTTAGTCTTGGCTCGCTGCTACCGTCGCATCGACATCAAGTTCGTCGTCTTCAGCAACATGAACGTCGGTATTGCCGTATCGGACCGTACCGACGTTGAGCGCGGATCAACTGCGTGGCTATCACGTGCAATTACGTCGCGCTCCGCGTGGAACTGTGACTAGACGGTGACCGTGGTAGACGTAACAAGGCGCGCCGAATTTGACCGTTGAGAGAGTGCAAGATTTGGGGCACTGTCGTACTCTCCAGCTCTACATTCATGTCCGCTTTACAGACGAGATATAACAGGTATGTAACAGAACTCCATAGCCAAAGTTCCATAAGAGGTCGGTAGGCTACGGAAGCACTCCGTTAGCTCATAGTGAAGTCAAGGTGAGTGTCTGCTTGCAAGAAGCTCTGTCCTAGCATCTGAGGATCGTCCACCATCCCCGGTGTCGTGCCAGGAACGATCGCCTGACCCAGGAAATCCTCCGGGGGCACTAGAGAGGTATGGTCGTCGCCCATGGGCATTTCCCACATGTCCCCAAAAGCGTCCTCATCACCGAGCGCTGCGGTCTCGTTTCCAAGCGCCTGGTCTTCGAGCGCGCCGTCGACCAACATTTCGTCCGCCCAAGCATCGGGACGCCAAGAATGAGGCACAAAGTGGTGTTGCGCTTGTAGGTAGGCCATCTCCGATTCGACAAGGGATATGGCCCCGGACCTCTCCACCCAGGCGAAGCCGTCGAGCTTGAAGAGGTCGGCTATTCTGTACCATCGCCAGTCAGTACCTCACGTCATACACACAGCACGCTCGCTCTTCGAGAAAAAAAACTCACCGCTCCAGCGTCTCATACCGCTCCAGGGGCGAAATATCGCACCCCTCGCTCTCGTCGACGAGCATCTGCAGCCACTCCTCGAAGCGCGTGTTCTGCAGGTGCGTCATGTACGGCAGACTCGGAAGGTCCCGCGCACGCCTCGTCGCCTCGACCACAGCGCGGAGGGCCAGAGCCCGCACCTGGCGCTGCAGGAGCTCGAGACGGCGACGCGCATAGTCCGTCGAGGGAAGGGCGTGTCCTATTCCGGTCATACTGCTGAGTCCGCCCACGCCGTCGTGACCTCCTGTACCAACAGCGTCTCCTCCGCCTCCAGACGAGTCAGCAGCGAGCCGGCGCTTAAGTTCTCGGTGTAGAGGTATAAGTAGCCCGGGCACCGCGAGGCTGGTGATGAACAGCCCATTTGCCAGCGCAGGTCTTGCCCAATTCCGCTTGACCCGCGGGATAGCGGACTCGATGCAGGCGTGGAGGAACACGCAGGTTTTCTGCAGCGCCTCGACGGCGCAGAGGTGACTTGTGAGCATGGCCTCGTCTAAGGGCTGTCGTCGAGCGTAGGCTGTTGGCTAGTCAGATAGCAAGTCATCGGAGGAAGGTCAGAATGACTTACGACCGACAAGATTCTCCGAACTGGAGCGTACGAGCTTGATGACGTGGCTGAGGACTGGGATGGAGTCAAAGTTCTGACACAGAGACGCTGTAAGGAACAGCTCACTGACAGGGATATATAAATTCGCCAATGCTCTTCCCCGTGAGCGGCTCGGTCGCCAAAGTGATTGTTGCAGTTTCAATGTCGATTGGTGGTAGTCCGCATATCAAGCGCTCGTCGTGCTCGGTACTGAGGAGACGTCAGGCGAAAGCCGAGAGTATCCTGGTCAGACTACTCACAAAGGAAGGGAACGACCAGAACCTATAGAAAGGAGAGCGCAGTCAAACTGAAAGCAAAGTCAGTAGCGTGAAGGGAATGACCGTAAAGACTTCGAGACGTACGAGGTGAACCGGCCAATGCAGCCGCCGATAGTTGACGGAGAAGAGGTTGCTGTGGTCCTCTGACTCCGCCAGGGCGCGAACATGCCACATCATTGCGGCGGACCAGGACAACGAGCTGTCGTACGAATGCGTAGCTGGTCCAATACTCAGCTCGCGCGCTTTTTTACAGGGCAGAGAAACAACGTACAAGACTCGAGAAAGTCCAACAGATAGCACGACGCCGCATTCTCCTCCGACGTGTAGATCGTGATGCCCGCCTCGCGCGCGAGCCAACACGCCTCGTCGTGCAGGCCTCTACAGATTGTGTCTCGCCTGCGCCCGAGCTCGCGCAGGTCCAAGCCGGGCGTGATCATCAGGTTACCAGAGGAGAGGAACTCGAGGAGCTGCGTGTCGGTCACGTCCGCGCCGATGAGCATGGGGTGCGTGGATACGCGCGCGGTCACGGCGACGATGCAGTGCGCGAGGACGCAAGAGTGCGCGTCTAGCTGCGAGGGGTTCCATCCGCAGGCCTCTAACTTGTCGTGTATTCGATGGTAGGGTACGATAGGGAGCTGAGATTGAGGCAAGTAAGGGAAAACTTTCGGGACATGAATCCACTGAATGGCTAGAGAGGAAATGAGACCTACCCTTTATGAGCTCTTCGATCAATGGTGCGGGTAGGGGATGCGCATCCCGCCAAGAAAGGACGGGTCCAATCCTCGTACTCTCGCGCGATGACACTGATGCTACGACTGGTGGAGCCTCCGCGTTCTGCTGACCAGCTTGTCTCTGGCTGGCCCCGGAAGAACAGCTCTTGGAAGTTGATGGAGCGGCATCTGCCGCTGCAGTAGGCTCAGTATTGTCCGCATGTCTCCGCTGAGGCTTGCGTCGCACAGTCGGTGTTGTCGTGCATCTGAAGATCAATCAGTATCGGTGCGACCGCGATATTATAAGGGAAGGAGACTAACACGACTTCTTTCTCAACGCATCTTGGACAAGGCTTGCCGTCCGGTTGCGGGTGGCAGATTACACGACGCGCCTTGCAATAGTCGCATGCGGGCGGTTTCTTCCTCTTCGTGACCGCTGAGGTTTGGGTTGGATCTTTGGACATGGCTGGGGGCATACGAGGGACGAAAAGACGTCTGTTCAGTAGCACGACGCGTCTGGCGACTCAAAGGCGCCTTGGCGATGATGGAAGTTCGGACGAAGATGAGAGGCAATATAGCCGCAGGCGTGGAAAAACAGAATATGCAGGCCGCTGGCGTTTATGACGGTTCTTTCCACGACTAGCCATCGTTATTATCAATCAAAAGGCTCGTCTCTGCGAAACGGAGGCAATACAGAACGCGAAGGTCATGCAGGTGCAACTGTATGATACGGCGATGATTTCCCGTGAATGTCGGCGGTAGCCTGCAAAGGAGCTCTTCACACGCATCACTGCTTTCTCACGTATAGGTGGGTACTGGTACGTTGATCTCCGCTAGTGCTTGGCCATGGATCTCAGAGCCGAGGAGGACGGGAGGGCGTTCGGATGTACTTCGTCTTATTTCTCCTCAGTGGCGGACCCACAGCCTTCGAAGTATCGCGCGTATCTCGTCAGTGCGCGCCAACCGCGACGATTAACGGCGACCGGCGACCCGACACTGGTCAGGACTCCATACTGCCTCAGCCGCGCTTGTTACAGTCTTTGTTCGTCCCAAAGGGGTTGTATGGACTCACGATCCATGTCAGTATCCGACTCCCACGGTGATTGTCGACGCGATGTCGACATCGTCTCAACGCGCGCCACCCTCCCATCGCTCGCCAAGGTGTTGGAACTTAAGGACTGCTACGACCTTCGGAGAAAGCTGCAGGGATCAGCCAATCCTATGGAATGACAGGCTGCCTACCACCACCAAACGACGGAGAGTTCATCCCGCCAAACCCAGCCATTGCGCAATCGCCTGTACCGCCACCTACAACGAGTTGCACATCTAGGACAAGTGGCGGCAAGATGACCGCCTCGATACGCGTACCCCAGCACTCAGGCGCTCACGAAGTACGCAAGACATCCAATGTGCCCGCTGCCGATGGGAGCTTTGGCGTCGCGCCAAGCGTAATCGGCGACGAGATTCAGAGCGCCGTTGACGAGTTGAGCACCCTCATACACAAGGCCAGGTCGTACTCTGGCCCTGGCCCATCGAGGCGAACGAGAAGTCGGTCGAACGGTTACTCCAAGATCTGTAGAATTGAAAAAAAAGCAGTCTTCGTCCGAATAGTCCATCCAGTCTACATCCTCGCCCTTCTCGTACTTGCCTTCGTTGCATTCCATCCTTCACCTCTTGCACTATACCATCATACTATCATGCATCGTCTTCGTCCTCTCATTCTTGCACCTCCACGTAGTTAGCTGCGAGACAGTCAGCTACCTGTCTCTAACCACAACTTCACGAAACTCACCCGGGAACAGCCCCACGTTACCCGCCGCGTCCTTACCCTGCCACCAGTCATCCGACGCAGCCTCAATCTCCACAATCTTGTCTCCCTCTCGGAAGGTGAGCTCGTTGTCCTCCGCGGCGTCATAGCTGGAGATGTAGCAAGTCAGATCCCAAGGGTTTGTCGAACAATGGGACCAGGGAGACGTACTCGTATAACGCAATCGCAACGACACCCTCATCCGTCGCCGGCTCTGGCTCCGGCTCCGGCGTCGGCGGGCGCGGCGGCGCCGCAGGGGCAGCGGGAGGGGGCTACAAAACCCATATCAGCCCTCCGCAGCCAAACTGGCGACCCATCGATGTACTCACCGGTGGCGGCGGAGGAGGCGGCGGTGGCGGGGGCGGAGCTGCCGCCTCAGGCTCAGGCTCAGCAGCGCCAGGCGGCGTCGCTTCCACAATCTCCACATAGTTCGCCGGGAACATGCCAGTCTTGCCTCCGGGCCCGATGCCGCTCCACCAGCCCTCGTCGAGCTCCTCGATCTGCTGGACGAGCTCGCCCTCGAGGAGGCTCATCTCGTTATCCTCGGTGGCCTATGAGGGGTGAGCGTTAGTGAGAGAGTGCGCATGAATCAAGGGGATAAGCAAACCTCGTAGTCGTACAGCACGACTGCGCAAATGCCCTCGCCGACGTATTGACCAGCCGGCGCGGCGGGCTCGGGCTCTGCTTCTGCCTCCGGCTCGGGAGCAGGCTCGGGCTCTGCAACTGATAGAGCAGCCATCTACGTGGGCAACAACGTCAGTTTGACGCTACACATAAGAATGGCTCCTCATACCTGAGCCACAGGAGGCGGGGGCGGAGGAGGTGGCGGCGGAGGCGGCGGGGGTGGAGCAGCCGCCTCGAACTGAGGCTCGGGCTCCAGGGCCGCCGGCGCAGGTGGGGGAGGCGGGGGAGGAGGCGGAGGGGGAGGCTGAAAAATTGTGTAGTCAATATCGTAGAAGTACCATATCGAACAGTGTAAACTCACCGCAGCCACCTCGGGCTCTGGCTCCCAGTCCTGCTCCTCAGGCTCCGGCTCCGGCTCCGGCTCATGATGCGCCGCGACCGCCGCCGCAGCACCCACACCCGCACCCACAGCCGCCGCCCCTCCAACTGCCGCCGCGCCCCACTTTTTAGCAGGGGTCGCGGGCGGGCTGGCACCAACGCTGGCCGCCCTGCTCCTCGCCTCCTCTTCCTCCTGCTGCTTCTTCGCCTGCGCCTGTCTTTCACTCCACGTCAGTTTACCGGGGGCGCGACCAGCAGGAGTAGGCGGCGGCGGCACGGACTTGGCTTCCTCCTCGAACTTGGCGAAGGGGTTCTTAAGCTTCTTGGGCGCCGGAAGATGTACAGGAGTGTAGGCGGTGCCGACGGGCGCGATGCGATCCTCGGGGTCGGGCTTCGTGGGCGCAGTGGCGGACACGACCGGCGGGGGCGAACGAGGCGCGGCAGGCGGTGGCTAAGGAAGGAGTGTCAGCTCATGGTAGAACATGTGAGGGGTATTGACACTTACCGTAGCAGCACTGAACGCAGGCCTCGAAGCCGACGCGGGCGACGCGCTGAACGCGGGCCTTGGTGATGCAGCCGCGGGGGAAGCGGCGCTGAATGCAGGGCGCGTGGCGCTGGCTGGGCTTGGCGCCGCACTGAACGCCGGACGCGACGCAGTCGCAGGGCTCGCGCCACTGAACGCCGGCCTGGCTGCCCCGGCACCCGCGCTAAACGCCGGGCGAGACGTAGCAGGCGGAGGAGGGGGTGCAGCAGCTGCAGGAGGCGCCTTTGGCTTATCCTCAGGCCAAGCCCCTTCAGGCGCGGACCCAGTCTTCTGCTGCCCTGCCGCGGCAGGGCGGCCGTATAACGATGCCGCTCCCGCAGGCCGGGCAGTGGTGGGGAGGGATGGCTTGCCAGCAGGAGCGGGCGGTGGCGCTGCTTTCATGGCTGCGATATCCGGGCGGCCGACGGGCTTGTAGGACGACCCGACAGGCGCGATGGGCTCAAACTTGCGCGGGGCCTCCTTATGAGAGGAGTACTTCGCTCCGGAAGCAGCTTCAACACGCTGCATTATGAGGGAAGGTGCGACATCGGACTAGAGGAGGATGCAAGTCAGATGGGAAGTAGATGGGTGAAGATGGATGCTGTTGCGCACCTCATTGCGAGCTTGCAGGACGACATGCGCGCCGCGGAGGAAGCGCGATACGGCGTTCGAGTGCGTGTGGAAGAGTCCCTTCTTGACCTCGGGCACGCCATCTCCGCACCAGTTGATCTGTACGAACTTGGGGAGCTGGCTCTGCTGGGGTGTGAGTCGAAGCTCGCGATTGGGGATATGATACGCACGTTGGGATCCACGACGCGGGCGAACGCGTATTGTATCCTAGAGAGTTGTCAGCACCACGCTCAGATTGAGTCCTCGCCGCCGTCGCACGCCTTCCTACACTCATCGCGCGTCCATCCCGCCCTTCATCTCTGCTTCTGCGCGCTGATGACGACGATACGCCAACTCACCTTCCATCCGAGAACTCCTCCTCCAGCTCCTCCAGTCCCCCGCTCCCCGTGCTCTGCACCTTCAGATCATTCGTGCCCTTCTCATACGTGAACAGCGCCCAGTCGATGCCATTCGCGTTCAGGACGTCGTTGTACGCCTTCGCGATGTCCTGGCTGGACAGATTTACTTGGAGCGACATCCGCGTGGGTGTCGCTGGGGGTGATAACGAGTTAGAGAGCTGACTATGAGTACTTTCTAGATGACTGCAGGAAAGAAAAGCGATGTACCGTTCAGTTCAAGGCTGCGCCAGGGCACGTCGGCAGGTCACATGACGCCACCATTCCGGTCGCGCCGGGTTTTCCTGGGCATGGCTCAAAGGTTTCTACCCCGTACATACAGCTACACGACGAGTCGCCTATCTACGCATCCACGTCCCACATCCGCGTCGGTGCCGAGCGTGGTTGTTCGCCCGACGTTGCGCTGTGCGTCGGTCGGCAAGTCCCGTCGCCGCATCGTCGGCCCGACTTTCCGCGCGCCATCCCGCCTTGTTCTCAACCACCGTCCCCTCCTCGTCCCGCCGCCGCCACCCGCCCCCCCCCCGCCGCGCACCCCCTCATCCTTGGGACCGTTCGGCATTTCCCGAAACGCCCGTTTTTCGCGCGGGCAGGAGCTTCACCTCCCCGGAGCGTCGCGCGAGCGGAGCGAGCGCTTAAGCTCTGGCTTTTTCATTCTAAATCTACCCTACTTTGGCTCTCACACCACTCCCCCCTCACCCCCTCCTTCCCCTCCCCTCCCCTCCCCTCCCCTCCCCCTTTCCTCCCGTGCAGCAGTGGGAGGCGCGGGGGCAGGGGGAGCTCTCGTCAGTACTCACCCACCTTCCACTCGAGCTCTCGTTCTCCATCTGCCCCAGCCCAGTCACTGACGTGTTGGCACTCGTGTGCGGCCCAAGGTGAGTCCCCGCTGGTGTCCTCGTATCACACGATGTAAGCTCGAGGCAATCAATACATGCTTTTGGCACGCACCGTAGGCTTGCTGTTCATGCATCACACTCGATGCAGTCCCGCTCCTCAGGCGAGCACCCTCGAAACGTAGGTCAGCGCTCGAATCGGGGATCAGAGTGAGTCCACGCACCTTGTCAGCGAGCTAATCTCGCCGCCGCTGCCAGCCAAGCTCGCTCGCTCGCACATCTCCTGCTGCTCTCGGGCTCTTGAACTCGATCCGCCTGCTCGCTCGTCTTCTCCGTGCTCGCCAATTCGCTCCCGTCCTTCACTCGCTTCCGCTGTCCTTGAAGGTGCCTCGGTTTTGCAGCAGAAGGTGCTGTACTCGTCGATCTCGTTGTAACTTGTTTCAAAAACAGCTACTGACAGCATTGCCAGATCCGAGAGCGAGCAAAGACAGTGAGACGAGTGAGCAAGGACATGGAGATGGACGGAGCGAGGAAGCTAGGTGATGGGAGAAGGACAAGGTCGAAGCTGTAGAGTGAAGCCAGGAGGTGTGATGGAGTGCACGAGGCAGCCGTGATCGCCGCTGTGGCGTGCAAAGCACTGCACCCTGATGTCGAAGCCATCAATCCAACAAACTGCTTCTTCGGGTATTCGAGTAGCGAGCGGGTATTTCCAAGGAGCGAGCGAGTCGAGACGAGTGATGAGAAGTAGGACGAGAAGTAAGATGAAAAGCTCCGAGGAGACTTGGAGTCTAGGCTACAGGGATGAGAAGAACATAGTGGGAGTACAAAATGCGTAATACAGCCTCAAACGGACAGCACGAACAGCGAGCAACTCAAACAGCTCAGACAGCAGGCACCTCAAACAGCTCCCACGAGCTCACTCGAAAATGCAGCGTGCAAGGCTTCAAAAAATTCGTTCTCTTCAGGAAACGACCCGGCGACGACTGGAAATGAGATTGCAGACACGCCGAGACATCGTACGTGGTGGTCGGGAACAAGTGACGAACGGCGGCGGCGAGATTCGAACTGGCCGGGAAAGCCGCGCCGGTGAGCCGCCGCGCTCGACTCCGGCAAATCGCGGCGGAATCCCTTGTCTCCTACGTCCATCCACTACCACCACCACCACCACCAAGTCGGGTGGCCGACCACCCTAGATACGCATACATATCGCACATACACCACGTACACCCCAGAAATAACAGGAAAACTCAGGTCACGCAGCCGCCGATGAGATCAAAACAACGGCGAGATGAGGGGGAAAGCCCTCGTCTCCGGGCCACCAAATAAGGATGAAAGGATGAGAGACAGGTACGTACGAGATGAGAACACTCACGAGGCAACGAGAACGACGGCGAAGGCCTTCGCAGACATCACTGACGCGGCAGGGAGCCGCTCGAGCCGGCGGGACCAAGCTCGCGAAGAGTGAGTAGGAAGCCCCGACGGCCTGATACAACCCAGACGGACCTGCGAGGAACCCGAGAAGTGGTCTATGTGCCTGTGATGAGGGCGCAGCGGCTTCTGTGCTTGTTCATAGACAATAGCACATCAGCTCAGCCACGCGCGAGTTCCCCCAGCAGCGCACGGCCGCCCAACGCGCGGTCTCGCATTTTCGCGCCATCCACAGCAAGAGTAAGCCATCCCCCTCTCATTCTAGCACTGTGACTGCGCTCCCCAAGCGTCCGAGGACAATGAAAACACGCTTACCGCCATATTGCCAGCAATCGCCTCGGCTCCATCTTCCTCCGCTCGACTGCGATACTCGGGCATCAACTCACCGAAACACGGAAGCACGGAGGCTGCCGGACGGTAGGAAATTTGATGTGGTCGAGGCGGACTCGAGCGTGCCTTTGCGGCTTGGGCTACAAGCGCAAATCCAGCGCTTCACGCGACCATGCTTGCAAAATAGCAGGCCGAGAGTCAACGGCAATGCTTCCGTAAGTAATTCAGGCCTTTCCAATGAATCAGAGGTGCGCACGATGGAGGTCGTCGCACTCTCGCGCTCGTCCCCGCGTGTCGCTGAATGCCTGCCTTTTGCGGCAGGCTGTCCGTTCGGGCGTCCGAGCCTCAACTCAAAAGTCCTCAGACCGAGCAAATGCACGTAGCGTGTATCTAAACGACTCTGCGGCCATATATTAAGAGTCCCGACTTGCTGGTTTTCGGTGAGTACGCCGCAAACGGCTGCAAACGCTTCGCGGCGCATTCCTGACTTGTTCGACCAGCAGCGTATTCACCTCGGCGTCCGGGCACTCAAGACATCCTACCCCTAACCCCTAGGACCCGGAATACTGCCTGTATGCCATCCTTTCCCTCCCCAACATCCGTCTACTCGGTTTGCAAACACCGCTCCTACCGCCCTGCCTCGCCTCCAAACTTCCACTGGCGCGGAGGCGATTCCTCGACACCGATCAATCAGGGTCCCATCATTTGTCACAATCAAACACGCGTCGGCCTGGGCGCCGGCTCCCTGAGATCGAAGAGAAGCGCGGAAGATGGGCCGTTGGGGCTTGGGAGGAGGAGGGGTGGGCGGCAAGGAATATCCGGATGACAGAGGGCCGGAACTGTTTGGCGAGGTGGTGGGGCATCAAGGGGAAGATGTGGCGGTCCTCTGCGAGTCCGTGCGCTTGGTGGATTCGTATAAAGGGCGGGGTGAGTCGACTGCTTTCCTCACTTCCCCTCCCCCCTCTACTTCCCTCCTCTCCTCCCTCCCTCCTCTCTTACTTTACTCGCCTTATTCACTCTCTACTCGCCTCTTTACACCTTCGCAGCCCGCGCTCCTTCTGAATCTTTTGACGAAGCGCTCGCCTTGACTCTCAAGTCATCACTTTGGTCTGTGCTCTCTCGGCATTGATACGCTTTCACTGACGCTTTCTATCCAGTATATGTATCGTCTGTTTACAGTCCTCTACGCCTCGCCGAGCGCGGCTTTTACCACAGGTGAGGTCGCATTCCAGATCAGTTTGCTTATGCTAATCTTGACTTCCTTCGCTTTTGCCTCGATTTCGGGGCGCTTACAGCTGGCCTTCACTCCTTGCTAATACTCCCTCGAGTCCGCTCCTTACTCGCTTCCTGGTAGGGGCATTGGGGCTCGTGCTCAAGTGCTACTGACCACTGGCATCGTGAGTTCAGTGATTCCTTCTCCATTCAAGTGTTCTTCTGATGTCCTTGACCACCCCCTCGACATCATCTCTACTGCAGTGACCTCTCCTGCGACGTGGACTGCGCCGGCTAAGCAACGACGTCGACGCGCGGGGTGAGCGCACGACTTGATTTCAACTCTTTCGACTCGCCACCTGCTTTGCCATCACCGACGTCGTATCCCGTCCCTCTGCTGGCACGCTCACACGGCTCTCTGTGCCGCCGACGCCCAAGCTGACCGCCGTCACCTGTTTCGTAAGCCCATTCAGTTCGTCACGATACGTGTCACTGGCGTCGCTTGATTTCCACCACCACGCCTGCGACCGTGACGTCGACACCGCGATCGTTGGCGAGACTGACCGTGCACGCGAACCGTCCGGAACCCCCCTCGTAAGTCGACATCGGCCCGTTCCATCGCATTACGACTGATCCCCTCGCTCTAGTCGTGATCTCGACTGCGCGTGGCTTCGAGCGACTCGAAGGTCTAGTGGTCGTCCTCGCTTTTCGAGGCCATTGAGGTGAGTATCGACGCGTCGGTCCATTCCCCCGAGACGAAGCTCTTGTCACCTCGCGCTTATGCTCCTACAGCACCCAAAACGGCGAATCCGCGTCCTCGCGCATTCAAATCGGGATTCCACGAGCTGCTGAATTTTGGTAAGCTCGAGTCCCCTTCGTTTTATCGAGCGGTTGCTGACTTCCTCTGACCACCATCAAGTTCTGGAGGTGCCACAGGCCGCTCGCTATACAGCCTCAACCAACACCGAGCCCCTCGACGATCCCTCGAAGCTTTGAGGGCGCTTCGAATAGGTTCTCGGGGTCATTGAGGTGAGTAGACTCTTTTTTGACTTCATTTTCTCTCCTAATTCTGACTCGGGGGCACAGAGCGCGAGTCGTCATTTTATCTCGCATTTTCGGGGACCCCCGAACCGCCGGAGGCATGCGCGCGGCCCCTACGATGATGGATGCGAAACCGCGGTACGCCTTGCTTCTGTTCGCGAAAGCTCTCACGTATCTAATACAGTCATACACCCGTGTTGTAGGGGCACAGCGTGTTGTAGGGGCACAGACAAGGTCTCGCGCGAGACACGCTCGCGGCCGCGAAGCGGCCCGAGCGCACGAATTATCTCTAGGTGACATAACCTGGATCTGCTGTGGTGCCGCCGACACGGCCGGCTGGCACGCGGATTGCACAGAACACGCGAAGAGATGAATCAGGCGACTGACTGACCGGCTGTTCACGAGAAGGCACGTAGATAGGTAAGCCACGATCTCTGTGCCGGACGCGCTCACCTCGCGAACGCCGTCGCAGGTGCGCTATGCGTCCACCACGCCCGCGCCTTGCCACCCCCAAGAACGTTGAGGGAGGGGGAGACCATGCTAGTTCACGGTGAGGCTTGCTACCCGGCCGTCAGATCAATTTGTTGACTGACCGCTTTCCGGTAGGCTATGCGTTTGAAGGCGCTCTTTGTGACTTTGTAGGGAGATTGCATGCTCGTGCGACCGCCATATTCGCCTGTCCCATTCATGATTCAAGTGATGCACCCTCGGCAGTACGTGGTGCTGTTTTGCTGGCTTGACTCGTGCTCATCATTCTCTTTAGTTATTGCATGCTGACCGACCCCATCGAGCGTCACCCGTTCGTCGCACAGACTCCCAACAGCCCACCGCTCATTGTCGAGGCTGTGGTCGAGGTGGGGGGACCGCTAACTCAGTTTTGGCTCGATTATCTCATGCATTCCTCGCAGAGTTGGCGCTCAACGGCGCTTCACCGCAATCTGAATGTTAAGCACGTTGAACTGTAGGTAAATTCTCGCACGATACTGTCTTGTATCGAACGCTGATGCCCTGGATCGTGCAGAATTGCCTTGAGTTCGATTCAACTCAAACTGGACCGCTTTTAGTCTCGGCATGGCCCTCGAGCGAGGGTGTGAGCTCTGTACTCACTAGATTCGTATCCTCCACGCTGGGAGCGATGCTGAGAACACTCTCCCCACGTCCACTGACCGCGCTCTCGGCACATTTTGAGGGACTGTGATTTTCCCACCAAAACTCGAAATCCGTGAGTTGTCGCTTCAGTCCGCGGTTCGGAGTGAGACTGACTGCTTTTCAGGATGACTGAGACGTATCTACGACGGGGACCACCTCTGGCCTCACGCCGAAGGGTATTCCAGACGAGGGAGGGGCTTATGAGCAGTAGAAGCGGTATAGAGTAGACAATTCGGTTGTATCTCGTTCTAGTAGTCGTAAATAACCATGAAACACGAGGCGCGCGTAGTACAGTACTTAGGATACCATACCTCGTCGTCAATACCGCGTGCGACGTCGAGAGATCCATGCCGAGCGCCGCTTCGACCGAGATTCGAGAAAATCACAAGGTGAGCCCTTGTAATTTGTGGCCACAATCTACTCCTTCACTGACTGTTACTAGTACATGTCTAGGTCGTATCCCTCGCGCCGTTGATCGACTCGGCGCTAGAAACCCTCGGGAACGAGGTGAGCACTCGATTTCTTCTGTTTCTCATCGTACACATTCCCCTCCCCTTCGCATCCGATTCCTCTTCGTCCTCACACCCTCGCCATGACACCCCTCGCCGTGTACTTCAATCAACTTGCATTATAGTCTCTATCTACTACATCGTGTGTACTGGTACTTACTCGACAGCCTCCCCCCCTCGTCAACTGCCCTCCCCCATCACCTCCTCCTCCTCCTCGTACTGGCCGCTTCCCGACTCGCCCACCCTCGCAATACCGTCTCCCATCACCCACACACCATCGCCCGCCGCCTACGAGCTCCCTTTCCCCACCTTCGCCCCCTCCTCCTCCTCCTCATCGACTGCCCTCCCCCATCACCCCACCCTCGTCACATCCACTCCCCTTCGACTCCTTCTCCCTCGCACTACCCTCCCCCATCACTCCACTACCTTTCTCAGTCGCCCCGAGTCGCTGTTACTCACCTTCATCACCTTCTCCTTCGTACACATCCCTCCTCCCCCTCTCACCGTGCCGCTCTCGCACCTTTACTGACGACGTCGCAGGTACCCAGACAGCTACGCCGTGTCTTTCACGCGAGTCGCATGGCCCGCGACGAGTGCCGTAGCGGCTCGCGGCTGTCGGATGCGAGGAGAACTCCATCCGGGAGGAGGGAGGGGGGACGGGGTGCGCGTCGACGTGTTGGGTGGGTGCATCCGCGCGTCGAATGCGCTGTGCCGTCGTCGCTCGCGGACGTCGCCGAAGCGCGCGGTTCCTCTTCAGCAGGTGAGTCCGGTCTTCGTGAGGCGGGGGAGGGGGGCGTGCTTTTGAGCATCGCGCAGGCATTTGCGAGCCCGAGAGGTGCGGCGCGGACGCCGTCGAAGTCGCCGTGCAACTCCCTCATCCTTTTCTCACTTCCCCCGCTGACTCGTCCAAGCAGGAGGCGTTGTGGAGGCGGGGAGGCGCGCACTCGAGCACCTTCTCCTCGTCGAAAATGCCCCTTCGCGGCCTTCTCCACGTCGCGGGGAGACACGGCGCGGACGCCGGGGACCTGTCGCGCGCTCGCAAAGGCGCTGGCAATCTTGCCGAGTCGATAGGACGTCGAGAACCTCGCTTACTCGGAGGAGGGGAGGGTGGGGCAAGACGACGGCGGCGGCGGCGGCGAGCTGCGCGTGAGCGAGCCTGTCCTCCGTCTCGTGCTGCGACGACGACGTCCGCGCGCGCACGACATCGTCCGTGCGTTCTTGTCGATCTCGCTACCTCGCTCCCCACCCCTCCACCCGCCGTCGCGCCCCACCTCCTCGCCAGGGTCGCCGGGGGGATCGCCGCCCCTTCCTCCTTTGCCTGCGCCTGGCACTCGCTCCACGTCAGGTTACCGGGCGCGCGACCGGCGGGGACAGGTGGAGGCGGTGCGAACTTGGCGAACGGGTTCTTGAGCTTCTTGGGCGCTGGAAGATGTACGGGGGTGTAGGCGGTGCCGACGGGCGCGATACGGTCCTCGGGGTCAGGCTTGGTGGGCGCGGTAGCGGACGCGACTGGCGGGGGCGAGCGCGGCGCCGCGGGTGGGGGCTGAGGAAGGAGAGTCAGCTCATGGTGGAGCATATAAGGTATTGCGACTTACCGTAGCGGCACTGAACGCAGGCCTCGAAGCCGACGCAGGCGAAGCGCTAAACGCGGGCCTTGGGGACGCAGCCGCGGGCGACGCTGCACTGAACGCAGGGCGCGTCGCGCTGGCTGGGCTTGGCGTCGCACTGAACGCCGGACGTGACGCAGTCGCAGGGCTTGCGGCACTGAACGCCGGCCTGCCTGCCCCGGCTCCAGCGCTGAACGCCGGGCGAGACGTAGCAAGCGGAGGCGGGGGAGGAGCAGCTGCCGCCGGTGCGGTAGCGGGCTTATCCTCCGGCCAAGCCCCCTCAGGCGCGGACCCGGTCTTCTGCTGCCCGGCAGCGGCGGGGCGACCGTAAAGCGATGCCGCTCCCGCAGGTCGGGCAGTGGTCGGGAGAGATGGCTTGCCAGCAGGAGCAGGCGGTGGGGCAGCTTTCATGGCTGCAATGTCCGGGCGGCCGACGGGCTTGTAGGAGGACCCGACAGGCGCGATGGGTTCGAACTTGCGCGGGGCCTCCTTGTGCGAGGAGTACTTCGCTCCGGAGGCGGCTTCGACACGTTGCATAATGAGGGAAGGTGCGACGTCGGACTAGAGGAGGATGCAAGTCAGATGAATTGTAGATGGAGGATGGATGCTGTTGCGCACCTCATTGCGAGCTTGAAGGACGACGTGCGCGCCGCGGAGGAAGCGCGATACGGCGCTTGAGTGGGTGTGGAAGAGACCTTTCTTGACCTCGGGCACGCCGTCTCCGCACCAGTTGATCTGAACGAACTTGGGGAGCTGGCTCTGTCCGGGTCTAAGCAGAGGTTCGCGATTGGGGACATGACACGCACATTGGGATCCACGACGCGGGCGAACGCGTATTGTATCCTAGAGAGTCGTCAGCACCACGCTCAGATCGAGTCCCAGCCGCCATCGCGCGTCCCTCCGTCCTCATCGCGCCCCCATCCCACCCTACATCTCTGCTTCTGCGCGCTGATGACGACGATACGCGCACTCACCTCCCGTCCGAGAACTCCTCCTCCAGCTCCTCCAGTCCCCCGCTCCCCGTGCTCTGCACTTTCAAGTCGTTTGTGCCTTTCTCATACGTGAACAGCGCCCAGTCGATTCCATTCGCGTTCAAGACGTCGTTGTACGCCTTCGCGATGTCCTGGCTGGACAGATTCACTTGGAGCGACATCCGCGTGGGTGTCGCTGGGGGTGGTGAGGAGTTAGATAGCTGACTCCAAGTACTTTCTAGGTGACTGCCGGAAAAGAAAAGCGATGTACCGTTCAGTTCAAGGCTGCGCCAGGGCACGTCGGCAGGTCACATGACGCCACCATTCCGGTCGCCCCGGGTTTTCCTGGGCATGGCTCGAAGGTTTCTACCCCGTACATACAGCTACACGACGAGTCGCCTATCTACGCATCCACGTCCCACATCCGCGTCGGTGCCGAGCGTGGTTGTTCGCCCGACGTTGCGCTGTGCGTCGGTCGGCAAGTCCCGTCGCCGCATCGTCGGCCCGACTTTCCGCCGCCTTGTTCTCAACCACCGTCCCCTCCTCGTCCCGCCGCCGCCACCCGCCCCCCGCCGCGCACCCCCTCATCCTTGGGACCGTTCGGCATTTCCCGAAACGCCCGTTTTTCGCGCGGGCAGGAGCTTCACCTCCCCGGAGCGTCGCGCGAGCGGAGCGAGCGCTTAAGCTCTGGCTTTTTCATTCTAAATCTACCCTACTTTGGCTCTCACACCACTCCCCCCTCACCCCCTCCTTCCCCTCCCCTCCCCTCCCCTCCCCTCCCCCTTTCCTCCCGTGCAGCAGTGGGAGGCGCGGGGGCAGGGGGAGCTCTCGTCAGTACTCACCCACCTTCCACTCGAGCTCTCGTTCTCCATCTGCCCCAGCCCAGTCACTGACGTGTTGGCACTCGTGTGCGGCCCAAGGTGAGTCCCCGCTGGTGTCCTCGTATCACACGATGTAAGCTCGAGGCAATCAATACATGCTTTTGGCACGCACCGTAGGCTTGCTGTTCATGCATCACACTCGATGCAGTCCCGCTCCTCAGGCGAGCACCCTCGAAACGTAGGTCAGCGCTCGAATCGGGGATCAGAGTGAGTCCACGCACCTTGTCAGCGAGCTAATCTCGCCGCCGCTGCCAGCCAAGCTCGCTCGCTCGCACATCTCCTGCTGCTCTCGGGCTCTTGAACTCGATCCGCCTGCTCGCTCGTCTTCTCCGTGCTCGCCAATTCGCTCCCGTCCTTCACTCGCTTCCGCTGTCCTTGAAGGTGCCTCGGTTTTGCAGCAGAAGGTGCTGTACTCGTCGATCTCGTTGTAACTTGTTTCAAAAACAGCTACTGACAGCATTGCCAGATCCGAGAGCGAGCAAAGACAGTGAGACGAGTGAGCAAGGACATGGAGATGGACGGAGCGAGGAAGCTAGGTGATGGGAGAAGGACAAGGTCGAAGCTGTAGAGTGAAGCCAGGAGGTGTGATGGAGTGCACGAGGCAGCCGTGATCGCCGCTGTGGCGTGCAAAGCACTGCACCCTGATGTCGAAGCCATCAATCCAACAAACTGCTTCTTCGGGTATTCGAGTAGCGAGCGGGTATTTCCAAGGAGCGAGCGAGTCGAGACGAGTGATGAGAAGTAGGACGAGAAGTAAGATGAAAAGCTCCGAGGAGACTTGGAGTCTAGGCTACAGGGATGAGAAGAACATAGTGGGAGTACAAAATGCGTAATACAGCCTCAAACGGACAGCACGAACAGCGAGCAACTCAAACAGCTCAGACAGCAGGCACCTCAAACAGCTCCCACGAGCTCACTCGAAAATGCAGCGTGCAAGGCTTCAAAAAATTCGTTCTCTTCAGGAAACGACCCGGCGACGACTGGAAATGAGATTGCAGACACGCCGAGACATCGTACGTGGTGGTCGGGAACAAGTGACGAACGGCGGCGGCGAGATTCGAACTGGCCGGGAAAGCCGCGCCGGTGAGCCGCCGCGCTCGACTCCGGCAAATCGCGGCGGAATCCCTTGTCTCCTACGTCCATCCACTACCACCACCACCACCACCAAGTCGGGTGGCCGACCACCCTAGATACGCATACATATCGCACATACACCACGTACACCCCAGAAATAACAGGAAAACTCAGGTCACGCAGCCGCCGATGAGATCAAAACAACGGCGAGATGAGGGGGAAAGCCCTCGTCTCCGGGCCACCAAATAAGGATGAAAGGATGAGAGACAGGTACGTACGAGATGAGAACACTCACGAGGCAACGAGAACGACGGCGAAGGCCTTCGCAGACATCACTGACGCGGCAGGGAGCCGCTCGAGCCGGCGGGACCAAGCTCGCGAAGAGTGAGTAGGAAGCCCCGACGGCCTGATACAACCCAGACGGACCTGCGAGGAACCCGAGAAGTGGTTCATGTGCCTGTGATGAGGGCGCAGCGGCTTCTGTGCTCGTGCTCAGACAATAGCACATCAGCTCAGCCACGCGCGAGTTCCCCCAGCAGCGCACGGCCGCCCAACGCGCGGTCTCGCATTTTCGCGCCATCTACAGCAAGAGTAAGCCATCCCCCTCTCATTCTAGCACTGTGACTGCGCTCCCCAAGCGTCCGAGGACAATGAAAACACGCTTACCGCCATATTGCCAGCAATCGCCTCGGCTCCATCTTCCTCCGCTCGACTGCGATACTCGGGCATCAACTCACCGAAACACGGAAGCACGGAGGCTGCCGGACGGTAGGAAATTTGATGTGGTCGAGGCGGACTCGAGCGTGTCTTTGCGGCTTGGGCTACAAGCGCAAATCCAGCGCTTCACGCGACCATGCTTGCAAAATAGCAGGCCGAGAGTCAACGGCAATGTTTCCGTAAGTAATTCAGGCCTTTCCAATGAATCAGAAGTGCACACGATGGAGGTCGTCGCACTCTCGCGCTCGTCCCCGCGTGTCGCTGAATGCCTGCCTTTTGCGGCAGGCTGTCCGTTCGGGCGTCCGAGCCTCAACTCAAAAGTCCTCAGACCGAGCAAATGCACGTAGCGTGTATCTAAACGACTCTGCGGCCATATATTAAGAGTCCCGACTTGCTGGTTTTCGGTGAGTACGCCGCAAACGGCTGCAAACGCTTCGCGGCGCATTCCTGACTTCTTCGACTAGCAGCGTCTTCACCTCGGCGTCCGGGCACTCAAGACATCCTACCCCTAGCCCCTAGGACCCGGAATACTGCCTGTATGCCATCCTTTCCCTCCCCAACATCCGTCTACTCGGTTTGCAAACACCGCTCCTACCGCCCTGCCTCGCCTCCAAACTTCCACTGGCGCGGAGGCGATTCCTCGACACCGATCAATCAGGGTCCCATCATTTGTCACAATCAAACACGCGTCGGCCTGGGCGCCGGCTCCCTGAATTCGAAGAGAAGCGCGGAAGATGGGCCGTTGGGGCTTGGGAGGAGGAGGGGTGGGCGGCAAGGAATATCCGGATGACAGAGGGCCGGAACTGTTTGGCGAGGTGGTGGGGCATCAAGGGGAAGATGTGGCGGTCCTCTGCGAGTCCGTGCGCTTGGTGGATTCGTATAAAGGGCGGGGTGAGTCGACTGCTTTCCTCACTTCCCCTCCCCCCTCTACTTCCCTCCTCTCCTCCCTCCCTCCTCTCTTACTTTACTCGCCTTATTCACTCTCTACTCGCCTCTTTACACCTTCGCAGCCCGCGCTCCTTCTGAATCTTTTGACGAAGCACTCGTCTTCGAGCTCACCTTGACCCTTGAGTTATTACTTCGGTCTGTACGCTCGCAGCATCGAGGCGCTTTTACTAACACTTTCTAGAATTTGCATCGTCTGTGTCCCATGCACGACGCCTCGCCGAGCGCGGCTCTTAGCACAGGTGAGATCGCATATATTTCATTGGTTTGCGTCTTTTTGCTGACATTGACTTCATCTACTTTCACCTCGAATTCGTGGCGCTTGCAGGTGAGCTTTACTTCCTATTTTTACTCCCTCAACCTCGCTTCTAACCCCCTCTATGGCAGCGATATTGGGGTCTATGCTCGAGTGCAACTGATCATCGTGAGTTCAGTGACTTCTTTGACTTTTGGGCGTGTCGCTAACGTCCTCAACGACCCCCTCAACATCGTATGTATTGCAGTGATCGCTATTACGCCTTTCGGCGGGGACATTGAGGGCGCCGGCTAGGCGACGACGGCGACGACGACGACGCACGGGGTGAGTCTACGACTTTGATTTCGAATCAGTCGACTCACCCCGTCACCAACGTCAGATCCCGTCCGTCCGCTGGCGCGCTCACATGTTCCTCTGCGTCCTTGACTCCCGCGCCAGCCGCCGCCACTCGTCTCGTAAGGCCATTCAGTTCGTCACAAAACGTGTCACCGAGGTGACTTGCTTCCCACCCCCCACGTCGACGCGAAGGTGAGTAACGACCCGGCGGTTCACTGCCACAAGATGAGGCTTTTGATAACTTGCGCTTACGCTCTCTCAGCAGTTACACACGTCCTCAAATCGGGATTGCACGAGCTGTTGAAAGTTGGTACGCTCCTCATCGTTTTATCGAGCGCTCGCTGACTGCTTCTGTCCACCATCAAGTTCTGGAGGTGCCATAGGCCGCTCGATAGGCGACCTTGACCAACACCGAGCGCTTCGGCGATCCCCTGAAGCTTTGAGGGCGCTTTGAGTAGGTTCTCGGGGTCATTGAGGTGAGTGCATACGATCTCGCCCCCGCCCCCTCACTTGTATCCGAGACATATAAGCGTCTACTGACCGTTTACGCAGCCATCTTGGCGGCACTCAAACCGCCGGAGGCATGCGCGGGATCCCTAGGGCGATCCATGCGAAACTCCGGTACTTTGCAGTCCTCCCTCCTTTCCCCAAAGCGCTGGCTAACGATTGGTTCAGCAGGCCGCTAGCGAAGCCAATCTCGCGACGCCTACGCACTCGAGTAGGTTCTCGGGGTCATTGAGGTGAGCAGACTCCCTTTTGACTTCATTTTCTCTCCTAACTCTGACTCGGGGGCACAGAGCGCGAGTCGTCATTTTATCTCGCATTTTCGGGGACCCTCGAACCGCCGGAGGCATGCGCGCGGCCCCTACGATGATGGATGCGACACCACGGTACGCCTTGCTTCTGTTCGCGGAAGCTCTCACGTATCTAATACAGTCATACAGCCGTGTTGTAGGGGCACAGACAAGGTCTCGCGCGAGACACGGGAGGCCCTCGCGGCCGCGAAGCGGCCCGAGCGCACGGGTTATCTCTAGGTGACATAATCTGGTTCTGGTGCCGCCGACACGGCCGGCTGGCACGCGGGTTGCACAGAGCACGCGAAGAGATGAATTGGGCGACTGACTGACCGGCTGGTCATCGAGAAGGCACGTAGATAGGTAAGCCGCGATCTCTGTGCCGGACGCGCTCACCTCGCGAACGCCGTCGCAGGTGCGCTATGCGTCCACCACGCCCGCGCCTTGCCACCCCCAAGAACGTTGAGGGAGGGGGAGACCATGCTAGTTCACGGTGAGGTTTGCTACCCGGCCGTGAGATCGACTTGTTGACTGACCGCTTGCGAGCAGACCATGTGTTCGAAGGTGCTCTTTGTGGCTCTGCAGGTCGATTACACGGCCGAGCGACCGCCATATTCGCCTGTCCCATCCAGGATTCAAGTGATGCACCCTCGACAGTACGTGGTGCTGTTTTGCTGACTTGACTCGTGCTCATCATTCTCTTTAGTTTTTGCATGCTGTCTGGCCCAATTGGGCGTCGTTTTTGCGTCGCACAGATGCCCGACAGCCCACCGCTTATTGTCGACGCTGTGGTCGAGGTAGGGGGACCGCTATCTCAATCTTGGCTCGATTATCTCATGCATTCCTCGCAGAGTTTGCGCTCAACGGCGCTTCACCGCAATCTGAATGTTAAGCACGTTGAACTCTAGGTAAATTCTCGCACGATACTGTCTTGTATCGAACGCTGATGCCCTGGATCGTGCAGAATTGCCTTGAGTTCGATTCAACTCGAACTGGACCGCTTTTAGTCTCGGCATGGCCCTCGAGCGAGGGTGTGAGCTCTGTACTCACTAGATTCGTATTCTCCACGCTGGGAGCTATGCTGAGAACACTCTCCCCACGTCCACTGACCGCGCTCTCGGCACATTTTGAGGGACTGTGATTTTCCCACCAAAACTCGAAATCCGTGAGTTGTCGCTTCAGTCCGCGGCTCGGAGTGAGACTGACTGCTTGTCAGGATGGCCTCACGCCGAAGGGTATTCCAGACGAGGGAGGGGCTTATGAGCAGTAGAAGCGGTATAGAGTAGACAATTCGGTTTTATCTCGTTCGAGTAGTCGTAAATAACCATGAAACACGAGGAATGCGTAGTACAGTACTTAGGATACCCTACCTCGTCGTCAATACCGCGTGCGACGTCGAGAAATCCATGCCGAGTGCCGCTTCAAGCGAAATGCGAGAAAATCACAAGGTGAGCCCTTGTTATTTGTGGCCACCATCTACTACTTCACTGACTGCTGCTAGCATTTGTCTAGGTCGTATTCTTCGCGTCGTCCATCGATTGGGCGCTTGAAACCCTCAGGGACGAGGTGAGCACCCGATTCCTTGTTCTTCTCATTGTACTTTTCTCCCTCCCCCCTTCGTATCTGATTCTTTTTTGTCTTCACACCCTCGCCATGACATCCCTCGCTGTGTACTGCAATCAACTCGCATTATCACTTCTACCTACTACATCGTGGGTACTCGTACCTACTCGACACCCTCCCCTCCCCTTCGGCAACTGCCCTCCCCCATCACCTCCTCCTCGTCGTACTGACCGCTTCCCAACTCGCCCACCCTCGCAATATCGTCTCCCATCACCCACACACCATCGCCTGCCGCCTACGAGCTCCCTTCCCCCACCTTCGCCCCCTCCCCCTCCTCACCAACGGCCCTCCCCCATCACCCCACCCTCGTCACATCCACTCCCCTTCGACTCCTTCTCCCTCGCACTACCCTCCCCCATCACTCCACTACCTTTCTCAGTCGCCCCCGAGTCGCTATTACTCACCTTCATCACCTTCTCCTTCGTACACATCCCTCCTCCCCCTCTCGCCGTGCCGCTCTCGCACCTTTACTGACGACGTCGCAGGTACCCAGACAGCTACGCCGTGTCTTTCACGCGAGTCGCATGGCCCGCGACGAGTGCCGTAGCGGCTCGCGGCTCTTGGATGCGAGGAGAACTCCATCCGGGAGGAGGGAGGGGGGACGGGGTGCGCGTCGACGTGTTGGGTGGGTGCATCCGCGCGTCGAATGCGCTGTGCCGTCGTCGCTCGCGGACGTCGCCGAAGCGCGCGGTTGCTCTTCAGCAGGTGAGTCCGGTCTTCGTGAGGCGGGGGAGGGGGCGTGCTTGCTCGTGAGCTCGAGCATCGCGCAGGCATTTGCGAGCCCGAAAGGTGCGGCGCGGACGCCGTTGAAGTCGCCGTGTAACTCCCTCATCCTTTTCTCACTTCCCCCGCTGACTCGTCCAAGCAGGAGGCGATGTGGAGGCGGGGAGGTGCGCATTCGAGCACCTTCTCCTCGTCGCTTCGCGGCCTTCTCCACGTCGCGGGGACACGGCGCGGACGCCGGGGACCTGTCGCGCCCTCGCAAAGGCGCTGGCAATCTTGCCGAGTCGGTAGGACGTCGAGAACCTTGCTTACTCGGAGGAGGGGAGGGTGGGGCAAGACGACGGCGGCGGCGGCGGCGGCGTGCTGCGCGTGAGCGAGCCTGTCCTCCGTCTCGTGCAGCGACGACAATGTCCGCGCGCGCGCGACATCGTCGGTGTGTTCTTGTCGATCTTGCTACCTCGCTCCCCATCCCTCCGCCCGCCGTCGCGCCCCACTTCCTCGCCAGGGTCGCCGGGGGGATCGCCGTCCCTTCCTCCTTCGCCTGCGCCTGGCACTCGCTCCACGTCAGTTTACCGGGCGCGCGACCGGCGGGGGCAGGTGGAGGCGGTGCGAACTTGGCGAACGGGTTCTTGAGCTTCTTGGGCGCCGGAAGATGTACAGGAGTGTAGGCGGTGCCGACGGGGGCGATGCGGTCCTCGGGGTCAGGCTTGGTGGGCGCGGTAGCGGAGGCGACCGGCGGGGGCGAACGAGACGCCGCAGGCGGAGGCTGAGGAAGGAGAGTCAGCTCATGGTAGAACGTAAGGGGCATTGCGACTTACCGTAGCAGCACTGAACGCAGGCCTCGAAGCCGACGCGGGCGATGCGCTAAACGCGGGCCTCGGGGACGCGGCCACGGGGGATGCGGCGCTAAACGCAGGACGTGTCGCACTCGCTGGGCTTGGCGCCGCGCTAAAAGCCGGACGCGACGCAGTCGCAGGGCTTGCGGCGCTGAACGCAGGCCTCGCAGCACCCGCACCCGCGCTGAACGCAGGGCGGGAGGTAGCAGGGGGAGGCGGGGGAGGAGCAGCTGCCGCCGGTGCGGCGGCGGGCTTATCCTCCGGCCACGCGCCCTCGGGAGCAGAGCCTGTCTTCTGCTGCCCTGCCGCGGCAGGGCGACCATATAGGGATGCCGCGCCCGCAGGTCGGGCAGTGGTCGGAAGAGAAGGCTTCCCTGCAGGAGCGGGCGGTGGCGCTGCTTTCATGGCTGCGATATCCGGGCGGCCGACGGGCTTGTAGGACGACCCGACAGGCGCGATGGGCTCAAACTTGCGCGGGGCCTCCTTATGAGAGGAGTACTTCGCTCCGGAAGCAGCTTCAACACGCTGCATTATGAGGGAAGGTGCGACGTCGGACTAGAGGAGGATGCAAGTCAGATGAATTGTAGATGGGTGAGGATGGATGCTGTTGCGCACCTCATTGCGAGCTTGAAGGACGACGTGCGCGCCGCGGAGGAAGCGCGATACGGCGTTTGAGTGCGTGTGGAAGAGTCCCTTCTTGACCTCGGGCACGCCGTCCCCGCACCAATTGATCTGGACGAACTTGGGGAGCTGGCTCTGTCCGGGTGTAAGCAGAGGTTCGCGATTGGGTACATGACACGCACATTGGGATCCACGACACGGGCGAACGCGTATTGTATCCTAGAGAATCGTCAGCAGCACACTCAGATTGAGTCCTCGCCGCCATCGCGCGCCCCTCCGTTTCTATCGCGCGTCCATCCTGCCCTCCACCCCCTCGTCTGCCCGCTGATGACGACGATACGCGTACTCACCTTCCATCCGAGAATTCCTCTTCCAGCTCTTCCAGCCCCCCATTCCCCGTGCTCTGCACCTTAAGATCATTCGTGCCCTTCTCATACGTGAACAGCGCCCAGTCGATTCCATTCGCGTTCAGGACGTCGTTATACGCCTTCGCGATGTCCTGGCTGGACAGATTTACTTGGAGCGACATCGTCGCTCGTAGTGAAGGTGGTGGTCAAGAGCAAGATGATTGTTTAGATGATGAGAGGCGAGAAAAGCGATGAAGACGCGCAGCGACGAGCTGTGCAACAGTTCAAGTCAGAAAGCGAAGCTCGAGGGCGATGGGCGTGGGCAGGTCACATGACGTCACCATCCCGGTTGCCCCGGATTTTCTCGAAGCTTGGCTTACAATTGACGGTCACGGAGAACTGAACCGAAATACTTCCATGAAAAGGAGAACAAAGTTGCCTATATATATTGAGTAATCACGAAAGCAACGAAGGTGTATGTAGAAATACAGGCAAACGTCCTATATTCAGAGACCCTGCTGGGTCTAACCTCGCATACCACATCCATCTCCACTCACTGCTTCCTTGTTAAGGACGAGGGACTGTCATCATCTTCCCTTTCACATACCCTTCCTCGCGAGCTAACTTCACCTACCCCTCCCTCGCCCTCGCCTGCTCGTCCAAAATCGCATCCGCCCTCCTCCGCATCGCCGCCCTTCGCTCCTCGCTATACTTGATCGCGTCCATCCGTGCCTCCTTCAGGTTGTTGATCGCCTGCTGGTCCTTGTATTTGTGCGTCGGCAGCGTGATGAAGCTCGGCATCATGCCGGCGAAGAAGGTCTGGAGAGGGGGCGGCGGTGTGGGAGGTGGACGGTGTCAAGAGCGACGTAGAGGGTGTCAAGTGCGAGGTAGAGGGTGAAGTTGGACCGTGTCGTGTTGGTAGCGAAGTTGAGGGGTGGTAAGGATGGGAATCGACGAACGACCGCAACAGTTCGACGAAGTCACGCATCACATTAGAGAGGTAAGGTAGACAGACAACAAGGGAGCCCAGAGACAAAGGGGATCGTCAGCAACTCATTCAACCCTCAAAAAACTAACACGACTTACCAACACGCCAACGGTGACGATGACCCGGTCCTTCCAGCGCTCGTCTCCGCTGGGCGCGTAGTCCCGATAGTCACGGTACATGGACTGTTGGCGACCTCTGTAGAGCGTCGTCAGTTCCGCTGTGCCTCTTGGAATCTTTCAAGACTTGGCGCACCTTCTCGCCGCCGCGTACGCCCTCTTCCTCCTGGCCAGTTCCGCCGCGAAAGGATCAAAAGGTCCCTCGGGTGCCTTCTTGCCTCGCAGGATGTCGTAGGCATTGGTTATGGCTTGGAACCTCCTATGCCTCTCCGCAGGCGTCATGTGTCTGCAGTTATGCGAGTCCGGGTGGTGGAGGCGGACAAGGTCGTAGTCTTAAAGAGTGATCATCAGCATATATGTTCGCCAACTACTGTTGTGAGGCCGACAACTCACATCTCGCCTTGATCTCCTTCTGACTCGCCGTCACCGGCAGGTGGAATATCTGATGCGGCGTCGGCCGCGGGTTCGTCGGGAACGGATACGCGTTCTCTCGAGCGGGGGTCGTAGAAAAGGCGCGAGCCGCGCTTGCGGAGAAGTTTCGAGACGAGGGCGTGGCAACTCCGCGCACCAAGCCCTGCTTCGCCCGCGCCCGCGCCGCCCTCGGCGCCCTCCGTTCTGGCGGAAGCCCCGGGGCCTCCTTAACACGCTCCGCCGCCGCACCCTCGCACGCCGCCACCTGCCTAGACGTCGACGCCATGCGGAGCTGGATGAGGAAGTGCAGCTGGGGCGGGAGGGCTGCGATTTGGTGGCTGGTGAGGGCGGCGGATTGCTGGTTGGCCAGCGCTGCGGCGTGGCTTGAGTGGTGCCCGGTCAGAGCGGCCGCGGCCGCCTGCCCGACGAATGCTAGCCCCTGCTGCCCGAACAGCGCCTGCGCGACGAGGCGCTGCTGGTGCCCGAGGTGCGCGGGCGCGTGCATGGTAAATAGATGGGATTTCGGTGAGCGAAGGTGAGATGCGGATAGTTGACGTCGATGGGGGTGTAATCGTCCCAAGCAAGTCCTCAGTCCTACGCGGGCCTCGGCTAGTCGCGTAGGGGTGCGACCGATATCGGGAAGACGATACGAGACGGATGGAGGGTTCTCCAACCGTATAGGGTCGAGATAATGTTGTCCAATACCTGCACAAGTACTACATCAGCTCCTGCCTACCGAGACAAGCACTCCGCCTCGCACCTCTATCGCAGCGTGTCGCTCGACGATAGCTCTTCGCTGCCTCGCAGCACCAATCTTCCACTGCAACGACTTTCCAGCCAGAGTGTGCTCGACCTCCGCGATCGAGTGCGAAAGTAGACTGAAGCGTGAACGCAGACGGATCGTTCCGCAAGCGCTCGGACGGACCACGGTCAGCGGTGATGGAATTCGGAGACCAAGAGGTCCACCGCACGTGAGGAGGATCTGGAGCGCCTCATCGGACCGGGGGGCCGGTGTTCGACTTCGGTGTCTGCCAAATCTTCGAGTTGACGCTTTCGGGGCCTCCTTATGAACAAGAATGGACGCCTGAGCGTCACAAATTACTCTACCATACATAGCCTATATAAAACAGTCGTAGCAAAACACATCATGGCCTGGAGTACTCTCGGTAGTCCACTGGACTAGCCAGCGTTGCTCGTCGCACGGAGCGAGGAGGAACAGGTGGCTTCGCTTCGTCAAGATGCGAGCCGTTCTGAGTGTCTACTCGCCTGCCAGAATCCGCTTCCGTTGCGCCGTTAGGCCCTGCAGCTGCACGGGCCTTTTCTGAAGGGCATGCAGAGGCTTTCTCGTCCTTGATGCCTTCGATAATATGATACGGGACAGCTGCATAAACAAGGTCAGCTTGCGAAATCGCAGGACAAGAAGATCGCCACTGACGCTTCCGCTTAATACGGTGAGGCTGGCTGGGTCGAAGCGGCTCAGGTCGGGCGGGTGAATGCACATCATATCGCGCTGAGCGAGCTTGCTCGGACCGGACAGAACGGGATAAATCAGGTATGGCACCGGAGGATCCTGCTGGGCGCGGCGGCAAGCTGGTATGTCGAGCCGCACGTTGCAAAGGCAGACTCCGAGGCGAGGAGTTAGCTTGCGCAGGCTTTTGAGGCGGGTCGGCAGGCGGCTCTGGTCGCGAGATAGGTCTTGGATCCATCGTGGCCCGTCGGCGGAGTCGTTGCTGTCGGTAAGCTGACGGCGGGGCCTCGGCGCGATCCACAGGCTTGCGCGACGAGCGCGCAGGAGTCTTGGCCTGAGGAGGAGGCTCGATGCGCTCAGAAGACTTCTCATGGGAAGTGCGCTCGTCGTCGCTTTCCTTGTCTGATTTGTGGCGAGACGAGCTTGAGGAGAGCGAAACTGGCCAACAGTCGTCAGCACCAGTCCTCCGTGGAATCGATCCGTGCCCTACTCACTGGTTGAAAGCACTCTGCTGAGGGTTCTGAGTTTCATCAGGATGTTTCGGTGGCTGATCAATACCCAAATTGAAGGATAAACTATGGCGATGGCTGTAGGTCGATGAAGATCGAGAGGAAAGGAAGCTTCGGGTCTTCGATCCTGGTTCTGCTTTAAGAGGAGCACGCCGACGGTCTTCGCGCTCGCATTTGTTGACTCTGGGTAATGAAGGCTTCGACCGTGGAAGCAGAAGCAGTAATGCAGGCATTGTGGCAATTCGGTCCCGCCCGTATCGCCGCATAAGGAACAATAGCAGAGGGTCGGTGCAGTCATCAACAAGAGAATCAGCATTGGGTCCATAGCAGAGCGTTCCGCTCGCTCAGAAAGACAAGACGGGCTCTGGAAATCAACGAGGGAGGCCTAATTGAGTACATGGCACACGTCACTTGGTTGAGGACAAGGTTGATCTCAAGTCGGCGGGATTCCGGGATTTCAACCATTTTTCGTCACGATCACATGCGCGTGACGCGCGGCGTCGCGCACGCGTCTCAATCACTGGCACCGTATTGTCCTGGTCATCGTCTAGTGCGACGACTGCAACATCTTCCGCTCGACACGACTGACCTCTCACGCACCCCGATGTCCCTCTCCATTCACTCCACCTGCGACCTGCGCAAGCTTTCGACCGCCGACCCCAACCTCCTCCCCTTCCACATCGCGCACACCGGCCCCGCGCCCGTGTCGACGTACTTTCTGACCCAGCCGGCGAAGGAGGAGGTGGGGGCGCCGGAGGGGGCTAAGGCGACTGCGAGTAGCGCGTCGTCGGCGCCAGGTGAAGCGCCTATAACGGGAGAGGCACCAGCCACCATAGCGATCGCAGACGCGCCATCCACATCAAACACAATGGACACAGCAGTACCTTCATCTGTCCCCGCTCCGGCCTCGACAACGAATCCATCGGCCTCCTCTCAAACCTCCAAGCGCCTCGTCTCCTCCTTCCGCGGCCGCACCGTCCATGGTTTGCGCGTCGACGTTCCGCCGGGCTACCTCGGCGTCGTCCTCCGCGCAGACGGGAAACCGGCTACCTCCCGCCCACGCGGCACAAGACCACAAAAAGGTCGACGCGGACGGAATGGTGCTGCCTCCGAGGAAGGCGAGGAGGACGCGATGATGCCAGAGGACGACGAAGCGACAGAAGACACCCGCCCATCCCGAGTTCTCAACCCCGCATCACAGTTCTCGTCCTTCATGGTCTGGGGAGCGGACATACCGGTGGACGAGGGGAGGGATGACTACATTCGCGCACTAACAGAGTGGACGGCGTTGGCGGAGGAGGTGAGTTGCGTTTCTCCAGACCAGCGTTGGCGCGCTGTCTTCTCGACTGCCAGTAGCGCGCATATACTCACACTCCGCACAGATACATCGTATGGATTAGGCTGTCCGATCGCTCATGTGCACTATTTCGTCCTTGATTCAAAACATCTCGGGCGCATATACCCAACTCCTTCACCTGCCTCTGCTCGCCTGCATGCCAATGCTCACACCTCGATCTCCTCCGCATCCGCGACCCCGCCAACGCGCTTCCCGACATCGGTATCCGCGCTCATAGTCTTCAGCGCGGGGTCCTGCTTATCCCGCGTCCCCGCCTCCGCCCGCCTTCCCTGCTCCTCGAGCCGCTTGGCCATCTTGAGCTCACGCGTGTCCGAGGGCATGCCCGTGCGGACCTTGGCGCCGTCGTCGGTGTGCTTGAGGGTCTGAAGGAGGAAAGCAATACGTTCTCGATTTCCTTTTCACCGGAAAGGTGTTCGAGATCGTTATGAAGCGCATACATCGAGGACGTATATCGGGAACACCGCGACGCACGCTTGTTCTGTGCAGACGCACGTAGAGACCAGCCCCACTCACATCGACCTCCCTCTCCGCCCGCTTCGCGCTCCTGCGCGCAGCGCGCCCGTGCACGACGCGCGCGATGGGGTTCCGCGTCTGCTGTGCCTTGACGCCGTGCGTGATGGCGCTGGGTGGGGTAGTCAGTACGCGGGTCGATGGAGGTACGGTATGGTCGTCTGAAGTCTGCACTCCACCCGACACCAAATCACCCCGACTCACCTCTCCGCCGCCCCCTTCACCCTCCGCTCCGCCTCTGGGTCCGCGCGCAGCGTCCCGGCCTCCTTCATCGCGGCGTATTCCTCACTAACGCGCTCGACGCGCGCCGCGGCGTCGTAGGTGGGAGCGGACATGGTGGGTGGGTGGTTGCTTCTTCTTTGTAGTAATGCGCGACGAGCGTTGGAAGACTTGGTAGACGACGACTGTTGAAGACAATGTATATGTCAAGCAACCGAACACGGTCGACATAGCAGCTGCGCGCCACTACATGCCTACGTCATTGTGGTCCTCATCCTGATAGTATCACAGTGATAGCCCCTACCTTATATAAGGAGAAGTCAGCAAGCGTGGTCATCTATCGCAGGAAATGAATGGTGAGTACTCCAGGTAGGACCTCATTGCCGCGAAACAAACAGAGCTCCAAGCCAAAAAGATGGACGACGTATGGCAAGACTTCCGGTACGGGGAATCGAACCCCGAGCTGCCGCGTGAAAGGCGGCAATGTTAGCCGTTACACCATACCGGACTAGCTCTTGAGACCTGCCTACGGCAGGGGGTTAGGGGGCTTCGAGCCACACTTTGGTTGCGCGAGCTTGGGGGTAGGAATGAAGTACAGTATGCGCTGCCGCGCGCGCTTCGGTACATCCTTCCGTTCATAGATAGTACTACACAATGGCCTCAGGATAAACTACATTCGGCGTCTTATGAGTCTCCTTGTCCACATCGCGCACTACCACCTTAACATTCGCACTGGAAGTGCAGCGGGACAGCGCAACATATAACTGGCCGTGAGTGAATACGGGCTGGCGGAGATTGACCCCAACACTGCGAACGGATTGGCCCTGCGACTTGTTGATGGTCATGCAGAAGGCGAGTCGTATGGGGAATTGTCGCCGTCGTAGCTGAAAGGGCAAGTCCTGTTCAGCTGACAGCAGCGATAGGCGCGGAATTAGCGCAAGCGTCCCTGAGGAGAATCAGGACCGGAATCTACGTGGAGAAATAAGCAAGAGAAACTCACCTTTGAACTCGCCGGCAATGACTCGGATCTCAAGAACACGTTGAGTAGCGCGTGTGAGTACACCGCGCGTGCCGTTGCAGAGGCCAACGCGTGGGTTGAGGTTGCGCAGGAGCATCACTGGGCACCCAATCTTGAGCTCGAGCTTAGCTCGCGGACATCACGAAAAGGGGAAGCAAAGCATCAGCCCTTTTGGGCAGTATCAGCTTGACAGGGCCGGCGGCCCCCTAGCCAGCGCTGACCGTTCTCCGTGAGAGCTGTCGCGGCCTTCAGGAATGTGGCATACATATCAGGCGCACCGGGCAAGGTGCCCACTTCTAATAGCTGAACTGATTCGTGCTACCTGCTGTACGGTCGTTCTAGAAACCTATCAGATTGTCGGTGGGCTTAACAGCTCGTACAAGATCGGGGACTTCATATCAGCCTGCGTCAGATTTTTGGTAATCGAATAAGCTACGAGATGCGAAGCAATGGACAGTCAGCGTAGGTGAGGAATACAACGACAATCAGGTATGGTACGTCTTGCTCAAATTGTACTTGAGAAGCGCCAGGAAGCGGCTCACGCGTGGTCACCAGTCTGCGTATCCAAGCGAGTCAGCAGTCAATAAGTCCCCCTCGCCATCCTCGTCATCCTCCCAGTCGTCATCTTCCTCCTCCTCCGGCTCGCGCCCTTGCTCGATCACCCATGCCTCCTCATCCTCTTCGTCTTCGTCTTCATCTTCATCTTCTAATCCATCATCCTCCGTTTCTGATCCACCGTTATCTTCTTCGTTGCAACCGTCTTCGTCGCTGCTGGCGGTTTCATCAGCACTATCCTCGCCTCCTCCCGACATTGCGTCGGTCCCGGATTGCCGAAAATTCGCCAGTTTCTCTGCCTCGGCTTCAAGAGCTGCTGTAGCCTCAAGAGTAGCTTTGTGGCCAACGCCGCCCCCACGAAAGCGCATCAGAATATCACGGTCTGCGAACCTGGATAAGAGTGAGCGTATGCGGGACCGAAAGCACAAGATGCACTAACATTGAGATGTAATGATATTTCCAGTCATCACTTTCCCCGTGCGGACGAGCCATCGTCTGACCTGGTAGATGCATGGCGGTCCTGCCATGGGCGAACGCTGGGATCGCATGCACTGCGCGTATGATATCCTTCGGGTCGATAAACCCGAAAGCGTCCGCATCCTCCGCAGGAAGGAAGTGAACGCGAGGCAGGCGCTTCGCGCGAAATCCGTGACGGTACGACTTGTCCATAGTGAACCACCGGACATAGGCGAATTCTATGCGCTGACTGCATGAGCCCGCAACGGCGACGTCGAGGACATCTGCGTGGAAAATGCCGAGCACGCGACCGTACCAATAGGGATGCTCCTCGTTGTTGTCGGAGAGCACCATGAAGTCGGCGTGAGTGCGCGGGTTGAGTAGGTCCTGTCGGCGCCGAACATCGTATGATGTGTAGTTGTGGCGTATAATCTTGTGCTTGTAGATACGCCCTCTCTCGAAGATGATTTCGTTGCGCTCGCGCGCGCTGTAAGCACGGTCGGGCTCACTATGCTGGCGTACACGTGCGAGAAGGTACTCCTTCAGCTTGCGCATGAATGGCTTGATAGGGTATTGTCAGTAAAAGAAGCCAAGCGGTCGTTGGAGCACAACAAGCGTACCTTAAGCGCAAGGTCGTCAAGTCGGTCGCCAAGATAGACAGTGACGTCTTCGTAGAACTTCGTGCTTTTGGAAATATGGGTCGTGCTGGATGGATCATTTGCGGGCAGGTTTTCGCGGGCTCGCGCTGCGACGGTGAGTACATTAGGCATCACCTTTCCAGCGCTCCTCTTCTTCTTCTGCATAACACGGAAGTGGTGATGTGAGCGCGTCGACGTCGACAGTATCATCGGGATCGAATGTCGGGGCAGTACGATAGATGCGATAGAGGCCAAAGTTATTCGCGCGGGTGGCGGTAAACGTCAAATCAATGATCTCGACTTCTGGGTCAGAGTTCGCGGGAGCTGAGGGCGTGGGGGGCGTGGGGCCTTGCTGTGTGGAGAGCACTGGTGTAGGTAGGTGATCGCGCAGCTGACGTGGGAGTTGACTTTCAAGGTAACGAGGCGCAGCGGAGGGAATCATGTCTAGCACGCGCTTCGGCACGCGCCTCGCTCGCATAGAGCGTTCGAGGGGCACAATGTCTTGCTCTAGAAGAGGTATCCGAGCAGGACTCTATGATTGCACGGTTAGCTCAATCATAGAACAGAGCAAGCACGCGCACGAGAGAATCCTCCAATGAGGGCAGCCTCTGTCCACCTTCCATGGGCATGGAACCATGACCACGATCACTTGCGGCACCGCCAACTACGCCTTCGTCTTCCTCTGTTCGATCTATAGCAACATCTTCAGTGGCGCTGTGTAACACCTGCGCGATCGTCAGAGCTAGCAAGCACCGGACATCAGGAAAGCTCACCATTGGCTGCTTTTTAGCTCTATTTAGCGCCAGGTTCATCAGTCGCGGCTTCTTGGGCAAAGGGGGCTTTGAGGAGGAAGCAGGCGGTGGTCCTCGCTTTCCGAGTTTTTGAAGGGTTTCTTGTGAGCTTGTGGCACGTGCGGGGCATTTTGAGAGGTGTATAGATAGAGCGGAGTCAGTATCAAAGGTAGCCTTGAGACAGTGATGACAGCGAAGGCGGGGCATGATGAGGGGGATGAGCAGGAGACTTGATCGAACCGAGGGACGGATTCTGGGTGCTCACGTGACTAGAGCACCCAGAATCCGTCCCTCGGTTCGAGCTCGCACGTATTGTGCATTCCTGCTCAACCAGAAGACTCGGATGGGTATCCCCATCACAAGATAAAGGTATTCTGATGTTCTTGTACAAAGGAAAAGCTCATAATCCCAATCAATGAGGCAAGCAAGTTACGCGCTAGCGCCATATAAGAGAACAAACAAATGCAACGGATCCGCGGTCCCGTGACCAAAGCTACTTAAGCACATACTTCCATGTCGTCCCTCGTTTTTCATTCCTGCCTCCCACCCCCGCAATGAGCGCCAAGACCCGCTTCAAACTGCGCATTCCCGGAGGCGGCGCGCTTAGCCAGCGGCACAACTCACGAAGCCCAGTCCATCGGCCGGCGCCGCACCCGCAAGCTGCTCCGCCGTCTGGAGGTAATCGTACATCGCGGGCGTCGCCACCCGCACGCAATACGCGTCGCCCCGCTACTCCTTCTCCCGAGCCAGAGCAAGACGGCGACAGTCCCCCGCCGACCTCCCGCAAGCGCTCGATCGACCGCGTGCTCGACAGTCTCGAGGCGATCGCATACAGAGGTGCTAAGCGTCCACGCGTCGACGAGTACGTGGCCAATACATGCTGCGCTCCATGAACTCACCTCTCTCAGCCGAAAGGCGCCGCTCTACCCCTACCTTCATGGTGCCCGAGGGAGCGTCCGCTCTGTCCCCTATCTGCTCTTCAACCACGTCGACGCAATCTTCATGCAGGGAATCCACGAAGCCGGGCTGGAGCTAGAGAAGGACGCGGAAGCTGATGCGGAAGCCAAGGAGGCATCTTTGGACGCGGAGACCCGTTCCAGGTGCGCATATACCCACCTCCTTTGCTGCACATGCTCAACTTGACGCATATAGGCTAGAATCTCAGCGCTCCATGGCGTTCAGTGGTCTCAGGGATGCCATGCCGGGCCTCCTTGAGCTACTCACGGAGTGTGTTCCGCATCCCCCGATGTACGTTGCATTCTGCGACATGGTACGTTGTCGTCCCCCCGCATGTATGTCATCTGCTAAACTCTCCAGATTAAAACGGTCATCAACGAGGCCAAGAACGACGACACCGGGAGCTTGAAGCAAGAGATCATCAAGTTCATCCTCGAAGACCCCGACAACGAGGTGGCGCCGATACCCAACTCCGACATCGGCAACAAGAGCAAACGCGGCTTCTCCATCGACGTCTTTGCCCGCTGTCTCATCCCGCGCAAGCATTTCGACAGAATGGACGAGGACTACGATGCGTACGTCCGTATGTTACCATGCCATACTTCACTGACCAGTCACCACAGATGTATCACATCCATTAATGACGGGACCCTCAAGGTCGACAACTCATCGCTGCCCATGCTGCTGTACGACTGGTCATCGATGGACGACGATGATACCGAGGCCGGCCTTTTCCGCCACAATGCACTCGTGCGGGTAAGTTCCTTTGACTTGTGTTCGACTCGAGGCTCACGAGTCACCATCCAGTCGTGGCGTCGCATCATGTTTGGCAAATCAAACGCGCTCAAGACTCCGAAGAGCGTTCCCGCAGGCTCCAACGCGCATATACACAATGTTCTGCAGGCATCGCCGGCGAGCATTGCTTATGTATGCTGCCAGGTGAGTGTGTGCCTTTTGTATGTAACTCGCCTACAAACCTTGCAGGTTCGTTTTGCAATGTCCTCTGTCCACACCTGGGCGCGCATGGATCGGCACTTCGACATGAAGAAGTTTTACGACGAGATCATGCTCCTCCTTGAGCTCGACGAGGATGACCCCGACGAGTGGGTCCTTGAGACACTGCGCTGGTGGAACACGTACGTCTTGCCTTGGTCTCGTGTGTCGTGCTAACCGTATTCTGTAGCCGTGCTTTCGGCAACCCGCGTGGCCTTGAAGCTGATGACGAGGAGGAGCTTGTTGAGCTCGGAGAAGAGGCGGGCGAGATTATGGATGCGCGCGAGCGGCGCAAGCGAGCGCGGGCAGCGACTAGGGCCGCTGGGTCTCCTGAGGTGTAGGTTATGTCATTCAATTTCGTCTCGCCGTGCTCCTTTTGGTCGCCCTCGCGCTCACTATTGTCATCGCCTCCTTGATGCTTGATCGTCCTGTAGTTCTATTGCTGTCTATCCATCTGCTGTAGTTGCTTCTACTTGTAGCTCTCGTACTGATACTTCGTGCTGCTCAATGCAAATGATGACTTCTTCGTATCATATGTGAGGTCCAGCCAGTTCTGAGGCTTCATCTGAACTGGCACCAACAAGCCTGCCGACGACCGTCTGATCTGATCCGTGCGACATGCCCTGTTCGTGGCTGATGAGGACTAATAGTCCCTACATGGGCTGTTCGTGCCCGCATTGTAGGTTCGCGCTCAGAATCGCCGTCAAGGTCTGCATTGAGCGATACTATACATAATAGCTCATCATACTCATCATTGTAGGTAATGTCGGCATGGCCACCTGGCTCTCGTTGGCTCTGGCGAGCGCGTATCGCGACTGACATTGCGGGCAACTTCCGCCCTCAGATCCGGTGAGTCTCCAAAATCTGAACAGCCTTGATAACCTATACCGGGCAAGGTCAACATGTCCAGCGCTGATCCTACCCAGGCTTTTTTCGCGATGGAAGCCCCGACACGTCGAGTGAGTTGAGGTACTCGACTGGGTACCCGGCCAACGTCTCGGTCGCATCCGCACCTTCTTCCTGAATGACCGAGTCGACGCCATTGAAGGTTCGCGCGCGGCCGGGAAACTTGTCCAGAATGGCGCTGTTGATCTCGGAGACCGTGTCGTTGCGAGCAGCGAGTATTGTGCGCTGTGAAAACCACTCGTCGTAGTTCCTCGCGTCGACATCGAGATGCGAGATCTGAGGGTAAATCTCGCTGATCAGCGTATCGTCCTCGTTATCTGGCACGACCATCCCATCCCGCAGAGTCACGAAGCCATTCTCATCCACGTTCTGGCCAGCGCCTACGTCGAGTAACCACTGCGCATACGCGCGGTCCGAGGGGCTGGCATGATCGAGGCGCTGGTTTCGTTGGAGGCGAAGGATGTTGTTCGGGGCTATGTGGTCGCACCAGATGTACGACCGAAGCAGGCTCTGGCCAATGATCTCCTCTCTCCCGCCTTTGGGGACGACGGGGAGGATCTGCCGAAAGTCACCGCCAAAGACCACTGTGCAGCCTCCGAAGGGCCGATCATCCTGGCGGCAGTCTTGCATCGTTCGGTCGACAGCTTCTTGGCAGAAGCGGCTCTGCATGGGCACCTCATCCCAGATGATGAGGTCAGCACGGCGGAAGAGGTCACCGCGCACCGTGTTTGACCGAACGTTGCACATCTGCCCTTCAGCGATGTTGATGGGGATCTTGAACGTCGAGTGCGAGGTACGCCCACCTATGAGCAAGATGGCAGCTATACCGGATGAGGCAACACAGAGTACGATTTTGCGAGTTGCGCGGAGGGCGTAGCAAAGCGTGTTGTAGACAAAGGTCTTGCTGGTCCCTGCAGGGCCTGTGAGGAAGAAGACGCCAGGAGTACCCTGACCAATAGCAGAGCAGATGCGATCGAACGCCTCCCGTTGCTCGAGATTGAGAAGGGCCAGGTTGATATCAGCAAGCCGCTGCTGCTCTTCGGGATCATATGCCAGCTGCTCGGCAATGAGGTAGTGGACCTCTTGCTCCTGCCATCGCGAGTAGTCAGGCTGGGGCATGCCTGCAGTCTCGAAGTCGTGGAGCGACGAACCCATGCTGCAGAGCTCCTGATGCAGCAAGTACAGGCCATAATCATAGATGTCGTCAGTGGTCGGATCAGCGATGGGGAAGGGTAGGCGCCGTAGCTTGACTCGAACATCATCGCAGATGGAGTCCCGAAATTTTGTCCAAAGCTCGCGTGGTTGAGTGGGTTGGCAGTCCTTCAGGATAGTGGCGAAGAGCCGCCGGAGAGCAACACCTGTCTGCCAATGAGCTGCATCGGCAAGACAACCTTCCCACTCCCGATCATCCTCAAGGAGACCGCGGGCGAGGCATGCGGCTTGGAAGGTGGGAAGCTCGATACCATTGTATGTGCGAAGGTCGACGAAAGAGGTGGGGCCCCGAACGACTGTTGATGGGATCGCGCGCCTCCGAAGAAGTGACAAAGTCAAGCAAACTGTGCTCGACGACCTCCACACTGACACCAACAACCAGACAAACAACCAAAATGCAGAGGGTGTCACTCCGTAGGCAGCGCAGCGAGTCCGTTGTATTTGTATTGCTTGGGGATATAAATGTCCTGCTAGCTTTCGAGCTTCAGGGAGTGAGGAAAGTACTCGTGTACCCCCATGGAAGCGACGATCGGGCCAGTACCAGGCGCATTCGTGATGCATCTCAATATTCACATGGATCTTTCAGGAGCAATCCAAAGTATTTCTCAGTTATCGCTGGTACAAAGTGCTAGAAGCGCTCTGAACTGTTTCTCTGTTCACAACCTAACCTGGCTGGTAGGGAACTACACAACCGCTCGAAGCGGAGGGGGAAGTCCCTGAAAGTATCTACAGTGGGGCCTTATATACAGTTTCCCCTTGTAAGTATGAGTAAAGTACAATAGGTCATGACGGAGTTTAACCGAGGTCTCGGCGGGTAGCCGAGCGGAACTGGCTGATTTGTTTCGTATATTTGGGCGCTTGGGCGGCGCGATTACACGTTCCCCGGACCCGCCGAAGGCAGATGCCGAAAATACCGCATATTTCGCCTTTTCTCGGATTTCTCTTGCTTGGCAGAGTGCCTTGCATCGGATGGACATGCTATTCCTCATGCTTTCGCAGGGAAAGGGCTTGGGCGAGGGCCACAGCGCCCGAGGAGAGCAGCAGAGCACCTCCGAGTCGGAATGTCACGTCACGTCACGGTTCAACTTCGGCACGGTCACGTGACACGTGCGCGCCACTGGCGGGTGGTGGATCAAAGCTGCGTGTGCAGCCTCGCTTGGTCCCTGCCTCCAGTATATGATAGGTGGAACTGTCTCGAAGCCTGAACACGAGTAGATAGAACCAATAGAACAACAGGTATAGGGGTATATTGGACTGAGGGTGATGGCACGCTAGTACGCCTACCACCTGGATGATCCCCTCCTGAAGACTCGAGGGATGTCATCGAGCACATACAGATGGTCGATCTGATGCACAAGAGCTCCGCTCTATCTTAGGGCAGTCCTGAAGAGGTTGTTCATGGTTTATCTCTTGTGCAGTTCAAGTCCAGATACTCCTCTCATAAAACCAAAGTAAAATACCTGCGACACGCCCGTTGTACAGTCACGACGCCGCAATGGTATCTACAGGTCCGTATGAATGAGCCAGTATATAGCGCATATACGCCGGAAAATACACCTAAAAAGGCGATTTTAAAACCCCGGCGTATCACTGTGAGAAGGAGGCGGAGATAGAAGCGCTCGCCTTGAGATGGGTGGGCAAAGAGCATCCGACCAATCGCAAAGCCCTTCTTTCGAAGGTTCCACGATCGCCGACTGCTGAAGGTGAACTTCTGTGGAAACTCCTGATACAGGAGTGTCCGAGCGATGTCCGAGGCTGGAGAGGTCGCCTGGTTTGCCCTGAAGAAGGCAGTGAGCGTGGTGACGGAGGGACCCCGGCGAACAACATCGTGCAGATTGTCGGGCTGGAAGATTGTGAACTGCTCGTCAGGAAGGTGTACAGTCAAGCGAGTGACAGTCGGCTTCTCATCGTGCATCGCATAGTGCAGCAAGCGCCAGACCGCCTCCGAGCACGACACGTAGCGTGCATCAAGGTACTGCTGGATCTCGTCTGTCTCCGTTCCAAAGGCCATCGTGATGCGGTCATGTCCTTTGTAGACATACTTGTGCACGTACTTGAAGGCCTTGATGGAGATACAGCACTCGAGGTTCGCGTGGCAGGCGAGAAGGAGGAGGAGGACGATGTTGTGAGGTACAACCCACCGGTTGTCAAGTCGAACCCAGCGGCCATCTAGCCAGACTTCGTAGTAGCGCCCATTGTTGCGACGTCGGTAGAGGGGATAGCCATCAGGTGTGAGGACGGTCACCTCCTGGAACTCGCGTGGATATCCTTTGCTGCACTTCCCATCCTTCATGCAAGGTGCATTTGGGTTGAGATCTCCGCAGGGACCATGGATCATAAACTTTGTCACCAGTGCATAGAGCCGGGGATGGGTCTCGCGGTCCGGGATCTCGGCCGAGATTGCCTCATCGACATCGTCTGGTGTATGCAGTCGGGCATCACGGTCGAGAAACAGGAGAAGGTGGATGTGTGGGAGGCCGCGCTTTTGGAACTCGATCGTGTAGACATGTCCGCGGTAGGGCCCAAGAAGTCCACCCTTGATCTTGTCCAAGATGATCCGAATCTGGGAGAGCTTTATCAGCAATTCAGAGAGCAACTCGAAACAACCCAGCTCACCTTTTCACGAAAGACTCGAGAGACCAAATCAGGCCGGTCCGTAACATCAAATCCAGGCCCCATCTTCTCAACCTCCTTCTGGATCTCAGGCCACTGAGGATTGCAGGTGATCGTCAAGAAGTAATCAGGACGACCAAAGAATCGTGCAACAGCCATGGAGTCCTGATAGAGTTGGAACATGTTGCGCCAGCTGCCAACGAAGGACGACGGAAGGACACAGCGCTGGCCGACCGACTGGGGATTGACGTCGGCATTGCTCGATACGGCATCTGCCAACCCCCGGTAGACGTCAGCCCGCAATTGCGGCTGATGGCCCCGTGCCCATCGAAGCCGTGTCTGCTCGGTCTGTGCCCACCCGTCCACAATGTACTGCTGGAACAGCATCTTCGCACGAAAGATGTGGTCCGACTCATCGAGGCGACGGTGAAGGCGGAATGCGAAGAACTCCATGGGGGTAACACGGGTCTGTTTCCCCCGCTTGTTTCCGCTATCGTGGCCTGCCCCCTCCTCATCACCTTCATCTGCTCCTTCCTCGTCCTCGTCCTCCTCTACCCTGGCCCTGAGTGGGATAGCCTCTCCAGTTGTAGGGTTTGTCAAGGGGATGTTTTCGTGGTAGCCATGCTCTCCGCGAGGGAACAGGAGCACGTAGAGAAGGGGCTGGTAGGCAGGGTGGGTGTCGTAGATGCGATGTTTGCGCCCACCACGGCGCAGCTCAATCATAATGTCTCGGCGTGCATTGTGATCCTTGCTGTCCTCTAGGACCACTGCCAGCTCGGCTGCAGTTGGCAAGTTGTAGCGGCGCTGGTCAGATCCTGGTCGGAAGTCGAGACGTGCGAAGTGGGACGGAGCTTGGCCAGAGTCACGCAAGCGCTCAACAGCAAGCTTGTATATGTCAATGTACCCGTTACATCGCAGCAGAACATCCTGGATTATCTGCAGAATCTCGGTGCGCAACCCATGCGTCAGGTTGTTCTGGTACCGCTGCTCGCAGGCATCATCGGGGGCCATGAAGTAGAGCTGGGCGTACTTCGGCCGTCGCGATGGATCCTCGCCTGGGAGCACAGCACCCAGCTCGTGAAAGAGCTCACCACGGATGGTGAACTGCTGCACTCCACGGCCCGGGATGCGGGATGTGCTCACACCGAGGGACGCGAACGCAAATGCAGCATTGTATCTGCGCACCTTCTGCAGGAAGTGCCGACTGCGCTGCCGGTCCACCTCCGAAGCCCCACTGTCGGACACTGCATAGAAGAGCGTGTAGAGGTCGTCGGGAGGGGCAGCGAGAAGCGGAATCTGCACTTTTCCGCTCAAGCAGCAGGTGCCGAATTGAGGGAGGTTGATGCGGGATTTCTTCAGACGCTCTGCAAGCCAGTGCAGAGCGTTGCAGAACGTGCACTTCGCCGTCATCTCCCCGAGGTCAAGGGGAAGGTAGAGGTGCACATTCTCGTTCGCAACGGGCCGCCGAGCAAGGGGCAGGCGACGTAGCAGCGGTGGCGGGACACCATCCATGTTGTGGTCAGGTGATTCATTGCGCGACACGACACTGCCATGGTCAGAGGGAGAACGCGACCGCGCCGAATGATCATCGCGAGCGCGCGTGTTCTCCCGCAGCTCGAGCGGGTCAGGGAATGCTGGAGAAGGCGACGGAAGAGGTGATAGTGGAGGCGACAGTGAAGGCGACGGTGAGGGCGACGGTGAAGACGACGGTGAGGGTGAAGGTGATGGTGTCGATGACCACGTTGATGATCTGCGGCGCCGTAGACGCTCGGTGGGGGACTCGGGAGGGGAGATTGTCGGTGAGGGGAGGGAGGGGAGCCGGAATGTTGGTGAAGGCGTGTTGAGTTGGCCAGTTCGAAAAGCCTGTCGCGCGGTCGTGCTCCCTCGCCTCAGTCCACCGGACCGTCCATCCCGTCCTCCTGCACGCCCGCGACCTTGAGCTGCGAGAGCGGTTGTCCGAAAGCGCTCCGCGGACGGACGGTCCAGTAGGTACTCACGTCCGTCGATGCGGATGGGCGTGAGGATGGATGCTGGAGGCATGCGGCGGTGCTCGGGGGTTGTGAGGATGTTTGTCCTCTCGCGAGCGTTTTGACGCTCCTGGTCGCGCTGACGCTGTGGTGTTGAAGTGGGAGTTGACCTGATACGATGGGCGAGATGTTAGTGTCACATCCAACATTGAGAGGGCAGCCTATACTCACCGATTCGCCGCAGTGGGTATTCCAGACGAAGGCGGCGGTGTAGTGCGCTGAGCACCACCCGGTGCATGCGCATCACCCCTTCCGCGCCGCCCGCGGCCAGCTCTCCCCCCGCCGCACCCACGGCCCCGACTTCCGCGTCCTCTCCTTGACGGTGCAGGTGCCGCGTCATTTGCCGGGGGCGCATCTTGCTGCTGGGCGGCGCCATCGCTCCTGGCCGCTGTTCCCCTTCCGCTGCTCTGCTCTTGCGCATGATCCCTGCTCCGCGTATGCCTCCGGCCTGCGCGCCCTCTCGAGGGGAGAGAGTCCGGGGTTATCGCCTCGACTGCGCGAAGTCGTTGCGCCAGGGGCCTGTCTAAGAGATACTGCTGGCCCTGGCTGTGAACCGGCGTCAATTGAGGTGTGTGGGGTGTGCGTCGATGCTGGGGGGTCTCTAGAACGTTGATACGATCGCGCGCTTGCTGGCGCTCCTGGTGACGGTGACGCTCTGGTGTTGTTGGGGATGACATTCTGTGAGTGATGATGGTGAGTAACATACAGATCGCAGCAGATTGAGATGACTTACGGAGCCTCAATGCTTTCTCGTTCACCGATCGAGCAAGTCGGCGGCGAGGCGCAACGGATTTTTGGGTGAGGGTCCTTCATCGCGAGCATCAGCTCCGAGGGACGCGAGGGATCTGAATGGGGACTCACCTGCCGGTTGAGCACTGATCTTTTCGAGAGGGGGCAACAATTGACGTCCCCCAGAGCGCGCAGATTGAGAAGGGAGGCGGGGGGACACGACCGTGGGGCAGGACCAGAAGGTATGTTCACGCACAGGAATGAGTCGCAGGACGCGCTGAACGGCCCAAGGCCCGAAGAGCCGAGCACCTCAGCTTATGTAATCAACGCAATTCCTCGAAAGCTTAGGTAAGCAAACGCGTCGGGTCAACTTTGACGCTCGACCTATTTTACATTATAGATTGTACAGTTGCGATCAAAACTCATGAACGTCTTTTTTTCTTGGAAGCAGGTTCCTCCCGCCCTTGAGGACGGAGAAGCCACAATACACTGGGATGTCTGCGCGCAACTTAGCCTACGAGGCGCCCGCTACATGTGTGCGAAAGAAGCCTGATTTTACCGGGCGAGTGCGAGTGGGAATTGGACCGTCGCCCAAAAAGGAATCAGCCATCAATTTTGAGCGCAACTGTACGTTCGCAAATATTGAACTTATGTATGCCCATCATGATGAAGCACTCAGTTGAGCCAGCTCACCCTATAACATCATACGCGCGCGACAACGACGCTCATCCATACCGTGCGACAAGCATGTAAAAGCACGGCTTCATAAAGCTACTCAATAGATATACTGTTGTACAGAGTCCAGACAGAACGTGCGTAATCCTACAGAACTAGTCGGCAACATATAATTCCTCTATACGCACCAGCTATCCATCTAAACCATCTCGAAAAGTCGTGCCATCGACGACCACTCCAAGCGCATCCAGCAACCAAGTAAGCCACCTGCCGTCGACCGCCCCACCCTCGCCCAACCTAGAACTCCACCCCATACCCCTCAAGCGCCTCCCGCAACGCCTCCCCACCCTCCTGCCAGTTCAGCGGCCTCCCATCCTTCCCCCTAAACCTCGACTCCCACCTCACCGCAAACGGCTGCGGGTGCGCATTCGCGCTCTCCGTAAACGCCAGCACATTAATCGGCCGCGCGGGGTCCGACTCGAGCTTGAACGCCCACAGCAGCAGCGCCGTGTTGAGGAACACGGACGCGGTCGCCATGTGCGAGCCCGGGCACACGCGCCGGCCGAAGCCGAACGGGTAGTTCTTCATGTCGTCGCGCAGCCGGCCCGCCTCGTCGAGCCAGCGCTGCGGGTTGAACGCCTCGGGGTCGGGGAAGTAGGCGGGGTCGCGGCCGACGGACCAGACGTTGCCGTAGACGGTCGCGCCGGCGGGGATGCGGTAGCCCTCCCAGATGATGTCCTTGGTTGCCTTGTGCGCGCCGCCGGCCGCGGTGACGGGCCGCCACCTGAAGGACTCGAGGACGAAGGCCATGGTCTGCGGTAGGGAGTCCTTGTCCGCGTACGTGGGGGCTGCATATGTCCGTCAACTTCCTTTCTACTTGTTAAGATGGACGATTAAACACTCACCCCTCCCCCTCCCGATGACTGTCTCCAGCTCCTGAGCGACCTTCTCCTGCGCCTCTGGGTGCGTCGCCGCCGCCATCACGCTCACGCTGATCGCGGACGCGGTCGTGTCAGAGCCCGCGCCAAACATTGAGCCTGCAAGGTAGGCGGCCTCCCCATCAGACAGCCCGAGCGCCTGCTGCTGCTCGATAACGTAGATGCCGAAACACTCTTTCAGCGACGGGTCGTTGCGCGCCTGAGAGGGTAGGTGAGATACAAGTCCAACAAGGTGATGAGAAGTGCAAGGTGAGGACAGAAGCAAGGCAGAACAGAAGCGCAAAAGAGCAGCGAACGCAGGAGAACGATGCAGGGGAAGTATCGCGGGAGAAGGCAGGGAAGACATATGCCCCCGAAGGGGATGCGGAGAATGAGAAAACCCACCTTCCGCTGCTTAACTAGCTCGAGCTGCGTCTTGAAGAGGTTGAGCTCTTCCTGGTGTCCGTCCTGCAACCACCGCAGATACCCCGGGATGAATCTGATGGAAAATTGTCAGTACGAGTACGAGTACGTGGTATGCGTGCGTGAAAGGGTGGGATATGGAGGTCTGGACAGTCAGAGGGCTAGACGCTGTGGATAAACGGAGTAAAGGAGACGTGCATGGACCCGCGACTGCGAGACGTGGGAAGGCGCAATGAAGCGCGCCGGAGGTAGATGGGTGTAGCGAGGAGACGAAGGTATGAGAGTGTAGAGCGGGCTCGCGTCATTGTGCAGGGTAATCGCGCCTCGAGCGCCCCCAGCGCGGCCGCCCACGACGGAAGGCGAAGGATGAAGGCGGAACAACCAGAGACGACGAACCCGACCGCCATATCTACCACGGTCCCGCATCGTGTACGCTGCGGAGGGCCGCGGAGGGGCGGGGTGACGAGAGGCGGGCGGGCTACAGCCTCGAATGGATGGTCCGCAATGAGAAGGAAACGGCACGAACGGTCGTGGTAGACCAAACGCAGTCGGGAAAACGGAGAGTGATAGGCAAGCAAAAGGCCTAGACCCTCACCTCAACCAGGGATAGACGTCCACCTTCCAAACTCCGGGGCGCAGGGATACGCCCAGGCGCGTTAGACACCTGGAAGCGCGCGCGTAAGAGGTTGGTAACGGATACGACCAGGGGCTCTAGTACGTACCTGTTGACAGCCTGCACCTCCGGATCGTCGAAGCCTTTCGGCACTTTGCCGTACGCGAGCACCATCACGACGGCGGCAGCGTACCTGGGGGAGGTGCGTTAGTAGGGTGATAGGGATCAGGGCGATATCCTAGTCCCAAGAGCGACTAGGCGAGACGGGTGACTAGAACGGGAACCCGCTATGAGCGCGATGTGGCATGACGTCCACGGGTCGCGTCTAGCGGCATGAGACAAAGTGGCGGACCCGCACTCACCGCTTGGCATGGTCCTGGTGGCGCTCGGGGTCGTCGACGATGTCGAAGAGGTGCTGCTTGGCCATCGCCATCATCGTCGGCGCGTACGTCGCGATGCTCTTCGGCTGCAGGTGCGAGTGCAGGGCTCTGCGGCACCAAAAGGCACGATGACGGCGGTGCGGCAGAAGCACGGCGGGAGCAAAGCGTACGGTGACAGCGAAGGGAAGCGGCGGCAACGTCAGTGATGGCGGCGGGAGGGCGGGGCAGGCACGGGCACGTACTTCCTCAGCTTGCGGAAGCGCTCGCCGGCGGGGGTGAGCAGCAGGCGCATGCCCCCGCTCAGCGTCTCGCCCGCTGCGATCTGCCGCGGGCGGTCCATTGTCGCCGCGCCCTCCTTCTCCATGATCTCCACCGCTGCCTTCATGCGCCCGATCACGACTGTCACCGGCGAGAAGGGGCCCTGGCGGTAGGAGAAGATGGGCCCGTATATCTGCGTCTGGGTCTCGAAGAAGCGGTACGCACTGGGCGGGGTGATGAGCATGAAGGGGAAGGGGTAGTGACACGCGGGACGTACAAGGCGTCGGGGATGGAGACGCCCCATAGCCAATGGCCCTTGGGCCCGGGAGGGAGGGGCACGCCGCTGTTGCCCTTGTTCGCGATGCGGTGCTTGGCGTAGGCAAGCAGCGTGCCCAGCAGCAGAGCGAGCGCGATAGTCTGTGGCTGTATCTCGAACATGGTGTGGAGGTGGTGGCGCAAGTTGAGTTGCGTATGTGGTCCGCCGTTCACCGACGCGTCGTCGCGATCTCTACAGTCGCGCGCTGGGTTCTAGTCCTGGCGGTTATATACCGGTCGTGCAGTTTCGCGTTCTCGCGGTCGTGAAGGAAGTCGCCGTGGAGTGAATGCCAGAGACAAAGTACGCCAAGGACGCGGGTGGGTCGCTGCCTTTTTGTAGTGAGGAGGCACTGGCCCTTTGTAGTGCGGAGTCGAGATCCGGGGGGCATTATATAGGTCTCGGTGTTATGAACGTCTAATCAGGTTTCTGAATCGCTAGTCATGGGGACATGTTATTGTTCGCGAATAGGGGCGATCCGATCGAAGATGGAGGCAGAAGAGCGCCCCAGCGCCGTCATGGAGCGGAACGGCGCGAAGGGGCGTGCAGCCGGTGCAGCGGGACGTGTACCCGGTGCGAGCGACCGCGCCCCGGGGCACGACGCGTCGGGCAGAACGGGTCGTCTGACGCGCCGTTCGCTGGCAGTGCGCGCAGGGCGGCGTCAGGCTTGGGCTTCGATACGTTGCCGCCTCGCGCGCAATAACGAGGATGTGTTGGATACATTGTACGGCCTCGGCGGAGATGGGCCTGCGCGAATGTTGACGAATTCGGCGGGGTTTGACACGGAAGAGGTGCGCAGCGGGAAGGGAGGGCGTGGGAGAACAGCCCCGGATGCGGGGAACGACGCGGTGGGCTCGGGCACGTGGCACGCTGAGGAACTCTCAGCTGACGAGGTTTGCGCGCCTGTCGGGCAGGTTCCTCGTCTCGTGGGGGCTTTCCAGCCACTCAGCTCAAGCCTTCTACCGGGCGCCAGTACTCACAGACGCTTACTGGAGGGTGCGAGGGACGACGGGAGCGCACAGCCAGTTACAATCGGCGCAGCAGCTTACTCTTCGCTAACCTTTCTTACCCTGAACTGCATGCCAAACTCCGGCAGTGGCTGATTCGCTCGATAGTGACACAAAGTTGCGCAGCTATCGTAGCACCCGAATGGAGAGCTCCCAGACGCGTCGGCTAATAGACGATGTCTCAAGAAGACAATAAATGCGTATGGTGGAGGATTACAGATGGAGAGCCAAGGCGCATCAAAGTCAGTGTTGCCTATCAATACTTTCTATGGAAAGAACAATAGGTGGGCACTTGGCAAGCTAAAGAGGAGATGGTAGGCTTCTCTAAGAATAAATTAGACCTAAAACCAGGAGGAGAGAGCGAGTCCACCAGCGAAAGAGATTCATCTGTTCAGTTGGAAGCTGCGTCAGTGGCACGGAAACCTGAGCAATTGACCGGGCTTGCGACGGGTCTGGTGAAGACAACCGAGTCCGAGGGCGATGGACGCGCGAGTCGATTCGCACCTGTACTGAAGGCAACGACCAATCGAGTGGCCATCGAAGTACGTCAAGTTGGCTTCACAATTGCACGAGATGTGTATCTCAATGGGAGAGCCAAACGTGACGAATGGTAGGAAGGGCGCGAAGGTTGGCCGTCGGGAGCGTATACATGTTCTCACCCTTTTGGGTACACGACGGCGGTGGAGGGAACTGGAAGTGATTTTTGTCGGTCATCTGAGCGCTACTCACAAAGTGCGCAGAACGCGAGAGAAGACATTCTGCGACGATGGCCGTCGGGGACGTAACGCCTGTACGCCGTCCGAGATACGCGACACCCAATAGAGAGAGAGAGAGCCAGAGAGCCTCTGACCAGCGAGTCTTGATTTCGAAGGCACAGAGAACGTACGCGAATGCATTCAGGATCGGTGGCCGTCGGGGACGTATCGCGTTTCCCAGCCAACCTCGTCATGGTACGACGTCTGTGGGTCAAGTGGGCGCAGCATTGGGATGACAGTGTCGAGTTGTCTGAAGGGGGCGAGAAAAGCGCGGGCCTTCGGCTGATAGCGGCCTGCGCACACTGAACGCACTCCTCCTTGAAAATGTCATCGTCAGAGTCAAGAGGAAAGCGGGAGTAAACACTTCGGCAATGACCGGAGCGTGTTTGACGCACGTGCACAGCTGGGCTCGGTGCTTTGACCCTGTTTGGCTCGAATTGCGCTTGGTTCCTGCGTTCATGAGCATTTCGAATTCCAAGTTCATATTGCTCCCTCTTCCTCCCAAACACCATACTGGCCGCCTGGATTGTCCGCTTGCTGCCCGCTTGGTGGAAGAAAACAATGGCAAAATTTCCCGAGTCCGGCTTATGGTCCCGACCGTGAGTTAGTCGCCCGGATCCTTCGGCAGGTCCCAACCAGTGCTCTTGAAATGGAAGTTGATGAAAATTTTACCACGCGCCTCTTCTCCTTCCATCTTCTGCGAGCACTTGACGGTGAAGCACCCTTTCCTTCTTCCACCATCGACACCATTGATTCATCGACTGACCCTCCGATGAAACTAACCTCTTTCCTGAAGGCCTGGTCGGCAAGTGAATAATGTCTTCGAGAGATGTCGTAGATCCCTACTGAACGTTCTGCTTATCAGTCGTACCTGGCCACAAAACTCGCAGTCGCCTCAGCAAGCGTCTTCCGGGCCCCAAAGTATCTTCGAAATTTACCAGGGAATCCCAACCTCATCCTTCCAACGACCAGAAGAACCATGGGCATAATCAGCAACAGCAGAAACTCTGCGAGCATTGCAAGCGCGAGCTCGTATCAGCAGCTCCAAGATCGCCTTCAGCGGTGCCGCCCCATCCTGCTCGACTGGCCGCGATCACTTCGCCTCAAAGAGACGAACATCTTCCACCTCGACCCAGTCCCCCGAACCGTCCTCTCCCTCCTCTCCCTCTGCTATGTCACTCTCAACCTCGAGCTGTTCCGGATGACTCTTTCCAAGAAGACTACGAAGGGACCAATGCTAGCACGTCTTCATATTCTTCGGGTTCCGCCGTCGTATCTCGCGCAGACGGAGATCCAGCTGATGTAACAGAGGAATTGGGTCAGATTGTGGCGAATTTGCCCAGTCTCCCGATGCAAGAGGACGAGATAAGCGAGCCGCGACCGTCTGTCTTGGTAAAAGAGCAGCTCGATACAGCGATAGATATCGGTGCAGGTGCGCCTGGTTCCGCTCGTTACTGCTACGGTTTATTTTCATCTGTGTGGCCACAGGCGCAATCGTGAATCCTGATCCTGCCGGGGTCGAGGGTTTACAACCCGGATCTTCTATCGCAATCGCCAACTCGCCAATGCCCACCTTGTCTGCTTCGTCTGACAAAACTAGAACAATCAGAAAAGGACACGACTGTCTGCACGCCGGATGCGAAAATCCATGTGTTGCGCCCGTAACGGCGCCACTAACAGACGGGAACATGGATGCACTCGGGGATCATCGAACAGAGGCAGACGACGAACATGACTACACTGTGTCTCAGGCGACTCTGCCGCACGATGGCGTCCATGATTCTGTGCCTCCCAGTCCTGTTCTGGACGAGGAACACAGCTCGAGTCGCGGAATGGCAATTGGGTTTGGGCAAATTCCCTGGGACCACATACTGGCGTCCATCCCCCATCCAAACTTCAACAAGCGCAAGAGGTCCTCTTCGTCGAAACATCGGCTACTGCACCCTTACACGCACTTACCTGGGATTCCGGAGGAACCCTTGCGACTCTCGACATGCGGCGAAATCGCCAAAGACGGTACGCTCGCCTTCAAGTTCAGCGCGAGTGACAAGGCACAGTCAACTGTAGACGAAGCCCTCGATGACTTTGAGAACTTCTTGAACCAACACGCCAACTTACTGGAACTGGACCTCACGCTCGCGGCCGGCGCCTGCCTCCCTGCAGATTTCCTGGCCCGTGCCATAGCGAAGGCTCAAACGCGCCTCGCCCGCTTCATCCACGTCACCATTCGCCTCGAGGGCGCCGCAGCGCAGGCGCAAGCGACCTGGATCTGGCCGCCTAAATCACAGCTACGAGTCCTGCGCCTCGTCGGTATCGCGCGAGGGGGCGTTCTGCCCTTGACACAGCTACAGGGGCTCTTTCTCTGCGAGGAAGTGAAGCCGGTGGAGATTGCCTCCTTCCTAACCTCCCTTCCTCAACTGCGTGTGCTGGCTCTCTGCCTTGGCTGCGCGGGCTCGAAAAGGTCCTTCCACGGACCGAGCGTGTTGCCGCAGCTGGAACGACTGGACCTGTACGTCAGAGTGGACCCGGCTGCATTCTTTGCTTGCGTGCACTTGCCCGCTTTGCGCAGTTTGAATTTGCACGTATCTGGACATCGCATCCGGTGGGAAGACGATCAACTGGTCGAGCAGGGAGCGAAATGATTACGGAGGAAATCTCGATGCAGTACACCCTGGAGCGCGCTGAACGATGACCAATTCAGCGGGCCCTCCTCTGGGCGCACGACAGCGACACGACGCTCTTCTTTCTTCATGATCGCTTCTGGGGCGATGGTCGCGGGCCTGCGGTGCTGACCCACTGTCGTCTGAGTGGTGGGCATAGGATAAAGAGACTATTTGTTTGATTATCTTGTACTAAATAGATTGTCCCCTTATCACTATAGGGGCGAGATTACGTGTGTATACCTTGGAAAAGTCGGATATGTAGTCGAGAGGTTCCGTATTTAGCGAGAGTCCGAGCGTTCCGCACGGCGGGCATGGCATGATCGTCGTATGCACACACTTCCATTGAATCTGGTGACACGAGTGGCAAAGTGAAATTTTTAGGGGTAAAATGGTGGTTAAAAATGTGGTAAAAAAGGCGGTCAAAAATAACATCTTTTTAGGAGCAAAATGAACTTAGTTTGAAGGGTAAAATGGTGATGAAAAAGACGAAAGTTTTCACCGGCTTTTCACATGACTTTTCATGGCTAAAACAATCATATTTTTCGCGCTCAAACCACGATCGTTTTGAAGCTCAAATATGTATCTTTTTGACCATATTTTTTGTCACAAAAAGACGCTCTTTTCATGCTTCTTTTTATCGGGAAAAAGACCATCTTTTTAGGCCCAAAATATTTATCTTTTTGGCCGCCTTTTCACCACCAAAAAGATCGTCATTCTGCCAGTAAAATTATAGTCGAGCGATTGTTCGCCTGATGATCGCGCCAATCATCGCCGATGAGCGCGAGAACCGATGTCGATGCCGACTCTTCAGGCCGTGCTCGGCCCTGATTTTCGCATGCACAGTCGGTCTTCGCGATTCAAAAAGTCGGACACGCCGATCTATACCGCACAATCGCGCGAGCAGAGGGCCACACAAGGTAAGTGGCAGATCGTGGTCGGTATTGAACAGGCCACTGGCGCCACAGGTTCGACATGTCACAGGCGTCACAAGACAGGCAATCGACTTCCCGAAGAAGGTTGTCACCTCGTGGCCATCTCATGGCAGTCACGTTCAAGCCAAGTTGAAGCTCCAAGCTGCGGAGTTCGCACTCGCAGCCTCCCTCCCCGACGAACCTTGTATGCGACAACAACGATGGAGGAATGTCTCGGTGAAGGGATGGACCAACGTCACTCAGTGGTGCGTCAGGCCTGTTCGCACCAAGTATCTCATCCTCGCGTAGGCGCTGGGCCACGAGTGCTACAGATTAGACAATAGACCGTATCTGCATCGGGATGTATTGGCGAAATCAGAACTGATTGCTCATAGAGACAATGGGACTTGCATGAAAGATGTGTCAATATATATCGGTGCAAATACGGTGAACGCGAGGTCAAAAGCTAACTGAGTATTTGAGTAATCCAATTGTGCCGAGTATCTAATGTGATAGTAGCCAGTTCACAGTGCATGCATGATACGTCGTACTTGATCCCAACGGTCCACATTCCCTCCACTCCCAGGTTCCACGACAGTGATGGCCTGCTTGCCAGCTTCTGATTGCGCGGCCTGCGCATGATGGCAGGCGCACTCGCCGTAAGATAGACGGGCTAAACCGGGGAACGCCTGAGAAAGGAATAGACCCAGAGCGCCGGGGTCGTTGACGGGACTATCAGACACGCAGAGTGACCTTAGCGGATAGAGCGACTGGGGCCTGTGGACCATCTGCGCGCTCTGCGTCCACTCGCATGATGGCAGGGTCGCACAGTCGATGCCGGGAAGGCCAAGAGCCGTCAAGCGTGGACAGGCAGCTACGATATCCAGCACGGCCTGCATGGTGCACCTGGGAACGCGAGCTAGCGTGCTGTGGATCGTATGTGGCCGTAGGGTCCGGGGTACGACATGCAGTCGTTCCAGTAGAGGCCACGGCCGGACGGCGATCACCCAGTCAGCGTCAGACATATGGGATCGCAGGGCACCCTCAATGTCCAAATGCGTGAGCTCGCGAAGGGGTGAAAGTCTTAGGAAGAGACCCGGTGTGATGTACATTCGGCCTCCTTCCTTCCTCTGTTTGCCGTCCTCAGAGACAACGTTGTCGATACGTATCTCCAGGTGCGACAAAGAGGAGCATACATCTGAGATAGCATCGATGAGGTCGCGGAACCCTTTCTGGGTGACCCTCAACGGCCAGTCGACGCGTAGTTGCCGAAGGTTCCGGGGAGACCCTGGACACATGATATGCAGCAAGGTGTCGACAGGGACTTCGTGGAAGTGCAAGACGTTAGGATAGGTCGCGGCAGAGGTATTATGGGGTGATATCACAGAAGGATGGGCGGGACCAGAACCAACGAAGACATTGGGCACCTGCGAAAAGGCAACGAGAAGGCGGCGCACGTGCAGGCTCAGGGACACGGTCCCTACGCCAAGCCTCGCCAGGACTGGCGGACGACGAGGAGTAAAGTTCATTATATAGCGCTTCGGCATTGTGATCGAAATGCTGCGCAAGGCGGGAAAGAGAGTGCTGAGAGATCCTGCGAGACGAGATAGCTTCATAAAGATGACCAAGTCGACGACGCAGTTCCGGTAGTCGAAATTGATGTGGCGAACGAATTTCGAACGCTCGAGTACATCCCGCAGCTCATCCGGGCTCAAGTGAAAGTAGATATCCTTGGGCGACGTGAGCAGGGGCTCAGACCAGGCGTCTGGTGAATACGCACCATCCCGGTCATCACACGGCCGTTCCACATCGTGCGTGAGAGATCCCACTGATAAGCGCCCATCGGCATCGACGCGAGCAGCGGCTGCATGCCTGTCAAACGATCCCTCCAGAGAACGTCTTCTGCAACCGTTCTCCAGAAGCGCGAGACGCGGGCGAGGCGTCCCAGACTACGACGGTCGAGGGCCTCGCATACGAGAAGGCCGATTTCGGAGATTGCAAGGACGCGATGAGACATGAGGAAGGGCGAGATGAGGGACCAGCGGTCGACGAGTGTTCGAGTATAAGAGCAAATCGGCGCGGAGGACAAAGGGGAGAGGAGATCGCCCCCTCGTTGCCGGGCACGAGCAGCCTGAAGCCTTTGGGCAGTCGCTGTGTGTCCGAAAGTGTGCTGATGTGCCGAGGTGTGCTCATAGCTCTGTATCTCATGGCACGGAAAGGAGACCGTGCTATTCGACCACAAAGGCGGATGTACCGGCACCTTGTCATGAGGAATCCCGCCTATCTGGGGATCGACAAAGCAGACCCATTCTCCGCCTGTCTCTCAAAGGGCCGCAGGTATGACCCTTACAGCTCATGGCATCTGACGAATCCGTCCGCTCGCTCTGCGCTGCATTCTTGATCGTATCCTACATCTCGAACTTCTTTCATAGGCTCGTCTGCCTCCGGCTCGTGCTAGCGCTCACACCTCACAGGGGCCTGAACGGATTGTCTTTTCTTGTGAGCTCGGCAAGCGCTGCAGAAAAGGAGATTCGGATGCATACGGGCAGCGTGATCGTCTGCAGACCGATTAAATACGCCATTCGCCCGATCAGCGGATGATAGCGAATTGCCGAGCCGGGCACTTGCAACGTGGCGTTCCTCGTCATCACCTAGCACATTTCGGTCCCGCGCAGATACCCATGGCCAAGAGAATAAAGGTTGCCTGGAATCGAAATGTCGTCGTGTGAGACATGAATTTTTGTGTATTTTCCCAGGTACCGTGCCCACGGCCCATGGCTCCCCCTCCTTATGCAGTAACTTGCCAAGCAGTCTATCTGTCGTACGGGAAGAATCGCATGAGTTCGTAGAGGGGTAGTGGTCAGGTGTCATTTGAGGCAGCTCGATGTCGCATAGGGGTTGGGCGCAGCAGCGATGGTCGACTTTGAGCTCTGGCCGAGTTGTGAGTATGCATGAATAGGGTGAGAAGATAAAGACGCAACTGACAAGGACGACGACGTTCCTGGATATGTTGAACGATGCTCGCTGTGGCCCGACGACTCCGCTTCGCGGAATCATGCCTGACGATCTGCCAGCACGCGCCTCGACCACCGTACGGACTACGACAGCACTCAGTCGTCACTCGCAGTCTTGGGCTCACAAATCGTGGGGTCAGGACCTCGATGTATTCGTCCTTCGAGTGAGAGTCAGCATGCGCCTCAGCACGCGGACCATGCGACTGAGGACTCGCTCGAGTCGGGGATGACGAACTCGGAGAGAACGAGCGCGCTGTGGATGAGGCTGGAGGTGGAGTTCTTCCTCCTCGTGGTCGGGCCAAGCGCCGAAAGCCTCGACACGGTGGAGGAGCTCCTTGATGAGGGAGGAGCGAGGCCCGAGTCTCGAGGGGTCCTTGTCCTTTGCATGGGTGCTCATGGAGCGCAGTGTAGCTGATGTTGTCCGCAATGACGGTGCAGGGGCTAGGGACGAGGCGGTCAATGAAGATGAATGGAAATGGCGGGAGCGGAATTACATGCAGAATGGGGAAAACGACGCACCATCACCAAAGACATCCTCGCCGCAGAGGTAGTCGGCCAGCAACCCGACGGGTTCCTTGAGTTCCCAGGGCTTCTCGTCCTCGTCCCTCTCATCGCCGAAGGTGGTATCGCTCTTTGCCACGTCTTGAAGCAACACTTGTTACACGGAGGTCTCAACATCCTGCGACATCGAGGACACAGATCCAGACATACTCGTGCGCCCTCATATTCTGCCCGTGAACGAGGGTGCGGACCGGCTAAGAAACCCAACCAAGAGCGAGGCCCGTAGCCGCGCGCGGCGCACCTTCTCCACAAAGATGCTCTTCGCGAGCTCCTCCGTGCGTTGGCTCGTCTCCACGAGATGAGGGTGTACCTGCTCCTGTCCCTGCCGCCTGTCCTCGATGGACTACAATAGACCGTCAGCACGGTCTTACGCATTCAAGCCGCATGCCGACTCACGTCGTTCAAGCTAATTGGTCGTAAGCTGAGCCCCGCGCGCCCGGCTTCCTCCAGGTCCTTCGCATTCTCCAGCTTGCCCAGCTTTCAAGTCAAGCAGGCGCACCACAGAAGTCGCTCTCGCGGTCCTCGATTACCGCTTCGCAGGGAAACCGATGATGTGCTTGAAGGTGACCGACCTGAGCGGGAGAAGGAGTGCCGAGTGCTCAAGCATCTCGCGGGATGTGTTGAAGGAGAAGGCTTGGGCGTCGTCGTCGACGTTGACTCGGCTGGCCCGTGAGAGGAAGGCATAGCTTGTCGAATTCGGCGGTGAGGAAGGTGTGCTTGACGAGAAGTTCGGTGTCCTTGCCGCGCGCTTCCAAAGCTGTCGCCAGAGTTCTTAGATGCTAAGGGACGGATGCGATAAGTCAGGTCTCAGCTGAGGTAACAAGCGCACGTACAACTTGTCAAGGAGGTAGACAATGGCTTCGGAGGCGTACGAGCGACGTCGTCCCGATCGTCGGGTCCGATCCTTCGCCCGCGTCCTTCGCCACAGATCGTCAGAGCGAGATGCTCAGGCGAGCTAGGCAGGCTCGCATGTAGCTGACGCCGATGAAGGATGGAGGGAGAGGGAGTGGGGAGGGTCAAGTAGCACGTCCTTGCGCATGTCGCAACTGGAGCTTGCGTCAGAGGCAAGATAAACTCCCCCGTGTGTCTGGGACGTACCTGAGGACGACGATCCTGTACTGCGGTCCGACAATTGACTTGTGGAGAGGGAGAATGTGTCCAAGGCGACACCCCGACCAGCACGACCCCCGGTTCCGATTCTAGGAGGCAACAGTCCACCATCCGCCAGATGCGGTTCGGAAGCACAGCAAGGTCATACGAGCTTTCGATGGTGCCCTGAAGATGCCCGGTTAGTCCTGTTCCCCATCGCATGCAACAGACTCACTGGCTGCATCCACTACCAGATCGCCGACTACCCGTCGTACCCGAACACCCGGCGGCCTGCGACTGTTCTCTGAGTCGCCCGCTTATGCCAAGGGCACCATCAGAGGAGATGCATCACGCGTTCGAAGACAAGTATGCGCGAGGAATCCTCAATGTCATGACGAGAACCGACAAGCGCACTGCGCCTTCCCCGACTATCATCACGAATATTTGTATTCCCCTTTTGGAAGGACGATAGCCATTTTAGGTTAATCGATTGCCTAATTAAAGACCCGTCCGATCCCCATTGTTCGACTGAGCGCCTTCCTTCTCCTCCGGTTTGCTCCACCGGCATTTGCTCAGCGCTGTGTTCAAAGCGGATGGGTACCGCATGTGACTGCGTAATGTCCAGCATACGATAGATATATAGATATACACGAAGCTATATACCACGATTCGCATTTACGACTCTTCCGCCCAAGCATCAGCCTGGAAGATCTCGAAGGGATCGTCGGTCAGTTCCAGCATCAGTTCGACAAGTTCGCCCTGAGCTTCGAGCCAAACCGGGTCATATAACGCTTTCGGAATGCGCTTCGGAGGCGCCTGCCCGCTCGCCTCGTCAACTCGCACCCTCGGCGTCTTCGCTCCCGCCCGCTTATCAAAATACATCCGCGCCAGAGCTGGAGCCTCATCCACCTTCGCGAACAGATCCCTGAGCTCGGGGCGGCGCCAGACGGGATTCAGGACCTTGTGGTATCGCCTCTTGGTGACGACGCCGCTGTCGTGCTCTATCTCTTCGTAGTCGGTCTCCTCGTCGGACATCCCCTCAAAGCCCAGTGCTTCCACCGCCCTCATGACATAGGACCAGTACGCGAGCGCCTCCGGCTTGTTGCTAACCCTACATGCGGTGCGCAGGACGCCTGCGTACCGCAGACGAGCTAGGGCTTTCTAAGCAAGGAAGACAAGGGTCGTCAGCAATAGCTCGCGTCAGGCCGAAGGATCGATTTACCGTCTGCCTGCTCGTTGTGACTCGACGCTGATCATTGTAAGCTTGGTGCGCCTCCCTGAACCTCGCTATCGCGTCGACCACGTCTTCGCCTGCCTGAGGCACTACAGACGCGATCAACCTGTACATGCGACCGAGGCGGGTATCAACACCACGCTTGATCCTGTCGGCGTCAACGACTCCGAAGCGCCCATCACCGCCATCCCGGTCAGTTATTTCCTTGACTTTCCCGCAAAGCAACTTCGCCACGCGCTGCAAAGCAGTATGAGATCTCATGTACGTGACTGGTTGAAGCCGCGAGTGAGAGAGAACGAACCTGGTTCCATGCTGACCCAGACAGCTCATCAGTGGTCGCAAGGCCGTTGGTATCGAGCCTCAGGTCTTCCAGGTCCGGCCCGTGCGACCTAGGATTTCGTCGGAATGCGTCAAGCTCCTCGTCACTGACGGGCTCCAGCGCGACAACATGATACACCAATTGTATGCCCATCCCTCGTAGGATCAGGCCGAGTACAAGATTCTGTGGTTCCGGCGTCAATAGCGGCCACCTTAGCGAGTAATGCAGAGCAACGAACGTTGAAGTTCTTCTTCATGGTCTGCGGGGCGTACAGCGCACCAGGAGCAATCTTTTCCTGGAGGAACCTGCGAGCGATGCGCGAAACGGGCGTCTTTGGCTCTACGTCGTTGCCGTCGTCGTCGTAGTCGTTGTAGTCGTCGTAGTCGTAGTCGTAGTCGTCGTCCATGTCGTTGACGTCCTCGAACTTGGCACGGCGCAATGGTCTGCTCCGAGTAGGATGCGACCTGGGTCTCTCCCTATTGCGCCGGGGTACCTCTTCGTCATCGGCGTCACAGTCCTCCCCCATATCGCCAACGCGGCCGTATCTAGAAGGACGCTGGTAGTGGACGCATTAGTGAACATTCTCGTACCGAGTCGTGAAAAAACACATGTACCGCTTCTCTCGAGTACGGGCTATGCCGTGAGCGCGGCGTGTGCTGTCCGTCATGCGTCCCCTTCGCCGAGCGGGGCCCGCGTTTGCGCGGAGACGGTGTTTGCTGGAAGGTTGTTGAGTTTCAACGGCTCCCAGAGTATACAATCCAACTTACTAGGGGCGAGCCCAGCTTGAACTGATCCAGGGCGGTCAAATGGTCAGCGACATCGACCCCTCGGAGCTTTTGATTGGGCATGTTGAGACCCGCCGCGACCCGTCTGCCTGGCGTACCAGTTGCGACCGTGCGACCGCCGCTGTTTCTGCCCTTGCTCTTTGCCGTTAGTCCCGAACAGTGCTCCAGGTCATGAACCTCACTGGTCCTGAACCCATTGTTGCACTGCGTTTGCGGTTTGCGCCCTGCGCGTCAACTGCTAATTCCTAAGGAAACACCTCAGAACCGAGGTCGTCCCACGCCATTGCGACCTGACCTCATGCACCATGTCTACCGTCGCGTCATGTTTCTCGTTGAAGTTGCTGAGACGGCTAGAGCTGATGCGAGCTGGCTCGTATGCCAGGTCGACGTCAATCTGTACGCAATGAGTACCTAGGATCACCTCATGGGATTCACTTGCTTCAGGGCGCAGATTTCTCTCCTCATCGCCGCCGCGTTGACCCTCCGTCGCAGTAACCACTCCCTTTCGCCGTGACGCGCTCAGGCCCTGCAACAAGTGTCAGGGGTGGCCTTTTGACTGAGCACGGCATATACGGCGTACCTGCACGCGTTCAAGCTCCTTTGCGATTTCTTGCATCTCGATGCGCAAGGATCCGATCTGTTGTTCGTGGTACTCTTCAAGGCACTTCTGATGGGCCTCTATATCCTCCTTTTGCTGTCTTGCCCACTGCAAATCTGCCTATTTAACGTAGTATCATCCAAGTGGACGTAGTCGAGAAGATGCATACCATGATGTGATGTTTGACCGCCAACGTGTCCTCTTCTAGTCGTTGGTTCTCGGCTTGTAGGTCCTCATAACGCACCCGTGCTTCAGCCAACTGCCTCTCGGCGCTCACGTTCTCAGCTCGCAAGGCCTTTTAATCCTTTGGGTCGTGTCAGTCCCATGGGCATGGAGGCGGGTACATACCTCTATAGCCTGATTCAGGATCGCCTCTCTGTCCTTCAAAGCGGTGATGATACCTTCCAGTTCACAATTTCTGTCCAGTTCGGCGTGGAACCTCCGCGCAACATCCTATACCAGAAGACATGAGTTGAGGCATCCGGAGAATTGGCAGTCACTCACTTGGCTCGCCTCCAATCCCTGAGAAGCCCGGTGTACCTCGCTCATCCGACGACCAGCAGCGAGATGCTCAGCAGCACTCAGTTCCCGAACTTGGTCAAGCAGCATGCTTGAATCCGCGACCCAGGAGGAGTCGCGATTCCGACGGTCGTCCAAGTCGGCCTGCAATAAAACCTGTTCATTGAGTAAGCAGCTGCATAGCGATGGAGAGAATTGATCTTTGACGAACCTGAAGACGATGGACCTCCGCCTGGCGACAACTGCTGAGTCACATACAAGCGCGGCGGTCGGAAAAACCTACTTCTAACTTTGCCACCTCGACCGCAGCTTGGCCCTGACCAGCAGCGATCAGAAGAGCCATGCGAGACACCGAGGACACTGACCTGAACTTCGATCGTGTTCGGGAGCCTAGAGAGCGTCTGCGATGAGGACCTACCGCTTTCGAGACCGGACGCCTGACGTCCGTCAAGGGTAGGCAGCTTGCGCCTCATGAGCTGAACGGTAGGTGAGATGAGCGGAGAGCCCACACGCGCAAGAATCAAGCCTACCTCGTTCTCTCTCTCGAAGGTCGTCACGGTCAACCTAGCGACGCTTGGCTCTTCCTTGCGTTCCAGGATACGTTGATCCAAACGCTGAAAGTCAATCAGGTACGACGTCAAAGCACTGTCGTGCGGCACTTATGACGAGAGAGTTGGAAATTTGAGCCGTTGCAGTGGCTAATATCTTAGACCGCGGATCCTGTAGCAACGAAAAATGAGCGCGTACTGCTGCATGGAACTCAGAGCTTACACTCGGAGGGATCTTCCGTCGTAGTTCCGCGATAGCCTGATCTTTGAAGTGAATCTCCTGCCGTACTTGTTCTAGCCGACGTGAGAGATCGTCGTTCGCTCTCGACGTGGCCAGCTGGTAGTCGCGCGCGCTGAGGAGTGATTCCCGCCACCCAGTATAGAGTGCGGTGCCGGCAAGCGGGTGAGCCTCGATAGCGGGTTGTTGGTCAACGCTCTGAGATGAATCGAAGTCACGGTCAAGTACGCCACTCATAAGCAGTGCCACTCACTAGTGCTTTCGTCCGTTCAACGGCGAGTGCATGGACCTGTTGGTTTGTATCCGCCATCCTCGGACACCCGCAGACAGAGCCGCAGTAAGCGCGAAAAAGTAGCTCCAGGCGTATACGACGATGGAAGCCACCCGACAGATGGAAGGTGCGAAGTTGAGGGACTCACTTATATGCGCTACGGCCGATGTTGCTTTTTGCTCGTTTGACCGCAAGGACAAAGCGCAGGCGTCGGAAAGAGACCTCCTAACGTCTTACAGGTGGGCGAGATGTACAACATATCCGCCGCGAGTTCATCGTATAGTATTCATGCCGCCGAACTTGATGAAGGACGGAACTGGCGGCTGCTAACATGGCGGTTCGCATATACAAGACAATTCTGCCGCATCCCATCAACACGCTCTGATCGCACGTGCTCATCCAGCGACGATTACCACTTTTGGTTGAACAGTCGCACTCACCTGCGAGCAATGTCAGACATACAGCCGAGCAGCGGCAAACGTGCGCCAGGGTATGTAGTTGGATGATAAGTTTCTATCACTGACCTGATCCGCTTTTTATTGGCTAGCACTCGGATCCTCAAGATCGCCAGCCTTGAGGCTGAGTTAGCTCAAAAGACCGCGGAGCTGGAAAGACTGAAGCAACTGCGAGCGGAGAACACTGAACTCCGTCGACTCCTAGACCAAGCTCCGCCATTCACCGTCCATCTTGGCTCGACTACTCCGGTCAGCTACAAGTGCTCATCCTCAGTTGTTCCGTGTTGCTAACTTTACTGCCCATTGCTTTAGAGTGAGCATCTCCCCCTACAGCATCCGTCGCCGCTCCAACATCTCGAAACACTGGGTGCGAAACTTTGTCCAGTCGGCGAGCTGTCACTGATGACATGCAAGCGCCCGGCCAGAAGCTAAGTCCCAAGGATGTGGCTGTACAAACCTGTGTGCAAAGTGACCATGCGAGTCCCCATCTTTTGGCAACCCTGGTAGTACAGGAATCTCCCGTCGTTGAACGCCGAGACGCCATCGACGCACTGGACTCTCACAAAGGATCACATACGGCATCCTGCGATCAACCAGAGGACGCACCGCTGTCAGATTCTGGCAGCGATGGGGACATCGCACCCGCAGGTGAGAGATAAGCAGAAAAAACGCTCTGATCTCACATGGACACATAGCTGCACTGGATCATGACCTTCCTCTATCGTTCTCTCGACTGTCCACGCTCGCCAGTCCGGAGAGACTCGAATTGAGCTCTGCCTCTCATGCCGCATCGCCGTCTCATCCAGGACAGCCCGGACCTCAGTGTATGTTCACCGCGATGTCAACTGTAACTTTGATAACGATGGTACAGTAGCGTCTCCACTTGACGGAAGGGCCGAGGAACGTGAACCTTTCGACTCTATGTCGCGTCATCAACAATCCCTCCAGGAAGGCAACGGTATGTCCTCGCTTGTGTCCTTGAGCAGCGCGTCTCACCTTTTATGTAGAGCAGCCTTTGCCGACGCGCCTTAGTGAGGGAACATCCGTGCCACCCAGCTCAGGCTTGCTCGATTCTACACTACCAGCGTCACCTGCACGACGAAAACATCAAGATGTCGCCGCTAATAAGGAAGACGACACGTCAATCAAGAAAAGAATGAAGATTTCCGAGACAAGAACACAACCAAGCCGCGCGGCGCGAACAGACACGGATGCAGCTCTCGAACTTGCTCGGCGTCACGGTAAGGCTCTTCTGTAGTCATCTGGTCGTCGCTCAACACATGCACATAGCTGATCCAGCAGAACTCGCTGCGCAAGACCGAGTGGTCCTAAGTGCGTGGCTCGTGGCTCTTGGCGTTCGAAACTCATACGTTGTAAGTTACTGGCGACCTACGCGACGCGATCTACTTGGATATTGAGCGGCAAGTCGGTTGCTGTACGACGGGCAAGGCAGCAGCTCAGGGCGTCCCTAAATGCATGACGTGCGCAAGGCGCTTGGAAGGGGATACGTGCCGCTTTCAGGGTATACGCTGCTTTGGCATCGACCGGGACGGGAAGATTGTCACTGTCGCCTTTAAGGATGACGGTACGGTCTCAGATCTCCTCTACCCTGATAGGTGGCAAGTGGAACCCACACAAGAAGACCTCATGCATGTAAAGGTGCGCACTGCCTCTCATATTCTTTGACTGGCGAGCTCATAGGGCTTGCCAGATGGCCATTGCAAAAGCTCTTCTGCCTATTCTTCGTGAGGAGATGAACCACATCCAAAGCCTGACCATAATCAAGCGTCAGCGGGAGAGTGATGTTCGTGTCACCTGCGGTTTGTATCCTGACGTCCGGCCCGGTGTTCGTCCTGGCTGCTTACATTGTTCTATAGATATCTGCAACACCTCGATCTTCTCTGCCAGCTGGATGTGTCGTACCTGCGGCAGCGAGAGCTGCCCTCCCTGCTTCAAGCTTGTCACTCAGTATACATCAGCCTCCGTCGAGCAAAGGGGCGGTCGTCCTCCCTCATTCCTCGCCTGCTCGACGTCCGCACAGCATCAGGCCGTAAAATTCTCGCCCGTAACAAGATTTGAGGAGCAGGATCTGCAGCAATCTATTCGGGAACTCGAGGAGGTACTGAGGCTCGGGAAGGCCCCGTCTATCCCAGAAGTGGCCTTGAATCTCGAGAGCCAACTCGCACGATCGACGCCTCAGGACTCGCAGTATGAGCAGGTGACACGACTAGCGTGTGAGATGGTGACAGAGGAAATCCTGAGCTTCTTCTTGAAACGGGGGGAGCCGCTTATCATCACGGGGCTGCTGCAGCGCATGCAGATATCCTGGACGCCGGAGTACTTCATCCAACACTACGGCGACCGCGAATGTCTCATCACAAACTGTGCGAACGAGCGCACCAAGGCAACGACTGTCGCAGATTTCTTCCAGACTTTCGGCAACTATTCCAGTAGGGGCAGGAAGGTTTGGAAGTTGAAGGTAAGTCTATCAGCCTGTGTATAGATCCCTTCTCTGACTTGGGTACAGGACTGGCCACCCACGGCAGATTTCAAAACATCGTTTCCGGACCTCTATCACGACTTCATGAATGCAGTCCCTGTACCCGCGTACACGCGACGAGATGGCTTTATGAATATCGCCTCCCATTTTCCGACGAATGCTATTGCTCCCGACCTTGGTTGGTACACCTCTTGCTTATATTTCGTCCCTTTACAAGCACTAATCATGACGCAGGCCCCAAAATGTACAATGCACAGGCCTCGACAACAGGCGAAGGGAGCAAGGGATCGACTCGTTTGCACATGGACATGGCAGACGCGCTGAATGTCATGACCTACGCTGCTCCTGAGACGCGCGACTCCCCTCCCGCCGGTGCGGCCTGGGATATATTTCGACCAGAGGACTCGGCGACAATCCGTCAGTACATGCGCCAGTCGCTTCATCCTACTTCTTCGGATCCTATCCATAGCCAGCACTACTACCTCGACGACAAGCTACGTTCAGAGCTCTTCGCAGAAACTGGTGTGCGCTCTTTCCACTTCCGGCAGCTACCCGGTGAAGCGGTGATCATCCCAGCGGGATGCGCACATCAGGTATCAAATTTGAGCGACTGCATAAAGGTCGCGGTAGACTTTGTGTCACCGGAGAATGTGGTGCGGTGCGAAAGGCTGACGGAAGAGTTTCGCCAGGAGAATCTCGCGGCGCAGGACCAATGGAAGGAGGACGTGCTCCAGCTCAAAACGATGATGTGGTATGCTTGGGTGAGCTGTCAGCAGCAGCAGGGAAAAATGGACAAGGGTTTATTCGCTGTTTAATGGACATACACGCTTGTAGAATAGTGCATGTGGCTGATTTGGTATTTCAGCATAGTATGGCTCACTCAATGGCGACCAGTCTACCGGTAGCTGTGACTTTTTGGGACCAAGAATCATAACGAGCTGGACACTGCCGATCCAACGCATTCGTCCGCTCGCACCAACACGCTGCTCGTAGAGTCATCGGGCGATGATCGTTACATTCCGATCCGACTCCGCATCGCAGAGTGTCGAACCATCGGCTCCAGGCGCGCCACCCGACGGCCAGAGATGAGCCAGGAAGTACTCGCAGCTTGAGGGCAAAAGCGGAGTAGATCTCCAACCCTTCGTCTCCTGTAGATTGTCGTGCCGAAGTCGCAAGGGCGTCATGTGCAACGTCGTTCTACTGTCCGGGTGTGCACAAGCGCCCTCCTTCCTCTCCGCGACAGATGTGTGTCAGTGGCAGTATCTTACAAGAGCCTCAAAGCTAACCGACTCCCGCAATGCATACGGTAGGGTCAGACAATGTTCAAGACGTGTCGCGTAGACCAACTGTACAAGGAATTGAGCTTGAACAACCAGAGTGTAGAGAGGATACAGTGTATACTTGACATCCGCATACCGGAGATCACACTATGGCGTGTCGAGGACAATAATGCGGTACTAACTGTCCGCCGGTGTAGAACCTGAGTGGCGCGGATATAGTTGTCCGCCGAAGCAATGTAAAGGAAGTAACCTCGCAACGCAATGTAGATCCGTAATCGTCTTCTTTTCTGACTTCAAGGCATGCACCTCCAGTGCGGATACTCAATCCTGTCGCTTTCGAATTGTTGCACGTGATATGTTGACTTTCGGAACCGCGAGCTTACTAAGCGATGACGCGTTCGATCTCTGGTTCGGTTCGCCTCTCATAACTCATACTCATCTCTCTTGTCCACCAAACCATATACTTCTCGTGGCTGAATGCACCATTGGGCATGCAGCTTAGGAGAGCAGGACATCCGAGCCGCGGCATGTCAACCGTCTCAGGACGATGACGTGACTTTGATCGGGGCGGCATACCTCCCGCGCCCGCTGCGCCGCTACCTGATCCGACGGACGGCTGTAATATGTGCAGTTCCTTATTCGTGGTACGTCAGCGTGAAGAGCAGGTCTACTTCTCGTTCAGAGTATCGTTGCTATCCTCCCATTCGCCTCGCATTTTCCCCTTCGCTGCCAGCATCATCTTCCGTGAAGGCTGCGTTGAAGGTGAGCGCCTGCGTTATTCCATCCGTATCCACTCTCCCTGATGAGACGCAGACATCCGCTGGGTGATCCTACCGGTAAGACTGAATTGATCAATGGCCTTGACGCCTATATCGCAACACCCGAGCAAGGCCATCCAAAGCACAAGGTTCTGCTCTTCCGTACGGACCTCTTCGGTGGTATATAACTGGCTAATGATCACGTTGGTGTATATGTGCGGTAGGCTCCAGCTTTACTGACCACTTTGTAGCTGCTCGACGACGACTTCGCCGCCAGTAAGACCGTCATCCCGGGGTACTTGAACAGCGACCCTATATCCGCGGTAGATCTTTCAGATGTCGCGAGATGGGCCGTCCACCGCGGGCCTGACAAGACTCGCCCATCTCTCGATAAGGTCATCGCTGGCCTTGACGGGCAGGGCGCCACGACCTTCCCCTCCGTTGGTTACTGCTTCGGCGGCGCGTGCATATCAACCTCATACATGTGCGATCTCCTATTCACCTTCCCTTCTCCCAGGTTTCCACATTTACAAACGCGCCTTCTACGAGGTTAGCAAGTGTGCCGCGGTCGTCCACATCTCCTGCCTCGACGTCCCCGCCAACAGTGAGTGGTACACTACAGCGAGCGTGCCGCTTTTGATGAAGGGCTGCGAAGTCGACCGCTCGTTCTCGCCGGAGGCGCAGGCGATGATAAGCGAGATCCTCAGCGATGAAGGTTCATGTCGGGATACAAGCGCGACTGCTGGCCTGGGTACACGCATTGGTTCGCGGTACGGGGTCACTGGAGCAACTTTGCGGCGAAGCCGGATAAGGAGGGAAAGGAGGGCGCGTCCAAGAAGGTTGTCGAGTGGATGGCGACGCATCTACAGAATCGGTGATTCGATGAAATGAAGTGACCACTTGTTTTCAGCTCGCGCTACGCCGGACTCCGTCGACTGGCTGGTACACGACACAGCAACTGGGACAATCCGAAGTGGTTTGCATATTATGGCAAGGACATGCCCGCTATGATCTCAACCTCGCCTTCGACGGCATCCGATACTCGAGTCCCGCGTTCGCACGGCGCGAGGGCCCGTGATGACACACTACCATCTGATCCCGAGATGAGGGGAGCGCTTGAAGCACGGACGGGTTGAAGAAAACGGCGCGCACACCATGTCCTCTCCTTCGCCCACTCTACAGGCCAAGAACGATGCGGTCGTTGAGAAGGACGCCGCCGACCCGTTCCAAGTCGTGCTCGACGAGAATGACGACCCTCGGCGGCGATCGAACGCGCGCAAGCGGTTGACTGTCCTACTGATCAGCAGCACCTCGCTATGCGCGACGTGCGCCTCATCCATGGTGCGCATGCCAGCATGCTCTATGCTCCTCCCCACAGCAATTGATGCGCGTTTCAGGCTTCCTTCACCGAGCAGGATACCATGGAGGAGTTCCTTGCGTCGCGTACTGTTGCCATCCTCTCGATCAGTCTCTTCGTCGAGGGCCTTGGCTGGGGTCCCCTCCTCGTCGGTCCCCTCTCAGAGGTCTGCGGACGAAACATCATCTACCGCGTCTCCGTCGGCCTCTTCTTCGTCTTCTCGTTCCCCGTCGCCCCCAACATGCGTGCGTGACCCAACCTCGCCCTATTATCATTCCATTCTCCTCACATGTCTATTGTCTCACTCCAGCCGTGTTTCTAGTCTTTCGCTTCATAACAGGTATCTGCGGCTCTGCATTCCTGAGTGTCGCCGGAGGGAGTGTCAGCGACTTGTTCCTCAGTAACAAAGTCGGATCGTTCGTCGTCCCTATTTACGCGTGGGATCTATCATTGACCGAAGCGGTAGTCCGATGGCGGTGTACACCCTCAGCCCATCGTGGGACCTCTGATTTCTGATTTTATCAACCAGGTGAGGCTTACCTCATGCTTGACTGCAAGTCATGCTCATCCCTTACTTAGCATGCCAACTGGCGATGGACTTTCTGCGTACTGATCATATGGGTCGTCAAGGCTGGCGTCGTCGCTCGATGATCGCGCCTCGAGGTCCCAACAACATCAACCGGTACGGAAAGACGAACGTACCCCTCCTGATCGAGAACCGCGCAGTTGCCCAGATGTTCTTGCTCAAGCTGCAGGTGAGGACGAATGGCATCCTGGCCGATGGGAAGCTCATGTCGGAGTATAAGCAGGATTGTTGGTCGTGCTGCAGGCATGAGGTTGCGATGTGCGGGTATCAGAACGATCTAACTGTGAGAACGGGGAAGGAGGTGCTTTCGAAACATCGTCAAGTGAATGGCTCAGTATATGTACTAGATCGGCTTGAAGAGTGTCACCAACAAGAAGTAGCAAGAAAATTCGCTCTATTGGTGCTGAAACGGGCCTTCAAGAGGTGAATTCATGTTGTGATGGTGTACAGCAGGATGAGCTTCAAGAGGGGTAATGTTACATCAAGATGGGGTACATGCAACGTGGACTTCACAAGAGGGAAATGAGTAGCAGAATATATCAAGGCAGCCGGATAATGATAGCAACCTGTGCACATCTGCACACTCCTTCATTGACGTACGTCACTGCAGATCAGCCTATAACGCCGAGTCAGGCTCGAGAGTGGCAAGTACTCAGTGGGGTTCGTGACACTCACCTAGTTTTCCCGTCTCCATATCATTCCTTGACGTGGTTGACGCCCCACGCACCCTCGGCTTCAGCATCTCCCACGCCACAGGCTTCGCACTATCACGAGTTGCTCTTCGCGACGATCCGGATCTTCTGTCCGACGGCGACGTACGGGATGAGCTAGAGGTAGCACTGGCAGAAGTGACGCGCTTTCGCTGTATTCGAGGGCGTTCAACTGTCGATAAAGCAGTACCTTCGCTCCCCGAGGCTGCCGTGGAAGGACTGCGAGGGCGTTTCCTGGCTTGCTTTGCTGGAAAGGGCTTCTCCTTTTCGCCACTGCTGCCAGACTGAGTCTCCTGTCGGCTGAGAGCAGATGCACCGTCGGATGTCAGTTGCTGATTATCCGTGTGGACAGAGGCGGTGGACGCTTCAATCGGAGCTAATTGGGAAGGCTGAGAAGGCAAAGAATTGTCCGAGGGTGCCGAACTAGAGAACCCTAGCCTGCACGAGAATTTGCTGAACCGGTCCCGCAGGTCCGCGAAGTCGGCTTGCATCTCAAGCCTCTCCACCTCCTTTCCAGCTAGGGTGTCCTTCACCTTTCCTATCTCCATATGTGCTCGAGCCAGCTCATCCGTGGCCTTGGCAAGTTCGTCTTCGATGCGAGAGAGTTTGGTGGACTGAACCTGCAGAGATTGGAGAAGCTCTTGCTTTTCCGTGATTGCGCGTGACGCCTGCAGCGATGCCTGCCTTTCCGCGGCCTCGAGAGCGTCCGTCGCAATGCGTAATTCGTCGGCAATAGCAGCTGCTCGAGTCTCCGCGACGGTGGTGCGCTTCTCAGCGAGAACGATACGGTCTTCGCAGGCAGACGCGCGCGCTTCAGCAGCGGAGGTGCAAGCTTGTGCCTCTGACGCTCGAGTGCGAGCGGCCAACACGCATCCCTCAGCCTCGGCGGTGCGCACAAGAGCATGCTTGGCACGTCCTTCTGCGTCTCCTGCGCGCGCTTCGGCTGCAACAGCGCGAGCCTCCGCAGCGGAAGTGCGCACACTGAGCGCCGCCCGAGCAGTGTTGGATTGCGCAAGCTCGCCCTCCATGCGCGCTCTGTCCTCTGCAGCTCCTTTCCTCGCGTTCTAAGTGTACACTTCAGCTGAGCGGGAGTGCGGATCACATGTGGGATAGGGCCACGCACCTCGGTCGCTTCAAGTTCAGAGCGCAGCGTGTCGATCTCCTTCTGCATGACGCCCCGAGTGTCCAGGCTCGCCATACATTCATCCCTCTCCTTCTCCAATGCCGCCCGCTCCTTTTCCAGCCTCTCGCACTGCGCATCCATCTCGTCTTTGTGGCCCTCCAGCTCCTCCACGCGTCTAGCGAGCTTCTGGTTCCGGCGCTTGTGGATCTCGATGTTGTGCTTCAGCGTGTCAATGTTGCGCGCGGCATTCTCCAGGGAGAGCCTTGTAGGTGAGTTCTCCTTGCGTGGGGCATGATCGGACGCGTTTTCATCGTGTACGCGGTCAGTCGCGATCTGATTCGACACCGGACTGTGGAGCGTTGCGGATTCGACCTGAATCTTTTCGATAGATTGACACTCTCCGGTATTGGTGGGTTCGTCGTGTGGCGCCATTGTCGATAAGACAGCAAGCGACTAGCAGGAGCACCAAGGCTGAGATGCAGAGCCCACACGTGGAGTCCTCGTGAAGAGAGAAGAGCTTTACGAGGTCGAGGGACGTTGATGTGTGGGGGTCGCTCACTGCGGCGATCGCGTCCGACGGGAACGTTTAGGATTGGAAAAAGTAGCGAACGATGAGCGTCAAGGTAAGAATGTATAAGCGCCTCGTTCGTGGACGCCGCACGAGTTGATGGAGGCCATGTTGTATACACGACGAGCGCAATTCAATGGCGCGGTGAACGCCGGTGATTGGCTTGCACGGAAGCACGAGGAGGACGCAAAGGTCGTTGCAGCAACCGGCGGAGCTGGCCTAGTGTACAAGTTTACCAAAGAGATCGAGTATTTGTTCGTACAGCGGGCCTAGTGTACATACCTTCTCAGAAATCGCGTATCCTTTTTTCGTCCGGCTCGGCGACGGTGGCGTGGGAATGTGTCGGTAATATCCGCCACCGAGTTCGACTTCGAACTCTTCAGCAAACTTTCGTTGAGTTCACCATTCCAGTTATTGTTAAAAGCTACTACACACACAGAGAGGATCCTTCAATGCTACTGCATATCTAATGAGGAAACCTTCCATCAGCTATTGGCACTTATAGATAGAAGAGAACGAGGAGATGAGCGTTTTTGAAGGAAAAATTCATACACTGCATCCTACAGCTTGTCCTTCGTGCACACTTGGATCTCATTACTGTAAGATCGCAAGAGATATATTCCGCCTAAGTACCCCGTCTGCCAGCAGAAGCGCTAAGTCATACATCAGCACGCTCACCTACTACGCGGCGGAGAACATCGGCAGCTCGGTACGTACGACAGCCGGTGAGGTTGCCGAAAGCAACGAAGGGGGAATGGGCGCGATTGGGTGGTTGTGCGTGTGATGAAGGAGGTGTGAAGACGGGGGTACACATTGAGCGAAGGGCATTAGAGATGATGATGCGCACGAATGAGGGAGATGGGGAACGCGTGAAGGTACAACTGAGCAGGGACGGACGTTGATCAGTGCATGATCCACGCGATCAGGGCACGCCGCAGACGTACCTGGTGCTTATGAGAGTGACGAGGCCGAGTCCTTGCAATGGCCGCTGGGCAGGGGGCGCTCGCGAGGGAAATAATGTTCGGGGCCTCTACAACAGGCCCGCACGGCGGGGGAAGGGGAAGAGAGCCCTCGGGCCTGGAGTCTCAAGCTGAGCAGAACACACCGGTGGTTATTAGGAAAGCCCAGGTAGTCATGACGGCGTAATACAGTATAGACGACATAGCGCGGGAATAGGATGGACAATCACACGATAGACTGTCTCCTTCGATCCTCAGATGCGAGCAGGACGTTTGCGGGTGACGCGCTTCGGGTTATTCTGCAGGTAGCGTAGATGGTTGACTGCAAAAGCACGGACGGGCCATCGATCTTCGTAGTCATCGAGTTCCGGGTAGCGTGCTGTGGCCTAGCAAAAAGGGTGAGCATCACTACCGGAGAAAAAAGCAGCAGGGCCTACCTGGGCCTCGAAAGCAGAGTAGCGCTCGGGAAGCTGCTTGGTAATGGACTTGTCACACTGCAGATGCTTCTCGACAAGCTCGTTTATGGTGCCCTGGGCAACAGTCAGCATCGAAACACAAGCCTCCATTGAAGATAACGTACCATCACGTCGCGATACTTGCTCAGAGACCAGCCAAGTTCTTCTTCGAGATCATATTCGCCATTCTCGGATCGTCCAGGGGCGCCAGGCGGCTTTGGGATCTTGGTGCTGCCGGCCTCCGGCACGACATGCAGTAGAGGGACTCGCGGTTGCGGTGAACCAGTCCGCGCCGTGGAGGAAGCCAGCTCCTGCGCGGAGGGGGGCACGCGATCTCGCGCCCCCGAGGAAGAGCGGGTCCGCGTTGTCAAAGGAGCGTGATCTCGCGCCCTCGAGGAGGCGCGGTCCCGCGCTGTTGAGGCAGGCTGGGCACAGTCCACGGAAGACGCCTGGGGCGACCTGCGCGCAGTCCGAGTACTCGGCTGTTGCTTTTCGTTGAACGAGGCTGCAGTGGCAGGAGCAGCATCGGCGGCATGACCGTCGTCGCGCAAGCGGTTGTCAGCATGTTCCAGCCAGTCATCGGAGCTGCTATCGAGAGAGATTTCTGGTCGCAGCAGAACATAAGGTTGTCGGCCGATCGCGCGTCCTTGAGATAGACCATCATTGTCGTCCGAGTCTTCCGCGTAGTCGAGGTCGGAGATGGATGCGCGGTTGTGTAGCGCGACTGGCGACATCGCGCGATCTGGTTCGACGGACGAAGGCGATGTCTGGCGGGAGGTGACAGGAGACGCCGAGGTCCGCCGGGAGTGGACATGAGGATACGGAGACGGGCGCGGACGACGTGCGGTGCGGATGGGTCCCAGCGAAGCTAGCGGACCCAGTGGGAGTGGTTCGCGATCGGCCACATCGTAGAACTGGTGATTGAAGACAAGCTCGATGTGTTGGCTGGATCGAATCCGCGGCCGCGGGTGCATGTCGGGAGAGCAGGACGGTGGACCTTCAGAACCACGGCGGAGGTTTATATACGCCTGCAGTCAGGCAGGTCAGTAGGAAAGGCCTTTGTTCGTCGAATGGGCTGGACACACCACGAAACGCTTTCTGCACGGTCCGGAGAGACGCAGAGTGCCACTGAATAGCCCCAGCGGGTGCTGGCACAATGGTCAAGTGCATTCTGCAAGGGCATCTGGAGGGACGTCTCTTTCATGGGCCCTAGCGTCGGCAGAAGGCTAGAGCCAAGCCTCGTGCTTGTGATAAGATAAACCAATCGACTTACCAAAAGGGGATACTTTGACTTGTCAGATCTTCGGGACGCAGTCTGATCGTTGCCGTCATGGCGCCTTAGCAGCCATAAGCCCAGAAATTGTACGGCCAGCAATACTCGCAGACCAACCGGCGTCAGGATGCGCGCTGTGTCGCGCGAGAACCGCTGTCCCCTCTGGCCTCGCCCTCGCAGTTCGCCGGCCGTGCGCCAGAGCCGGTTCACAGGCTACGGTTCGCCGAACGTATCGTGAACTCTAGTCCCCCCTCTTCGTCTTGTGGACCCCGCGCACCTCGCGCACCTTCGGCACACCCAATCAAGCAGCCGGATGGTCTTAGGCTTACTCTCCGACAGCGGCAAAAAGTGCCCCTCCTGCAATTGGAGCGGTTCGTCCTACCGTGCGTACACAGCTCATCGAGGTTATTCCCCCACTTGACATTGGGTTTTCAGATGCAAACACCTCAAGCACATCGTTATCAGCCGTCTCAATCCGCGCTTTTCTTCCTGCCTACCCATCCCCTCCCATTCCGCCATCCCCATACGCCCTCTCGCCCGTCGCGCGCACTAGGCGACCCACGGCAACATATATAACGGACGAAGCGGCTTCCGCGTGATAAGAAGGGTCGACCGTTGTCGTATGAGGCTGCATAAGCCATCTCTCAAGAAGCAGCTCTCCACTTGCTCGACGTTCATGAGCTATGCGTCGAGGGAGCCGATGATCGGCTGGCGACGACCTGCGAACTTGCGAACTGAAGGTGACATTGCAGTCGGGCGTCGAGGTTCAGGCTTACCCTCTGACAGGCGCGAACCTGCGGCGAGCATACTGGACACTGCTAGGCGCCCCGCGACGAATCAAGAGGCGTCGCCAACATCGACGTCCCCGTGTCATCTCGTTCATCCAACGACCGAAACATACGGCCGAGCAACGCGACCATGATAGCGCCATGACTCGCGCCTTTCGGTGTCCCTCACTGGTTCTTGCCGACGATCACCAACGACGGCCAACGATCATCGACGACTCACAGCGATCGTCGACGACTAACAACGATCATCGACGTCGTAACTCATCGCTCGACGACACCCCCGCTTCGAACGACCGTAAACTTGTTACCCTTACCGGCGTTGGCTTCTCTCCGTTGTACTCGAATATCTCAAGTTCTCAGGTATGTGTTAAGGGGAGTCTGTGTAAGCAGGTGTATTGTTGGCCTGATGTACGATCGCGTCAATTACAGCGTGATCCTAGCAGGGAATCTCTTCTTGCGAAAGGGAGTCAGCCTTCGGCTGAGCCTGGACGGGTGCATGTCAAAATGAGATCATCGTAGGGATTTGTGGACGTACTTCGCGACCGCGTTGTTCGCCGCCCTCCTCTGCAGTGCAGTGTTCAGGTTGCGAAGCCCAACGTCAGGACCTATCGCCGCAACCAAGACGTCGCCTTCGAAGGCATTCGCTGCATTCGCCAATGCCCTGATGGCCTGGTTCTTGGGCAGGCCTTTGTATCGCTTGAAGAACACTCTGAAAGTGTACTTTCTGCCGTTGTACTTGCTCGTCGTCAGGATGTCGTGCACGTAGGCCTGCGTCTCCCGCCAGCGCAACTTGGCGTCCGCGAACAGGTAGCGTCGTTGCGCGTGGCGACGATTCCCTTCGAAGACTGCCTTGATCGCCTTCGGGCGCTCCTCTTCGTAAGGGTATAGAAGGACTTGAATATGTTTAGTGAAGTTCTATGAGGAATGAGTATGCATAGCAAGCGCAGGAAGCCGTTCCACTCACAGAAGAGCTCTCGGGGAGTGGCACTTGATTCATCGTCATGGTTGGAAGACAGTTGGGGGCCGTGTGCTGCAGGGATCGAGGAAATTCCCTTTGTTGCACCCTTTGACACTTACAGACAATCGAACGCTTACACGAACCTCTGCCTGATGAGGCGCGCAGTGAACTACTTCATGTAACATATCTTCATATGCCATACGATGGTTTGCGACTATAGCATTCAGCTTGAGTACGGTGTCCTGCAAGAGTCTGCCTCGACGGGATGCGGCTGGTGAGCCACGTGATCGTAGCTGTGACAGTCACTGTTGATGTTACAACGTGACGAAGCTAGCGTAGCACATGATCGCGTCAGTTACAGGCTCTGGCGCTCCCATCGCACTTCATTTTGTATCTTCGAAAATTGAGCTATATCCATGCGATGGATATATACTGATTGTATTACCTGGCATATTCACTGCAACTGCGGGAGCTCTGTGCCCGCGAGTGGGGATCTCGCCAGTCGAGCGGGTAGGAGTAGAAGCAGAGTGGTCGCCCGTTGGCGACGGTCGGGCGCGGAAGCGCTCGGGTAGCGTGTAGTGCGCGTGTAACGACGCGCGCGCGTGAGATCGAATGAGAGAATGCCCGTGTCGGAGTGAGACTCAACGACGAGGCGGGAGGCAACCCTTCCGGTGCCTGCTGCTCAAAGCCTCTCCTATAGGAGGCTGATTCGAGCTGCAGACGATGGTAAGAGTAGAGATAGTGATTATTCCCAAAGCGGCAGGCTGCCTTGCAGCCTGCGATGTGTCTAATCTAACCTACAGTGTACGTGAGATACGAGCGAAAGAAAACACTGTAAGTACGAGCGTGACTCGAGAGTACCAGCCTGGAGCCCTGGCCAGGTTCCCCACAGCAACTGCCCCCGTGAAGGGATTGTCTTGAATCCACAATCTACTCGGGGGAAGCCTTGATATCACCTTGTCTTGCAATCTTTCTTCAGGTCTCATTCTATCCCGTCAGCTGTACATGGTGCTCTTGAACAACAAGAATAAAGTCACGATTGTCGCGCACGAGAGCACGGTCCATGAGCCTAGCCTACGACCTCATCCCGCCAATTGCGATGCTTCTCAGATATCTGCTGCTATCGCATGTAAGTGTTGTCCTTAGCCGGAGCTTTTCCTGTAAGAAGAGGAAAGACAGCCGCGGAAACGACGCACGGCGGGAAAGGGCAGCGCGGAGGCGGAAGGAACTCTGTGCTCGATTGTGTCGACCGAACATATGCCGATGGTCGGCAGCGAGTCGGCAAGCTGACATCCAAGCTTCAAAACTTGCTGACCAAACATGGATATCCGAGGTATACAAATATAGCCTCCGGCTTCTGCGTTACTCGTATTTCTCCAACGAAACACGAGAGCTAGTCTTGGCCGACTGTTGCGGGAGGGTCAAGGGATCGCATCGGAGTTTGAAAATATGTGGCGGCAGGCGGGGCAAGGCCAGTTTGGCGGGCACTTTGTGGCGTTATCTCCGGGAGAAGCCCAACAGACGCGCCAGGCAGGCTTTGGGATTCACACTCCGATGTCATCGCCCTACCCTCCGGCAGGGTAATTCCAGACTCCAGTATGGAGGCTGGTTAACGAGACTAACGAGAGCGGGGAGCTGGAGAGGAGGGCTGCCCCAAGTGCAACCCCGTCGGCTAAACCCGATTCCCGTGTTCGAGACCTGGTCGGAGGCGGGAGCTCTGCGCCCTCGAGTGGGGATCTCGCGACAATCGGGCGCGGGAGCACTCTGGTAGCGTGTAGTGTGCATGTTACGGTGGGCGCGATAATCAAGTGAGCAGAGCGCCTGCGTCAAAGCTATACTCGACGAGGAGGAGGTAGGGCGATTCTTCCGGTACGCGTCTCCGAGAAGGATCTCGAGACGTAGACAATGGCAAGAGTATATATGGTAAGCATTCCCAGTACGGCAGGCCGCAAGGGCCTGCAGTAGATCTGATCTGATCTACACTATGCGTGAGATGTAGGCGAAAGAGGACGTCGCAGATACGAGCATAACTTGAGAGTACCTGGCTGATGTCTCTGGCCAGGATACCTACATGGAGGTCGGAGGCTTGAAAGAGTGAATTTCGGTCTAGTGCCACCTTGATAGCTACTTACAAGGAACCCTCGAACTCTTCTCCGCTGCACGAAGTCGCGGAGAGTCTATCGGAGGCCCTCAGGCTCAAAGCAAATTTCTGTCGCTCTTTTTGCAGAATCCAAAGAGAAAAACGATATCACGGCATGTATAAGTATTTTGGTAGAATCACGGTCACATGAAAACTTGAAGCAGCAACAGCGCCAGCATAATTATCCAATAAGGGGCTGTGAGCAACAAATGCCCCCTGCATGTTCGGCCGCCTGCGGAGCCAGCATCCCCTCCCGTCTTGGGAGCACGAGCCTTGCGGTATAGCAAGACATCCGCAGGCCTCAACAGGCTTGACCCGGCATATGCCACGAGATGGTCGAGGTCTGTGGTGCACGTCTACAGTGATATTAGCACCGCGCATGCTCTCAGTAAGCGATGTCAGCTTACAGAAACATACTGGACTAATCCACCTCTGGGATAGTCCATACTTTGGAGAATTCTCGCGTTATCTGTATCGAAAACGAGGACCCGGCCCTTCGCAGTCCCCGTAATGATCACCTTACCCCCTTCACCAAACGCGCTATGCATCGTGTAAGGCACGTCCGCTTGTTCGAGAGGGATCGAGCGAGATACGGGCCGTCCGGCCATCGAAACGATTTCCAGGCTTCTCCCAGTGTGAGCGACGTAGCGCTTCCCGATGAGATCAACCACAACCGACGACCTTTGCAGATGTCAAAGATGAAGGCGTGACAATGATCACAGATTGTAAGGGGAAACTTACATGATGATTGGACCATCCGTCCTGGCGCCGACCCTTGCGCCTGATTGACAGTCAATCCGAACGCTGGCTGGCTTAGCATCCCGAGCGCGCACCAAGGGAAGAAAACTCACATAGAGCCCCCAAATTCTGAGAAAACTACCAGGGTATGGGCCAGGGGATCGAATTTGATTGTTTTCGGGCGACAGGACGATTCCAACGGCACAGAAAATCCGCGTATTGTGTCGAGGTCGTAGGTGATGGCCCACATCGTGACTAGATTGTCAGACGTCGCTATCGCCAGCCGACCTGGATGATCCTTATCGAGGGATGGTTGATATACGTCCATTGAAAGAAGTCGAGCCTCTTCGTGCCCAAACCGGAAGCGCTTGGCGTGTATGAATGCCTGGAAGGGACTCCCATGAGCATGTCGAGCCAGAATCATGACTCTCAGTGCGCACATCTTGATCTTCGTCCCAGTACCACAGAGCGACATCCCCACATTTGAAACCAAGGATGAAGATCAGTCGCTCGCCTTCGAAGGATATCCATACAGATCGTGCGGCGACGTTTCTTTCGGAGACTTCCAACTGAGGCACGGACATGAGACCCTGCGTGCCAGTATCCCATATAGATACACCGGCATAGCCTGAATATATCCTAAGCAAGGTGCATGGGCATGTCGAGTCCAACGTCAGCATACCAGTTGCAGCTAAGTATTTTCCGTCGGGGGAAAAGGAAAGGGAGAGAACGCTATCCTTCTGATCCGTGAGGGTCGCAAGATACTCGTATTCGGTGGGTTGTTCTGGCTGCATGCTTGGCTCAGAGAGAGCAAATGACGGTAGGTGGACGGCCGAAGTAAGTCTTTGTGCTCAGAATAGACCATCTCGTGACATCGGTCCGACTTTCCCGATCGTATCGCCTCACGCTGATGACCTCCCGGACCTCGCCCAGCTGCCGCGTTCAAGGTGAACCCCCAGTGTTTTTTCCTTTCATCCACCTCTGACTTTGCGAGGCAGGAGGCTGATACCGGTGACTGCCCGACTCCCCATCACCATCGACATCTGCAGTAGGGAAAACCCTTTCAAAGACAACAACCGTACGCCTCTTCCACGTCTTCGGGCGCGCTGCAAGCCTCCGGTCCCTCGTCCACTAGACAGCTACCTACCCAAGCGTTACGGCGGAACCCCAGCTACTCTTCACATGTGCGCCATCTTGCCTGGGCGTCCACCATCGTAAACTCACAACAGGCTCACGTACAGGCACCTCAGCAAGTGAAGGCGTCCGGCGGATAAATGGTCAGACTAAACGATCTCCAGCGCTTGCCGATGCAGTTCTTCAGACGACGCGAACTCGTGTTCTGTCCAAGAGAGCGGCGCGACAGCATGCACTGCCGCGATCCACGGATGATCGCCTTCGGCCGTAGCGTGGAAGCTGCAGCGCAAGAAGTCTGTCGAGGCCGCGACCTTCTCGATGGCGGTCCGGAGGACGTCACCCTTGACGGAGCCGTCCAATTGCAGAGAACGAGGCACGAGATATAGTGTGCCGCCCGACGACAAGGTCTCCGTGAGCATACCGGTCTACAGAGGGGTCGCCGGGAAGACGCTGGTGACCCTGTCGGCGTCGTCGAGTGGCGGGATACTGCTTGCGTGGGCCGCTCGCAACTGACTTTACACCTGGGCGAGCTCGCGTTGCGCTACCAAGGATGTACCCTCAGGAGATGTCTCCCGCAAGTACAGAGCGAACGCGCCAACGCAGGGGTTACGCATGATTGCATGCGTCGGCACAGCGAGTACGCGCGAACGGAGGGATTGGGCAAGGCGAATGCTGCTAATGCCTGACTCGTCCTCCGACCAGTGCGAGTTGTCGTAAGCCGGTCGCGTGTCGCCTTGTTCCCCGTCGGAGTTCCCCGTCGGAGACGTCGTACAAAGTTAGTGTTTGTTCTGGATGCTGCAGCAGGTTTGCTATGCGCTCAATGAGGTTCTTGACGGATGCTGACGGACCGAATGTTGGCAGATGCCCGGCTCGAATGAAGACGGCGTCAATCGCGGTATCGACTTCGACCGCAACCGCCCGTGGATACCGAAGCAGAGTGAGCGAACGGGTCACAGAAGTCGGGACAAGAGACTCACGTCAGGCGCGGCTTTGCTGTAGAGTGATCCCCATAGCTCAGGTTTCTCTGCGCTCGACTCCTTCGGCGAACCTGTCGAACGAGATTGAAGAGGGCATGAAAGAGCGGCTCGCCCCTGGCTAGCCATCTCTGTATATGTCTGTGTAGTGAACGAGCATAGTGCTGTCGTAATGCAGGGCGCCAGCATGTCTGCAATCCCGTCGACGTCCACCGTCCGACCTGACAGAACGACCCCGAAAACGGCGTCGTTGCGTTTGCGATAGTCTGCCAGGGCGGTCTCAAAGGCAGTGACCGCCAGAACATGCAGGCCATCATGCAGCGCCCTCGTGCTCTTCTCCAGAATAGAAAGTGGCGAGTCAAGACGCAGACGGTGATACCTGGATTCTGCCGTCGTATCGCTGGAGGCAAGGTTTCGAGGCGCGTCGCCGAGAGACTCGGTGAAGAATGCGCGAGCGGAGTCTGAAGACTGGCGAGCCAAGTACTGAAGCAGCTTGACGATCGACGGGCGCTGCAAGTCAAATGTTCCAGCGTATCTGCGCCTCACCTCCGACGTGATCATCGGGAGTGACTCGCCTATCAAGGAATGTCAGCAGCTTCACAGTAACATACGAACAACATTACCATCATAGACAGAATGATGCAAAGTCCGGCAGAGATAGGAAGATTGCTCCTTTCCCCTATGAACTGCGAACCGAATGGGATGTTTTCGCGATATCTCCGCTGCGACTTCTTTGCGATACGGTTCAAGTCCACCTGAAGTTGATCAATAACATGTCCATCGTCAACGTGCACATCGCGCCATTGCAGCACCTCATCGCTAGGCTCAAGAGCGACTTAACGACCTGCACTATGCCGTCATGCGCCGTGAAGCAACACATCCGCAGGATCGGGTTTGCCAAAACGGTGTTCTTGATGGCGGCCTTGAGCCTGGTTATATCGGTTCCCTCCTCGAGGATGGTGACGAAGTGATCGACATCAACCGGCTCGAGCGAGTTGGGAGTGAGGGCGACAAACCCTTCCTGCAGTAGCAAGCAAGGAAGGACCGCCTCGACGACTACAGCGACGTGATGGATGGCTTCATGCTGCACGTCGGGGGCCACTTCCCATTGGGCGTTGTCATCCCTGGAATCCACGGGCACTTCCGAGGCATTCGCAAGTTTTTTCGAGAGAAGGGCCGGCGAGAATGACGTAAGGCGGTACGAAGAGGCCCGCGTCCTTTAGCTTGAGACTGAGTGGCATGGCGCTGGGCGAGTCGATGCCTATATCAGGCGTTGTAGTAGACGCTTGAACAGCGTCCGCTGGAACTCCTGCGGCTGGACTGAGCATATCCCGAATGCGCTTCGCCTTGTCGGTGAGGGGTAAGGACATGGCCGAACTCTTGCTTTGCTGGCTGTTTATCGCCGACAGAGGGTATGAGTAGAAGAACAGGCGAGGACGCGTTCTATCAAACATCCCCAACGCGGTGTTGTTGAGGGGGAGGAATGTTAAGGGGATGATGACATCGGGCGTCAGATGAGAAGGGAGGCGCTCGCGACACAATCCAAGCAAAGCGCGCGCGAGAGGCAGGTCTTCGTTCGACAACGCCGGTAGACCTGCGCCCGCGCCGATAGCCGCTCGTTGAGCCACGAAGCTACCACGGCCCTCTTAACGCTGGGGACCTCCCGCAGGTGCGCTTCTTCATCGGTGACAACGACTTGCGGCTTAGAGAGTCGTCCGAAGCCTCCCGCCTTGTTCGCAACCGCGAAGACGATGTCAGCCCGAGCAGCAGCCTCTTGAGTGAAGGGACATCCTCGTCGTCGATAGCCAAATCGCGCAACAGCGCTTGGACGACTGCCTCACATTGCTTAGCCGGAAGCTCGACGTTGTCCGCAGGCCTGCGATCGAGCATCAGAGTCAGAGTGCTGGAAACACTCAGTATAAAAGCACACCGTTGCATTACTTCCGGAAACATGGACAAATATCCTATCGCTAGAAACGTATACATTGACCGCCAGAGGGCGCTCGTCCGTCAAGTTCGTCAGCTCGCCAGCTTCTCTCCACAGACGGGGCGCCAACTGGAGGCCGGAGTCCGCAGAATCGACGGACTTCATGACGAAGATTGCCGGAAAAAGAGCTTGGTTAAGGGGATGACGTAGGACTCGACGGAAGTGCTGCAAATTGAGGAAAGACGAGGACCTGCTGGCTGAAGAGCGTTCGACGATGGCGACCAAAGACCGCCGAGCAGATGTTGAGGAATCCACGTTGACGGGGACAGGAAGGGTGGCGATCATTGGCGCCACGAGTCCCTCAAGCGAGGAGCCCTCGTACGCAAAGACCGGGTTTTGCCAAACACAACCTTCTCGGTCCGCACATACGCGGCCAGAATCGTCGCTCAAGCAAGTTGAAGAACTGGAGCATTCGACGCGTTGATGGCGCTTGACGCTTCCGATGATACAGCTTGCGCGCCGTGAGCCCGGTCTTGACGTCGCGCGAGCCATCCGAGAGATCGGGAAAAGGTCGAGCGTAATCGTCCGCAAACGGCACCGAAATCTATTCCCAAAGGGGGGCGGCTTCTTCGGATTCTCGAGGAGGAAGAAAGCACGAGGCACGGCGGACGTGAGCTGCAGCCGTGGCGCTACGTGTTGGCAATCGTGAACTTGCAGCACATCGTCGAGTAGGAGTTTGTAGGTGTGGCGTTGTAAAGAACGTGGTGCATGCTGGGCAACATTGCCGGTTTCCTGATGTCCTCCCCCAGTATCGTGACGGCCCATAGAGGGGCTGTTGCTCGGGAAAGCAAAGCCGCCAAAGTACGGGCAAAGTCGCCACAAACACCCTGGAGCCGCACGTCAGTCTCTCGAAGACGTGCTAAGAACCAACTCACGGTGTGTAATCATCCTTCCGCAATCCAATCGCGGCAGCAATGTACGGCCACGCGCTGATCAGCGTTTGGATGTCGCAGCCATTCTCGAGATGGAACAAGCGATGCATCCAGTACGTCGCTGGATCCTTGATGGTCTCGCCGAGCATGCCTTCTTGCACTACAACGACGTTAATAACCGGCGCGGTGGCGGATAGAGGGGTACGTACAGGGTGTGCAGGGGGTGACGCGCTCCACCTGTTCACCATGGATTGCTCGGGCCACAGGCCCACAGCCGGCCTCCACTTCTTGTCAAACTCGTCGCGCCAAGCAGACGCCGACGGGGCCTTGTCGATCTTGCCCTCGCTCGCCTTCGTGAGACACTGGATCGTACGATGCGACGGGATGTCGCCAGCCTTGCGCAGTTTCGATGCGAGTTAAAGCGCACGAGTCTATGCCGAAGGATGAGTTTCTCCTACAGCGGTCATGGTAAACTACGTACCGAGTCAACGCCAAGAGCACTAAGCGGCGTCGTCTTCTTCATCCGCTCCGCAAGCGTCCCTGTCAGATCAGCCACTGCATTGCGTACCGTCGACGCAAGCGGCGACCAGGAGTCGTCTTCAAGTCGACCGTGATCCTTCGCTAGCGCCTCCTCCCAAGTCGAGATGTCCATCGAGGCATAATACTCTGCCGGAGCTTTGCGGTCAACCTTGTTGGAGGCCGTGTGAGGGATGCGCTGGGCAACTATGCACGCGCTGCGGGAAGGTCAATATCTCGGGCGTCGATTGAGAGGAAGACCGCACAAGCTTAGGATGCATGAACTCGGGAGGCATCTCGTCAGCGCGCCTCATAGCCGCGCCTGCGACTTCAAGGGCATCGGAGCCAGTGCACAGTTGACTTTCTCGACGACGGATGTGAGTCTCTCCGCGACTTGAACGTGTTCAATGTCTCCATGGCCGCCAATGCAGGCGGCGAAGACGCGCCCATCTGGCGTGACGACCCCGGCAAGGCTCTGTACAAGGTCAGGGAGCGTGCGCAACCGGGCAGTATGCAGGAACGTGTGCGCCGGCCCAATCGAGGTCGTCGGGGCCGTATTCCACGCCACGAAGTTCGTCCAACGTGTACACCGTGGCCTCCGTTTCCTCGCCCTTCGCCCGTAGGCCCAACCTCGTCGTTGGTTTGCCCTCAAGTAGAGCTACGTGAGCTCGCAGGCCGCATCACGCAGGTGCTTCCGTGAAGTGTTCGGGGCCGTCCGGATGCCGCGGCGAGACGCTTCTTGATACGGTTCGTGCGCGAGCGACGCTTCATAGTATGATTCATGCCCTGCGAAAGCCGCTGACCAAAGACGGGTACTGTGAGAGTTCGGAGGCCAGGGCGTGGATGAACGGCGTCGGAAGGAAGGCAGAAGCGCCTTCTTCACCTTATTGCGCGTGGACTTAGCGGCGATGGGCGAGCGTTCGCGTTCGACGGCGCGGCAAGGGGTGCGAGGGCGAGCGGAGTGCTTAGATAGTGCGAGCGAGCGAGAGGGGCGGGCCGTACTTGGCGCCGACGTAAGGGGGTACCCTGTGGATGGCGACTGATGCTGAGCGTCCGAGCATCGGCCGACTGGTCCAGTGAGGGGGCAGAACTCGCAGGTTCCGCACTTGGGAGCGGGTCTTCGTCGCTCGACTGATAAGCGCGGGAATTGAGGTAGAGATCCGTAAGGTTGAACGCGTCGTTGCGGATTATTTGAGGCGCGGAAAGGAGGCGCCCGCTGCGGGTGGTCCGATGGGGGGCAGGTACAAGGCCTGGGGGCGCGGTCAAAATTTTGTCACATAGAGCCCGCACTCACACCGCACATCGACGCGCAGCATGTTCGCCAAGATTCGCCTGTGTATCTCTCCATGTCTCACTGCGGCGGAGGTGGCAGTGGCGAGATACACGGGCGATTCGTCGCGAAGGGCGCGCGTCTAGATATGAGACACACGCGAGGGGCTAGCGAGGGGCGTCGAAAGAGCGCGCACCGCAAATCGATGTTGTGTTGACCGTCGCGATGTGCACGCGGCGATGGTCGTCGAGAGGCGACGCGCGGGGCCGCGATCGGCAAACATGTCCCATCACGTTACGTGAGGTCGCGTGCTTGCTCAGAACGCCACATATTGCTGTAGGCAGATTTCCAAATAAACAAGGCAGGCAACATCGGTGAAAGAGTAGCAGGCAGAAACGAGTTGACGAGCATGGACACGGACTGAGTTACGATTACCTGCCCAGCCGTTACCTATGTACATATAGAGGCTACACCTGCAGCGCTACACGAAAGGAGCCATTCCGCACACGGGCGATTCCAGGAAGTGCTCCTAATTCCTGGAATTCATCTACAGTACAATATTTTGTATGCTCATCCTCCCTATCAGGACTGATTTCAACTCGACAACAACGATGATTCTTTGAGCACACACTGTCAGCGACATCTGGCCAGGACATCTGTGAGCAGATTGTAGATCTTTGCCGCCACATCAGCTGCGATCCCGCGGTCGCCTTCACGGATGCAGGTGAGGGCAAAGACGCGGAACTTGTCCGGATGATAACGGATAGTTTCTGCACGACAAACTGTGGGGACGTTCCTGCCTGCGACTCCGGGGCGCTTCACGTGCAGCAGGAACTCCAGCAGGCTCTGCTCCGTGATGCTTTCGGCCCCAACGAAACCACAAACGGGCCACGGAAAGGTCGTCAGTGTGTAGGAAGACTGAGCGACGATGCGCCTCCAGATCCTCCCCCACTCCGCCTCGTAGGTGGCGAAAGGGTTGAGAGCGCGCGCGGGGACGGAGCCGGGAGTAGGGGCGGGGCCGGAAGAAGGAGCAGGACCGGAGCTGGGAGTAGGGGCGGGGCCGGGAGAAGGAGCGGGCTCAGGAGTAGGAGGGGGGCCTGGAGCAGGAGTGGGCCCAGGATCAGGAGCGGGCCCAGGAGTGGAAGCGGGGCCGCGGGCAGGGCCGGGACCGGGGGTAGGAGCGGCGCCAGGGCCAGGACGGTGATCGTGCGCGCGGCGCTGTGACTGTTCAACGAGTTCAGCGAGCGTGTAGTGCCTATGGCGCACTTCTGCAAGATCTGCCAGTGCATCGTGGAGCGTGTTTCGTAACTGCTGCAGCTTCCGAAGATCGTTCAGGCTCTTTTCTTCAAGAAGCCTCTTGTATGCTGCGGTCCGCTGCTGCTCGTCGGCGAGTTGGTCTTGATACCAGGCAACGGTGGCTTCGTGCTGCTGACGCAAAGAATCCATCTCGCGTCGCATGCTAAAGAGCAAGTCAGCGGCATCCGATTCGACGGCATCAGATGTCCCGTTCATCGACGCGCGATCGCCATTGGAACTCTGAGGGTACGCTCCTGGGATACCGAGGACGAACGAGCCGGAGTCGAGGGAGCTCTCAGCGGTCAAGGTGGACACGCTGGGAGCTTTGAACCTGTTCGGCATGTTGGGAGGGTTCGACGCCCCACCAGATCCGACGCGGATGTAATATAAGGGTAAGAGTCCCCTTTCCTAGCCAGCGCCATGATCGACTCCTTTGGCCGAGACCAAAGGTGGTCTTTGCAGAATCGCACGAAGGTCTACCAGAGCATCGTGCAGTGGCATTGAATTAGGACCTTTGGCGTGGGGTCATGCCCGTAAAGGGGCGCGGTCCGGACCATTGTCAAGCTTAGCAAGCGCCGGCTATGTGAAGCTTTCAGACTCTCAATGACTATGTTGGACTTTGCCAAAGGGACTGATGGAGCAAGGTATTGATAGATTGACCTATGAAGCGACTCACGTTCGCGAACAATGGGAACTGACATAATCGCGAGTGAGGGGAGCTTATGGGTATGCGACATGCCCAGAGACGGAGTCTGACACTTGCCTGAGTACAAGCGCACCCTCCAGCATGATATGGTCCAGGAACGGGAGGGCGAAGGGTCGAGGACGGACGTATTGAAGACGATGTTTGCTGGCCGGCGATACGTGACACGATGTCACGGACGTCACATCAAGCGGCGCCAGCAAGCATCCAGCTTTCGACGCCGCGCTGTCCCGGATGTTGAGCATACATAAGTGCGGCTAAGCAATATGGACTACTCACCGAGATGGCGACACTCACCGAACCATCTGGTCGTGATCGTCGTGACCCGATCCGACTCCGCATCGCAAAGTCGTGTCTATTGAGCCATCAGTCTCGAGCGCACCAGCCGACAGCCGCAGGTGAGGCAGCGAGTACGCACATTCCTGGGGTCTTCATCAACATCGTAGAGCTCCACCGCATCGTCTCCCGGGTGAAGACACCGACATAGAGCTGTGCGAGCGTACCGCGTGACACCGTCCTAGGGCAATATTCGAGTCTGTTCAGCAGCCCCTCCCTCATCTAAGGAGTTGCCAGTGGAGTGTTTGAAGAGGTCGAGGGACGCTGGGAGGGGGCAGGTAGACTTGCATCAGGGAATGAGAAAAAGGGGAGAGAAGGGGGGAGGGCGCTTCCTCGAGGACGGCCCTGGGGGTCCCGGTTGTAAGCGCCTCGTTCTGCGTAGATCGATAGCGTACCTGAGGCCTGCAGATGAGCAGAGCGGTATCTTCTACTACCTGGGAAAGAGGGTCTGACGCGCGGCGAGAGCACGAGCCCGCGCTCGAACAGGGCCAGTGAACCCGATCAATGCTGTGACCGTCTTGCGCACGACTCGGGGGCGCACCAGGTGTGGCTCGGGCACGCACCAAGCGTCTGCCCACCCAAGCGTGGTCGCGTTGCAGTATAATGACCTTGCGATGGCGATGTGACCTGGCCGGCCGCGCAGTGGAATCGATTGCCCGTATTCAATGGGACCTGTTGTTCGTAGCAGAGGGCACGTAGAAGGGCCATACTGTCGCTAGCCAGCTCTTGAGATGGTCTATCGCATGGAAGCTGGATTCAAAGCAAAGGATCATGGCGTCGCGGCGGACACAAGCAGGTCGAATAACACAGGTCCGATCATGCAACGCAGACGCCTCGAGGCCTTCCCCCTTTGGCAGGTCGATTGCGCTTCGGCCGCTCGGCACAACCCTTGGTCATGGCGTCTTCCATCCCGGTCGAAGTAGTGTCTTTATGCCAGTCCCGTCGCATCAAGCGCCCGAGTGCCACCTTTATCCACGGGTCCCTGCGAAAGTGGCCCACCCCTTAAATACCTTCCATCTTGCAGCCCCCCTCATCTTCCTCCATCTCCGTCTCCGTCTCCATGGATTCCGATTCCGAGTACACTGAAGTTGCCTCCTTCCCCGGTCATCAGGACGCCGTCCTGTCTCTGAGTTTCTCGGCTTCGGGGCGGTTCCTCGCTGCGACGGGTACGTCCCTTGACCCCAGATCTGCTATTTCCGCCACTTAACTTGCCGCTGATCAGGTTACTCGGGTGTGTGCGTGTGGGACGTCATTCGGAAGCAGCGCGTCGCCATTCCAGCACCGCCCTCCACACCGACGACGAGACATATCTATACTCGCTCGGCCTGGCTGTACTTTGAGTCAACCGGACTGGATGTTCTAGTACTCGGCTCGCAGCGAGGGGATGTCGTGTTGTGGCAGTGGAACGCAGACGACGGGGTGCGTCACCCCAGTGTACATGTTTCTCACCAAACAAGCTCATTGTACACCTGTAGGTCTTCAAATACCGTGCGCGCGCCCGTAAATCTGCACCGGATACCGAGGTTCTGTCCATCGATGTGTACAAGCGCAATGTACCTGCCGAAGAGCGGGGTCGCATCGCAATTGGCACCGACGATGGAAGGGTGGCCGTCTGGTCCGTCGCTGCACCCGACAAGCTGCGCCTCAAGTTTTCGGTTCAGCTTGAGCCGGCTATGCGTCCTAGAACTGTCAAGTTCGATGTCGCATCCCACGCCGTCATTGCCTGTTCTGACGTTGGAGGAACGATGTACGTACAATCGTTATTTCCTTCGGTGCACTATGTTTATTCACTCGTAGAGTGGGACTGAATTGTCAATCTGGGAGGAAGATTGGCGTCAGAGATGATGGTCCAAAGGTCATGTGAGTCGGCCCCCATTTGCAGCTCTTCGGTCAGTTGATTGGCCCCCAGGGCGTCGGTCGATGTCGACACTGTCAAGTCCATCCTTGTGGCCTCCACTGGCACCTCCTTCGAGGTCCTCGCACTGAAGAAGCGCAAGCATATAAAGACTATTGTGAGCGAGATGCCAGATGTCTACTACCCTATTTTTGTAGCTATTGGCGAGGGGGGCAAGGTCCTACTAGCGGGCAGCGACAAAGGCCGCGCTCTACTTTATGACCTTGCGCAAGGATGCATACGGCAGGCCTTTGACTATCCGAAAGGCGGACTCGTTCAGCAGGTTGCGGTGCGTCCTTTGTTTTTCCCGCGCGCTAACCCCATCTGATATGGGCAAAAGACGTGCACCACGACAGACTTCCACTATGTCGCATTTGCTGGCACCAGCCTGTCGCAGTCGGCAGACGTCGTCCTCTACAGCAAGAAGATTCGAGTGGAACAATCGACTGACCGGGAAGCCCCCTCTGCACCGCCAGCTACGACAACTGGCGCGACGCCGAAGATGCGCTATATCATCCCAGCGATGTACTGGGCGCTTATGCTTGCTCTACTGTTTATTTGCTACAAGAACACGGTTGCCGTCATTGCTGTGAGTGCGATCAGCGACCGTCTCACAAATGACTGAATTTGTCGTAGATCAACACGCGCAACTCCCTGTCGGTGTAGGCTCTTCATAATTAACGGAGGTGGACCAGAAGTCACTCTCCTGGAGATTCAACTGTAGGATTGCATTGCATATAGAGCTCCTTTCATACCGACGACATACCAACGATTGTATGCGAAAAGCCGCAATTAAGTATGCTTGCGACTGTTAGAATCTTCGAAGGTGTGTCACGACTCCGCGCGGCTCATGTACCCGAACGGCGATATGGCCTGTATCACACCGCTGCCTGACGCGCCGGCTCACGATCCAGGAAGGACGAAAAAAAAACTAGGAAGCTCTCGCACACTTGTAAAGGCATCCTGATCTTCTTAGGCAGCACCGAGTACAGAGGACAAGATAGCCTACCCTTTCTTGTCTCATCACGGCGAAGGTGGAAGCGGTAAGACACGCGCAGCGCCGCCTCGAAGGTCGCACACGCTGGTAGAACGACGGAGGGCATAGGTACCGTGCGCATGATTCGTGGGCTAGCGGGCGTTACGAGGACGTACTGATTATCAGCGTCCTCGTAAGGCCCGTTTCAGCGTATGCGCTGGCCTCGCCTACCTAGTATCAGATTATATCACCCGCGACAATGTACCTCTATCTGCCCACGGCGTCCCCTTTGACTTGGTGTCGTCCGAGTGACTTTCCTCCCTCCCGGATGTTCTTCCTGCGTCCTCGCGGCCTCGCTTGCTTCCGAATTCCACGTCGCCGACACCTCAGCTCAGAAACATGCGGAGGGACCGCGCTTCCGCACACCATCCCTCATCATTGACCCCTGTAATCACCACCCTCTACTCCCGACACTTAGCCAGCGAAGACGGAAGGGGAAAAATACCGATGCGCCGTTCTCCTACGTCCCTACTACAGCCGGAGACAGGGAGTGCGCGAATAAGCGCTCACCCCCATTGCTGTTCGCGAGCTCAACCCGCATGTAGGCGCTCGCAGGGTTCCTTCGACGTGTTAGCTACGATGTGTGGAGGAGATGAGACCAAGACGGTAGAAGAGTGCATCAAGTCAGGGAGGTCAAAGCTGCCAATCGCTAGGGGCGCGGTGTGATAAAGAGGGATAGGCCGGTGGAGCAGGACGCGGACTGAACGTACTGAACCCTGGCCCACGTTCTGAAAACGACCTCAGCCGCCACTGTACCACAATTCCGCCTGCGCCCCCGCGACCTCACACCGATAATCTCCCTGGCTATCTCATGCAAGGTGGGTCGGGCAGAGAAACTTGCAGAACTACATGAGCAAGAATGAGGGGATAGAGGGTGTTGCAGTGGACGGCTAGGTAGGGCGGAAAGAGGTCATCGAAGACGACGATGAAGAGGAGGAGAGGAAGGAGGAAACCACACGGAGCAAGTGTAGTCGATGAACCTCTTGCGCAGTTGTCGCAGCAAAGCCTTCATTGCGGTGATACAAAACGTACGGGTGGATGGATACATGAATTCCTGAACTGAGGGCACACGAAGCCGTCTGAGATAGAGGGTTTCCATATCCCTTGCACTCTTTCGATGCACATTACGACAGATCATCTCCTCTGCATCTCATGATAAGTGGTACCTCAGTTATAGGCTGACCAACGGGACTCACTCGAATCTGGGTCTTGGACGCTTGCAATTCTGCCAAGATGTCTACACTTGAAAGCGATTCGCGAGTGCTGACGAAGGAATTCTGCCGTCGCTGGCGTTCGTGGAGTAAGCCTCAAGAGTTGGCTCATTCTACGCATTCCGAAGGGCACTCACCAGACTTGACGGTCGCCTATCCGGTTCATTGGTGCGCAGTTGACCGGTGACTGGCTCATGAATACGCGGTTGCATGCGCCCTGCCAAATTCCTTGTCGATGGAGCAGATGTGAGCATCGAGGATGATTGGGGGCACGACTTTTCCACAGTCGGCTCCTTCTGAAGTTGCTTCCTCAAGCGGACATTTTCGATCTCAAGGGCTTGCCGCTCTGCGCGCAGGGCTTTGGCATCTGCTTCGACGTCCTTTGTAGGCTCGCACGAGCGTGATGTATATGCAAGCCCGTCGCTTCGCTTCTGGCGTCCCATGGCATCAGCCCGGCTTCGAGTCGCGATCAATGTAAGACTTACTAGGGCTGCTCCGCGGCCTGTGTTGCTCGGATAGATCTCCTGTATTTTCTGCTTTAGAAATGCTTACACCCGGAATATATCCGCTCACAAGGCTTGATGCTGGCGGTGAAAGGCCCTCCATTTTGACTTGCGTCGAGGCAGATATCGGTCTGGATACGCGGCTGCTAGCGAGTGCATAGCTGGTGGAAGATTTCGGGGGACGACCGGATTGCAGCGCTTGCGAGCTTCGAGAGCTAACTCTCAATGACTGGCGACGTGATGAGTGCATGCTCCTTCATAGACGACAACCACTTACACCTAGTCGATCTTCCAGTTCCCGTACTGAATCAGGCTGTCGACTCAGCACGTCCTGTACATAGCTGATCAGCAGAAAGGCAGGTACTGGCGAGATAGCTCACAGATGACAAATCATGCTCCTGTTTGACGACTGTGGTTCCTTGCTCGTGCTGGACAGCGCGAGCGCTGGAAGTCTCGCTTGCCTTCGCATGGCCCACTTGTTGCAGAGCAAGGACACGCGTAACAGTCTCAGAGCGCTGAGGCTGCACAGGTCAATCTAAGACGAGACAAAGGAAGGGCGACGAACGTTACTATCCCGCTGTTGCTCTGGAAACGTGCCAGAATTCTTCTTCAGCCTCGCCGGCACTTCGAGGTTCGTCATCTCGAAAGCCAATGCCTCAACCTTCCGTAGCGCGCCTGCCTCCTCCTTGCGCTTCGCTTGCAGCCCGCCGATCCGCGCCTGCCGCTCAGCGTTCACCTTGTCGAGGGCCGACACCTGTGCTTCGACCATCCGCAGTGCGCTGGTCCCCTCCTCGCGCTTTGCCTGCAGCGCGTTGGTCTCATCCTCGAGCAGGGTCTGCAGTTCGGCATTCGCCTTCTCCAGCGCCGATGCCCGCGCCTTGACCTTCTGCAGCACGCTGGTCTCCTCCTCGAGCCTCGCCTGCAGCGCGCTGATCTCTTCCTCGCGCTTCGCCTGCAGCGCCCTAATTCCGTCGACCCGCATTTGCAGCTCGACGTTTGCCTCCTCGAGGGCTGACGCCCGTGCTTGTGCGTCATGCAGCGCCCCGCGCTTCGCCTGGAGCACGTTAGTCTTTTCCTCGAGAAGCGTCTTCAGTTCGGCGTTCGCCTTCTCCAGCGCCGATGCCCGTGCCTCGACCTTCCGCAGCGCACCGGTCTCTTCGTCGATCCGCGCTTGCAGCTCAGCGTTCGCCGTCTCGAGGGCTGACGCCCGTGCTTGGGCGGCATGCAGTGCGTCGGTTTCCTCTTCCAGCCTCGCCTGCAGCGCGGCAGTCTCTTCCTCGAACTGTGCCTGCAGCTCGGCGTTCGCCTTCTCGAGGGCCGACGCCTGTGCTTGGACGTCATGCAGTGCATTGGTTTCCTCCTCTCTCTTCGCCTGCAGCGCGCTGGTCTCTTCCTCGAGAAGGGCCTGCAGTTCGGCGTTCGCCTTCTCCAGCGCCGATGCCCGTGCCTCGGTCTTCTGCAGCGCACCAGTCTCTTCCTCGATCCGCGCTTGCAGCTCAGCGTTCGCCGTCTCGAGGGCTGATGCCCGGGCCTCGACCTTCCGCAGCGCACCGGTCTCTTCGTCGATCCGCGTTTGCAGCTCAGCGTTCGCCGTCTCGAGGGCTGACGCCCGGGCCTCGACCTTCCGCAGCGCACCGGTCTCTTCGTCGATCCGCGTTTGCAGCTCAGCGTTCGCCGTCTCGAGGGCTGACGCCCGGGCCTCGACCTTCCGCAGCGCACCGGTCTCTTCGTCGATCCGCGCTTGCAGCTCAGCGTTCGCCGTCTCGAGGGCTGACGCCCGTGCTTGGGCGGCATGCAGTGCGTCGGTTTCCTCTTCCAGCCTCGCCTGCAGCGCGGCAGTCTCTTCCTCGAACTGTGCCTGCAGCTCGGCGTTCGCCTTCTCGAGGGCCGACGCCTGTGCTTGGACGTCATGCAGTGCATTGGTTTCCTCCTCTCTCTTCGCCTGCAGCGCGCTGGTCTCTTCCTCGAGAAGGGCCTGCAGTTCGGCGTTCGCCTTCTCCAGCGCCGATGCCCGTGCCTCGGTCTTCTGCAGCGCACCAGTCTCTTCCTCGATCCGCGCTTGCAGCTCAGCGTTTGCCGTCTCGAGGGCTGACGCCCGGGCCTGGGCGTCATGCAGTGCGTTGCTTTCCTCCTCCAGCCTCACCTGCAGCACGTTAGTCTCTTCCTCCAGCCTCTCCCGCAGCGCGCTGGTCTCCTCCTCTCTCTTCGCCTGCAGCGTGCCAGTCTCTTCCTCGATCTGCGCCTGCAGTTCGGCGTTCGCCTTCTCGAGGGTCGACACCCGTGCTTCGGCCGTCTGCAGCGCGTTGGTCTCCCTCTCGAGCCGTGACTGTATCTCGATGCTCGGTATCGTTACCCAGGATTCAGGTGTCTGCACCGCAATTATCAGTGACCAACGCCGTTATCCACTATGACGAAGGTCACCTTAGAGCTTTGCTTGTAAGTGTCAACAGCAGGCTGCCGGTCTCGGATTGCCTAGCAGTATCTGTCAGAATGAAGAACGACACTGCAAGCCTGATTCGCACATTTGTGCCTCCTTCGTCGGCAGCGAGGTTCCGCTGCAACAAGTCAGCCGTTTGTGCAAGGCCGCCACCCTGGTGCCCTTGTGCAGCGTTCCCGTCGGATATCTGCACGACATTACTGATGACTGCATTGCTCAAAGGATGTCTCGCCTACCTCGAGCATGCGCTCATCAGCTAGCGTTCAGATCTTCAGAGACGTTGCCGCTTGCGACGTTCGTGGAGCCCCCATCTCAGCTTCTGAGGTGATCTACGTCGTGATCGTGATCGTCAGAGGCAATAAGGCGTACAACCATGTCTCGTACCTCGCTTGGTACCGAATTTGCAGCCAATTGACCTTGCGTTGGCTCCTGGTGAGCTATAAAATCGATTCTGAGATGCTCAGAGTCGCGTAGTCTTTTTTCAGCACGCTGGGTACTCCTCGTCAGCCAATCGACGTGGACCTACGTCTTCGGGCTCACCTGAAGCTCTTTTTCGCGCTCAAGGAGACTGCGCTGCAGGGCACCAATCATATACCATAGGTCCGGATCCGACAGCGATCGCGAAGGGTTTGAGTGAATGTAGTCCCCTGCGGTAGATGACACGACAGACTGCACAGTGGGTGCACCGCCGGCCTGCGCCTTTGATCCACTCATTTCGATGCTGCGCTCAAGTGTCCAATGACCGAGCTCTGACTTGTCAGACTCGTCGGGCTCGTGTTTCCTCGCCTGGAACGAAGTTGGTTAGACTATGGACTGCGAGATTCAGGAGTGACTTACACTTGATGTACTCTCATATAGTACCATCTCGCTCCCACGTCCATCCACCAAAGCTCGAAGCTGTGCTTGAAGGACGGAACATTTGCTCACGGCAGCCTAAAAACGTCAGAGGCGCGTTCACCTTCAAACACAGCCAAGAAGTATCGCACCTCTGTTTCCAGCCGACTGGAGGTAACGTCGCGCCGGAGCATATCAACGTCATTCGCAAGGAGGGCATTCTGTTCTGCAAGCTCAGTCGCCCGCCCTTCGGCGAGCTACAGCGTGCTTATATCAACAACAAACCATTGTGCCGGTTTAGTATACTTACCTCGACCTTTCTTTCGCGATCGGCCACAATGTTTTGCAGACCAGCGACGGATGCGTCAAGTCCTATTTTCGACCGAAGCAGCTCCGCTGCATGTGCTTCTAGAGCCTTTGAAACGCTGTATGTGAGTCCGGTGTTGGATCATATCGACGCGCTCACCTCATTCTGTTGCTGGTATTCCACCGCTGCATTCTCCCTCGACGCTACCTGCCGCTCTAATTCCTCTCGCATCATTGCCGCAAGCTGCGCTAACTCCGTCTTTTCCTGCGTGTGTGGGTATTTGTAGTCAATACTGCTGAGCGGTCATTGACGCAAGATCTCACTTACAGAGAGTGCGTCTTCATAAGCCTGTGCGAGTTGTTGAAAAGCGTTGTTTCTCTCGTCTAAGCGCCTCTGCAGGGTCGCGCTCTCGATCTGTTTTCGGTAAGACAGTCGTTTGCCGGGTGGTATTCTCGGACCAACCTGCAATTCTGCGAGGAGGGTCCCGTATTCCTGTCCTGTTTTCGCCTCTAGACAGGCCCCGGACGCGCGTTCCACCTCCGTATACCGATCCCCCTGATCCAACCAACTCCCTTCAGCCTTCGGTAGAGGTAGAGAGCGTTTGAGGCGCACCTTGCTCACTTCGTCGGGAATCTTCATCTTGTCGAATCTATCGCATAGCTTGGTGTTGCGACCGGTAAGTCGGATGAATCAGGGCCACTCAACAGATACGACGCCTCACATTGTCGCCTTCGTCGGGGTTCGTCGCATTTGCCTTTGCTTGAGCAGAAAAGCATTCTGCCACGGCCGTTAAAAGATAATTGATGCTATCCTGAAGGCGTATGAGCGTCCGTCGCTTGTACAGCCAATTGGACATCAGCCAACCTGCGCTTTCGTGCTGCTATCGGGCTACATTTTGTATGAGAAAGGGTCAACGATAGTGCTCGGTAGACTCACAGGCGACGTCTGCAGAGGCATGACGCGTGCGAAATGCGCTATCGTCAGAAGTTTCCTTCGCACCTCCATCTACGTGAGTTGCATTATGAAGTCAAGGGCGCGAGATCAGGGGAGCCACTTACCAAGTACAGAAAGGATTCTTTATTACGAGCGGCTTGTTGCTGGTGCACGTACGTCTTGAGCTCCTGCCATTTGTGACACTAATGTAGCGACTCAGGTGACATACGAGATACCTTGCACTCCCTCTCCGCGCACTCAAGGCTTGTTTGCGACTTGTCGTACTTCTTCTTGAGCGCGCGATTGTCCTTTTGGATCGAAGAAATGGTCCGTTGGAGTTTCGTCTCCTGCACCTTTGCTTCCTGTAATCTGGCCTCGAGATGACGCTGGTCCTAGGAAGTGGACAAGGTCAATACATGCACCTGCCACCGAGGCTAAATGCCGACCACCATCTTCGACGACTGTCTACTGTCGGTACTTGAATGCGAACGTGAGCTTTGCAATGCACCCTATATCCAGATCAGCTGTAAATCTCTATATCGAGCGAAGGACGGGCCTTGAGCTGATCGTTCTCTCGAATGAGTTCACGCCGCGCATCAGCTAGTAGTCGGATGGAATGCAGCAGGCTATTCTCTACTGCTTTGTGCTTGACCTGAGTACAATGAGTAGCTGACACGGTGCCAGACAAAGACGCCACGTACCTGCTCATCCGCAAGCTCTACTTGTATCAGTGAACCTTCTGCGTCGTTGTTGCCTTCATGAGTCAAGGCCCCGGGGGAAGCTTGGTCCAGCTGACAAAGTACAAGTGTGAGGGCCATCGCACAGCGTGAAAGCTAGGACGAAGACTGACGAGGTTTTGTTCGAGGGTATTCTGAACGCTCGGGTGAGATGAGTAACAGTGAAGAAAAGTCAACCGGCGTACACTCGCTTTGAGAGCAACTTGAAGTTGAGAGATCAAGTCTCCACGGGCTTGAGCGAGATCTTGAACCTCCCGAAATTGCGACGCAAGCGAGTCATGCTCCCTTGTGACCTCGGTGAGCCTTTGCTCCAAGGTTGCATCCCTCTCTGAAGCAACAATTCGAACTTTGGTGGTAGGAGTTACCTCAGTCTGGAGATATCCGTGAATGGCGGGTACTCAAAGTTCGACAGTCACTTACCGACGATGATTCATTCTCTACGACTGCACGCTTGGTAGAAGTACGGCGGTTAGTATGCATCACGCAGGATAGCTCCCTGCATGAACAGGGCGCGGTTCGCGAAGAAACTCAGAAAAGCCCGAATGTCAGTGTAGCTGCGCAGCTGGGGAGGAAAGGGAGAGATGGGCGGCAAAGAAGTACGCTCATCCTGTCACCGTCACGGAGGCTCGCAGAGAACAAAGCAGCGGGGAGCCTGGGCGTGCTCTTTCATCATGGTGGTCTTTGACAGTACGTGCCAACAAATGCGGCGATCGACTTTCCAAACGAGGATACATCCTCGTGGGGTGGGCGATCGAAGCCTTCAGTCCTCCCTTCCCGCTCTCATCACAAGTCTCTGAGCTGGAACGGCAGTGCCAGCTAGTTCGATTCATCGCGCGACCGCCTTACAGTGGCGATCCAACCATAGTCTCCGCGGCCGATTCGCAGGCAAGCTAGTCGTTCAGCAAGGCTGACGTCTTGTTCGGCTGGCAGACTGCTGCCGCCACAGTCAGCATTCTTGGGGATAGGTTCGTGAGGGGATGTGGTGCGTACTCGTAATGTGCATGGGAGAAGCCAACACTGACGTGTCCACATGAAGATCGGGAGCGCTTCACACTCATCACCCATAAATTGCGGAAGTTTAGCTGCCCGGTATTCCGTCTGCTTGACTGTTTGAATCTCCTATCAGGCGAGCTGCTTCAGGGTAAGCTATTGTTTCACTGAACCGAATCCCATCTTACTCAGGATCACCCAGATCCATGGAGCCATACGCACGAAGGATCGTCTCACAGTCCTCCCCCTCTCCCCGATGCTCCTCGTCAACTCTCGCTCATGCTAGTATGCTCAGTCTCTCAGACAAGCTGATACGGAGGATCACGGCGAGGTACACTGGGATAATCGGACGATCTCGCGCGTCACGTCAGTGCATTTTCAGCGCGATCAAGTCAAAGCTCGGGAGACGACATGTCGAAGCCCCTGATGAAGACCCCAAATTGTGGGTGCTGGCCCATTGACATTTCGGACTGTCGGCTGGCGCGTCCGGTCCAGGGGCTGGCGGCTCGACTGACGCGACTCTGCGATGCGGAGTCGGATCGGGTCACGACGATCACGACCAGATGGTTCGGTGAGTGCCGCCATCTCAGTTAGTAGTCCATATTGCTCAGCCGCGTCCATGTATGCTCAACCACCGGGACAGCGCGGCGTCGAAAGCCGTGGATGCTTGCTGGCGCCGCTTGATGTGACGTCCGTGACATCGTGTCACGTATCGCTGGCCAGCAAACATCGTCTTCAGTACGTTCGTCCTCGACCTTTGGCCCTCGTATTTTCTTATAAAAGCAGGCCTCAGGATGTAATTGTACTCAGGCAAGTGTCAGACACCGTCTCAGGGCATGTCACATACCTATAGGACCCCCACCTTGTCATCGACGCGATGGCATACCATGTGTGGTTTTGGCCATTTGCTTGCGGCCCACCACTAGATCCATGTCATCGGAGAGCTACTCAACACATGTTCAGGACTAGTATCGATGCACTTACACGGTTGCTGTTCAAATTTCTATCTGTCGTGGCGCTTGTATGTAACTGAATGAATGAACTTCAATTCGTCTGCCTCTTCAACATTTTGCATATCACTGCCCAAAACGTCTTTCGATACTCTCCCCGCCATGCTGACCAACTTATCTGCTACGTTACTCTCCAAATCGGTCCACCTCCGGTCTCACCTCGCCTGGCTATGCTTATTGGCTAGCCTCTGGGATAATCTTTCGGCAACGTATGTTCTTCTACTACAGTGTATTGGCCTAACACGCGTACCTGGGCGGAGAGGCAGTGGGCCGCGCACCTGGTAGAGTATGAAGGGTGTCCTTCGGCAGGGCAGTCGAGAGTGGGTGCGTATCTGACAGACGACGGCTTGCGCTGTCAATGCCGTAGAGAGACGCGATCGAGATCAGACAATGGTGGAGACGTGGCACTTCGGTTTTCCTCGAACTTGCAGGCGACGCCGACTTGAGCGTGAAACCGACGGGCTTGTGATACATTTGACGTTAATCTTGAATATACTAGCTACAGTACTTTCGATGCCGTCGATGCCGTAGCTACAATTCATCTACTTTGCTTCGGTATTCGTCAATATCGGTTGTCATCCTATAAGTGCTAACAGCTTGTATCGCAGCGACGAACTGCTGGAGCGAGTACGGCTGCCAGGTTATCGTCCTGTGTACGCGAAGGAATGCGCTCACTCTCAGGTCCAATACGGTCTCTTTGGAGGTGCCCAGAACGCGCTTTCGGACCACCACATGTTCAGGCGGACTACGGTCCAAGAAAACTTTGACCAACAGTTCGCCACCTTGATCTGCATGCTCTTCAGCCGTGTAAGCCAGCTCCCGGAGCAGGCTGTGACCGTTCTGCGACGAGATGTAGTCCATGGTTTGGAGTAACACAAAACCGACGTCGGCAGCTGATTTGCCACAAACTAGTATGCTGAGTTAGCCACTTAGGACAAGATCCGTTCTCCGAAACGCGCTCACCAATATGATCATCGACGAGAAGGCCAGACCAGCGCCACAGGCAGAAGAGCTTATGCTCCTTCCAATCCATCCTCTGGCAAGTTTTGGAGCAATACGCCACGTTCTCGCAAGGGCAACGATACAAACGCGTCGAAGGGGCCGCATGGTTCGTGGCACACTCAAAAGCGTGTCAGCTACGCTACGCGGCCGGAGTCAACCTGTCCTTACCGACTTCATCGCGCACCGGGATTGAATGCACGTCTTGCGTAGTAGTTCTGTGCGGCGTCGTATCGTCCCTTCGACCCCATGAATGAATGCCTCGTATGCTGCTAAGTCCGCTGCTTCCCCAAGCTGTTGAAGCACCCTCAGCACACGACGAGACGTGGTGCGTTGGAAGATGTACTGTAAGGCTTCCGCGCGTGCCTGCTTCGCCATTCCGACAGCACCATCGCGCTTTAGGGCGTGCATGATACCGCACTGCAAAGCCCACCGCAAGGTGCGGTCCTCAGGTTCTGCGCTCCAGATAGCAAGGACGAGGTCGCATACGACTTCCATGACTTCAGAGGAAGGCGCTGAGCGTACAAGATCTACGGCAAGCATGACGCTCTTTCGGGAATGCCGCATCGGGGTGAACACGTCCCTTGCCAGCAGCACGATTACGGATATGTGGATCTTGACGGCTTCGAAGTCGGGGGGCGCGGTCGCGCACGCGCGAGTGAGAAGTGTGAAGGTGACGCGGAGAAGCTGTGCGAAGATGCGACGCGGATCCTGTCGCAACACGAGAACCAGCTCAGCCTTAACCGCAGATCTGAGCACTGACATCTCTGGGTATCCAGGCAGCGGCATAGGTTTCGCCTGTAGCATATCCAGGACGCAAGACGCCAGCACTTCCGAGGGATGGTGGGTGTCTTCGCCACAGGGAGCGTCAGCTTTCGGGTGGAAGACCAGGAAACACCATAAGGAGGCCATGTATCCGAACAACGTGGCAGCCCGTTCCCGGAAGATCCCAGCACACCTTCCATAGTAATACATCGTGTGGAGAGCGTTGATGAGGGGTGCATGATGGACTGGATGATACGGAAGAGTGCCGTAGGCGGGATGCATGTATGGTATCCAAGCGAAAGCGCGCGGCCAAAATGCGAAGGCACATTCGTAGCCTTGTGTAACCTCAAAGGCTGACACGGACGGCTCGGAAGGGTCGAGATTGGTGGTTACGGCGGTGATCGCCAGAAAGCAAGCCGTGACTGCCAAGACAGTAGGAGAGTTTGGGACCCAATCTGCCGCATTGATTTCTGCTGGATCCCTTTCAAGGAACTGGAAAAGACCAGGTTGAGTGGCAAGCTCGGCGATCCGATGTCGAAGCCTAGCTTTCGCGCGCGGCGAGGTCGTTCTGGATACCATGAGCCCGGACAGCCGTACAAGCTCGCTTTCCAGCGCAACAGAGGGAGATATGGACATGGCACGCAAGGGATAGCAAAGATTAGCGGTGAGAGCGGGTCGTCAATGGCGGCGGGAACAAAGGCTATAGTCGGGGAAGCTTGCAACCACGACTATTGCGTCATTATGTGCCTGGAACAATCCAAATGTGATCGGCATCGCTTCAGGCTCCCGACTCCTTCATGCAGTGGAGGGGCACCAGGAAGCGAGTGTAGAAGGATAGTTCCATTGAAGTCGATGAGTATATATGCATTGCGAAATGATGGTTAGAGCTGTGCTGGTATAGGGCAGAAATCCAAATTGGTCGCGCTCTGCGCACAGTGTTTGATGTGAGTCGCGCTAGCACGAGGCACGAGCGGTGATAGGCAAGCTAAGGGCAAACGCCGGTCCGCGTCGCCACGCGACGACAGATGTCAGTTCGATCGCGGGGCAGCTGAGCGCGTCGCCTCTTGATGAACGCGCTCATCGACGAAGGGGCAGCCCCTCCCTTTCTCGCTCCATCCTCCTTCACCCTTTTCCTCGCTACGCTTGTGGGCTTCTTCGGCCTTGGCCGATGGCGGCATTCGGCTGTTGGTGAGGCTGGAGTCGCCTCGCAGTGTACCGTCGGCGAGGCTCTGTCGCCCGAGCTTGTGAGTCCGGCAAGGTCCGGGCCGGACGTTTGTTTATCGACGAAGGAAGGTTTCCGATCGTTGTTTGGCTCGATCGGCCACCTTCGACATCTGGACAGCCGTACGAGCGTACGCCCTTTATGTAATCATGCCGGCGTTCGGCTGATTTTCTATCTGTCCTGGCCTGGCCATGGGCTTTTGCCCGCGCCCAATCTGACGAAAAACGTGTTTGGGCCGTCGGGTCCGCGTCACAAGGAAGTTGAAGGAACCGTGGGGTCGTCGCAATAGTGCGACGGAAAATGAGCCTTGAGGGAAGGTACAATCCTCGTGCACCCGGAAGCGCTAGAGATCGACCAAAATTCATGCGACAGAAATGTCCCCACCTCCCCCTTTCAGGATCGATCTGGCCGATTCTGGCGGACGTACATCTTTATTTGGAAAGTCGGTTGCCCCTATACGTCATCACCCGGACCGCGACGACGGTGACTGCGTCGCTTTAATGACCGACGGTCAATTTGACAAGGACCAGGCGACAGACAATCCAGTTTCCTGTCCAAGCTATTATGCGTACCCACGAACCACGTTTTATGTATGACACAGGCCGTATGTGTGACTCATAGGTCGATTCGGGCGGTCTGGTCGCAAGCCCTTCGCTCTATTCGCCTTGTCCTCTTATTCGATACCTGCGCTGGCGTCTTCCGACGGTCCAGCTACCCGCTCATGATGAGGCCTGGCCCATCTTTGCGTGGCCTGACATCAATCGGGGTTGTATGTGATGGTGGTCCAGCCAGTGGGCCACCGCCATTCTTCGCTCGACATAAAAACCAACCTGCACCGTGGCTTCAGCCTAGACACTCCTGATTGCCCCCTCTGCTTCTTCAGCTCGCCTCTGGGGACTATGCACCGGAGGGCCTCAAGCATATCGAGCGACGGTGATGACCGCTCCCAGGTGAACCCTCTGTCAGCGGTCCTCAACTACTCCATCATCACTAATTGGCATAGCAGAAGGTCAGACTCGTAGCCCGGACCGAGCACAATCATCACTGCGAGCAGGAGCTTAGCGGGCTGCGCGCGACCGTGGTGAGGCTGCGGGAGCAGGTGGAACAGCGCGAGAAAGAGCTCGATGAGCTGATGGTAAGCAATATCTCTCTCATTCCTTGAGGTATCTGATCCTGGTCAGGCCAACGATGATGCCAACTTGACCAAAGTCCATGAAGATTATGCCAGGCTCTATCGAGAGAGTATGGAAAAGGACCGGCAGATAATCCTTTTACAGAGAACAATCGAGAAGCTGAAGACCGCACCTGAAGTGAATAACGCCGTCGCGCCCTTGGAGCCAGCGAAGAAGGATGCTATACGTAGCATGGAGGCGAGTCGAATGCACGACATATTTGAGCGCACACTGACGACTATCAAGGTCGACTTAATGCAGGTACGTAATTCACGCGGGCGTGTCAAATCGACATTGACCTGCTGTGAAGAAATTGAATCTGGCTGAGGCCGAGGTGCGAAGGCGTGGTGAAATCATCGTGAATCTCACGAGAGACACGAGTCTGCTGCGGGTGAGCTGCGCATTCCCCTGCGTGTTTTCATTAAAGTGAGACGCATACCCCCTAGAAAGCAGCCTTAGCCGGTGCCGCCGTCAACGTACCGTCGAACGCCCGCCTTCTACAGGCTCCCCTCCCAGAGAGCATCTCCCGTGATGACCTGGTTACGGCCACCTCCGACAACAGATCGTTGACCTCTCGCGCCGTACAAGCGTCGCCCTCCGAGGCTGTTCCCGGTGGTGATGTGGCCACGTCCGCTGCCACCGTCGCATCATCGAACTCTCGCCTGCAGCAGTCTCCCCTGGCCGAGGGCATTCCCGGTGGTGACCTGACGACAACCGCTGCTTCTTCGGTGGCAAAACAAGCCGTAGCAAGTTCGTCGGAGACCCCACTCGATCGGGATTCCCCTCCCTCTGGAATACAAGCGAGCACGGATAGTCCAAGTGCGCGGCATTCCGGAGCTGAGGCGTCGCCCGACGAAGGCACGACACAGACCGAGTCGCACGTCGCGGACCGCTCCGCTGTTCGAGATGCGCCGAATGATCGACCCATACCTTCGAGCCTTGTGCTCGACGTCGCCGCGCTCAAGGATATGTCAAAAAATGACCTGCACGATCAGCTGAAACTATGGCGCTGGCAGTTGTGCGCAGACACGCAGCCGTTCAGCCTCCTCAAGAATAAGCCAGAAAAAATTCAGGAGCTTGAGTGCCTCATTGGGCGCTACCCAGATGGTCGAGTGTTCGATCCTCAATCTAGGAAGCGAAGGAGTGTTGTGATGACTTGAGCATTAGTATGATGTATTGTGACCAGGTATACTACCTTGTTGAGCATCGTACATTATGGCGTAGATGGCCTGTTACTGTGAACAAAGTCGCGAGATACAACGTCCAAGCGTAAGAACGCTAACGAGATTTCCTCTGCGTTTAGCAACTCTTGAAAATCTCCGCCACCCCGCCTCACAGAGCAAGCTCAGGAGAAATTATGGTCCTTCCCATTGTCTACGTGGCATATAACAGGCGTGCAAAGACAACTTAGCATTTAAGACAAAATTCAAGCGCTTGATATTGCGCAGAAGTGGCTTGTGCGACGGATAGATGGAGTAGAGCAGCTCGGCATGGCTGGCGCATGTTGAAAGTGAGGGCGTGTGACGCGGCGAAGACCCCATAGAACAGAGCAGACGCCCCTCCGCACCATCACTTTCTTCGACCTACGTCGACTGAGAACAATCGACTATCAACTCGTCGAAGTGTGGCCGGTGCCGTGCGCCGAAGCGCTAGTGAAGTTCCTTCCTCTACTACTCATTGTCCGGCCCCTCACTCCTCCCCATCCTCTTCCTCCTCTTTGCCCCATTCCTCATCCTCCATTCTTATACCCTCCTCCCCCGGGGCGGGCTCCTCTTCCCACCGCGACGCGTGCGATCTCGCGCGCGATTGTCTCGTCTTCATGAGCGTGCCCAGTGTCCTCGGACAAGTCGCGGGGTATGTCGCTGCCCTTATTACAGGGGGCAGTCTTGTAGAACGTGACGTCGTGTCTGAGCTGCTTCCCCACAGGGGCAGTCAATGTTCTCGCCGGGCTAAAGGGTTTGTAGTACTCACCTAGGGATTCGTGTCCTGTACGACACTGTACTACTCATTCGTACAGCTCCCAGTCCCCGCAGAGGTCCCGAATATGTGCGAGCAGCTGCAGTGAGGGTGGTATGTGGTTTGCGACGGCGAACCTTCCTGTCAGTCGGTCCCGCTCGCGTCGTCATACTACAGTCACTGTCACTTCCCACACTCGGCGCAGAGCGCTCCTCTTTGAGCGAGCCTTCGTCGAGTGCTCTTCTGCTGCGCGTTTGACGAGCGCGTCCGCTCGCTCGTTGCCGACAATGTCCGTGTGGCCGGGGTACCATTTGATTTCCAGATTGAGGTGCTCGTCCTTGTCGACGACTTCGCAGATCCTCTCGTAAACAACGCGAGAGTATCGTTAACCGGCGTGTGGCCTCGAATCGAATATAGTACCGATAGCAGCGGTGTTGTCAGCGAAGGAGAGGATATGGCGTAGGTGGGAGTTTTCTCTGGCGAAGTTGGTGACAGACTGGCTCGCTAGCATGAGCGAGTTGTCCAGCATACACTTCCGCGGCTTCTCTCAGACCATGCGCGAGAGCCTTGAATTCACGCCCGCCACCGCCGCGCCGACCCGGCGGATTCCGTTCACCTCTCGTTGAGATCCGTCGGTGTACATGAGAAGGTGCCTTCCCTGCACCTTCGCGCGATGCGCATTGGCCATCTTCTTCTCATACGAATAACCTCCCTTCATAGTCTTGGGGCGTGCGATGCCATGGCGGTGCCGCAAATGGCTCGAGGCGCTCGTACTCGGGCCTTGTGTGCTTGGCCGCCTCAGGGACGGGAGTAATTTATTTTGTGGTTGCTCGTCGACATCTCTTGGCCGGTAGCGCGGGATGAGATGACGTGCGATGCATTCCCGCTGCGCCATGAGTTTGGTAAGCGATTGATGATTGGACTTGAAGTGCTTAGCTTGTTCAGTTCTCCGCCGTATCGGCGTACTTCTCGAGCTAATAGTGGTCGATAGTTCTTATGTGATTTAGGTCGAAGAAGGTGAGGGTGACGGAAAGGCGTCTGCTCGGTTCAACCAACTGTAGGTTACTTCGGTTTCGCGGCGAAGACCCCTTGAAACCGAACTAACCTACAAGGTCTTCGCCGCGTCACACGCGGTCACCTCCCAACATGGGCCGGCAGATGCCGATAAGCTCTGCTTCACCTATCAGTCGTAAAACGAGCATTTGCGCAAGAAAATTCAGCGCTGTGATCACCAGAGACACTAACATAGGCGTGCGGCAGGACCGCAGGGTACTCGCTAGGAAACCTACTCCGTAGGTCGAGCAATGTGCAGCGGCAAATACCGAAAGAATGTGCTGTGAATGTGGCGTCATCGCACTCGAAGGCCAGGCGTAGCCTAGCGTGAAGGTGCACGAGCGATGTTGCATAAGAACTAGCCGACGTATGTTGCTCAAATTCGAGAAGAGGGTGGCGATGGGTGAAAGGAAGGGGCTCGGCTTTCAAGCGAAGCGAAAGACCGAGATTCGAACGCGAAACGGCGGCTTTGGGGATCGGACCCAAAAAGTCGAGCGCTCGGGACGGAACTTCGCAGGATGTTAGCCAGCGTAGAGCAGACCCAAACTCATATTTTGACCATAGCGAAATTCCAAGAAATGCGGGGACAGCGTAGCGAAAACAGCGATGACGAGGCGAAACTATCGTTTGGCCCGTGAACGGGCCCCTCCTTGACTCACGTGATAGCACATTGCTCGCTCCGCCTCTCCCCTCCCTCGCAAGCTCGGGGGGTCCCCTAAGGCGTTCACGAGCAATCATTTCCTTGCGCACTTATGGCGTGTCTCGTGAACAGCGGAAAGGGCAGCGATTCATATTGGCAGCAAGAACGAACAAGGCACGTGCCAATGCGGGTCCGTGCCACGTGAAATATTGGACTTCAATCGCAACGAATCGGTGAGGAGTATCTTCTCCTCCCGAGTCTCCTTCATGTCCACTATATCACCTTGCTTGCAAGGTCTATCTCATGTGACATGTGTCTTCATGGCCATCACGGATCCTTCGTGCAATATATGTACAAACACCTGCTTTAGGCAATCGTCGCGAATTCGAGCACCCAAAGATATGCGCAGTCTTTTCCGCTCTCCCCCCACCGTCCCTGCACGGTCTCGTTCCTAGCACCTAACCTACGATGAACGAGCAGGACGTAGAGCATGAAAATGTATCCAATGGCGCTTCAAATTCACCATGGCCACCGGTAAGTAATCGAACACGCATTGTGCAGCAAGTAGCGGTCTCTCAAACCGCTGCGCCACGGAAGTACGGGATCAAGGAGAAACACAACATACAGAATGGTAACGTAAGCTCTTTACAGCGCAGATTGTCTCTTTCCCACATGCTTGCAGCGTCCACTCGCAAGCTCCAGCCTCCAGCTCGTCAAGTACATGTGGACGTTGGCCGAATTTGATGAGCGCTTCAGTCCACCAGCATCGATAACGTCATTCCCAGCGGCAGAACCGCGTCGGTCGGCTGACCCTGGTAACTTACTCTCTTCCTCGACCCCTCCACGTCCATTTGTTCGCCGCCCGATTTCCTTTTTTCATCATGTCTGCTGTGCGTAGCGCTCACATTCAATGTGTTTTCCCCCATGATGGCCTTGTACGTTTGCCCCCGTCGTTACACGTGTTGGTTTATGCTATACCGGCGATGCTATTGATGGGTATCGTGTCGCTCACGAATTGTGCAAACACCGCCATGCTGCTAGCCCTCTTTATGCAGTGAGTGTATGTGCATTGCGCTCCGCGTAACGCCCCTCTGAGCAAAACCATACAGCCGGAATCCGTCCCTCACTCCGGTGCTGACGCCGATTGACTATTACAACGTCGGCACCAGCAAGTCGTACCCTGCCTCAACATTGACAACACATCATGTCGTTGATGGACCTTAGTGATAATCGCGCAGCGCAGTCCTCCAGCATACGCTCTTTACAATATCGTTAAATTCCCCTAATGAGCAGGATACATCGTCTTCCGCCCGAACGTTCACTGTCGGTCTGCGCATCACCTCCGCACGCTCAGTCGCTTATCCTCACCAGCTCCGACGTCCGCAAGCTCCTTAGCGACTGCGGTACCATCGGCCGCGACGTCTTTGCGAAGGGCGCCTCCGAAGCTGCCGGCAAGCTTCACCCTAGCGAGGACGAGCTCGCCCGCGACGACGAGCGAGGGCAAGTTCAAGTCCCGTGAGCAGCTCGAGGAGGAGAAGCAGCTCTTGCAGGAGGCGAAGGCGACCGGAAGTCAGGCCAAGGCGCCCGCCGACCAGGTGCAGGCGCAGGCGGAGATGTACAGTGACGGCGAGCGCCCAGTGACGAACATGACCGCCGGCGCGCCGGCTGACTTCGAGAATTATGAGGAGCAAACCTTTTCTTCGTCTGAATCGAGGCATGTTTGCCTCCTCGCTTCGCGCTCGCGCGCCCAAGCCGACGCACTTCCAGCGATTTTTCTGCCTGTCACCAATGCCAACGGCACCCAGTCGCGCAACTTGATGAACAAGGCGAAGGGCTTCCGCGACGGCATGCATGCGAAGATCTTAGGCCAGCACAAGGACAAGGCCCGTGAGCGTGTCGATTGCGGCAAAGATACCATCGACGACTACTTCCCGCAGGAGCGTCGCGACCGATACGTACGTCCTCTGACCTCCCTTCGCACTTCCTTCTTTACCGCACTTCCTTCTTTACCTACCCTTCCTTCAGATCTATCGCATGAAGAAGGTCATTGTCGAGTGCCGAAGCCACAACGACTATCAGGAGTCAATCCCCTGGCTGCTCGACGCCATCTCGTCGTATTTCCAGCACAGTAAGGAGATTGGCAAGCAGCACGCGAAGCATACAGCGAAGGCGTCGAAGAACGACGGGTCCCTCAACGAAGCGTGGGGTCAGCTTCGCCTGCTCCTCGAGCGCTTCGCGAACGGCGTCAGCATGGACATGATCTTCGACGCGGCGAACGCGCTCGCGGATGATGCGCGCAACGATCCGGCGCTGAAACAGTGCTTGAAGAACGCGAACGCCTACATTCACAGGGTTAATCCTCTACGCTGGGGTCACGGTGAGTGAGGCTGACTCCTTCCCAGTTGCTCCTCCAGCTCGGCCTCGTGCTCAAGGACGAGTGCAACGAGCCGGCCAGGTCTTCTTTGAGGACAAGTACAAGGGCCACTTCGACAACGTCTTCCAGTCGATCGCCACCTTTAGGCGCGTCATGGGTGAGAACACGCTCAACGTTCGGTGCCCCTTTTTTTCGCATTCCTCCCGCGCTTGTGCTGATGTTCTGGGTAAGCTTCGGTCAGGACTTGGCGCGCCTCACCAAGGACCTGCTCTTCGACTCGGAGGGCCGTCTCGCCTTCAAGTCCGAGCTTTGGGCAAACATCCGCCACGCCATCCTTCCCAATGTCGTCATGATCGGCTACGTGCCCATCCCGCGCATTGTGTACACTGACGACGCGTTCGACATCGTCATCGAGAACCTCGTGTTCTCAGGCCGCAACCTCTTCCCCAACATCATCAAGGTTCGCGCCAACGACCACTTCAAGTACAGCCCATATGTCAGTATGTTGATCGTCGCCGCCCCCGTCTCAACAGTAGCTGACACGTTTTGCAGGCATCAGAGACGAGGGCAAGCACGAGTTCACGCTCGGTTTCAGCCAGGTGCAGGCCTACCTCCACGATGTCGCCTTCTACTCCAGCAAGAAGTCCGGCTTCCCGACCATCTCCGACTCCGGTTTCGCTGATATCGTCCTCGGTGGCGAGAATCTCAAGGCGACCGTCGTTGTCACCAATTCACGAAGGACAAGTCGTCGGTCCTGAAGGTCAAGTCCGTGAAGGTTAAGGTTGACAGCCTCAAGTTCGGCATTCGCGACTCAAAGCACGACCTGCTGTATAAGACGCTGAAGCCGCTGGTGATGGAGCTGGTGAGGAAGCAGAATCAGAAGGCGGTTGCGGACGTCACCCAGACGGGGATGGAGTGCATCGACGGGCAGCTCGTTAGCGTGCGCGACGCATGAACGAAGTGAAGGCATCGGAGAATGAGATGCGTATGGATGCTCTGAAGGAGGTAAGTCACGACCGCTGTCGCGTTGGCGTTCCGGCGCTGACATGTCCTTGCAAATGGTGCAGACCAAGAAGCAGGAGGCGGACGCGAGTAGCACGGCGACGAATCAGAGTAATGCGCAGTCTCTCTGATCAGCAATCCGTAAAGGCAAGCCTCCCTTCTTTGACATAGGCCAGTGTCCTTTCCACACCACCCAAGCCACCCGCGACGTCGACCTCATCCGCAAGTCGCACCGGGTCGTTCCCCTTCCCGCGCACGAAAACGGCTACATCATCCACCCGTAGGGTATCAAGATACTATTGGCGGCTCCCTTGTCCACGTCGCGTGCAAAGCTCCGCCACTACACTACGCCATCGCTAACCGCTCCGTGTTCTCCTATGAGCTCGTGGGGCTGAATGTACTCTCTCGCGCGAGCGCTGGCAAGAAATGAGATGCAGGTGTGAAGTCGGGCTCCCCCTTGAAGAAAATGTAGCTGTAAGTGCCACCGTCTCGCTCTCCTCTGATCCTCTTCGGACTGATTTGTTCGCAGGCTCCGATTGCTCTTCCTCGAAAGTGAATGTGATATCGCCGATGGCGTACTGAAATCTGTACTATACTGCCTTCGTACCTTGATCTTCCGAGAATCGAACCTGATCTCGCAAGCAAGGTTGTGAGCCAGCACCGCCGGCGCTTATCTAGTCTCTGTGGGAAGAAAGGAAGGTTTGTTTATTCGGGGGAGGTCCCTAGAGAGGAACGGCCCTATCCGCCCTACGTAGCTAACAGGTATACTCTTGACATTGCGTCAGAATGGCCGGCGCGAAGAGCGCCGAGCATGTCCTGAAATGGACGGAGCTGTAGTCTCGTTCCCATCCCATGTGTCGCGGGGGCCTGCGGCCCGGCCCACGTTCCTTCGGTTCAGGCACCGACAAAAGTCGGTGCCCGCGGGCGACACAAGGGCTTCACTTTCCATTACCGCCGATATACCGCCCTCGTGGACGCCATGTTTCCCGCGTGGAGATGTGGGTCCAAGCTGGGAAGACCGTGGCGGGGCGAACGGCTGGGTTCGAGACTAGACCACGCTGGCTATGTCCGAATTTTCAGTCCCTGATCGAATAAGAACAATTGACTTGCAACTCCACTTGGACTTCAAGCCGGTAATGGCCACATGGAGATCGCCGTGGAGGACGGACGCTTTAGAGGCTATGGCGGAGGTGCCTACTCACGGGCCAGCGCGTCTTCGTACTGTAGTTACCTGCGGTTTAACGCAGAGATAGAAAAAGAGAGGTTAAGCATGGGGTTGGTTACGATTTGGCCTACAGCCTAAGGTGGAATTACTAGTACGATCATAGACCGGAAATGACTTTATAGAACAGACAGGTGAGAAACGTTAACGCTGGGCGTGAAGACCATACAAGACATGTCCATCGTGCACGGCAGGCTTTTACTCAATCCTCAAGTTGATGCAGATCGCTGGCTGTGGGTGATGCGTCTTGAGTTGTTCTGGATGTAGTGCAGATGGCTGATTGCAAAAGCACGAACGGGCCATCCACCTTCAAAACGTTCCTCCATCTCCGGGTACTGCGCCAAAGCCTGTCAAGGAGAGGGGTAGCCACCCCGTCCGAGCGAAGGAAAGCACAGCAGAGCTTACCTCGGCCTCGTAAACAGCGTAACGCGCGGGCAGCTGCCTAGTAACAGATCTGTCGCATTGGAGATGCATCTCGACAAGGCGGTTCATATTGCGCTCAACAATCGTCAGCACTAAAACCGCAACACCTGACTGATGACAACATACCAGCACTTCACGATACTTTTTCCGCGGCCAACCAAGCTTCTCTTCAAGATTATAACCACCGCTATTGGGTCTTCCAGGTTCACCAGGCGGCTTTGGGATCTTGGTGCTGCCATCCGGCACAACGGACAGAGATCGGCTTCGCGGTCGCGATGGACCATCTCGCGCCCGCGAGTGAGCGGGCTGCCGCGCATTGGAGGCCTGCTCCCGTGCGGAGAAGGACACGCGGTCTCGCCCCCGAGAGGTAAGGTGGCTCCTTGGTGCTGTGGAAGCGTGATCTCGCGCTCCCGAAGAAGGATGGCTCCGAACTGCCGAGCCAAGATGGGTCCGTCCCGTGGAAGGCGCTCGGGACGACCTTCGTGCAGTCCGAGTGCTCGGCTCGTGCTCTTCATAGGCCGAGAGTGCAGCGGCAGGAGCAGCGTGGCGGTCGTCGTCCGGGCTGTTGTCAGCATGATCCAGCCAGTCATCGGAGCTGCTATCGAGGGAGTTCTCCATTCGAAGAGAAACGCGAGGCTGCCGGCTGACCGCTCGTCCTTGATAAAGACCATCATCACTACCATCCGAATCCTCGGCGTAGTCGAGTTCAGAGATGGATGCGCGGCCGCGCAGCGCGACTGGCGACATCGTGCGACCCTGCTCGACGGAAGAAGGCGATGTCTGGCGGGAGGAGGCAGGAGACGCCGACGACGGCCTGGAGTGTGCAGGAGTGTACGGAGAATGACGCCGGCTCTGCGCGGTGCGGATGGGTCCCAGCGAAGCTAGCGGACCCAGTGGGAGTGGTTCGCGATCGGCCACATCGTAGAACTGGTGATTGAAGACAAGCTCGATGTGTTGGCTGGATCGAATCCGCGGCCGCGGGTGCATGTCGGGAGAGCAGGACGGTGGACCTTCAGAACCACGGCGGAGGTTTATATACGCCTGCAGTCAGGCAGGTCAGTAGGAAAGGCCTTTGTTCGTCGAATGGGCTGGACACACCACGAAACGCTTTCTGCACGGTCCGGAGAGACGCAGAGTGCCACTGAATAGCCCCAGCGGGTGCTGGCACAATGGTCAAGTGCATTCTGCAAGGGCATCTGGAGGGACGTCTCTTTCATGGGCCCTAGCGTCGGCAGAAGGCTAGAGCCAAGCCTCGTGCTTGTGATAAGATAAACCAATCGACTTACCAAAAGGGGATACTTTGACTTGTCAGATCTTCGGGACGCAGTCTGATCGTTGCCGTCATGGCGCCTTAGCAGCCATAAGCCCAGAAATTGTACGGCCAGCAATACTCGCAGACCAACCGGCGTCAGGATGCGCGCTGTGTCGCGCGAGAACCGCTGTCCCCTCTGGCCTCGCCCTCGCAGTTCGCCGGCCGTGCGCCAGAGCCGGTTCACAGGCTACGGTTCGCCGAACGTATCGTGAACTCTAGTCCCCCCTCTTCGTCTTGTGGACCCCGCGCACCTCGCGCACCTTCGGCACACCCAATCAAGCAGCCGGATGGCCTTAGGCTTACTCTCCGACAGCGGCAAAAAGTGCCCCTCCTGCAATTGGAGCGGTTCGTCCTACCGTGCGTACACAGCTCATCGAGGTTATTCCCCCACTTGACATTGGGTTTTCAGATGCAAACACCTCAAGCACATCGTTATCAGCCGTCTCAATCCGCGCTTTTCTTCCTGCCTACCCATCCCCTCCCATTCCGCCATCCCCATACGCCCTCTCGCCCGTCGCGCGCACTAGGCGACCCACGGCAACATATATAACGGACGAAGCGGCTTCCGCGTGATAAGAAGGGTCGACCGTTGTCGTATGAGGCTGCATAAGCCATCTCTCAAGAAGCAGCTCTCCACTTGCTCGACGTTCATGAGCTATGCGTCGAGGGAGCCGATGATCGGCTGGCGACGACCTGCGAACTTGCGAACTGAAGGTGACATTGCAGTCGGGCGTCGAGGTTCAGGCTTACCCTCTGACAGGCGCGAACCTGCGGCGAGCATACTGGACACTGCTAGGCGCCCCGCGACGAATCAAGAGGCGTCGCCAACATCGACGTCCCCGTGTCATCTCGTTCATCCAACGACCGAAACATACGGCCGAGCAACGCGACCATGATAGCGCCATGACTCGCGCATCGCTGTCGCTTGCCAGAGATGAACGATTATCACGATTGACGGCCTCCCCATGCGTTGCTCAGTGTCACGCAAGTGACCTTGGCTCCCTTTGTTCTCAGTTCGCTCCTCGTCCTGCTTCTCAACTCCCATCTACTTCTTTCCTATATCGACTTGAAGCGCTCTCCGCCAACCAGAGTGATCTCTGACTATGCAATCATCACCCGCACCATCCACGCATGATCCTGCAGATGACAACGAAACATCGAACATCCGGTCGCTTCCCACTCTGACTCGATCCCTCAATGTGGTCAGTTATTTGGCACGTTGCTATCACCTCGAACTTCCTCATGCGTGATCACAGGACCACGACGCGCCGTATATTCAGTCCTGTGCAGAGACCCAACCGGAGCTACAGCTTAACGTTCAGTGGCGTCGTGTCATGCTGGAGCGTGGCGAAGTCAAACGCCGTGCTGTCGAGATTAACAATGCTTTGGCCCGTCAACTTGCGCTGGCCTCGTTCGAGATCGCTGTGAAAGAAGAACTCATAGCAAGCTTGCGGGGCCTTCCGCAACATGTGGTACGCCCGGCGTCCTATCTGCTGCATTATCTCAGATTACCTCAGGACACGACAACTATCACGTCGTCTTCTATCTTGGACCGAGTGAATGGTCAGCTGGTCGTGGGTCTCTCCTCTCTATCTTATTGAACCTTCTATCGACATCGGCTTTGCCTAGCAACTCGAGCATCAGGTTAATCAACTCAGGGACGAGCCTAATGTGTCTCGTTCCACCGTCTGTGGTTTACAAGATGACAACCAGGTGAGGAGACCCTGAACGATATTTCCGAGTCTCTTACGAACTTTCCCGTCAGTCCCTACGATATCAATTGGAAAGGGTCGAGAATGACCGGGCGCTGCAAATCGAGACAGCCCTCATCCCCGAGTCGTCCCGCCATATTCAAGATAAGGTAATCTCCCATGGAGCTAGCCGTGCATTAATGCTGATCGTTGGCAGGGAGCATATCGGGACAAGATCCACAATTTGCAGGTGGGCCACGCGTTGGATCGCGCACGATACGACGTACTCATGCTTGGCTATACAGGCCGAGATAGCTCGCCTCCGAGTAAGCTATCAGGAAAATTCCTACGTACTTCTCTTGACAACAACCAGCTCGCAAGGGACACCTGCGCAGATGATGCAAATGCGGATGCGCAATCGCGATCTGCTCAACGAAGAGAACTCCTGGACACCCTCCAGCGACTCAATGAGAGCAAGGATACGGCTGAGAGGCAACACACGAAACAGCTGCAGGCACTGAATGATCGCATACAAGCTAGTACGGTAAGCGAGCAGTTTACAACCCTGTCATCGTGTGACTGATCTTCTCAGACCTTAGTTGCAGACCAGCAAGCTCTTCTCGATGCAGAGCTGAAGGATAGGGACAAATGGATGTACATGAAAGAAAAACTTGCGGGTGAAATTGGCGAGTTGGAGCAGGCGGTGGAGGTTCGTCGAGCCGGGCACTACGTGCTGGCGCTGATCGTGGAGCCCAGAATTTGCAAGAAAAGAAATACCAAACTGTCCAGCAGCTCGAGCGTGCGACCGCACTCCTGAACGAATGCACTGCAGCGAGAAAAAGGGTCGAACAGGAGGCAGCGTCAGAGATCGCTGATTTGCAGGTGTGTACACGATCTTATCGAGTCGTGAGCCTGATATGGAATTGGTGGACAAGCGGCAATCCGAGCGGGCCTACCAGGAATTGCGCGACTTTGGGGATCCGCTGGCTGAAAAGAAGCGGCGATTGGAGGACGAAATGGTCGCTCGACGGGCTGAGCTGGAGCGGATGAGGGCCGCATTGTCTGCTTTGGCGGTGGGTATCGTTCGCCTTCGTATCGACGTCGCTGACGACTACACTTCAAGGCGGATTGGCAGGACGCGGATGTTGACGCACGCGGAACGTCTGAGGCGCTGGTAACCGGTGCCACGCAGAAGGTACGAACTGCGATGTATATCATCGAACGTTGCTGACAAGTGTCGCCCCAAGGCCTGCACCCAGGCTCATCAGGTGAGCGATTCCGCAGGGTATGAAGGAAGCGCTGAAGGCGATTGCAGCAAACTTGTCGGTCGTCTGTCATGGGGAAGGAAGTTGGTACACATCAACTCAAGGTCGGTTACAGGACACGATATAATCCTGCGGACGCTCATGGCATACAGAACGTTTCCCGAGGGGACAACCGGTCAGGCCGCGTGGCTACTCCGCGGCCCCCGAGTCTGAACTTGGATGGACGAGGCAAGGTGGCAATGGACGTGGACGATCAGGTCCGTATCTGACGACCTGCGAGAAATATGTATTTATCGACGCTGGCAGGGCTTGGACCTCGAAGAGCATGAAGCACCGCGCCCATCCCACGGGGCAGCAGAATGCCCGACAAATCTGGTATGCTCGAGTTCAATCATACCGGGCTCTCTGCGATCACTGACGGAGAATGATAAGGGTTCTGTGGCCGGTACGCCGAAGGGACGGGTCGCATCTGGTACGCCGGGCAGACGGGTCGCGGCGGGTCTCAACATGCCCAAACAAAAGCTCCGAGGGGTCGATGTCGCTGACCATTTGACCGCCCTGGATCAGTTCAAGCTGGGCTCGCCCCTAGTAAGTTGAATTGTATACTCTGAGAGCCGTTGAAACTCAACAACCTTCCAGCGGACACCGTCTCCGCGCAAACGCGGGCCCCGCTCGGCGAAGGGGGCGCATGACGGACAGCACACGCCGCGCTCACGGCATAGCCCGTACTCGAGAGAAGCGGTACATGTGTTTTTTCACGACTCGGTACGAGAATGTCCACTAATGCGTCCACTACCAGCGTCCTTCTAGATACGGCCGCGTTGGCGATATGGGGGAGGACTGTGACGCCGATGACGAAGAGGTACCCCGGCGCAATAGGGAGAGACCCAGGTCGCATCCTACTCGGAGCAGACCATTGCGCCGTGCCAAGTTCGAGGACGTCAACGACATGGACGACGACTACGACTACGACGACTACAACGACTACGACGACGACGGCAACGACGTAGAGCCAAAGACGCCCGTTTCGCGCATCGCTCGCAGGTTCCTCCAGGAAAAGATTGCTCCTGGTGCGCTGTACGCCCCGCAGACCATGAAGAAGAACTTCAACGTTCGTTGCTCTGCATTACACGCTAAGGTGGCCGCTATTGACGCCGGAACCACAGAATCTTGTACTCGGCCTGATCCTACGAGGGATGGGCATACAATTGGTGTATCATGTTGTCGCGCTGGAACCCGTCAGTGACGAGGAGCTTGACGCATTCCGACGAAATCCTAGGTCGCACGGGCCGGACCTGGAAGACCTGAGGCTCGATACCAACGGCCTTGCGACCACTGATGAGCTGTCTGGGTCAGCATGGAACCAGGTTCGTTCTCTCTCACTCGCGGCTTCAACCAGTCACGTACATGAGATCTCATACTGCTTTGCAGCGCGTGGCGAAGTTGCTTTGCGGGAAAGTCAAGGAGATAACTGACCGGGATGGCGGTGATGGGCGCTTCGGAGTCGTTGACGCCGACAGGATCAAGCGTGGTGTTGATACCCGCCTCGGTCGCATGTACAGGTTGATCGCGTCTGTAGTGCCTCAGGCAGGCGAAGACGTGGTCGACGCGATAGCGAGGTTCAGGGAGGCGCACCAAGCTTACAATGATCAGCGTCGAGTCACAACGAGCAGGCAGACGGTAAATCGATCCTTCGGCCTGACGCGAGCTATTGCTGACGACCCTTGTCTTCCTTGCTTAGAAAGCCCTAGCTCGTCTGCGGTACGCAGGCGTCCTGCGCACCGCATGTAGGGTTAGCAACAAGCCGGAGGCGCTCGCGTACTGGTCCTATGTCATGAGGGCGGTGGAAGCACTGGGCTTTGAGGGGATGTCTGACGAGGAGACCGACTACGAAGAGATAGAGCACGACAGCGGCGTCGTCACCAAGAGGCGATACCACAAGGTCCTGAATCCCGTCTGGCGCCGCCCCGAGCTCAGGGATCTGTTCGCGAAGGTGGATGAGGCTCCAGCTCTGGCGCGGATGTATTTTGATAAGCGGGCGGGAGCGAAGACGCCGAGGGTGCGAGTTGACGAGGCGAGCGGGCAGGCGCCTCCGAAGCGCATTCCGAAAGCGTTATATGACCCGGTTTGGCTCGAAGCTCAGGGCGAACTTGTCGAACTGATGCTGGAACTGACCGACGATCCCTTCGAGATCTTCCAGGCTGATGCTTGGGCGGAAGAGTCGTAAATGCGAATCGTGGTATATAGCTTCGTGTATATCTATATATCTATCGTATGCTGGACATTACGCAGTCACATGCGGTACCCATCCGCTTTGAACACAGCGCTGAGCAAATGCCGGTGGAGCAAACCGGAGGAGAAGGAAGGCGCTCAGTCGAACAATGGGGATCGGACGGGTCTTTAATTAGGCAATCGATTAACCTAAAATGGCTATCGTCCTTCCAAAAGGGGAATACAAATATTCGTGATGATAGTCGGGGAAGGCGCAGTGCGCTTGTCGGTTCTCGTCATGACATTGAGGATTCCTCGCGCATACTTGTCTTCGAACGCGTGATGCATCTCCTCTGATGGTGCCCTTGGCATAAGCGGGCGACTCAGAGAACAGTCGCAGGCCGCCGGGTGTTCGGGTACGACGGGTAGTCGGCGATCTGGTAGTGGATGCAGCCAGTGAGTCTGTTGCATGCGATGGGGAACAGGACTAACCGGGCATCTTCAGGGCACCATCGAAAGCTCGTATGACCTTGCTGTGCTTCCGAACCGCATCTGGCGGATGGTGGACTGTTGCCTCCTAGAATCGGAACCGGGGGTCGTGCTGGTCGGGGTGTCGCCTTGGACACATTCTCCCTCTCCACAAGTCAATTGTCGGACCGCAGTACAGGATCGTCGTCCTCAGGTACGTCCCAGACACACGGGGGAGTTTATCTTGCCTCTGACGCAAGCTCCAGTTGCGACATGCGCAAGGACGTGCTACTTGACCCTCCCCACTCCCTCTCCCTCCATCCTTCATCGGCGTCAGCTACATGCGAGCCTGCCTAGCTCGCCTGAGCATCTCGCTCTGACGATCTGTGGCGAAGGACGCGGGCGAAGGATCGGACCCGACGATCGGGACGACGTCGCTCGTACGCCTCCGAAGCCATTGTCTACCTCCTTGACAAGTTGTACGTGCGCTTGTTACCTCAGCTGAGACCTGACTTATCGCATCCGTCCCTTAGCATCTAAGAACTCTGGCGACAGCTTTGGAAGCGCGCGGCAAGGACACCGAACTTCTCGTCAAGCACACCTTCCTCACCGCCGAATTCGACAAGCTATGCCTTCCTCTCACGGGCCAGCCGAGTCAACGTCGACGACGACGCCCAAGCCTTCTCCTTCAACACATCCCGCGAGATGCTTGAGCACTCGGCACTCCTTCTCCCGCTCAGGTCGGTCACCTTCAAGCACATCATCGGTTTCCCTGCGAAGCGGTAATCGAGGACCGCGAGAGCGACTTCTGTGGTGCGCCTGCTTGACTTGAAAGCTGGGCAAGCTGGAGAATGCGAAGGACCTGGAGGAAGCCGGGCGCGCGGGGCTCAGCTTACGACCAATTAGCTTGAACGACGTGAGTCGGCATGCGGCTTGAATGCGTAAGACCGTGCTGACGGTCTATTGTAGTCCATCGAGGACAGGCGGCAGGGACAGGAGCAGGTACACCCTCATCTCGTGGAGACGGGCCGACGCACGGAGGAGCTCGCGAAGAGCATCTTTGTGGAGAAGGTGCGCCGCGCGCGGCTACGGGCCTCGCTCTTGGTTGGGTTTCTTAGCCGGTCCGCACCCTCGTTCACGGGCAGAATATGAGGGCGCACGAGTATGTCTGGATCTGTGTCCTCGATGTCGCAGGATGTTGAGACCTCCGTGTAACAAGTGTTGCTTCAAGACGTGGCAAAGAGCGATACCACCTTCGGCGATGAGAGGGACGAGGACGAGAAGCCCTGGGAACTCAAGGAACCCGTCGGGTTGCTGGCCGACTACCTCTGCGGCGAGGATGTCTTTGGTGATGGTGCGTCGTTTTCCCCATTCTGCATGTAATTCCGCTCCCGCCATTTCCATTCATCTTCATTGACCGCCTCGTCCCTAGCCCCTGCACCGTCATTGCGGACAACATCAGCTACACTGCGCTCCATGAGCACCCATGCAAAGGACAAGGACCCCTCGAGACTCGGGCCTCGCTCCTCCCTCATCAAGGAGCTCCTCCACCGTGTCGAGGCTTTCGGCGCTTGGCCCGACCACGAGGAGGAAGAACTCCACCTCCAGCCTCATCCACAGCGCGCTCGTTCTCTCCGAGTTCGTCATCCCCGACTCGAGCGAGTCCTCAGTCGCATGGTCCGCGTGCTGAGGCGCATGCTGACTCTCACTCGAAGGACGAATACATCGAGGTCCTGACCCCACGATTTGTGAGCCCAAGACTGCGAGTGACGACTGAGTGCTGTCGTAGTCCGTACGGTGGTCGAGGCGCGTGCTGGCAGATCGTCAGGCATGATTCCGCGAAGCGGAGTCGTCGGGCCACAGCGAGCATCGTTCAACATATCCAGGAACGTCGTCGTCCTTGTCAGTTGCGTCTTTATCTTCTCACCCTATTCATGCATACTCACAACTCGGCCAGATCACAGTGTCAAGGCGGGCACGAGCCCTTATACCCGACAAGGTGTGTATTATGCCTTAAGGCGCGCAAACAACGTTGACAACGTGCTTGAAGGCTTGTTACTGGCGGGTAGATCACGCGACTTTCAGGTTATGCAGTGCTCAACCGATGCCGTCATTCGCGGCTCTTGCCCAGCGTTCGCTACGGCTGGGTACTCAACAACCTGCACGTCTTATCGGCTGAGGAGTGGTGCCTGGACGAAGTACGAAACTGTCTCGGCGACATTGTATGCAACTACAGCGCGCGCTGCGAGCAAATTCGAGACTCTGACACGCGCTAGATTTTCCTCTTAAACGCGCCGACAATCATCGCTATGATCTCGACGCACCGAGGGCGGGATGGTGCACTCCGTATACCTCAGCTGGCCCGCAGAACCTACTTGTGGGCTAGCAAAGCGACATCTCCTGTGCCTCCCCCGAATGCAGTCCGCCCAGTCATCCATTCACCCGTGCCTCTTGCGCAGGAATCCCCCTGCAGTGCCCATACTGCTGTGATACACAGGTCTAAAGGCGCGCCTTGTTCGGCTGGCATGGGGTCTATACACGTTCAGGAGGATCAATAAGCTAGTCATAGTGTAAGACAGGGGTCTTGTATCTTCTGCTACATTGGACTCCCATTCCCCTGCACATCTACAATTTCAATGAACTTGACATCAACCCATTCAACAAACTGCCGCCTTGCTTTTTGAGCACGTGGTCGCATGCATGGTGCGGCGCGCACCTCTTCACCTTCGTCTTCACCTGAGGCGTTGTCATCTTTCTTATCTCTAAGCTATGGGCCCGAAACACAGTTACGACGAATTTTTTGACAATCTGCGTCGCCTTGAGCCTTCGTCGCGGTCAGCTCGCGCAGCAGGCTCGGCCCCAATCGCGCGTCGAGGAACCCCACCAGGGCTTGACGAAGTGACAAGACGTCTTGCACAACGACTTCACCTCTCGACCTCAGAACAGACACCTGAAGATCCTGTCCGCCAACCCCCTGCGCGCGTCAGGCGTGATCGGGATGACTATCGCTCTTCGCAAGCCTCTGATGCAGGCTCGCAGTCTGCAGCACGATGTATAACCCCACGACCGTCAACATATACGGACGATCCTCAGGCGCACAGTAGAAGTTCCCAAGTGCCTGGCGTCACAGAGGGCTCCTCTCTAGGGCCTACAGATCAGTCTAGCGACATCCTCGAGGACAACCGCCTTGCCGTCGAAGAAGCTGGCCACGATCTGGCTGCAGCGACCGTCTTACAGATCGGCGAGGTGCCGCGCTCAATACGAGGCTACGTGAGTCAACCATGATGATACCTCGCTGATGGTTGACTGATCACTATGAAGGCGATGGCAGGGTTCAAGGATCGCTCGACCACCTCGCAGCAACATCCCTCCACATCCCAGGTGGAAGCACGCGACCGCTCTCCATGGACGTCTTTCCTCACCGACGCTCGCTCGCGCAATAAGGCGACGGAGAAAGCTAGAATAGCAGCGGAGTCCGTGGAGACGGCGCTGCGCCAATGCGAACGCATGTTACGCGCTATAAAACCGCATGATACCCGCAACTTCATCGCGGCGACTATGTCCAGCGTCGAGGATGTCGTTCTAAACCAGCGCGAAAAGCTCCAGAAGATCACGCGACCTGAGGCTACAGAGGCCGTCGGACGTGCGGTTGACGTTTTAGAAGTTGTGGAATCACTTCTTGAGGCGCATAGATTGTTGTACCCTGATATGACCCCCTTGCGCGTGGACAATGGTGAGCAGCAACTTGCAATGCATGCTTTCCAGCTCTGAGTAAATCGACAGCGCATCTCCGGATGGAAGCGTTTGACGATCTACAACCCGCGACGCTGGTTGCCCATTGCTTGGCGTTGACATCCCGTATATTTCACGGCTGCAGTCGTGAGGGCGCAAACATCATCCTTAGGCTCACGAAGCTCTTTGGTCATTCTTTGGTCTTCCTGGGCGACGGTCCGAACATCCTACAGCGGCGCGCCCTGCGAGACACCCCTATCGATGTTCGCACGGTCGAGAAGCGTGTCAACCTTGGTATACGGACAATCCCCTTTGCCGTATGCCCTTCTTGCCGTTGCACGTACGAGCCAAGCTACGTGCCGCCCTCAAGTAAACCTCTGTATCCCGCAATATGTCGCGAGGACACCGGAGACGAGGCAGAAACGGAAACACTCTGTGGCACCGGACTAGTCGATGAGACAGGCTCGCCCAAAGAAATATTCGAGTATTATCCCTTCTTCGACTGGTTCGGGCGCTTCATCGCGCTTCCTGGTATCGAATCTTTGGGCGACCGCTTTTGCGAACGAATCGATAAACAGCAGGCCATACCGGCCGAGAAACGTGGAGTTGAGGATGGCAGTCTCATACGCAGCCTCCCCGCTCCTGGTGGGAACGGCCGGCTCTTCGTGGCGCATAGGGGCTCCGAGAAGCGATGGCTATTCGCGCTCCACGTTGACTTCTTCAATGCGGAGGGCAATCGCCTACGAGGTCGCACGGCATCGACCGGTCACATTGTAATGACCTGTTTGAACCTTCCCCTGCACATGCGCAATGATGATGCCTACAAATACCTTGCAGGTGTCATCAGAGGTCCGCACGAACCGAGCGCGAAAGAGGGGCAGATCCGCCATTACATTCGTCCCCTCATCCAAGACATGAAGCTCACCTACACCAGAGGCGTCCGCTTTCGGTACTCAGGATGTTCGGAGCTTCACCGTGCATCCGAAGACCTCGCCTATCGTCACATCCACCGTATGGTCATCGCCGCGTTTATAGCCGATTCAAAAGCAGCGCGACCGGGCGGCGGGCAACTGGACGTCACGTCTCATCACTTCTGCCACATCTGTCGGTGCTGGATCTTAGCACATCTTGGCCGCGTCGATTTCGAGAACTGGGTGAAGATCAGCGACGTAATCCTCCGAGCGGCGGCGAAGCTTTGGAAAGCAGCCCCTCGGAGTGAGCGAAAGGCCATCGAGGAACAATACGCTGCACGAGACTCAGAGTTCTGGGAATTCGATTACTGGGCACCTACGCGGCAGATTGTTGTCGATCCCATGCACACATGGTTTCTGATCGTCCTGCAGCGTTTCTTTCGGGAGGCTATGTGTCTGGACAGTAGTCCAAAGAACTCGTTCCTGCAGAGACGACCTGCGTTCTTTTACGACTTCACTCCCCCACCCCCGCTCTCCCCCCCACCGCCCTCCTCATCTTCCGCGGCGACGGCGGCGCCGCCGCCGCCTTCAACTCCTGCGCCACCATCGGAAGCTACTCCAGCTCCGACATCCAACGAGAGCACTGAGGATGCGTCATATCGCACCGCAGTCCAGACTGGCTTGATCCATAGATATCTGGTTGCTCCTATAGAAGACGGAGGAGAAGGCAAACTCGCCAAGAAGCTGCAGGGCCAAAATATGTCAGCTCTTGTTCGCGTGTGCTTGGATGTACAGAAAGAGACTCGGAAATCGAAGAGCGAGATACAGAGCATGTCTAAACAGGATCTAATCGAAGTCCTTGTAGCATGGGTGAGTGGTTTTGTCCTCTTCTTTCCCCTCGCCCTCGTATGAAAGCTCAACATTGTACAGAGGATGACGAAACCATTTGCTGCATTGCCTTGGACGGTGATTCCCTATGACCCTACAATCAACATGATTCGACGGGTCATTCGAGAGGTCAGCGTGCCTACTTGGCTAAAAGACAAACCACCGTTAGACCTTGGCGAAGCGAGTGCAGGAACGTTGAAAGCGAATCAATGGCGTTGGCTATACCGATTATACGTCCCTCTTGCCCTGATCCACATGTGGCACCCGAACTCTCCGTACGCCATACCCAGCGCACACGATATGAAGCCGATACTCGACATGAACATGCAATTGACCAGCAACACTATCCTGGTGGTGAAGCATAGTGTCACGGACGCGGACCAGGCGATGTTTCGAGAGCAATTGAGGGACCATATTCTGGGTCTTCGCCGTCATTTTCCGGGCTTCATATTCCCTGGCTACCATCTTGCCTTCCACATACCAGACTTCATGTCCCTCCTGGGACCTGCTAGAAACTGGTGGTGCTTCCCCTTCGAGCGTCTTGCAGGTAAACTTCAGCGAATCCCAAAGAGTCACAAGATAGGTTCGTGGCACTCATGCTTTATCTTGATGAGAACTGATGTTTGGGACAGGCCAAAGTGAACACACGATGCTACATTCTTTTGTTAAGGGCTCTATATTCCGGCAGTGGCTTCTGCGACCCGACGTGCCGCCCATACTCAAATATTGTCGGTCTTTGGTTGACAAAGCGTACCGCTTCGTCGGGGCGAAGTGGTCCGAAAATGCCACAGTCGATGACGACGCCGAACATGCGGACGATGCGGACGATCTGAGCGACGTGGATGACGATGAAGATGTGGCCGACGAAGTGTTCGGTGACTTCGACGCCAATGAAAGCAGGCCCAATGACGATCCACTCGTGGTCAGACGGTCTCACACGAACGTCCCCCGAGATCTGCGCGACTTGGTCGGCGCTGCTAGCATCGCCTGCTATAAACGCGCCTTTGCTCCGAAGGGATACTATAGCACTCAAGGAAGCAATAGGCATATCTGCGTCAGGTCTACGCGTCCGGATCGAGCCGCGGTGCGTTGGGACGCGGCACGTATATGCTACATATACATCCAGCAAGGGAGTCTTCGATTCGCCGTGCAGTACGCCCGCGTCCTACCTGATAGCCATCTCGACGCCTTCGCTCGATACTGGAACATGGGATTCGAGGCTATACGCACATCATCGCAGTACAAGAACACAATGGGCATCATCGAGCCGCGGCAGGTAGTAGGGCAGGCAGCGAGATGGGACCTGGGTGACGGGTCAGCTGTCTACGTGAACTTGAGTGACGTGAGTTTGTCGGCTCGCTTGCCAGCAACCAATTAAAGGATTACAGGCGTGATAGCGCGCGGCGTAGACTTGCCAAGGAGATGGCTCGGAAATCGCGGTACTCATGATAGCACGATGAGGTGACCGCTGCCTTCTGACATATCGTTATACCGTAGGTTACATAACTCGTCCTCGAACATCATCATTGGAACAGAGCGAAACCTAGAATCGCACTAGGAGAACGAGGCAAGCGCCAGCCTGATATGCCCAACCTGCTAATCAAAACGATGCTGTAGGATGGAAGTGAAAATCCGCAGGGCAAGCCGTACACAGCCAGTCTTCACCTGCTCATACCAAGGCATCGCGCTTCTCCGCCGGACCATACGACTGTCCATACTGGCTTTATAAATCAAACACTCTATGGGCAGAGAGCGTCTGGGGGAATCGGCTATATAAGTTGTATCAAAGGATATACTGGGGCTAGTGCGCCCAACGTTGAATGGCATACCACACATTGCCAAGAAGCACGCGCACCAGCTCGATCCCTGACGCAAGGCCGCCTTGGATATCTCCGAGTCCCTCATGCGACGTCCCTGCGTCTCGCCTTACTAGCGTTCTCGCAGGCCTTCCGGCGGGTACTAGTTGATATGCGGCGGGATGGAGGCGACCCCCCCCCCCCCCGGGCCCTCTTCTAGCCTTCGTGCCATGTACGGGGGTGTAGAAGTCAATATATTCCATGTCTATCCTACGCATACATGCTCTATGCTACGAGCAAAACCCAAAGACGGCAGCGGCTCTGCGCATCGTCTCGCCCTCTCCACCCCGCTCTCCTCCTTCGTGGACCGCAAAACACCTTCCCCGGGTCCCGCGACGGCTCGCGCGCCACTAGCGAGGCAGAAAACGTCGAACACGGCGTTCAATCCTCGCCCCCTCCCTCGCGTGCCGTCGTCTACAAATCTGCTTGTCGTGTGGCTCAGCGCGTCATAGTAGCTCCCTTGGCACGCAGGGAGCTCCACTTGGATGAGAATTTGCCGGGCTGAGACGTGGGGTGATGGGGGAGGGTAGTGGGTCGAAGGGCGAACGGGTGCCGCATCGCTCGCAGCCCACTGTTGAGTGGCGTGGAATGCGGCGATGGGGCATTCCAAGGGTGGTTGAGCATTGGGAACACGCATAAGTAGGGGCTATGTACCTTGACCATTCGCTCGGGGGTTGAAATTTGGTGTTTTCGTTGAGATGCAACTTGAGGTGTTCGAGTTGGAGGGCATCGAGATTGACCCAACCTGACGTGAGGCGGTGAGGATGGCTTGAGAGCGTTGTCTGGAATTGTATTAGCTCGTCGTCGATGCCGCGATAGGGAGCAGGACGTACCTTCGTCCATTTCAACGTGAACTCGTGCACGTTAGCTACGAACGCTTGCTCACTGCTCCCGGCCTGTGTTCAAGTGGCGTGGAATGCGGCGATGAGGCATTCTAGGATGCGTGAACGTTGGGAAGGTGCCTGGGCAAGGGCCACGTACCTTGATAACCTGCTCGGGGTCGAATCCATGTTATTCTCGTCGAGCTGCTTGTGTTGCTCGAGTTATTGGGTTCCAAGAATGGCTCTACATGGCGTGCCGCGAAAGCGAGGCCTGGGATCATGTCAGCTCATCGTCGACGCTGCGAAAGGGAGGAGGGCGTATCTTTCATAATTCGAGCGTCAACTACTCGGTCACCTCAGCCGCGAAATCCTAAGATTAGGGTCAAGGACTTTCCTCGCGACGTACCGGCATAGTCTCCCCTCTCCTGGGCTCGTGCTGGGGTGCGGCGTGAAGGGGGATGGGGGGTCGGAGCGTGGAATCCGCGGGCAAGAAAGTCAGTCACAACATCAAATATCAAGACGACGGCACACCAAGACGACTCAGCTGGTCACGCGACGTCTATTTTGTCGTCAGGCTGTGGAACGGCTTCTGTAACTTGCCAAGCAGTCTATCTGTCGTACGGGAAGAACCACATAGGGTAGTGGTCAGATGTCATTCGAGGCAGCTCGATGTCGCATAGGGGTTGGGCGCAGCAGCGGTGGTCGACTTTGAGCTCTGGCCGAGTTGTGAGTATGCATGAATAGGGTGAGAAGATAAAGACGCAACTGACAAGGACAACGACGTTCCTGGATATGTTGAACGATGCTCGCTGTGGCCCGACGACTCCGCTTCGCGGAATCATGCCTGACGATCTGCCAGCACGCGCCTCGACCACCGTACGGACTACGACAGCACTCAGTCGTCACTCGCAGTCTTGGGCTCACAAATCGTGGGGTCAGGACCTCGATGTATTCGTCCTTCGAGTGAGAGTCAGCATGCGCCTCAGCACGCGGACCATGCGACTGAGGACTCGCTCGAGTCGGGGATGACGAACTCGGAGAGAACGAGCGCGCTGTGGATGAGGCTGGAGGTGGAGTTCTTCCTCCTCGTGGTCGGGCCAAGCGCCGAAAGCCTCGACACGGTGGAGGAGCTCCTTGATGAGGGAGGAGCGAGGCCCGAGTCTCGAGGGGTCCTTGTCCTTTGCATGGGTGCTCATGGAGCGCAGTGTAGCTGATGTTGTCCGCAATGACGGTGCAGGGGCTAGGGACGAGGCGGTCAATGAAGATGAATGGAAATGGCGGGAGCGGAATTACATGCAGAATGGGGAAAACGACGCACCATCACCAAAGACATCCTCGCCGCAGAGGTAGTCGGCCAGCAACCCGACGGGTTCCTTGAGTTCCCAGGGCTTCTCGTCCTCGTCCCTCTCATCGCCGAAGGTGGTATCGCTCTTTGCCACGTCTTGAAGCAACACTTGTTACACGGAGGTCTCAACATCCTGCGACATCGAGGACACAGATCCAGACATACTCGTGCGCCCTCATATTCTGCCCGTGAACGAGGGTGCGGACCGGCTAAGAAACCCAACCAAGAGCGAGGCCCGTAGCCGCGCGCGGCGCACCTTCTCCACAAAGATGCTCTTCGCGAGCTCCTCCGTGCGTCGGCCCGTCTCCACGAGATGAGGGTGTACCTGCTCCTGTCCCTGCCGCCTGTCCTCGATGGACTACAATAGACCGTCAGCACGGTCTTACGCATTCAAGCCGCATGCCGACTCACGTCGTTCAAGCTAATTGGTCGTAAGCTGAGCCCCGCGCGCCCGGCTTCCTCCAGGTCCTTCGCATTCTCCAGCTTGCCCAGCTTTCAAGTCAAGCAGGCGCACCACAGAAGTCGCTCTCGCGGTCCTCGATTACCGCTTCGCAGGGAAACCGATGATGTGCTTGAAGGTGACCGACCTGAGCGGGAGAAGGAGTGCCGAGTGCTCAAGCATCTCGCGGGATGTGTTGAAGGAGAAGGCTTGGGCGTCGTCGTCGACGTTGACTCGGCTGGCCCGTGAGAGGAAGGCATAGCTTGTCGAATTCGGCGGTGAGGAAGGTGTGCTTGACGAGAAGTTCGGTGTCCTTGCCGCGCGCTTCCAAAGCTGTCGCCAGAGTTCTTAGATGCTAAGGGACGGATGCGATAAGTCAGGTCTCAGCTGAGGTAACAAGCGCACGTACAACTTGTCAAGGAGGTAGACAATGGCTTCGGAGGCGTACGAGCGACGTCGTCCCGATCGTCGGGTCCGATCCTTCGCCCGCGTCCTTCGCCACAGATCGTCAGAGCGAGATGCTCAGGCGAGCTAGGCAGGCTCGCATGTAGCTGACGCCGATGAAGGATGGAGGGAGAGGGAGTGGGGAGGGTCAAGTAGCACGTCCTTGCGCATGTCGCAACTGGAGCTTGCGTCAGAGGCAAGATAAACTCCCCCGTGTGTCTGGGACGTACCTGAGGACGACGATCCTGTACTGCGGTCCGACAATTGACTTGTGGAGAGGGAGAATGTGTCCAAGGCGACACCCCGACCAGCACGACCCCCGGTTCCGATTCTAGGAGGCAACAGTCCACCATCCGCCAGATGCGGTTCGGAAGCACAGCAAGGTCATACGAGCTTTCGATGGTGCCCTGAAGATGCCCGGTTAGTCCTGTTCCCCATCGCATGCAACAGACTCACTGGCTGCATCCACTACCAGATCGCCGACTACCCGTCGTACCCGAACACCCGGCGGCCTGCGACTGTTCTCTGAGTCGCCCGCTTATGCCAAGGGCACCATCAGAGGAGATGCATCACGCGTTCGAAGACAAGTATGCGCGAGGAATCCTCAATGTCATGACGAGAACCGACAAGCGCACTGCGCCTTCCCCGACTATCATCACGAATATTTGTATTCCCCTTTTGGAAGGACGATAGCCATTTTAGGTTAATCGATTGCCTAATTAAAGACCCGTCCGATCCCCATTGTTCGACTGAGCGCCTTCCTTCTCCTCCGGTTTGCTCCACCGGCATTTGCTCAGCGCTGTGTTCAAAGCGGATGGGTACCGCATGTGACTGCGTAATGTCCAGCATACGATAGATATATAGATATACACGAAGCTATATACCACGATTCGCATTTACGACTCTTCCGCCCAAGCATCAGCCTGGAAGATCTCGAAGGGATCGTCGGTCAGTTCCAGCATCAGTTCGACAAGTTCGCCCTGAGCTTCGAGCCAAACCGGGTCATATAACGCTTTCGGAATGCGCTTCGGAGGCGCCTGCCCGCTCGCCTCGTCAACTCGCACCCTCGGCGTCTTCGCTCCCGCCCGCTTATCAAAATACATCCGCGCCAGAGCTGGAGCCTCATCCACCTTCGCGAACAGATCCCTGAGCTCGGGGCGGCGCCAGACGGGATTCAGGACCTTGTGGTATCGCCTCTTGGTGACGACGCCGCTGTCGTGCTCTATCTCTTCGTAGTCGGTCTCCTCGTCAGACATCCCCTCAAAGCCCAGTGCTTCCACCGCCCTCATGACATAGGACCAGTACGCGAGCGCCTCCGGCTTGTTGCTAACCCTACATGCGGTGCGCAGGACGCCTGCGTACCGCAGACGAGCTAGGGCTTTCTAAGCAAGGAAGACAAGGGTCGTCAGCAATAGCTCGCGTCAGGCCGAAGGATCGATTTACCGTCTGCCTGCTCGTTGTGACTCGACGCTGATCATTGTAAGCTTGGTGCGCCTCCCTGAACCTCGCTATCGCGTCGACCACGTCTTCGCCTGCCTGAGGCACTACAGACGCGATCAACCTGTACATGCGACCGAGGCGGGTATCAACACCACGCTTGATCCTGTCGGCGTCAACGACTCCGAAGCGCCCATCACCGCCATCCCGGTCAGTTATCTCCTTGACTTTCCCGCAAAGCAACTTCGCCACGCGCTGCAAAGCAGTATGAGATCTCATGTACGTGACTGGTTGAAGCCGCGAGTGAGAGAGAACGAACCTGGTTCCATGCTGACCCAGACAGCTCATCAGTGGTCGCAAGGCCGTTGGTATCGAGCCTCAGGTCTTCCAGGTCCGGCCCGTGCGACCTAGGATTTCGTCGGAATGCGTCAAGCTCCTCGTCACTGACGGGTTCCAGCGCGACAACATGATACACCAATTGTATGCCCATCCCTCGTAGGATCAGGCCGAGTACAAGATTCTGTGGTTCCGGCGTCAATAGCGGCCACCTTAGCGTGTAATGCAGAGCAACGAACGTTGAAGTTCTTCTTCATGGTCTGCGGGGCGTACAGCGCACCAGGAGCAATCTTTTCCTGGAGGAACCTGCGAGCGATGCGCGAAACGGGCGTCTTTGGCTCTACGTCGTTGCCGTCGTCGTCGTAGTCGTTGTAGTCGTCGTAGTCGTAGTCGTCGTCCATGTCGTTGACGTCCTCGAACTTGGCACGGCGCAATGGTCTGCTCCGAGTAGGATGCGACCTGGGTCTCTCCCTATTGCGCCGGGGTACCTCTTCGTCATCGGCGTCACAGTCCTCCCCCATATCGCCAACGCGGCCGTATCTAGAAGGACGCTGGTAGTGGACGCATTAGTGGACATTCTCGTACCGAGTCGTGAAAAAACACATGTACCGCTTCTCTCGAGTACGGGCTATGCCGTGAGCGCGGCGTGTGCTGTCCGTCATGCGCCCCCTTCGCCGAGCGGGGCCCGCGTTTGCGCGGAGACGGTGTCCGCTGGAAGGTTGTTGAGTTTCAACGGCTCTCAGAGTATACAATTCAACTTACTAGGGGCGAGCCCAGCTTGAACTGATCCAGGGCGGTCAAATGGTCAGCGACATCGACCCCTCGGAGCTTTTGTTTGGGCATGTTGAGACCCGCCGCGACCCGTCTGCCCGGCGTACCAGATGCGACCCGTCCCTTCGGCGTACCGGCCACAGAACCCTTATCATTCTCCGTCAGTGATCGCAGAGAGCCCGGTATGATTGAACTCGAGCATACCAGATTTGTCGGGCATTCTGCTGCCCCGTGGGATGGGCGCGGTGCTTCATGCTCTTCGAGGTCCAAGCCCTGCCAGCGTCGATAAATACATATTTCTCGCAGGTCGTCAGATACGGACCTGATCGTCCACGTCCATTGCCGTATCGTCCTCCTTGTCGGGCAGTGTTTCGGCGCCAGAACAGGCAGACTGGCCATGCTCGCTCGATTTGCGCAAGCGAGTCTCCGATGCATAGGCTGCCGCTCCGTAGATACAGCTATCCTCGTGACCTCCCCCGAGGATGCTGGCTTGTTCACCATCATGCGCGGTGTCCATCTGAGACTCCTCTCTGCTTCCATCCGTGGCGACGAGCCTCGACTACGAAGGTCAGCTTCCATGCGAAATACCGCGACGAAACCTCATACCTGGGCACTCTCGACTTTGGCTTTGATGACATCAATCTGAGCATGCAGATCGTCCACTTGCTCTTGAAGGCTGCCGACGTCTTTCACGTAGGTGCCCCGCAAATCATTCATCTGCTCCTTCGACCAGGCGCGATCTTTCTGCCAAACGATAAGACCAGAACCCTGGCCGTGACCCGAAGACGCACCTCAAGCTGATACACTTTGATGCGTGCCTCTGCTTCTACCTGAGCTATCTGACTTTGCAGCGCGCCATATTGCGCCTGGATTATCGACAATCGCTGATCTGCGGCCACGTTTTCATTGTGGAGAGCCTTCAACTACGCTTATAATTTCAGTCGTCTGAGCAAGAGCTGAAGCACGTACGTCAACCGTCTGCCTTAGTAATTCTTGCTTCTGCACAAGAGCAGAGACAACGCGTTTCAGCTCATAAGTACGCCCCCGTTGGCCATCCACCGACGTCCTTACAGTTGACAGGGACTGCTGCAGCGCAAGGTATGAACAACTACACTGTGGGAATCGCAAGCCACTCACTTTGCTCGCTTCCAATCCCTGGGAAGCCCGGTATACCTCGGCCATCCGGTGACCAGCAGCAATATGCTCGGCATCACTCAGTTCCCTGACTTGGTCGCGCAATAGACTAAGTTCCGCCACCCACGAGGACTCGCGATTCCGACGGTCGTTCAAGTCGGCCTGCAATAGAACCTGTTCATTGAGTAAGCAGATGCTCAGCGATGGAGAGAATTCATCTTTGACGAACCTGGAGACGATGTACCTCCGCCTGTCGACGACTGGTAAGCCTGGATACAAACGCGGCGGTCGGGAGGGCCTACCTCTAACTTTGCCACCTCCAAGGCAGCTTGGCCCTAGACAGCAGCAATCAGAAGAGCCATGCAACACACCGAACGCACCGACCTGATCTTCTGTGGTGGTTGGGAGCCTAATCAACTTCTGCGATGACGAGCTACTGCTTTCGAGACCGGACGCCTGACGTCTGTCAAGTGTAGGCAACTTGCGCCTCATGAGCTGAACGGTAGATGGGATGAGAGAAGAGCCGACACGTGCAAGAATCAGGCCTACCTCGTTCTCTCTCTCGAAGTTCGTCACGGTCAACCTAGCGACGCTCGGCTCTTCCTTGCGTTCCAGAATACGTTGATTTAAACGCTGAGAGTCAATCAGATACGACGTCAAAGCACTGTCGTGCGGCACTTACGGCGAGAGAGTTGGAGATTTGAGCCGTTGCAGTGGCTAATATCTTAGACCGCGGATCCTGTAGCAACGAAAATTGAGCGCGTACTGCTGCATGGAATCAGGAGCTTACACTCGGAGGGATTTTCCGCCGTAGTTCCGCAATAGCCTGATCTTTCAGGTGAATCTCCTGCCGTACTTGTTCTAGCCGACGGGAGAGATCGTTGTTCGCTCTCGATGTGGCCAGCTGATAGTCGCGCAAGCCGAGGAGTGACTCCCGCCATCCAGTATAGAGTGCAGTGCCGGCAAGGGGGTGAGCCTCAGTAGCGGGCTCATGGTCATCACTCTAAGATGAACCGAAGTCACGATCAAGTACGCCACTTGTAGGGCCATGCCACTCACTAGTCTTTTCGTGCGTTCAACGGCGAGTGCGTGAACCGATTGGTCCGTATCCGCCATCCTCAGACACCCACAGACGGTGACGAAAGAAGCGGCAAAAAGTAGCTTCGAGCGTGTACGACAATGAAAGCCACTCGACAGGTGGAAGGGGCGAAGTTGAGAGTGGACTCGCGAATATACGAGGCCGGCGCCACGGCCGACGTTGCTCTTTGCCCCTTTGACCGCAGGGACAAAGCGTAGACGCTGGAAAGGGATCTCCGGACATTATATGAATGTGCATGTACGACATATCCGTCGCGAATACATCGCTCGGTGATTATGCCGCCATTGCAGCAGCACACTACATATGCAGTGTCGCTCAGAACAGGGCACGAGGAGGGCACAAAGAAGGGTTCCGCCGGCGATCTTGCAATCATTTTGATCGCAAGTGTAGCACGTGCTCGTCCCGCGACGATTGCCTATCTTGGATCTTTCCAACATGCACCTTCGCTGGGGTGACCCACAGACCCCTCAGTCCGCGTCGAACCCATCCGCAAAGAAACCAAAGGAGCCCCAGAGCGTCTACGACGCCAACCAGATCATCTCTAAACGCGAATCAAGGTGAAATTCGCTGCCCTCATTCGATGCATTGTATCTCAATGCTTGTCCCTCTAGCGCTCGGCAGCGAAAAATAAACAAGCTCACAGAGCAGGTAAAGACGGTCGACAAAAAATTGATAAAACTTGGCTCGCTTGGGCTCGAAGAAGAAAATGCACGTCTTCGTTATCTGGTATCGCAATCTCGCGGCAGCAATGCCCTTGCCTCCGCACCCACCGGCGCCCTTGTGCGCAATGAAGGGTCGGTGTCTCAGGATTCAGAATTGCAGGAGGGTGCGGAAGATGACCATCTGTTCGGTCCACATCACTAAGGATTACGCAGAACGCGGCCGGGAGTCAACGTTCCGAGATGTCGCCGTGCAGGCGGATGGCGCAGGTGTCGACGATCCCGTTCACAAAAATGTGACTCTTTCCGAGTCCATTGCAGTACCTTCATCTTCTTCGGAACTCAACATCTCGGAGGAAGCCAACGACGAACCTGAAAACGGAGAAAATAACATACAAGATGGGGACACTTGTAAGGGGCTTCTAGTTTGAATGCTCTTGAAGAGCATGTACTGATACGATTCTCGAAGAGTCGCACTGTACAGCAACATCTTTCACGGATGAGGACGGCAAGGGGTCCTCGACAGCAATTGCAGGCCAAGCACTACCCATATACATCACGGACCGACTTGTGTGCTGACAGTGGCAAGGTGCTCTCCGATGGTGCTCAGCAACGTGATACGGGGATAAATGTGATGGACTCTCACGGAGATGACCTGGCGTTGGATGGTTGGGCAGATGCTGCCTAAGAGGGCTGTTTTCAGAAATATCTGTGATTCTCGTGCAATACAGCAATTTTGAGTGCTTGACTGACGATCTTAGCATCATGTGTTGTCTGATGACTGCCTGAGGCAGAATCTGCGCGACGACTGAGCGAAAGATAGGAAGCCCTGTGTCTAGGATCAGGTCAGCATACACCGCGCACGTCTGGACGGCGAGCGTTCACGTGCGCGAAGCATGATGCGGCATCAGAAATCGCCGAATCAAGTTCAACCAGCACGTGAATGGACGCCTTTCCTCCCACCTCCAACATCCCCCTCGCGTCCACCGGCCGGACGGTTCGGTGGCAGCGCTTCGAGAAGGACAACTCGCTATGGCTCCGTGACCACATCATGGACCTGCAAAATCGACTGCGCGAGGCCCAGATGATGCTCTGGCACTTGTGCTCACAGACCGATGAGACTGGCAACATCGCACGCCAGTACCGAACCCAAATTCACGAATGCCCCTACTTCAAGGGCACCCTCACCAACTTGCTCGGCCAGACAAACCCCACCACCAAGACTCGGGCTACCCCGGTCGATGGTCTTGCAGATCTTCGACAGGAGCTGAAGAAGGTGAAGGCCTTGATCGAGAAGACCAAGCCCTCGCCCCCACCCCCCTCTCTGCCAAGCACGACTTCCTTTGCGGCTGCAGCTTCCAAGGCTAAGCCCGCGCCGCCCCGCCAGCCCGCTCCGCCGAAGCCGGCACCTCCCAAACCCACACCATCGACCACCACCCAGCATCCCCCCACGACCTCGAAGGAAAGGCCTCGCCTCTGCCTCGAGACGGAGAAGGGAGGGTCTGACGTCATCTCAAAGGTCCGTCCTTTCGAGATCGTTCGACTGCTCTCCGTTGCGCTCCGCGCCTCGCCGCGTCATTCCCAGGTTCGTGTGTCTGCTGCCAAGTGGACCGTGAGGGGCAACCTGGTTTTGTTCGCAGGACCGGAGACAACGGCACTTTAGCTACTATCCGCCACCGAACTCATTCTCACTGTTCTCAACTCTCGCATCCCGATCAAGTCCGCTGGCCTCGTTGCTAGATGGTCGAAGGTCGTCCTCCCGGGAATTCCCACTGGCGTCACCGATGACCACCCGAACGCCTTCACTCCAGACGAGTGCCACGCGCATCTGTGCGAGCACAACCCCATCTATCGAATGCTGAAGATCACGCAACTCCCGAGCTGGGTTCGTGATCCCCGATCCTATGAAGCTGGCTCGTCCTCCTCCCTGACGTTCGCCTTCGAGGATCCGGACGGCACTCTGCTAAGGCAAGTGCTCGCTTCCGGCCCGCTTTTCGCCTTTGGAGCGGTGGCCCGCGCGAAGCGCTGGAAGTCGAAGCCTCGCAAGCCCACACCATCGACCCAAACCTCCCCTCCCCACAACGACAATCAACCCCCGCCTGCCCCCCAGCACGACCCTACGAGGGACATCGGCCCCATGGAAGTGGAGCTGACGACCCAGGTGGCCAACGCCTCGAACACGCCTGGCGTGACCGGGATGAACTCACGCAGCGGCGCGGCGCGCCGCCCGCCCGACCACTCCCCTCCGGCCCCGGAGCCGAAGAGGCGGAGGCGCGGTGGCAACCGCAACGACGCCAACGGTGGCCTAATGGGGAATTAGCGACGCGTTGGGTCAGTCGCTCTACTACCTACTAGCCAACTTAACGTTGGCGTGCCGCTAACCTACGGACCACCCCCTCAATTGGACCTCCCTGCCACCTTCCCCCTGACATTCATACCTACGAAAGGATACTGTTACATTCTTTAGCTACTATGTAGCGACCGCAGTTTGTCTTAGGTACATGACGCGGTATACAAATGTACTCCCCCTGCCCCCCTCAACCAGCACGTGACCTGACCATGAGTACTGATAGGCCCCCCGGCATCTCACCAAAATGTCCGATCCTAAATTCGGGATTTTGGGACATTTCCGTCGCATGGTTTTTGGCCGACTTTGAGCGGTTCCCGGTGCACTAAGATCGGACCTTCGCTCGAGGCTCACTTTCCGTCGCACTATGAATCGAACCTCGGCGACGACGACCCTCCTTGACCACCAGTTATGAGGCTCCTTTGGCGCTCTTAGGTGTATTTGGCCCGTTGTGGTGGCTCAACGGGGGTCTAAGCTGGCGAGATTCCGACGCGACCCCCGGATCCGGCGCACAATGGATCGAACCTGGGCGACGACAAGGCCCTAACGTCGCACTTTGAGTCGAACCTACCTCGCAGTTTTTCCCGAATCCGGCGCACTGGGATCGAACGTCGGCGCATTTTGGCCCTCCAATCCGTCGCATTAAGATCGGACATTTTGGTGAGGTGCCGGGGGCCTGTACTGATGCGGAAGGGGCTCTCATACTCCATCAGAGTGCATAGCAGATAACTCTGAAGGGCCGTGTCACGGCAAGGCCCGCTATAACATGTGGCCTTCTACTTGATTTTGGACTCGGACCGAGCGACCTGCGCGCCTCCCACGCTCTCTCGTGGCCGATGATTTGGTTATCGTGCTCGAAATGCCAGCCGCGCCAGTGCCGCTGCTTCTTCAATCTGTGATCATTATGCATGTCGCTGTTGACAACGTCCGTTCCAATGACGAGGCATCGCCCGCCACCGAGGCCCATACTCAGGTGCCGCGCTGCACTCGGCGAGCCACAGCGCCCTCGCACCTTTTCCAGCCGCACGAGCGTGCCTTCACGACGGCTTTACTACCTTGCCCACACTACGTGCGCACGTTGTCCGCGCACCTTGGACGGTTGCCGATAGTGATCGTCCCGAATACCGCTCAGCGCAATGCATGCTATCCGAAAGGCTCAAGATAAACAGGTGAAAGTTGATGTGCGTACATAGATAGAGAATCAGAGAAGCTGAGATATGTATGGAGTCGCAGAGCATCGGAGAGACACAGAAACTGGCGAAGTCGGAAGAGAGGGAGGATGAGACACCTCTCGGTCTTCGTGGGGAGCCGTTTCGAATTTCTAGAGATAGAGGGTATGGGTGCGCAAGCTGAAAGGCGCCTGATGCGCCCTCTTGTCGCGAAGGTACGGCAAAAAGTAGGTGAAGGCAAGAGCTAAGGTGCATTCGGCCAACGCCGAAGAGTCGAGACCGCAAAAAGACCCAGTCATGTGCCGGCACGTGAAGGGTTACCAAAGTTCGCGAGACGGGATATTTGTGATTTTGCGCTCCATCTAAGACCCACTACCATAGATGGTAACGGGAGGATTCCTGTAAGCTTCTTTCAACCTGCGAGCCTCAAGGAAGATCCCAGCTGGACATAAGTACGCCTGGCCGTGATCATAGTCCGTTAAGTAAGAAATCGAATAGTCGGGATAAATCAACGTCATCGAACACGGGATACGATTATCAACTGGTTTTAATGCATAAGAGCCCTCATTTAAGTCTATTCTGTCTCCTGAAGTCTCATTATGACGTCTGTGAAGACGACGAGTACCGTCGGAGAATTTGGCTGGCGCCCGGATCGACATCCGCTCCTCCTAGATGAGGCGTTGCGCAACTGGCTAGTATATCAGGACTGCATTTGACTGTGATAAAGGCTGTTTTATCTAAGCAACGAACAAAGTATCAACGATATCTAGCGAGGACATCGGTAATCAAGTTGAAAATCTTTGACGCCACACCGGCCGCGAGTGGGCGATCCTGGACAACTATGCAGTTGAGGGCAAAGACACTGAACTTGTCCGGATAGTAACGTATGGACTCGACCCGACAGATCGTAATAGCATTCTTGCCTGCGACTCCGGGACGCTTCTCATGCAGAAGGAATTCCAACAAGCTCTCCTCCGTGATGCTGTCGATTCCCGTAAAGTCACGGACGGGCCACGGGAAGGTCGTCAGGGTGTAGGAACACTGAGGGACCTTGCGCTTCCAGATCCTCCCCCACTGGTGCTCGTAGGCGGCGAAAGGGTCGGAAGCGGGCGCAGTACCAAAGTCAGCGAAGGCAGAGGCTGCATCAGGGGCGGAAGTAGGAGCGGGGGCGGGGCCTGGGGCAGGACTGGTGCCCTCGGGAGTGGCGTATGGGTGGCGGAGTCGATCTAGGAGTTCGAGCAGGGCGTTGCACTGCCGCTGCTCCTCGTCAATGCTCCGCCGCGCGTTCTGTATCCGATGGCGCAGATTTTGAGCATCCCGCATGGCATTCCAGCTTTGGGACTCGTAGGCTTGCTTGTGCTGCTGAGTGCGCTCTCGCTGGTCATCGAGCTGACGCTGATAGCCAGCGATGACCGTGTGGTGTTGCTTCCGCATGGAATCCAGCTCACGTTGCGCATGAAAGAGCGGGTCGAGGGTACGCGAGCGAGGCGCATGTCGCGACGCTCCCATAGGAGACTGGGCCCCGCGGGAGCTCTGAGGGTACGCTCCTGGGATACCGAGGACGAACGAGCCGGAGTCGAGCGAGCTCTCAGCGGTCAGAGTGGACACGCTGGGAGCTTTGAACCTATTCGGCATGTTGGGAGGGTTCGACGCCCCACCAGATCCGACGCGGATGTAATATAAGGGTAAGAGTCCCCTTTCCTAGCCAGCGCCATGATCGACTCCTTTGGCCGAGACCAAAGGTGGTCTTTGCAGAATCGCACGAAGGTCTACCAGAGCATCGTGCAGTGGCATTGAATTAGGACCTTTGGCGTGGGGTCATGCCCGTAAAGGGGCGCGGTCCGGACCATTGTCAAGCTTAGCAAGCGCCGGCTATGTGAAGCTTTCAGACTCTCAATGACTATGTTGGACTTTGCCAAAGGGACTGATGGAGCAAGGTATTGATAGATTGACCTATGAAGCGACTCACGTTCGCGAACAATGGGAACTGACATAATCGCGAGTGAGGGGAGCTTATGGGTATGCGACATGCCCAGAGACGGAGTCTGACACTTGCCTGAGTACAAGCGCACCCTCCAGCATGATATGGTCCAGGAACGGGAGGGCGAAGGGTCGAGGACGGACGTATTGAAGACGATGTTTGCTGGCCGGCGATACGTGACACGATGTCACGGACGTCACATCAAGCGGCGCCAGCAAGCATCCAGCTTTCGACGCCGCGCTGTCCCGGATGTTGAGCATACATAAGTGCGGCTAAGCAATATGGACTACTCACCGAGATGGCGACACTCACCGAACCATCTGGTCGTGATCGTCGTGACCCGATCCGACTCCGCATCGCAAAGTCGTGTCTATTGAGCCATCAGTCTCGAGCGCACCAGCCGACAGCCGCAGGTGAGGCAGCGAGTACGCACATTCCTGGGGTCTTCATCAACATCGTAGAGCTCCACCGCATCGTCTCCCGGGTGAAGACACCGACATAGAGCTGCGCGAGCGTACCGCGTGACACCGTCCTAGGGCAATATTCGAGTCTGTTCAGCAGCCCCTCCCTCATCTAAGGAGTTGCCAGTGGAGTGTTTGAAGAGGTCGAGGGACGCTGGGAGGGGGCAGGTAGACTTGCATCAGGGAATGAGAAAAAGGGGAGAGAAGGGGGGAGGGCGCTTCCTCGAGGACGGCCCTGGGGGTCCCGGTTGTAAGCGCCTCGTTCTGCGTAGATCGATAGCGTACCTGAGGCCTGCAGATGAGCAGAGCGGTATCTTCTACTACCTGGGAAAGAGGGTCTGACGCGCGGCGAGAGCACGAGCCCGCGCTCGAACAGGGCCAGTGAACCCGATCAATGCTGTGACCGTCTTGCGCACGACTCGGGGGCGCACCAGGTGTGGCTCGGGCACGCACCAAGCGTCTGCCCACCCAAGCGTGGTCGCGTTGCAGTATAATGACCTTGCGATGGCGATGTGACCTGGCCGGCCGCGCAGTGGAATCGATTGCCCGTATTCAATGGGACCTGTTGTTCGTAGCAGAGGGCACGTAGAAGGGCCATACTGTCGCTAGCCAGCTCTTGAGATGGTCTATCGCATGGAAGCTGGATTCAAAGCAAAGGATCATGGCGTCGCGGCGGACACAAGCAGGTCGAATAACACAGGTCCGATCATGCAACGCAGACGCCTCGAGGCCTTCCCCCTTTGGCAGGTCGATTGCGCTTCGGCCGCTCGGCACAACCCTTGGTCATGGCGTCTTCCATCCCGGTCGAAGTAGTGTCTTTATGCCAGTCCCGTCGCATCAAGCGCCCGAGTGCCACCTTTATCCACGGGTCCCTGCGAAAGTGGCCCACCCCTTAAATACCTTCCATCTTGCAGCCCCCCTCATCTTCCTCCATCTCCGTCTCCGTCTCCATGGATTCCGATTCCGAGTACACTGAAGTTGCCTCCTTCCCCGGTCATCAGGACGCCGTCCTGTCTCTGAGTTTCTCGGCTTCGGGGCGGTTCCTCGCTGCGACGGGTACGTCCCTTGACCCCAGATCTGCTATTTCCGCCACTTAACTTGCCGCTGATCAGGTTACTCGGGTGTGTGCGTGTGGGACGTCATTCGGAAGCAGCGCGTCGCCATTCCAGCACCGCCCTCCACACCGACGACGAGACATATCTATACTCGCTCGGCCTGGCTGTACTTTGAGTCAACCGGACTGGATGTTCTAGTACTCGGCTCGCAGCGAGGGGATGTCGTGTTGTGGCAGTGGGACGCAGACGACGGGGTGCGTTCCTTGACTAACCCTCCCTCAACGGATCCTCAGTGCTGATTCTCTGCTCTTAGGTCTTCAATACTGGTGCCAGCGGCCGTCATTCCGCAGAGGACACTCAAATCCTGTCCATTGATACGCACAAGGTCACTGTAGCTTATGAAGAGCGGGGTCGCATCGCAGTTGGCACTGATGACGGACGGTTGAACATATGGTCTATCCCTCCGCTGGCCGACAAGCTCCGTCTCAAGTATTCGATCAAGCTCGAGCCCGCTGTGCGTCCCAAAACTGTCAAGTTCGACAAATCATCTCAGGATGTCATCGTCTTCTCTCTTACTGGCGGAATCATGTATGTTTAGGTCCTCTTCGTGCGTCGGTCCTTACTCATCTACGCGCAGCACTGTGATTGACTTTCAGACGGGGACGACGGTCGGCTCAACAGATGATGGACCTCGAATAATGTGAGTAACTGCCTGCAATATCGCGAGTATGTCTGGCTGACCTGCTACGCAGGGCATCTGTCGCCATTGACTACGTCAACTCGATGATGGCAGCGTACACAGGATCCGCCTTCGAACTGCTATCGCTGCGTACCCGAAAGCGAATCAAAAGCATCGCAAGCGAGGCGCCGAATGTTTACTACCCGATATCTGTAGTCTTTGGCGAAGGCGGCGAGGTTCTGTTGGCAGGGACAGACCAAGGTCATGCGCTACTCTACGACATCGCCGAAGGGCGCATCCGACAGATCCTTGATTATCCCAAAGGCGGACTCGTTCAACAAGTGGCGGTACGTTCTAATTCGCAAGCAATGACAATGTCTGATTTCTTTCAAGGCGAGTACCATGGACGATGGCTATTACTTTGCACTGGCCGGCTCAACCATATGCAGACCTGCGGATGTCATCCTCTACCGTAAGACTCGAGCAAAGCCGGCATCGAAACATGGGGATATGTCTTCTCATCCAGTTACCATCCGCACGGCGGCTCGCGTCGGCTCGGCGGTTTACTTGTCGCTCCTGCTCTTGCTGCTTCATTTATTGCTTTTTCTTTGCTACTACGATAGTCTTGTGCGTAACGCTCCGTTTCCTCACTCGCGAATAACCAACCTTCTATAGTATGCTGTATATCGCCACTGGTCGATGGCATGGGCTTGACGCGGCTGGTAAATTTGTTCTCCCTAGATTGACACGGAATGTAATACAGCGCGCATAATGCAGAGTTCGTCTATTCATACTACTCCGCGTACTTTATGTTCGCCTCTATAGAGGGGCCGATCCCCGTTGACGACATGGTGCTCGGGGCAGTGGACGTGCGGGTTGCGAGGCGTTTCGTGCAGATGGCAGCGCGGGTTCGCGTCTGTAGCCTTCTCATTACAGTGCGGACGCATGTTTTTGACGCAACTAGAGCAAGCGGGCTGCTCGCAAGGGAGCGCAAGCCCGCCCGCGAATTTGCCGCAAACATATTTCCGTGTCGCTGCGAGCGCACTTCTACTTTCCATTAGCTTGCAGTGACATGCACATTGCAGTGTACTTACAATCTCCGAGAGACCTGGCTTGAGGAGGTCGCTGAGCACCGGGCGGCTCGCAAAGCCAACGCGATGTCCCCTAGCTTGTCTAGGGCTCTTGCGCTAGTCTCGTTAACCAGCCTCCATACTGGAGCCTGGAACTACCGTACCGCAGGGTCAAGGGAGTGCATCGGACTTTGAAATCTCATGTCTGCCAGGCGCGGCCGGCGTTGACCGGATGACGCCACTTCCTGAAGGCCTTGTCCTCGTTATGGACTATCATCATGCCGCCGCCGCCGTACAATCTCGTACAATAATCAATCTCACAATTTGCGGGAAAGCGCGCCTCCCGACCTTCCAGATCGACGAAAACTCCACATAGGATACAGCACGCATGGTGAAGAACATGCCTGTTGACTAACTGTGCCTGTAAACTCACGTAGTCTCTGTAATCAGGCGAGCAGTCTCGTCATTGCAAGTATCCTCCAGTACCACCGCGCTCCCCCAGGATACTCCTCAATACCCTGGCTACGCTTTTCCTGTTTCCACGCCGCCCCCAAGCCGGCATACCCAGCATATCACGGACCACCACCTCTTCTACCGCCATTCGCTTATTTGCCGCCTCCCGTGTATTACTCACCATTCCCCGCTGGCTGGCACCAACCACCACCACAACACTCTGCGCCGCCTGCTGCTGCGACCGCTCCCGTAACTACTGCCACGCGAACATCGTCTCTTGAAGCGGGTCAGGCCCGTCACGAGGGCGCACGGTGTCTTCGTTTATGACAATGCTTCGAATTCCTCACTTTCGCGCAGTCTCCGCCTCAAAGAAGCGTCAGCGCGTTCATGCGTCACGGAGAGCCGAGAATCAGTTCTTGCGACGTCGTCCATCACTTAGCGGTCCTCAGTGCGGCGCGGATTCGACTAGTGCTGCCTTTGGTACATGTACCGTTTCGTTATTCAGCGCGCGGGTGAGTAAGCTACTCTGCCGTATGGGCTGATAGCTCAAAGTATGTTTAGATCATATTGGGTCACCCTTCGACATGGGATTCAGTCTGGTCCAGATCATCGACTATCTGCGCTCGGAAAGAGCTGACGACCTCTTTGAGAGCCTGGCGATATCTTGTGCTGGCAGCGAAGTGCGTGTCGAGATCGCACTCAATCAGTTTCCTCCGAGCGACACCACTATGTATTCGTCACAGAGTGGACTAAACTCGGAGACCGTCTTGCTCTTGGATGCACGGCTATTTGTGCGAGGAAAGGCTTCCGTCGTCAGCTTCAAAACTAGGTCTCTCTCGTCGTTTTTGCCGTGTTCGAGGGGGTGAGAACGTACTTCATCTTCGTGACTCGCTGCTAACTGTTGGCAAGAGGAAAGCGGTTCGAAGTTGATGGAGAGAAAGCAGACAGGGATTTGGACCGGATCGGAATTTTGCGCGCAAGTACGTAGACGTGGATGTAATCAACTTTCCAAAAGAGGATATCTCTCCATAACCAAGTGACGCTTCCCGATTCCTGTAAGCTGAGTCCTAGCTTGCGAGGACTTGGTGGGAGTCAAACTAGGCCGAACCAATGCCCGGCCTTAGCCGCGTAACGGTGCCGTCTTTGGAAAGAAGCGCGGGCACGTTTGCGTATGGTGAGCGCGTCGGCGGCCTTCACTTGTCCGCTCTCGCCCCCATCGCGTCGAAGCATCCCGCCAGGATCTCTTTTGGCCCGCCCTCCTCATCCCTCTGTTCATTCACTAATGCTCGGGGCAGCACGGGTTTTGCTCCAGACCCTTCTTCTTTGGCCTGAGGCGGTGCCGACCGTCTTCTACAACGTTCAGTCGGCCCGCCCACGACTCTGTGGGTGGCTGCAGGCGCGCAGCACGTGACACACGTGCCGTCGCCACGTGCTGCCCGCCCTGCGGCCGACTTCGACAAACCCAAGCCCTCGCTGAGAGCTGGTTTCCTCTCCGTCTTCATCTCTACTGCAGTCCCGTGCCCTAGACGCATCCTAGGGCAAATACACGAGCCTCGCTTGTCGACTGTCGAGAACCGTGTGGCTGGTGCGCGTTTCTACAGTACCATTTGGAAAAATATGGTGATGATTTGTGGAAGACATGCTCGTGCGGGAATACAGTACACGCATGCGTCAATCGCGATGTGCAGTCGTTAGAGCTACTGCGCAACCTGACAAACATCCGGAGGCCTCAGTTGTCGAATCAGTATCCAAGCGCACGTCCTCGAGCTTCTCATCACCGTGCTCGCCGTTGTATGACAAGACGCGCGGCCTCTACGTCGCTTGCCAGCGATTCTCGAACTGGTCCTCGCTGATGCTATCGAATGACGAGGTAACTCTTTCCCACTCCCCGAGGACGATCACCAGCCATCGTCTTCCTCGTCGGCCCGACCGTCGATACCCGCTCATTCTCGAAGTCCTTCCCTGTCGCTGTCACACCCCAGCTCGACGCATCGTGCGCCTCGTAAAGCCCGGTCGGCGGCCCGCGTGGCGCTTGCAGCTTCCCTCGCCCCCGCGACGTCGTCGGGGTCATGATGATATCGGCCGAGGGCAAAACAAGCGTCACAGGACGGAGCACGTTCGTAACGAAGGCAAACCGTGAGTATACTGTATAGGTCGGAAAGCGATGCCAGCCATGGCCCCGACGTACTACGCGAGTCGGACACAACGACTTTCGCAACTCGTCGGGCCGCGGACCACCCAAATCGTGCATGTAGACGTCCCGTTGCATCCGACTCACAGCCGTAGACGTCCAAGCCGCCGCGGCGTACGACTGGCCCCGCCGCCGCCCGCATCCGAGTCGCCACGTTCGGATGCGCCTAAGATGGAGATCGACGCTGTCGTCTATAAATCGTTCGAGTCGTCTTCTACCAAGATTCGAGGATTGGTCATACACCCTTCCGGCTCTGTGCCAGCTCGCGTTTGTTCCACACAAAAACACACCTCAGAACACCTTTCCGGACATGTTGAGTGAGGATGACTGCGAGATACGTACGCGATGCGAGACACGGACGCTGCGTTGGCGTAGTTTTGGTTTGGAGTCTCTCGGACATCCTCTACATGGCAGATACGGCGAATGGGCGACCGATACACTTCGCAGGCTTGGTGTTGTAGCGCCCGCATCATCTCCCGCGCGTCACAAATATGCAGAAGGGTGAACTTGAGTGGGATGGAATGCGCGCGTGGAAAGGATCGCAGAGGCGGCGGGTTGCGCATGTCTCACCGACAAGATAGCGGGGCTGTTCCAGGTATTTCTCCCTCTTCCCATCGCGATGGGCAGGAGGGTCCGTTGCGCAGCGGCACGACGAGCCTTCGTTTAACCGGGTCGTTGGGATAGCCTAGCTAGCCCAGCGAGGGGATCCTCGGGGCGACGGCCTGGTGGTGGCTCGGGATGGGATAGCAGCTGGTCTACACGTGTGTCTACGCGGTGGTATAGGTGTGCGGCTCGGGCCTACGGCCCGGGATCCCTACTCCATCGTTCGCGGGCATCTTGCCCAATTACACATTCTTCCCCTTCTCCGCGTGCTCCCCTCTTCCCTTGCGCCGCTCTTCGCACCCTCCTCCTCTTGACGTTCTCTCATTGCTTCCTCTCTGCCTGTCGTTCATCCTTATCAGTCTCTCCTCCCGTCTGCTCTGCTCTTCGCCGTGGCGTGGGATGATGCTCACCCTACCGCTGCATAACTTCAAGCCTGACGTCTCCATCCCGCTGTGCATAGCGAGCGAACGAAGGCGGGAGGATAGGAGGGTTGGCGCGCGCGGCTCAGTGACGAAAGCGAGATGATGCGTTGGCGAAGGCAAGCGCAGTCAAGCCGAACTTGGGGAGTGCGGATGATACCATCGGTGATGCCAGATAGCGGACGCTGGATACGCCGTTATCCCCCTGAGAATGAGGAAGTCTGCGCAGGATGACGAACGAGCTCAAGTGAGAAGGTTGGCGGCGGAGGTACCGCGCTGTAAGCCCCTCTATCGTGGGTCCCCCACTACGGTCGGCGGGAAGGACCAGGTTCAATTTCGGATTTTGCGTTCGTGATCGTGAATCCCAAGGTCGGCGGTTCGAATCGGGGCCTAGAGTACATACTTTTTCCCGGCCTGTGTGCGTGATTTGAGGGCTGTATTTGAGCATATTACTAGTAGATGTATCCACGCATATATTTTCCCGCGTTGGGAGAGTCCCAAAAGTCAAGAATTCGAGGTCGGAAGAAAGCCGGCATTTGCCGAATTCCGGCAGATGCCGATGCTCGAGCTTGGCAGTTGCTTCTCACGGTTGAACTTGGCTGTCCGCGGCCCATTCGGCCTGGGGCACGCCCTCTAGCAGCGTCTAAATGTGCTTTACATAGCGGCAGCCTCATAGGAGATAGTACACGACCGCCTCGAGCAAATATGATCTGAGTAAACATCTGAAAAGGCCCAGACTTGGAGTTGGGAGATGAGTGCATCAAGCACCTTGTGACGGGGCATAGCCTACAAATATAACGCTCAGTGTCTCTAGTTACGTGCGGCTCCATACTATGTGAGCCTCTTTAAAGAATAGAGGAATAGCAGCATTACCCATGATAATGTTAAGCTAAATTGAAAGAAATAGAGAAAAGTAAAGAAGCGAGCAGATAAGCCATTATATGCCAGCAGAATACTCACCAATAAAGATATAGTGTATAATTACACTCTAATGCAGGACGTTAGAGTACCTATTTGGTCTCGGGCGAGGTAAAGGGACAGAAGTTCAACCGTGAGAAGCAGCTGCCAAGCTCGAGCATCGGCATCTGCCGGAATTCGGCAAATGCCGGCTTTCTTCCGACCTCGAATTCTTGACTTTTGGGACTCTCCCAACGCGGGAAAATATATGCGTGGATACATCTACTAGTAATATGCTCAAATACAGCCCTCAAATCACGCACACAGGCCGGGAAAAAGTATGTACTCTAGGCCCCGATTCGAACCGCCGACCTTGGGATTCACGATCACGAACGCAAAATCCGAAATTGAACCTGGTCCTTCCCGCCGACCGTACCCCCACTGAACATCTTAGCTCGTGGCGCATGTAGACCTAATGGTGGTGTTCGGCAAACACAAGAGGCGGGGAGGAGATTAGCAGGCCTGCCAGCGAAGCAAGGAAGAGCGAAGCGATCGGGCACGGCGAATGACTGCCAAAAACGGCGCGACAGGATGATCGGTCCGCAGCAGCCGTGTGGAATGAGGCTTTTCCGCACCTCACCAGACCGTCGATCCCTCCTTGTTATAGCCCTGCGAGAGCTTTACGGTGACAATGCAGTCATGGTCTACGCCGCTCACCCAGGGGGAACGTGGCTGGCAGGCTCGTACTCGCGCAGTCCTCGTCCTTTATTTTGTCGGATACAGCCTTGCTGGGCTGGTCTGCTGGCGCTGCTGTCAGCGCTTCATGCGACAGGTTCGTAAGGGGTGGACGTAAGGGGTGGAGGTGGAGGTGGAATTGGTGCGTACTCATATTGTGCATAGGCGAAGCCATTACTGACATGCCTAACCGAAGAGTGGGAGCGCTCTATACTCCACCCCCATAAATCGCGGAAGTTTGTATGCACGGTATTCCATCCGCTTGATTGTCTGATTCTTCAATCAGGCGCGCAGCTTCAGGGTACGCTATCGATTCATTGAACCGAATCCCATCTTACTCAGGATACCCCAGATTTATGAAGCCATACGCACGAAGGATCGTCCTCCATTCTCCCCCTCCCCGGTTCTCCTCGTCAACTCTCGCTCATGCTAGTATGCTCAGTCTCTCAGACAAGCTGATACGGCGGATCACGGCGAGGAAGGCAGGTACTGGTGTACACTGGGATAGTCGGATGATCTCGCGCGTCACGTCCGTACATTTTATGCGCGATTCGGGAGACGATGGATGCAAGCCCCTGATGAAGACCCCAAATTGTGGGTACTTGCTGGCTCATTGACATCTCGGGCTGTCGGTTGGCGCGTCCGGGGCTGGCGGCTCGACAGACGCGACTCTGCGATGCGGAGTCGGATCGGGTCACGACGATCATGACCCGATGGTTTGGTGAGTGCCGCCATCTCAGTGAGTAGTCCATATTGCTCAGCCGCGTCCATGTATGCTCGACCACCGGGACAGCGCGGCGTCGAAAGCCGTGGTTGCTTGCTGGCGCCGCTTGATGTGACGTCCGTGACATCGTGTCACGTATCGCTGGCCAGCAAACATCGTCTTCAATACGTTTGTCCTCGATCTTTCGCACTCCGGTTTCTAGACCATATCAAGCTGGATGGTATGTTTGTACTCAGGCAAGTGTCAGACACTGTTTTCGGGGACGTAACATGCCCAAGGGACCCTTCCATTTCATCCACGCGCGCGTTACTTCCTAAGGGTAGCGAGCAATGTCAATGTCAGCCATAATTCTGCATGGTCGTCCCCTGCACTCTCCAAAGGGTGAGCAGTGTATAACTTCTTTATCAGCTTCTACTTGAAGCTATTCTCTTAACGATAGGCGGGTATCGTTCGTGTCGCCTCGGCCCATCTTAAGCGTGGCCTCAGCGTGGCACGCTCGGCTACCCTACTAGCGATACCTTCCGTCACGAGGGCTGTTGAACTTTTTCGCATCCTAGCTCATGGCGGTCCAAGTATACGGCAAAACGAACTGCGCCCCCTTATTTCGTCACTGCAGACGCCAGGCTGAGCCCAGGCTCAGCACTGAGGCCAGCTTCTGTTCCTCGACAATTTCTACACAGTCGGACGCGACGCACCGACCACGCGCGGCTTCACCCTGTCGTTTTGCGACCTGCCCAAAAAATGTAGCTATAACGCGTGCCGATCCCCAAGCTGAGGTACGGTGTGAAGGTCCTTTGACGGTGCCCACGCGGCTACGTAGGGGCCTCTTACCTAGCCTTGTGCAAGACCAATGGCAATCGGGCCGCGTGATTGCCCCTTTCACCCGAAGCTCCCTTTGTTCACGCCAGATAAGTACCCGCACGTTGTCTAACAAGACTTGTTTCCCTCCCCCCTAAGCATCTCGAAAGTCATTGACATGAGCCACAACATCAATCGCACCACCCTGCGCCCCGCGAACGACGGACTCGTTCTTCAAGACGGTCCTTACCAAATCGTTATCTCCGGGCACTTTGGACGTGCTCTGGGCGTGAGTTTGACGTCGCATGTCGTCGAACGAGTCCTGATTCCCCCACTAGCGAGAGTTTCGTGCTGCTTGTCGCGCGGACAAACAATCTGGACAAGATGTCGGCCGTATTACTTTCTTACGCTTCCTGCTGGTGCGTGTGCAGCCGCTCTCTTGTATCCGTCTTACTCAATGTCATACAGGCCAACCTCATGCTGCTTCTGTGCATCAGCCTTGTTCTGTACTGTATGGGCATAAAGGTCAACGTTGAATGGCAGTATTCGTACATCGATATACGCCATGTGGGTACCCTCCCGAAGTTCCGCGCCCTAATAGTCGTAGTCAAGAAGATGTGATCCGTGGCTCGACATGTACATGTATCCTGCTTTTTCGTGCATCTGTATACATGGGCCGAGCTTTACCACAAGACATAATCATTTCGGCGTTCTTCGCGCATAAAAGCCTCGTCAGGCAATCGACTTTCCAAAAGAAGATATGATCAGAACATGATCGGAACGTGCCATTCGACCTGCTTGTGTCCGCCGCGACGCCATGACCCCTTTGCTTCGAAATCAGCCTCCAATGTGAATGCGGCAGTATGGCCCTTCTACACGCCCTCCGCTACGAACAGTCGGGCGGAGTCCATTGTCATCATTGAACGGTATATACTCCACCATTTCTTATGTTGTACCATTCATCTGACGTTTCGCCCAGCGCACGCACTGTAGACTGCATCATTGTCGAACAACTTCAAGAGTTTTCGCAGCGCTGTGTCCTTCTCAACAGCACGCCTTCTGCGACCGGCACTGTGAGAATCGCTTGCGCCAGGAATCCCGCTTCCGCAGGAAGGCCGCGAAGGCGTCGAAGGAGGAGCCTGCTCGCCTCAACGACGTCAATCAAGATGCTCACCAGCAAAAGAAACTGCTTCCGCAGGCTGTCGTGAAGGCGCTGCGTGTCAGGAAGGGGTCGCGCGGCAAGAATACGCTCAACGCGGTCAAGATGCGCCGGTCCTCGAGTCCACTTTCACCCTCTCCTCAGCGCTGCGACTTCGAGGGTGCTACCTTCGAATTTCCATCAAGCTCGTTTAGCGCGGGCGCGTTTAATTTTATGGCTGGCTGGGGCGACCTGGGCAGTATGCCGTTAGATTTGTCGTTTTATTCCGCGCGAACATTTCTGTGAGCGCACCTTGTTTGATGTTTTGGGACGAGGAGCGCGCGCGCATTTGGGTCGCGCGCCTACTTTTCTGCTGATTCGATCCTTCCGCGCGCGCGATTGAAGGATCTCCGAGTACCTTATCGTTTATGTAGAGTATCGACGGGTATTTAACTTGTAAGACGAGGCGCGCGCCGCGCGGTCGCTGCTGACGTAAACGTTCTCCTTTAGGAAGGCAGGGGTCCGAGCGCACGTGGTCTTACCTTGGTGCGGGAATCCCTTCCGCTTGGCCATTCCTTTCCTCTTCTACCCCTTATATACCTTACTAAGGGCTTTAAAGCGAGCTTAAACACGCAGGAGGTAGATTTTGGCCTTCTAATCCGCTCCACAAAGCCAAGGACAGGCATAGGCTGTCCCTGACTCTCTATCTCCCCTTCTCCGTCAAAGATATCCCAGAAGAGCACAGATCCTCTCTCAAAAGGCGTATATAGCACTATAAGTGCTGTAGAGAGGGTTTTAGGACCACAGAAGGCACTCAGCCATGAAGAATGCTCAAGTCGAGGGCTAGGACCCCCTCCGTCCTAATTTGGAAGGACGTCGGCAATTCCCGAGCCTGCCTGCGAGCCCCGCGGAAACATTTTGAGCGTCTGAAGGTCATTGAAACTAGCTTTTCCGCTCGTATACGCGCGCGGAGCACCCTTTAACGCATGGCTTTGGGCGCGGGACCCAGAAATACGCGCGCGCTCAGTTGATCACGCCTGTGTGCGCGCGCGGCGGTCAAGGGCGCGCGCGCTCCTCGTTTCAAAACATCAAACAAGGTGCGCTCACAGAAATGTTCGCGCGGAATAAAACGACAAATCTAACGGCATATGGGCAGCACAGAAACCAATACCCAACTGCTACCAGGGCTCACGCGCACGGGCGACATCTCGACGTGGGACTTCGAGTCTTTCCTCACGACCCCAGGACCCGCTCTCTCCACCATTCCCAAGGAGGCACCTGCCAATGTCACGCCATTTGCATCGTCCCCACGCCTTCCCCTTTGGCCCGTTCCTTGCCCCCTGTCACCCGCCCGGCGCGGCCTTGGCGCGCAATGCGGCATGACAGTCGCGACGAAAACGACGGAAGTGAAGGTGCCCTGGTTGTGAGACATCCCGCTTTCACCGGGGAGTGACGCACGGCGATTCCCCTCGGGCCAGGTTTACTTACGCACGGTGAAACTCGGTGGCGTTGGCCTTGACATTACAATATACATCGTAGTAGAGTATAGTGTAGCTACGATAATAAAGAAAGAAGTAGCAGACCTTACTATCCTGCGTCAGGGGATCAGCAAAGGTCTCGAGATCGGCACAGCCAGCGACTGCATCGCCGAGCCAATGCCGGTGCTTCGGGGTGCTGGGAGCTGCCTGGAGCTGGGTCGTAAAGTCAGACCACGGTGGCAGCGCACGGTCTGACGTTGAGGTGACGAGAGGAGGAGAGGCTGCGTGGAAGGGGGATGCGGGGTGCTCGGAATGGGAATAGGTTCACGGACAGAATGGTCGAGGCTAGCAACAACGTATGAGGAGGAAGGCGTTGGACGGGGAGGGGGCGGGTGAGAGGCGGTCGGAGAAATGTCGGAAGGGGATTCGGAAGGGGAGGAGGGCGAGACACATGGGTGTGGATGTGACTGCTGCAGGAAAGAAAGTCGTTCTCCCCCCGAAGCGGAAGCCGGGGTGTACAGGATTACAATACTGTAGTCATTATTATCATTCCTAACTTACCAACTCTACCCAGTGATTCGTGCCCAGATGGGTCCTGCTATGGGAAACGCACCGTTCCCCCTGTGAAACCTTTCGTTCGGTGCAGTTCGGTGGAAGCAAGTCACGTCCGGGCGCGTTTAATGAGCGGGCGCGTCGTGGACGTCGTGTGCGATGATGAGGGGAGGAGGAAAGAGAGTAAAGGGGAAGGGGCGGGACGTGAGCGCGTCAATTGACAGACCGGCCCGCCCGGATGTAACGGACGAACGGGACGAACGATCGGGGCGAAGCGATCACTTCCGAGACCATGCGTGTCCTATCAGTGATCTTGCGGCAATGGGTTTTACTCCATGATCGACTTTCCAAATGGAGTTGACAACTGGTGACTGCCGCAGGCGGCCTCTCACAGCTTGTTCAGTCGCCAGTTCTGCCGCACTGCGAGGTGTTACGTGCTTGTGTAATCACATAACTCTGCCTACAGCCTGTAGTACTCCCTCGCCGTGCTCTGGACCATACTTCAGTGTACATGTTGGTATCTAGTGATATATTTTGTTAACAGTGTCTGCCCTGTGCTTCTCGTCAATTCAGTATCTGGAACAGGAAGGATCGAAACCCACGGTAAGCTGATTTCCCCCCCTTGGCGTCGCTTGATGATGAGCAATTGTGTACCCTGGATAATATCAGGCACAGCTCATTGCAGTCCGCTCAAGGCATACATACATCGGCCAGGCGCTCGATAGCAATGACGCGGCCATATACCGTACGCGATTCGTGGTCCCAGTACCAAATATCGTCATCAATCTATGTGAGAGGTAAGCTAGCTGACAGAGGAATGATAGAATGCCTTACACGAAAAGGGTTCATGATCGAGAAGAAGACTCAGTTGAAGTCAACGAACACAAGTGCGTTTCGAGAGATCGTAAGTGAACCTTTTATATCGCTTGGTCATGTTACGTTACAACTCCGGGGAACATCGAGATCAGCGGCCCGAGGTAGCCCTGCATCACGAACGTCGTCATCGCGATATAATTGAGTCGAGTGTAATGCGCAAGGATAGGCAACGGGCTCACGAAAGATTGCTCTATATTGACGGCCTTCTACATTGCCAAGCAAGCCTTAAGGATGGATGGCAGTGCCATATTCGGCGTCATGATCTGCCACTTACCTGGGCGGCTATAGTGCTATGCGAGCTGAGCGCGTCGCGCAACCCGATTCAGCGCTCGAGAGGTTTCCCATACTCCACCTTGTGGTGGGCTTTAGAAGGCTCAGGCTCGAGGGTCAAGCTGGCAGATACCTGGATCCCGAGGCTAAAGCTTGGGCTTCTGCTTGGGTTGCGGGCTGTAATTCCCAAACCAGTCAATGAGTATCATTATCAATCAATGTGTGTCGCGTATACTCTTACCTGTCATCTACCGCCAATGTCAGCTGTTCTACACGTCTTGGGGGTATGAAGTGATCATCCCTAACCAGCGAGTGATGAGTATCATACAGTGACAAACGTTGAGAAGTATGTGCAGCTCAAGGCCGAGCGCGAGGTGTGCGAGGAGGAGGGGCGCAAGAGGCGGTAGGAGAAGAAAAAGGGCACCTAAGAGGAGCAAAAGACAGAGGGAGATACATAGTCGTGGAGGGATAGGAAATAAGATGGAGGCAAAAGACTGGCGGATACCGGATGAGTAGCGCAAAAAGGTGGCATCGTTGGACGTGAAGAGTACGATGAACGGCCCGGGCGATACCGCTCACGGGTGTCGCGGGGGTATGCAATCACTAAGGTTGCTGATGCTGATTGCGGTGTGTCGGTGACCTGGGCGGCGGAGGTGATAGCACATCATTTGACGCTGTCGGTGGTCGCGTCCAGGCTCAGATCGCCGCCTACATAATCGGCGTGGCAAGCCCGGCCTTTGGGTTGAGCTCGGGCTTGTACGGGTTCAGGTTTGGGCCCGCGATTTGGGTCATGAACCCGACTCTTTTGTAGTGAAGGCGAGGACAGCCGACCTCTCAAGGGCAGAAGGTGATGGTATAGCCTGCCCCCAAGGTCAGGGATGTTATCGAAAGAGTTACGCTAGGCCACTCACCAGTGTTGTCGGCGATCGGGCAATTCTAGAGGGCTGTCTTTAATGACTCGTCGTAGCCATAGACGGACGGATTATTGCAGGCTTTCTTGAAGTAGTTGTAGTATCGGGCGGGCAGTTCTTGACAGTTTTGGCCTGGCCTGCAGATCTACTATGTCATGCAAGTCCCGACCCGACCCGAGCCCGCACATTACTAGCCCGGTCCCCAGGCGCGTGCACACATTGGCTCGTAAGAAGCTTGACTTGTTCAGGACGGGGAACATCTGTGGAGAAGACGCAGTTCATCGCCACTCTGCAGGGACTCGAATTCGCGTCAACGAGTCACACTCGAGCAACCTCCAGCGGCGGGAACGTGACTGCCATGAGACTGCCACGAGGTGACAACCTTCTTCGGGAAGTCGATTGCCTGTCTTGTGACGCCTGTGACATGTCGAACCTGTGGCGCCAGTGGCCTGTTCGATACCGACCACGATCTGCCACTTACCTTGTGTGGCCCTCTGCTCACGCGATTGTGCGGTATAGATTGGCGTGTCCGACTTTTTGAATCGCGAAGACCGACTGTGCACGCGAAGATCAGGGCCGAGCACGGCCTGAAGAGTCGGCATCGACATCGGTTCTCGCGCTCATCGGCGATGATTGGCGCGATCATCAGGCGAACAATCGCTCGACTATATTTTTACTGGCAAAATGACGATCTTTTTGGCGGTGAAAAGGCGGCCAAAAAGATAAATATTTTGGGCCTAAAAAGATGGTCTTTTTCCCGGTAAAAAGAAGCATGAAAAGAGCGTCTTTTTGTGACTAAAAATTTGGTCAAAAAGATACATATTTGAGCTTCAAAACGATCGTGGTTTGAGCGCGAAAAATATGATTGTTTTAGCCATGAAAAGTCATGTGAAAAGCCGGTGAAAACTTTCGTCTTTTTCATCACCATTTTACCCTTCAAACTAAGTTCATTTTGCTCCTAAAAAGATGTTATTTTTGACCGCCTTTTTTACCACATTTTTAACCACCATTTTACCCCTAAAAATTTCACTTTGCCACTCGTGTGAAAGGACACCAGACCATCCTTAGCATGCAGAACAGCAGACACCGATCATGGTGTTTCCTACTACTACACAACCGTCACCGCAGTCTGCGTGTTATTGTTCGGGAAACGCAGGGAGCCCGCAGGCCATCTCCCGTCCATGAACTGAAAGTCGCGTTGTATCGGGGCCGGCCGATGGTGCCTGCACAAGTTCCCGTCAGAATCAACGCCATAGGATAAAACCAGAAACCCGAAAGGACCCCGATGCTCACTCGTCTAGTAGATGCGCGTACAGTGCAGAGCTTTTCCTGAACGATGTCCCGCAGCGCGTGCAGCGCGCCAGGTGCTCGTTGAACCTCGGCATCCACAGCAAGCTGTTGACGGCGAAGCGGAACGTCGCGGCTATGTCCTCTGAGATGCCGCTGAAATGAGCGCATTGCATACCGTCGCGCAACTGGGGATGCATGTTAGATGACATGGCACTTAGCGCTTAGCATCGGGTGCGAATGCGTGTCGTCAACCTCGAAAATGAGTCTGTTTACTCACCACATGCGGCCACCCAGACAGATACGAGACAGCTCCGTCCGGGGTATGGTACGAGAACCAGGGATCAGCCAGCGCCATATCCTCGTGCGTCGCAGTGTCAGGATCGAGCCCCGCGAGCTCTATGAAGAACTTCGCGCGCCCGTGGATCGCCTCGCTGAAGTCGAGCCCCGCCGCCGACCACGGCATGTATCCCGTGCGCTTGCGCGTCTCGCTCGCCTCCCGATCAAACTCGTCCGTAATCGCCGGGTCCGTCAGAACCTCCGGGTACCGCACGAGGCGCACCTGCGAGGCGTCCGTCGCCCAGGCGGGCGTGTGGGTGAAGACCACGGAGGCGAGGGCGAGGTTGGTCGGCGCTTTGTCGCCCATTTTCTCGACCATCTTGTCGCGGAGCTGCTTCTCGGCGTTGGCGCGCCAGGTGTCAAACCACGAGATGGGGATGGCGTCGACGAGGTGGCGGATGGCTTCGTCGGGGAGGTCGTCCTCGACGGGGGTGTCGTAGATGGCGCGGCGGACGTGGTCGAGGTCGACGAGGCTGCCGACCGGGGGGAAGACGGACCCGGGCGGTTGGGCGAGGAGGAAGGCATCGTAGGCGTCCGAGAAGGCTTTGTACCTTCTGGACTTCTCGTTCATCAAGCGCTCCTCGCGCAGGGACGCGATGTAGCTGAGAACGTTGTCCTTGATCTTTGACCAGCCTGGCATAGACGAGAATATGAGCTCATTCTCAAAGATATAGAAAACCTGACATACCATAGTCCGTCAGCGGCTGCGCCTTGCTTACGTTTGAGTTTTCGACGAGTCTGAAGCGCGACTTTTCCACTTCCTCTCCCCAGCCTAACGCTTTCAGCCTCTCGAAAATACTGACGAAGTCGTCAGCGTAACGCAAGCACCCTCCACTTCCACACTCACGCCTCCTGTCGATTGTGGCGAATTTCGTCCAACTCACGAGCACGAGCTTCTTGCCGCATGTTGTCCCACTCTTGAAGCAAGAAGCCGTGCTTAAAATGATCAGACGATGTTTGCAGTGGTTCATCGAGTGAAACAACGTACTTCCTCCTGCTTCCTACTCTCCGCGACCTTCTCTTCCACCCACACCTTCGCCCTCTCCGGGTCGCCCCAGTAGCTCTTTGCTTCGTGCAAGAACGCCAATACGTGCTTGATCTTATAAAACATATCCATTTCGCCGGATTTATCTGCGATGGCTCAGCGGACGAACGGACGACAGAGCGATGAGAAGCCGCGCACCTTTCAGCAATGACCCTGGGACTACGTCTTTGAGGTCTCTATCGTAGGGCTCCAGTTCTACGAGACCGTAGATCTTGTCCTCCGGCCAGAAGCTATCAACAGCCTCAGCATTAGAGTTTGGCACGGTCAGTGAGTAATGGGCGACGTACTCGTACTCGAAGCATTTCTTGCAGCACCGCCAGCGTGCGCCCCAAGCGACAGTCGACACATTTGGGGCGAGGCATTCCTGCGATTGCATCATGTGAAAGACATCGAGGAGAAGAGGATCGTCCTAGCACCCACCATGCAGGACTTGTCGAACAGAAGCCGCGCATACTGCGGCTCATTGAGATCGTCCGGGACTGGAGGAATATCTGAGGCATTTTCGAAGCTGGCCTTCCAGACCGAACGCGCGTTTCTGCACATGAGCATCGCGCGGAGCGCCTTGTTGGTCCTCGAGACGTTGAGTAAATGGGCAGGATGGAGATGGCTGAAAATCTGAGAGTGGATGTATAAGAGGACACAGCGCAAAAGATACGCTATACCGTACCTCATATACTACGTCCAGGGGGAGTTCGAGCAACGCGCTCAGCTTTCTTCTCCCCCGCGTTGTGGTCGTTGCTTTGCTGACGGCGCGGGACGTCTTAGCACGCTTCACCTTGCGCGTTGTGCTAGACTCCGCATAGTCAGGATCACCGCGAGTATCCTCATTCCTATAAATATCCTCAAGGGCTCGTCTGACCATATCGTTCGTAGTGAAGGAGACAAGAGCAAGAGGCGACTGACAGAATTGTCGCGTCGTTTCCGTCACGCTCGTGACTTGCGTCATTGCGGCAGATGCCGAGTGCTTGCCACCCGGGACCCACAACTCCTTGAACTTACCGTCATGGGCATCGCTCGTTGGAACCTCTGAAGAATGCCACAGTGGACAACACTCAGCCTCTATACTCTCCTGTTTGGGAGAGGCGATCGAATCATTGTCCAGAACATCTGAACATCGCTGCACTGTTCTCGGAAACACCTCAGGCTTGCGCGGCCTCGCAGGACCGTGACCTCAGAACTGACCGCAGCCTTTGTTTCCAGTGCAAGACTGTGCACCCTTCTCTTGCTACCATGTGCTGCTACTGTATTGACCACAATCGAGAAGCTCGACGTGTGCTGGGCAGTAAAAACTAGAAGTCCACAAGCCAGATGCACTGCCCGCTTAGGGATGCTTCAGAGAGCTCAGGTGCCTGCAGGGTATGTACTTCTCTTGCCTCTCGGCTGTCGACATTAAAGCATCTCAGCGCCTCATTTACGAACGGGCACGCCGGGGACGGGCAATTACGAGAGCCGCCCAGGTGAGGCTACGCTATATAAATACAATGCCTCCCTAGCATTTAACCCTATCCCCGCCCCCCATCCCTCCTCCCGCCTACCACCTCGCCTTCGAAGTAACCTCGCTCTTTACCTACCCTGACAATGTTCTTCCTCACCACTCTCATGGCTGCATGCGCGCTCGGCGCGCAGGCGGTGCCCGTCGCCCCGCCGCCGGCGTCGACGATCTACGTCCCGCACATCTTGTCGCCGAACGCGACGACAGTATGGACGACGGGGCAGAAGGTCAACATCACTTGGTGAGTCGGGCCTCGGGCTCGTTATGGAGAGGGATAAGGCTGACTGATCTGCGCTTAGGGATGCCTCGGACGCGCCGGCCGTCATCAACAATGAGGGGCTTGCGGTCCTCGGGCATGGTGCTCGTAAGCACATCACGCATTGTTCTTGACGAGCCTTTCTAACATGATCATAGCCTGCGAGACCTTGGCGGAGAATTTCGACCTCCGCAAGGGCTGGGTCGAGGTGACCGTTCCCAGGGTCGATCCAGCCAAAGACTATACTATCACCCGTGCGTTCTTCTCCTTCCCCCCCTCTTCTTCCAGCCATTGAACGCTTCTGCCAGTATTCGGCAACTCGAGCAACATCAGCGAGGAGTTCACCATCAAGTTCGGCCGCTGGCACCCGTGGTAGTGGCTCGACTGGGCCACGACCAACACTTGTCACACCTGCGGGATATGGGCACATAATTTCGGGCATTCTGAAGGGGTAATTCAGTCGTGCTACTATTCGTCGTAAATCACTTTCGTTATAATCCAATCGTACTACGCAGACCATTGCAGTGCAACTAGCTTAGAGGGAGGAAAACGTGAGGCTGAGCAAGTCAGTGCATCAGTGAGGGTGGGTCGATTCGGGCAGCCTGCACGTTGAGGCGAAGATCGCGGTCCTACAATCCCAGCTGCAGCTTTGTCCTCCGTCCCCTAACCTGCCCATGGCGGGTGATGCCACTCTTGCCAGTGCCGTCGCCGATCCTCGACTCCAATCTACGACGCGAAGATGGACGCGCAATGCAACACGCTCGCAGCGACCACCCGTCCTCTGCCATCGAGTCTAAGTAGCAATGTCATCATCGACAGCGATCCACCCTACACGGCACTTCTGATAACGTCAATCCAATCATATATCAGAAAAACGCCTATCCATCCTCCCTGAGACCAGCATCGTCAACCCAGTTCTCTAAACTTCCCGGCTTTCGCCCAACCCGGCCACGCTCACCCCGTCCAGCAACAAAAACCTTCACTCCTTCCCCGGCCTCGGCAACGGCTTCCCCAGATGCTCCGGCCCAAAGCTGTCGGGGAGCAGCTCGCCGAGCGTCGTCTCCCGGACGCCTCCTTCCCCGTACCCCGGCTTCTTCTCCGCGTCACCCTTCTGCGGGTAGTCGGCGGGCACGAGCAGCACGGGCGTCTCGAGCGCGCAGAACTCGCGGAGGACCTGGCGGCAGATGCCGCAGGGCGAGGCGGGGGTGGTGAGGTCGCTGGGGGACGGGTTAGATGATATGTCTGATTGCTGAGGTCGGACGGAGGGTATCTCGAAGAGAGTGGGATACAGAAACACGCGAGGCAGACGAGCACTCACGTTACGACCGCGACGCCAATGAAAGAGCGGATGCCCTCGCTCTGGAATTATCATGTTGGCGACCGATCGGCGACGAGGCGTACAGAATTCACTCACCGCCGCCTTCACGATCGCCGTCCGCTCGGCGCAAATAGTGCCGCCTGCAGGAAAAGTAGGTCAGTGGACGCGTAAGTCTCTTAGCGGCGTCTTGGTCAGAGATATTGCAGTGTGGGTCGCATTCGCCGAGGGCCACTGGATTATCCACTCGCGGCGCGCCACCTCGGGACAAGCCCACTGAAGAAACACCGCAGCTCTTCCCACTACAAGCTCGCTCGCCCCCTGCACTAGCTCGCGCAGTCCCTTTCCCTTGATCATCCACACCTCTGCACCAACTCGCCAGTCTCCCTCATCAACTCGCCTATTTTTCCTCGTCACCACCTCGCCCACCCCACCAGACACATCGCAAAAAAAATTGTCAAACAAATCGGCAAAGAACCTACTCACCATACGACGCGTTCTCAATATTCGCCCCCTTCACGATGCGCCCATCTGGCGTCAGGAGCGCCGCGCCGACCGGGAATTTGGAGTAGGGGCTGTATGAGCCGGTTTTGGCTGTGGGAAGGGGAGGTTAGCGAGATGTTGGAACGACATGAGGATGAGAGATGGTGGCAAAGGCGAGATGGAGGCGACGTCAGAATGGCAGGGAAGCGATGTGAGAAGAACACGAGGAGCCAAGGGTTGTCAAAAGAGCGAGATGGAGGCGTCGTTAGAGGATATGGAAGCGATGCTAGAACGACATGAGGCAGTCAAATAAATCAGCAGAATTTGTCGGAAAAAATGAGGAGGTGGATGAGAGGAAATTCGGCTGTGGGCGCAAGGAATTTCGGCAACAGGGATGGACGATTCGGCTACGGAAAATGAAGAGCGATGAGATAAGATGGACAGGCGCGAGAGGAAGCGCGTGGTGCAGGGAGGCGGATGGCTCAAGGACGCGGGTGGCGCAGTGAGGGGTCGATAGTGATACACGATCAGGACGGGACAGAACGAGGCCATAATGAACAGTCGCGGATCGCGCGAAGCGCATTATAATGAAGGGTCGAGGACACGCGGCCTTCGAAAAACAAGCGGAACGAGGCAGATGAACTCCGCCATAATGAAGTGAGCCGGCGCGCGGCTCGACTGGCAACGAGGCGCGCGCCGAGGGAAGATTCGGACGGCAACGCATCGTGGGGTCGGTATTCGCGCAGGAATGCCTCGGGAGGGACCAGGCAGAGGTCGGGGAGGGCGAGGGAGAGGGCGCGAGGGGGACGTGATCAGGGGATAAGGCCGACTAGGCTTTGAATGGACTCGCCGCGGAGTTCATCTGAGCCTATCAGGGGTGGGCACGCCTCGCTGCGCTCCCACCGCCAGCCAGACCTACAAGGGGCACAGGACCCGCAAGCCCACAGCCCAGACGGTACTCACCCTCGAAGGCCGATTTGATGAGGAGCGCGCGCTGCTCCGGCGTGAGCGTCCAGTCCGAGGAGGGCGACATGGTCAGCGTCAATCAGTGAAGTGTGAAGACACGCGCTCGGGCAATGTCGATTCGATGGGCGATCCCGATGGAGTTGATGCTGATGCCGATGTGCCGGTGAACGTGACCGTCGGGGAGAACAGACATTGAGACAAAGGCAGAGTTCAAGGCGGGCGGCCCACGTGTATCTTCCGGCGGCAAGTGGGCGGCAAGCGCGAATGCCGGCGGACATCACACGTGTTTTAGTTCCGCGGGAGACGGAACATGCCAATCTGCCTCCGGTGCCGCATTGCATGCATGCTGCGAATATACCGGTGCCATTGTTCCCCAGCCCGGGCAGGTCCTGGCCTCGGTAGGGGACCAGCGCTCTTCAAGGTGCTCACCACGGGGTATCTTACGCACGGACAGACAGCATGGAGCGAGGAAAACAGAGCATAGATCGGAGGGACTACAACAGACTATGTACAGAGATACAAGGACGGAACCATTGTACAGAGGAGGAGGAGGAGGAGACGTAGTATGTGCAGTGCGTAAGCAGTCGTGGAAGCGGGAGTCTCGTACGTGCGTAGCGGTCAGTATGTTCAGAGGTAAGTAAGAGGTAAGAGGAAAAACATGCAACAGAGAAGAGGAAAAGGGACGGATAGCGTATCACAGCAGCAGACGTCAATCCCAGGAGCCCTGTCTGAACAGGGCCCGCTTACGCATAGCCCAGCTATAGTTGACCCATTCACACGGCCGCGCTGCGAATGCGATGGAAAATCGGCAGCGCGTGGCAGGAGATGAGCCACATCTAGCCACACGTGGATCAGCAGCTATCGCAAATACCAGGGAAAATGCAGAACGCACGTTGTACCACCAGTATGCGCGGCGGTCAGACTCCTCGGTGTAATCCGTAACGAATAGATAGGTAGCGGCGGTCGCGAGGACGTAGAGGAGGAGGCTGAAACCGGCCGGCGGGAGCCAGAACCACACGAGGGCGGTCGTCCAAGCGTAGAGGAGCGCGGCGAGCGACCAGCGGCCGACACCCTGCGGAAGGATGAGCGCGAGGGTCTTGCGCCCGATAGCCGCGTCCCCCTCGCGGTCGCGAAAGTCCTGCGCCTGGCCCTGTAGGGAGGTCAGCTGGTGCGTGGGAGGCGTAGGGAAGACGCCCTGACCGTGGTAGCGAAGATTAGCCCGGTCATCACAAGGGCGGTCATCGACAGGCTCGACAGCGGGCGGTCGTGGTCTGGAAGAAGGCGTGTTAGCAGACTGCTCCAAGGCGCGAGTGCTGGGTACGTACCAAAGCACACGGACATGCCCCAGCAGTAGCAGATGTAGCCAATAGCCGACAGCGCGGACTTGGCGACCCAGTTGCGCGCGAGGCCGAACTCGTTGTACGCGATGATGGCGGCAAAATAGATGAGACTGGGGGTGAGCAGCCCGTGGCGGACGCTCATGAGGAGCGACGCGACGATGAGGCAGAGGTAGAGCGTCTGCGTCGCCTCGGGGCTGATGCGTCCGGAGGGGATGGGCCGGTGCGGCTTCGCGAGCTTGTCCTCGTCCAGACCGACGATCTGAGAAAAGTATGTCAGCAAGAGAGGCTAAGATAGGCGCGCGCCGGTCAACTGACCTGGTTCTTGGTCTGTGGGAGCGCAAGTCAGCGATCTGCAGAACATCTAACGCGAGATGAAAGCCTCACCTCGAAGGCCATGAGATGCAGCTCCGTCCAGGCAAATCCCTCCAGGAACGCGACCAGATCCGTTGGTCCTGCAAGGACCATGCTCATAGACAGCTGCGGGAAGACGTCAGTAAGCGGCCCGTCATGTTGCTTCCGAGGACATACCGCAGGCCCAAGGATGGGTACGATGTCAGACTTGCTGAAGAGGTAGCCCGTGTAGAGACCGCCGAGGACGGTGTCTACCATCGCGCGTGGGGTGTCAAACGCGGAACGAACAAGCTTGACAGCCATGGTGTCGTGAAGAGGAAAGGGGAAAGGGGAAGGGAGGGAAGAAGGGGGGCGGAGGAGGAGGAGAGGGGAAGGAGGACCGGGAGCGGACACAGAAAACTCGAAAGCAATCCGGTGAATTTATACCTTCAGGCCCATCTGCTTAAGTACAGGCGTTTGGGCAGCCCGCGTGCGAGCCGCCGACCCGCGCAAACCATCAGCGCAGCGGTTCAGTGGGCGCCGCACAAGTTCGCAGATTGGAAATGGGACATCGGGCTTGGGAAACGGTGTTCTGTCAACGGCGGCACACACACACACAAAATCGATGGCGATGGGAGCCGGACCCCTGCCCTTGATGAAATAGCGACCTGGAGGCTGGGCCCGTCCTGCCTCCATCCGGGCACCTTCTGCGCTTCGTGTGGGGAATATTCTTGAAAGCCGGGTAAGGCGAGGAGCGCGAACATGATCGTCGTGTGCATTGAATACAAGCCGTTTCTCATCGTCGTCGCCGACGCAGACGACTTGCACGCGCTCAGAAGACCGAAAGTAGGCACGGGGGAATCGTCGGGTGGGAGAGAGGCGATCTTAATTACGCGTGATCGGAATCGGTTCTGCCCTTTTGGGTCCACAAATGCCACGTTTGGTCATATGACGCACACGGCAAACAGCGGTGCACTGACATTGTTCGACTGAGCCTCTGTCGCGCAGAGATATGTAGTAGACAGAGAAACGTACGTCGTTGCGTGGGTGCGCGCCTGGAGTTGCGCGCAATCTCTGCGTTACAGTACTATCACGGGCACGCCCAATCGCTACTGTACCCGATTGCCGACACGACACGACATAAACATAAGCTACAAACCAGACAGATCCTGCCCAGGCGTGTATCGTAATCGATGCAGCGCTAGCTCGGTGGCTAGCGCCGTACACACGACATATACACGACAAAGCAGCTCCAGCGAGAGAAACTAGAGAAACTCATGCCTGCTATCCACGGTGGCGCGCGCATGTTTATTTCCAACACGCGCGCGCCGAACTGGTTTACGTCGCCCTCGCGAACGAGCCAGAACACCCGTACGGCCCTCCTCGCGCCTTGCCTGACGCGATCCCACTTATCTCTTCTGCCGGACTTGTATTATCGATGCACTAGCGCATCAGTGGCAGGCGCCCCGTGGGACCGGACGCTAGGCCTGTTCGGGAAACAAAGGGCTGAGATGCAGGTTAGCGCACCGCCCAGTCCGCCCAAACACGGCCGCGCACCGGTCCAGGACGCTAAAGTTATGCCCACGCACGCCCAAAATGCCCGGAAGACGTACATTCAGAGACGGCCGCGCGTGTTCTATCGCCGGCGAGGACGGGCGCCAATCGCTCGCAGACGCTGAACAGGCCTCGGTGGCGCACATGATCTGCGCGTCCGTCCTCAGTTAATCTCCAGCTGACCGGGCTTCTAGGCGCGTACCTTCGTAGCCTCTTCACAGCCTAGTCCCACCCGCGACGCGGTGCTAGCTACCGACCACACGTAAAGACGTACCGGGAGTCGGTCAACCAGGTGCTCAGCGACGCGAACTTGAGCCGCCGTGAGTAAATACCCACGCAGCGATCAACAAACACGTTCTCTGTCGTTCGCGGGCCCCGCGGGGGGCTAAAGATGCTGCTGATTCGCTGGAGAGGACTCACGCTCATGAGAATAGCCAAAGAAGGAGGGGCAAAAGAATAAGCCCAGCGCGCCCAGATAACCGGTTTGAAGGGGGACCTCCAAGGCGGTATAGCGCCAGTACAACTCAGGCGAGTCCTGACCGTGTGTATTGAAGAGGCGGTGTTGTTCTTCTACATCCTTGCTAAGCTGATAGATAACGTCGGGCGCTAGCTAGACGCCTAGCGCTGATGAGGATAGCACAGGTCTCTCGAAGGGTTTCACCAAGTCGAATCCCGCACCGCGGTGCGCAGGAAGAGATAGGCCCTCGCTCGTGATTTGCCGTGGCGAAGGGAGCAAGGACGCGGGGCCGCTACGACGGGCAGCGGCGTGCGACGGCGAGCCCAGCGCGCGAGCCACCATGTTTGTTGAGCAACTCTACTGATCGTGCTGATCGAGACAGTCGAACATCTCGACCGCATATGACGATCGCATATGGGCATCTGACGTGCATAGTCCGGTACAGTAGGCACACTGCCGCAGAAGACGAAGGCGCGAAGCGTGAGCCAGAAGGATCGGCAGCTGAACTCTATCACAGACCTCAGGCTATGGTACAGCTCGCGGCGGGCGGGTATCATGAAGTCATCGCACTTCCCCCAGTTCCATCTCCTCTGCGTCCTGCGCGGTCGTGGGCAGCGGGGTCACCTTCAGGCCCTCGCGCATCTCGCGCTGCACGCAGAGCTGCTCCGCGGCGATTACGGTCATGACAGATCCTGTCAGGATGGTAAGCGTTCACCCAATCTCGCACAGTACAGATCGGCGCACCTGCTCCCACGACAGCCCAGTAGAAGAGTGATGACGGGATGGACGCGGCGTAATACGTCGTGAGCAGTATGTGGTTGAAGAGCAGCGTGAGCGCAAAGTCGAGGACGAGGCGCGGTCGGCGGACGAGGAAGAGGATGTAGTATATGCTGGACGGTTGCAGGCTGTCAGCACGGTGATGGAACCAGTAGGGGACACCACGCACTCCGCGCCGCATGCCAGCAGCCAGCACAGGGCGATCACCCAGCCGCGCGCCGGGTCCACGCTTCCCCCGTCGTCCGCGCCTATACCGACTTTCTTTCCCCCGGACCACGCAAAGCCGAAGTCTGAGCATGACAGAGCGGGGGAACGAGCAGGCAGGATTAACCGAGCGAAGGCGAGGAATTCGTCAGTGCCAGCGCCACCTCTCGGAAGCCCGACCACGCACCTCCGCTGAACCAGCGGCCCTCCGCGTCGACGTCTGTCCCCCTCTTGGGTATCGTACTTCTTCCGGCTATCTCCCGCCAGTCCATGATCATGCCAACGTTCGCTGCGCCGCCTGCATATTCGAGACGCGCCGGGTCGGCGGCAAGCACCAGCAGAGGCGGGGTGAGGATGGAGAGCGTCAAGTAGTGCAGCGTTTGGAGTGCGACTATCTGGGAGATAATGAGGAGAGGATCCCATGTACTTCGTGGGGCGGAGGGCGCCATAGAGGGCGCACAGGGGGCGTCGTGAACGTCGTGCACGACGCCGCCACTGAGGACATGACGGAGGTAGCCACGTGGCTACGATCAAACCGGTCCGGCGAACCCCGCCATTCGTGTGGCGCCGCTGGCGCCTATTTTCCTTGAAGTTCAGGTTGAACACCCACTTGTAGAGGCGACGCCTGAGATACCTCACATCTCTATCCCCCCAGGCGCCCAAATTGATATGCTTACTCTATACCTGAGGACGAGGGGTCCTTCTCAACGATACGTCCTCACAAACGCAACGCGATCGGCGCGTCTATTGTCTACAGGCGCTCCGGGAAAGCAGGCGCCGCTCCCTTCTTATGTCCCGCAAGTGAGAGGTGCGTGTCATATGCACACTCTACGTTGAGCGTTTTCTGACCCTCTCGCAGCATTCCCCTTCGCCGTCTCCCCGGAGGAAGCGCAGCGGATACTAGGTCCCACGGCCGCGGCTCTGCTGAAGCGCTCCAAGTTCCTCTCAGCACTGATAGGGAAATACATAACAAGAAGTGCACCGTACAAGCCGAAGAGGATAGTCCCTGCATACCTCCCTGCATGGCACTCGGTCGTCGTGTTCGACCAGCAGCGCGCGATGTCGGAGAAGCTGGTGCGCGGACAACCATCTGAATCTTGTCAAGGCTCTAAACAAGCTTACATAGAGAACGCATCTTAATTTCAGAGGCAATGTGTGCGTCTACCCTCCACCTCCTTCCTCGCATCCCCTCTGACCGATCACGCCGCTAGCTGCTTCCCAGGTGCGTTCTCCCCTCCACACTCCCCCTCTGCAAGCCTCCCCTCCTCCTTCTGCACCCTACCCTTCTGCAACCTACTCTTCCCTCCCCTTTCCCCCTCCTCCCAAACTCACCACTAACAGCGTGCAGGCGTCCACTACGACCTCCTCTCAAACCTTCCCCTCCGCGAACCCGTCCCCCTCTCCAAAGACTTCCAACCACCCGTCCCCATCACCGACGACCTTTGCTGGCAGCACGGTATGAACGTCGAGTTCATGCCCTTCACGCGCTACGCGAGTGCGATGTGGGATAACTCGATCGAGCGGCTGCGCAAGCTGGACCCGGCGGCGAACTTGGATACGCAATATGTGAGTGGGGTGCTTGCGTTTTGGGCGCGCAGACGCTTTGAAACTGTGCACAAGCTTCGAAAACGTGCACAAGCTTTGAGCGCGCACATCAGCTTGAGAGCTGGAATGCGTACGGCTCGAAAAGCGCAACGAATGATGACTGACTGACGTTGAACCTCTCGCGCACAGATGGTTTTCTATCCGCTTCTAATGCCCGTGTATCTGGCCACGTACGACGTCGTGGGGAAGGAGCTGAGCGAGTACACGCTCGTCCTGGACGCCCGCTCACGCAAGGTGCGCTTCCTCCTTCATTTCATGATGTCCCGGATTCGACTCACCCTCTCCCAGACCGCCACCACCAGCATCTTCGCCGGCGCCTTCGCCGACTACGCCTACACCCTGCAGCGCGTCGGGCGTCGGGCGCCCTCCAAGTGGTCCCGCCGCCTCTCTCCCCTTCGCTCGTACTTCGACAAACCCTTCCGTACCCTCTTCCTCACCGACGAGATGTTCGCCGAGCCGGCGCGTAAGTCGGGCAGGCGAGAGGCCCCGCTGGAGCAGGACATGCGGATCCGGCCGTGGACGGAGGAGGAGTTTTCGGCGAATCTGGCTGTGCATAAGACACTTTTGCATATGAGCAGTGGGCGCCAGTTATTGACGGAGGTGAGTGAAATGGGGGTATCAGGAGGACTAATAGCTTATGTCGGTAATATAGTTGCAAACGCAGCCACCGCCGAGCAATGCGCTTGAGGCGAGGAAGGTGAGTAGAATCTCTCAAATTCGAATGCAAAGGCACTCACTGACGCCTTGATAGCACCGACAGATGGTCGACCAGCAAGCAGCGATGGTGCGGTCTCTCAGCACCGAGAACCTTTATCCGGAGTGGTGGAAGACGTGGGCGAAGGCGAACCGGAGGCGGTTGGAGGCGTAGGGAAAGCCTACGACATCTTCATAGTAATTCACTCTGAAGGACTACACATAATTTGTGCACTCACGACTATTTCACCATCACAACTACCCTGCAATCCTTTCCGACGACCTGACTCTTGTACTTAGAGAGCTGGAAAACGATGACGCATTCAGGCTTGTTTGTATCTGCTTGCAGTTGTGGATCCAGCATTCTCGCACTTTCCAAATTAGTAAATAACAGAGTTCAACTTCGACGTCCACCAGACCTCTCACCAGCCTTCCACCGGGTTCTTCAGCGCTCTCCTCTCTGACCTCCGTGTCTTGATATTGCAGTCAGGCTCCAGGGTACTCCAATTAATTCATAGGAAAAATCCAGACAGACGCAGTCTCGGGCACTGCCGTGCCACGATTTCGCCTCGCTTTCCTCCTGACCTCCGTCACCTCGACTTCTTCGTGAAAACCTCTGTATCGCCTCACGATACAAACCATGCATGCAGACAACTCCCAGCACCTTCGCCCACTACTCCCCCGGCCACCTGCAGACGATGCCGTCCATCTCTACCACCCATACCCGACGGCTATGGTGCAATGCGGGGGCAGCATGCACTGGCAGGGGGCGGGGCCTTCGACCGAACTCCCCGTAGATGAACCCATGGATATTGTCCAGGAATGGTCTACACTACCAGCACCTGCTTCCCAAGAATGGTCCTCACTGCCGCCTCCCGCTTCCGCTACGAAGGAGACTCTCGCGGAAGTCTTCTCCAGCCGCCACCCCTTGGACGTACCGATAGATGCGCCGCAGAACCTTATCATCTACCTTGCGCTGAATGTAAATGGGCTGTGGAGTGAAGGAGACCATGGTCAGAGGGAGGAGCTGAACTCGGGCGGCATCTTGGACTGCAAGCTCACAGAGTACGCGATCCAGGAGCTGCTCCGGCGAAACACGCTCGACATGCGCGTCATCGCGATCTTTGCGCTCGTCCTCGAGCGCATCGTCATGCCGAAGATGAAGGCCGCGGGCCTGTCGACGTCCTTCCACTCCACCGGAACCATGCCGTGGGTCCAGCCATCTGACCAGGCGCTCGTGTGCACGAAGACGCGCTTAGCACAGTCTGTGGCCACGGAGTCCTCCCCCTTCGTCCCGCGCCCGATGAAGCACAATCGGAAAGCGCTGTATGCCAACATCCAGACCGACTACCGCGAGTACGACAGGGATACGTATTGGTTGGATCTGCCGCCGACGCACTTGTCGCCGGACTACGCGCTCGAGCGGGCCCCGACGCTGCAGGATCCCACGGCGCACCTGCGCGATCCAGCGACGCGCATATACGACCCTATGCCGGGCCTCCTGAATGCGGGTTTGCATAGGCTCGTGTACGGCCCGTACCTGCGGCAAACGCGGGGCATGGAGTATACGAGGCCGCTGGAGTGGCTGGTGCATCGCTGTATATGCAAGCTGCACCTGACCGTTGCGCAAATGGAGGTGCTGCCCCAGCATATAAAAGAGAGCGACGTGCTGGAGATGATCACGCGGATGGGGTTGTAAATTGGTGCGTCCGGGCTGGTTCTGATGAAACTGTGCTGACTGGACGCTAGGAATGCTAGTCTTCACCTTTGCGTTGTACTCATACAACAGTTGCCGTAGCCTCGGCAGACCCGAGAGACGGGACGGGAAAGCCCCGAAAGAGAAGAATGCGTATTGCCCGTAAGCGCGCTACGCACATGTGTATGGCTTGTCTTCAATGTACTCTAGTGGCTCCGTCCATCGCCCTCTGATCCTATCATACTGTCTACGAGGATATCGGATGCTGGGAGACGGTGTTTTCATTCGCGTGTATGTCTACCTATTTATGCACGTGATGTGCTCGACTCTGCGCGTCAGTCGCAGCGTTTTCCTCCCCGGTGGATCATACATGTTAGCTGTTCTTCGTACGGTACTTCGACAAACAACGGGCTATCACGGCGACTAGTATCCGAAGCTTTTCATCATTCTTCCTCTATAATCACAACGCTTGCATTGTCCTCAGAGGACCTTGGCCGAGCTATACATTTCTGTCGACAACAAGAAGACGACACTTCTGGAAGGGCCTTTGACCCCCCTTTTCGCGCATGCATCTCCTCCAAGCAGAACACGAGGCCCGCCTAGTCATTATCGCGCTACACGTGCCCTTTGTGCAACATGCCTTGCGCATGTTGATGCATCGTGGGGGACGAGGGGCAAAGGGTCTGTGCGTATCGCCCATCTTGCTTTCTCCCTTGACATCGCGCGCATCGACCTTTGACGTCGACCGTATCGACCTTGACATCCCCCTCATCTCTCGCCAAATATCTCCGCCATCCGACCCAAGATCTCGCCCCCCCCCCTCAGGTGGGTGGCCTTGACGGTGCCATCGGAGCGCGTTCTGACGAGCCACAGCACGGCAGCGAGACACCGACAGGACGCACGACATGTCCGTCAACGACTTCAACCTCGCCTTCTGCGGCCTCGCGACCGCCGCGGTCGGCCTTGGATATGTTTGCGGTCGTCGGCTCTCGGGCAGCAGGTGCGTGGCTTCAACGCACGCTCCCAGTGCATCATCCCCAGCGCGTTCCCGATCGTACGCTAACCACACCCTCATCCCCCAGAAGCCCCCTCCCAGCCGACTTGCACGCGAAGAAGACGCCGAAAGAGCTGGAGGCTGGCCTCCCGGCTACCGAACCCTCCGTCGGCCAGAAGCGCAAGCGCATGGACCACGACTTTGACGAAGTGAAATCCGTGCGTGGGCTACTCTTCAGGCTAGAAGTATCGATCGGACTGACATGGATTGTCGAACGTTATAGGATCTCGGCTACCCCCACGTGAGCTAGAGGGACTCTGCAGGGACGGGGAACGAGAGCTGATGCGGACATCGCGAAGAACTTGAAGCAGATATACCCCCATAAGCGGATTAGGACGCCGACGCCGCCACCTCAGGTGGTGCCTGAACCGTCGGTTGAGGCTCCCGTCTCCGCTGACGCCGTTTCGGAGCACCAGGAGACCGCCATCGTCGTCGACGCTCAGATTTCCGTACGTTCAGTTCGCGACCAACGATTCTGCGCCCTGTTTACAAGGAGAGCTAGGGAGAGGCGCGGGCCGCGTCTCCGGTGGAGAAGTCTGCATCGCGCGAGCTGGTCTCGCCCGTTGCCCCCGGCCTGCAGGCGCAAGAGGTTGCGCCTCAACTCAGTGCTTCTGTTGACGAGTCTTCTCGTGCTCAGTCACCCTCGGAGGTGCATGCTCACGCTGGAGAAGTGCGTCACTCGACTCCCGTGCCTCGAACGGTATCGCTCATAGCTCCCCAGTCTAAAAGCACGTCTTCTGCGCCAGTTTCCGATACTGTCCAGGCGAACGCGGCTGAGGTTGCGCCTCCGGATGAAAACCCTGCACCTCAGACAGATGCACCTGCATCGCCGGGGCCTGCTGCAGCGGAGAACTCGGGGCAGCAAACGAGGACTACTCAGGAGGGAGAGAACGCGGAAGCTGAGCAGGCCCAGCCGACCGACTCCACTTTGAAGCCCACAACTGTCGAGGCCGGACCCTCGACTCCCCCTTCCGAACCTGCGAACATTGCACCCGCATCCTCTCCCAAGCTCTCCCCCGCCTTCGAGCTTAAGTTGCCCTCTACCCGCCCCAGAACCCCCGAGACTCCTGTGAGTCCTCTTGCTTTACCTTCCGGCTTACTTTGCACCTCTCTCTTCCTCATATCTCGCTTCGTACTAACACAACCACCCCAGAAGCCCGCCTCCTCCCGCGGCCGTGGCTTTGCTGCCTTCGCGGGCTCCGCCTCACCCTTCGCCAAGCTCGCCATGCCTAAGGCTAGCTCGAGCACTGCACCGGCGTGGGCGAGCCCGAATGCGGCGGACTCCAATGGTCCTCCAGCATGGGTAGAGCCCACGTCGAGCGCTTGGGCAGAGAGGAAGACGGGGTCACCGGTCGCAAAGGAGGCGGTGGCACTTGAGCCGCAGGTGTTCACGACACCGGTTGCGCATAGTTGTGAGTTGTCCCTCCGTCGTGATATGTGGATAAGGCTGACTGATATCCGTCAAGACTCGACAGGCGAGGAGGATGAGGATGCCACGCTGGAAATACGCGCCATTCGCTTGTACACCAAGCGCGGGTCGAAGGGCTTTTCTGAGGGTGTCGTCGGCACCATGAAAGTCTTGCGCCACAAGGAGACGCAGAAGCAGCGTTTGCGTGAGCACCTTTTCCATTCCGCGAGGACTGACTGCTAAAGCGGATCCTTATACCGCCAGTCTTTCGCCGCGACCCGCTCTTCCAGGTCGCAATGAACGTTCGGGTGCAGGAGGGCATGCGCTGCACATACGATGCAAAGGACCGCGTAGTCCGCATCGTGACGCGCGAGCCCTCAAGCGAGGGTACGCCTGAGATCGTCATCTACGCTATGAAGGTATGTGCTGAAACTGTCGTGCACGTCGTCGATGAAGCTGACTCCTTGAATAGCCCTCCCGCTCCTGCACGAAGACAAAGTTCATCGAATTCGGGGAGGCTATGACAACCCTCATCGGCGGCTTGTCTGCGGCATGAACAGTTCACTATACGTCTGCGGCTGGACTGCAGAAACGGACGGTCGGATATAAATCATGTATGTATACTTTGACGACCTTCGAAATGCACATGTTTCCCTCGCTCGTGTGCTCCAATACAACCCAACAAACTGAGAGCCCTATCGACGGAGCGTGTCCATGCCGCACAGGGCAATGTCCGCTTAGCAGCATCCCCCCACATACTGCTTGATCCCATTAGGGTAAGAAATGCACTCCCCGTCGTTCGCACCCGCGGAGACCCACTCGCTGCTGCCCGTGCAGGTGTTGGCCTCCGCATAAAGGGCCGCGCCACAGCAGCCCGGGCCGTACGACTTGAGCGAGTACGCGGTTGCGGGGAGGCTGTTGCAGTTGGCGTTCCCGTCGTCGATGCGCGCGAGGACGGGGCCGGAGCAGTCGGTGCTGGCGTAGGCCTCCTGGTAAAAGTCGTCGCGTGGGACGAGCGGGTTGGCGAGGGTGAGGGTGGCGAGGAGAAGAGGGAGGAACGTGGTGAGCTGCATGACTATTGGTGTCTGTGGGGCGGTAAGCATACGAAGGAATCAAAGTCAGGAAGAGTGCATACCGAGGGGGAGAAATGTGAGTAGGAGATGGTGAGTGCTCGGCTCGTCGACAGGGCTGAGCTCTTATATACTGCTCTCATCCGCCTGTACACGGACCGGACTACGCTGCCCCGGTACACTTCGAGTGCCCGCAACCCCAGGAAAGAGTGCGCACTCTGATATAGCATGCGCTTCATGTCGAGGAGGCCCGATGTGCCCAGCATGCTAGTCAATCGCGATCATCGCGCGCTGCCCTGCGTTGTACAGCTTGTCGATCCCACACGCTCTCGGCTGTTCTTCGTGAGCATTTAGGCGAAGCAAAACGAACAGCTGGCCGTACAATGCATCACTCAATGACCCGTTGTAGTACTACAGTTCTTCGACCGACATTCAACCTATCCTTCGACCCTTCGCACACTCAGCAGCACGCCCCCTTCCACTGCTTTATCCCATCCGGATACGAGACGCACTCCCCATTGTTCGCGCCCGCAGAGATCCACTCGCCCCTGCCCGTGCAGGAGTTTGCCTCTGCATAAAGGTAGGCGCCACAGCAACCCGGACCGAACGACTTTAGGGAGTAGACGGTCTCGGGAAAGCTGTTGCAGCTGGCATTTCCGTCGTCGGTGCGCGCAACTACGGGACCAGAGCAGTCGGTGCTGGCGTAGGCCTCCTGATAGAAGTCGTCGCGCGGGACGAGAGGGTTAGCGAAGGTGATAGTGGCGAGTAGGAATATCGGGAGGAAAATGGTGAATTGCATGACTGTTGCCGCCTGTGTGATGTTTAGCATGCAAAGAAAAAATAGAGAGAGAGATCATTACAGCGTGAAGATGGTCGTGAGTGACTGGTGGCCGGTTCTCTCGACGTCCGACCCTTTATACAGCGGTCGCACCTGCGTGAACATAGACCGGAATGCGCTGAACCAGTAAACAGCGAGTGCCCGCAGGCCAGGAAGGCATACAGCACGCGCTGCCCACCCAGAAAGGTTCGGCGCTCACTGCATGCCCTTCGAGCGCATTCTCCAACTCGCTGTCCGGGGTTCTACAGCTTGTCAGACCACACGCTCAGCAGAGGCTTGTGAAGGTTCACCGTGTATCGGATCCTGCGGACCCAGGTCCAGGGAGAATCGACCCCTTCCAAAAGCAGTGCAGATCGGATGTTTCCAACGAGCATTTAGGCGAAGACGGCCGACTGACATTCACGCTCTCAGTGATAATGACACAGCGAACAGCGTGCCACAACATAACTCACCTCAAGCAACACCCACACCGGCACCGCGGATCTGAATGATTTCCGCAGTATATTATAGTAGTGCACCCACGCCACAGAAACGCCGGTGAAGGACGAGTGCGAATGCAGCTTGACGCCAGAGCGATGCGCCTGTCCGCATGCCGCAGACGGAGGGCATGTACAAGACTGACAGGAACAACCTGGAAAATGGTCAGAAGGGAAGAGGAAACGGGAAATCGAAACTCAACACTGGAGGGCGCAGAGGTCCTTCCCCTTCTCCCCCTCACTGCCCGCGGATCGAAGGACCAGTCGAACTCTGCCCAAGATGCTGAGACAGGATTTATATTCTATAGGCTGCCTCCACGAAGGAGATACTACTGCAAGCGTGGGTTACATGTATGATACTAGAGCATGAAATCGTTTATGGGTCCCAACAACAAATCATGTCGCGTCGAAAAACAATCGTGTCGTGTCGTAACAACTCCTAACCCATCCCTTCTACCCTAAACCCATTCATGCTCCCTCCGCCTTCGGCGTCGTAAACGAATGCCCGCCCACGCTGATATCCGACAGCGTCTTGAACGCCTCCTTATACGCATCCAATAACGCCTTCACCCGCGCGCGCTCCGCGACCAGGCTTTCGTCCTCGTTGAGCAGGTCCCCGAACAGCTCGGGCTTGTAAAGCGACGCGACGAGCCGATTCTGCACCTGCTGGCTCGTGTTGTTGACGAGGAAGTGCATGATGGCCTTTGGGACCAGGTCCTGGATACTCTGGCGGACGATGCCAAAGTAGGAGGAGATAAGGGAGCGAATCAGGTTCGTCTCCATCTCCTCGCGCATCGAGAGGTGCTGGTTGTCGTTCGGGATCTGGAGGAGGGCATCAAGTCAACGACGACAAGTAGCACCCAGTACAACGCACCGCCTCGATATGCTTCCCCAAACTCTTCATATCAAACGCCTGCCTATTCGCCAACAAGCCCGAATTAATCGCATTGTCCGGCCCCGTGATATCCCTCCCCGACGGCACAACCGCCTTCGACATCGGCCCCTGCTCCTGCCCGCGCTCCACGCTCGCCCCCGCGACCGGCCCCGGCCCGCTCTGCCCAAAGAAGTACGTGAGGAACGTCTCGCGCGCCGACGGTGGGCTGCTCGACGTCGAGCTCACGCGCTTCGAGTGCGAGCCGTGCTGGTGCTGGTGGTGCTGCTGCCCGCCGCCGACGCTGGGCACGGCGGAGTGCGGCCGCTGCGGTGGGCGCGGGGTGGGGAAGCCGCTGTCGAGGGAGGCGCGGTGGCGGTCGTGCATGGTGGCTGCGGATACTGAGCGTGGTGTGCCGGTGGACGAGGAGTCAGCGCCCTCTTCTGAGGAGTCGTCGCCGTTTTCTGAGCCGCCGAAGCCATTTATTGGCTCGGTGGACTGGGGCTGGGAGAAAGTCAGATTTCATCCTTTCAAGACGAGCCAAGTCACTGACCCGCGGCATCACCCGCGCGCGCTGGGGCGAGGGTTGTTGTTGCTGCTGTTGTGCCGCCTGCGCAGACCCACTCACAAACGCCGGATGGTTCGTATTGATGTACGCTGCTTGTATCGCAATCAAACTGCTCGCATACTCCGACGTCGGGCCTAGGCGTTCACGCAGCAGGTCAGACACGACCTCCACTAGCGCCGAATGCAACCTCGGGAACCGCTCGAGCTCCTGTATCTCCGTCAATGAGCGTTGCCCCGGTTGTTAGAAAATGGAATACGTACGACACTCGTGCAATTATGGCAGATCTTCACCAGTTCCTCGTACACCAGCTCCACACAGCGCAAGCTCGGCGCCTCCAGTAGCTTGATCTGCGGCTTCACCAACAGGTCGAAGGCTACCTCAGGCACGAAGAGACTGGGTCGTGGGCCGGTCGAGTTACGGATGGCCGTACGGATATCCTGATTGTCCAGGTTCGAGTTCGGCTCGATGCTCGAGAGCGCATGCCCGAAGACATCATTGAAGATGTAGTAGATACGCGCGCCACCGGATAGCTCCTTGGTGGAGATGTCAACATTGGTGCCCTCTATTGAGGCGACGAAGTCGCGGGCGAATTGGGTCATGAGGCGCAGGATGAGGGCGCCTTGCTGTAAAGGACATTAGGATGCGCGAGGTGGGCTACAGGCAGGGTACGTACTGAGTTTTTGTCGCCAAAGATGGCAGCATCCCCGAAGGAGTTCAACTCCTGCTGTGCCTGTCCCATAAGCGTGTTCAAGCGCGCCTTCATGTCCGGCAACTTCTCCCTGATGTGGTTGAGGAGGACCTATGAGCGAGGGTGAGGCGTATTCTCTTCATGTTCTTGTGGATCAACGTACCGAGTTGAGCGTCTTCGCCAAATATCTCGTCCCGTTCTTGTGCGCGATATTCCGGTACGCAGGATGTGTGCGGAAAAACTCGTCCTCGGAGTTGAGTGCCTCCTTCATGTCCTTCTGCGAGTTGATATCCTGCTGGCTGCGGTTCACCACGCCGATGAAGCCGAGCTTGAGCGGGTACACGCGACCGGTGAGGATATCCAAGGCGTTCGTCCCCGCGTCCATCAGGTCGAGTTTGGTGAGGATACCGATCGTGCGGCGGCCTTGCGGGTCGACCGTACGCGCGAGTTTGAGGGACTCGGAGTTCGCGAGGTCGACATTAGCGGGCGAGACGGCGAGGATGACGCTGTAGGCGAGATGTAAGGGATGGGCTTTACAGAGGACAATGGCACGCACCTGTTCGGGTTACTGATGTACTCGACCACCAAGTTTCGAATCTGCTTCTCAATGTCGCTCGGCTGGTCGCCTACTGGGATCTAGCATCCTGTCAGCCGCACTGTCCGCACCCATACGCATAGCGCACACACCTTCGTCAAACCCGGCAAGTCCACCAGCGTCAGATCGAGCACATTCGGGCTGTAGATCCTCAGCGAGATGGGCAGCTTGCTGATGCCCTTGTTCTGCCCCGCGACGCGGAACGTCTCCTGCTCAATCTCCTTGCGGATGTCCTCAAAGTCCGTGAAGCGCTTGTCGACGTGCAGGAACTGGCCCCACTCGGTGAACGGTGGCGGGTTGTCCTCGGGAACCGGGGTGTGAATGAGCTGGAGGACCAGCGGTCTTCGCGTGACAATGCCGGACCCGCGCGGCAGGAAGTCCTTTCCGACGATGCTATAGAGGTATATTAGCTCGAGCCGCGCGTCAGACATAGGCACACGCACGTCTCCAGGACACTGGACTTCCCCGCACTCTGGCTTCCAACCTGCAAGTCCTCAGCTACAATTCACGCACTACAAAACCACCTAGCGTACCACCACCAGCTGGGGCATATCCAGTTCCCCTCCTGCATGATGAGTGTCAATCAAAGCTAGCACCAAGGCGAGCTCAACACGCACCCAGGTTGTGGAAGGTGTCCTGGAGCTTGTTAACGAGCTTTATGAGGTCCGAGTCCATCTTGGGCGATGTTCAGCCGCTCGGGCTGGTCGTCGAGAATGAAAGTTAGGAACAAGGAGAGAAATGAATATAATGAACGCGTCGCCGGCAGGGCGCGTCGTCACGGCAAACGGGCAATTCGCTATTTGTCGTCTGTTTGCTTTTGAGGCTTCCGCGCCGGTTGTTCCGAACCATCATCGTCGCCTCGTCGACCTGGATCTCTTCGAACCAATAGAATGCTTATGTACGCAGAAATATTGATTCCTGTCTAGTGGACCATATACGATTCCAGAACATGCAGTAACTATCGTAAAGTTAATCGAGTCGTAACGATACCAGATATCATAAGCGTCCGAGGCGAGCAGGAAGGCGCCGCAAGGCAGAGATAGGTCCGGTGCGCCTGGTGCTCTCCATGCACCGAGCACGAATGGGGCACCGGAGATCCGCCGTCCTTCCCGCTGCCCTCTACTCCCACTAGGGGAGGAGCATCGCATCGCGGTCAAGGAAAGCAGGCAGGGTCGGAGCGCCGAGGCTGTAAATAACGGAGCGCAGCACGAGTCGAGAGGCGAGGGCCATGGGTGGCCGCATCGCGGGGGGCGGAACACGAGCACTGAGAGCCGTGAAGGCCGGAAACGTCGCGGGGCTGACTGAAGTCTGGCCGAGCGACATGCGCACACGCCTACAAACTAGGGCGCGGTCGCGGCGACCGGAGGCGGCGCGGGGGGCTCGAGGGCGGGCTCCTCCGCGGGCGCGGCGGCGTCGTCGCTCTTGTCCTTGACGCTGACGGCAACCCACTTCTCCTTGGGCTCCTGCGCGGCCTGCTTCTTGTCCGTCTCTTCCTCAGACGTCGCGCTCTCTTCCGTATCCGCGTCGATGCCGGTCGTGTTCTCCGAGTCGGACGAGCTCGACGAGGACGACTCAGAGGACGGCTCGGCAGGCTTCTCAGCCGGCGCGGCCGCGACGGTGGTCTCAGTCTTAGGTGCCTCAGAAGTAGAGACCTTCTTGGACTTGCGGCGCTCACGGCGCTCGACCTTTTCTTTCTCCGCCTTCTCCTTCTCAAGCTTCTCCTTCTCGGCTTGCTGGGACGATCGTCAGTTATGTTCGTGATGAACATTTGCGCCGACTCACCTCCTTCTCCTTGGCTGCTTTCTCCTCCTGCTACGAGGCACGACGTCAGCAACTGGCTGGCTGAGGTACGAATCCGAAATCCCAGTCACACCACGAGCTCACCTCCTTCTTCTTGAGCTCGTCCGCCTCCTCCTTGTCCTTCTTCGCCTTCGCCTCCTTGGCGTCGCGCTGCGCAATCATCAGCACGCAGCCCAGCAAGGCCCAAATGCATCACTCACCTCCGCCTTCTCCTTCTCAGCCTTGATCTTCTCACGCGTCTCGCGCTCCGAGATGACCCACGCGCCGACCTCGTCCACGCACTCCCGAGGGCGTGTCTTGTTCTTCAGGAGGTACCCCTGCAGCGCCGCAACACTGAGCTCGTCCTCCGGGATCGCATCCGCGAAGCGCTTCGCAAGGTCCGAGATTTCCTCCTCGCTCAGCATGGGCGCCGCCTGCGCGCGGCGCTTCGAGCCCGGCAGGTTCTTCTGCGACGTGTCCTTCTCCCTGAGGTCCGCGCTCGATGCGGCCGGAGAAGCCGCGGGGCGCGCGGCGGGGAAGAAGCACTTGAAGATGCCCTCCGCCTGCCACTTGGTCGCGTTCGTGAAGTTCACCCAGACGTCCATGCGGCCGGGGCGGCTGAGTGCGGGATCCAAGCGCTCGATGTGGTTCGTGGTCGCGAAGAGGAGACTGAGGGGTGTGAGAAGGGGGCGGACAATGTGCTTATGAGAACTCACCGGCCCTCTGCCGCAGCAACGCCATCGAGACTGTTCAGCAGACCGCTCAGGCTGAGCGTGGAACCGTCGTTGTTGTCGTTGTTGTTGTTAGCATCCTTCGAGGTGCTGACGGTCGCGGTGGTGGTAGTCGGGACACCCGTCGAGTTGGCGTCACGAGAGATACCGCGCGTGAACGCGGCATCAAGATCCTCGAGCAGGAGGATGCACCTGCACGCCACAAAATCAGAGGGTGTTGGCAAGCATAAACAAGCAGAGACTTACCTAGACGGGACATGGCCCATCAGCGTCGTGAGAGTGTTGTCGCTCATGCTGTTGAAAGCGCCGGTGTATCAGCGGTCGGTACCGTCTAACGGTGATATTGACCCACCCCTTCGACGATAACGACACGACGTAAATGTCGAGCCCGAGCTCGCCGGCGAGCGAATGAATGAGCGACGTCTTGCCACTAAACAAAGCAAGTTCGTCAGCCCACGCCCCTTGACGAGATCAATGAAGCGCAGACGCACCTCCCAGGTACACCATGCAGCAGGTACCCTAAATTACAAGAACCAGATGAGCATGGAAGCCGTTGAATAGCCCGCGGCGCAACTGACCTCGCCTGAAGGGAATCCCTGCACAGGTTTGTTAAGCGAATACGTTGGCAGGAAATGCAAAAACGCCGACGTACCACGTTCGGCGTACCACTCCTCAGAGGCGAGGAAGTCCTTGCAGTCAGCGAGGAGCATGTCCTTGACGCCGGGCTGGAGGACGATGGAGCTCATGGGCCGCTTCTGGCGCGCGCCGTTCCAGCGCCAGCAACCATAGGACCTGTCGAGAACGCGGTCACGCGCGGGCCGACATGCCAATGATCCGGGTCACGTACGTGTCCGCCATGAATATATGCACGCGGTGCTCGGCGTCTTTCTCGTATTCCCGTTTGGCCTCCAGCACGAGCTTCTTGAGAATGTCATTGTTGCGGGCAACGACACTAACAGCGAACGCGACGTAAGCGAGGGACGAGGCGTGCGGAGCGGATGCGGCGTTACCTAATCTTCAGCGCCTCGCCACCGTAGTCCGCATAGCGCTTGGTGCGCGTAATCTGGGGCTAGTGAGTCAAGGAGTTGCATTGCAGTGGCGGGGGGACGTACCCGGAGCCAGTGGCCGCGGTAGTAGATGGTGTGCGTCGTGTCTGAGGAGGGGGTGGAGGTCAGCGGTCGTTGGGTCCGTCGTCGAGCAGTACCACTTCTCACCCAGGGAGGGCATGAACGCGACCTTGCGCTTACGCCTTCCGTGCACGAGCTCATCATCGTCTTCCCCCTCTTCGTCCTCCAGGTCGCCCGTCGTGGCCTGCGTCAGGCTGCTGCGGCCTCCGGAGCGCGTGGTGATGTCGAACTCACGGCTGCGGCCCCAGGCAGGTTGCTGTGTTCGACGCGTCAAGCGCGCGCCACAGTGATCGGGAGCGGGTCAGCGCACCTTGGACAGCCAGTGCATGAGCCTACGGTGCGTGTCAGTGGCGACAGGGCATGAAAGGAATGGCGGTGGCGCACCAATCATAGGGGTAGTCCTCCTGGCTGAAGTGCGCGGTGAGGAAGAACGCTGCGGCAAGGATGGTGAGCACTCGGCTGCGGGCGGGAGCGGTGCGGCGCCGACTTACAGTCGACGAACCCGTTCCAGGCGGAGACCGACGCGCGCCGCGCCGTCTCTACGGTGCCTCCGATGACGACGAGTTTCTGGGACGGTGTCAGACGACGCTCGCGGCGGTGAGCTGGCGACGCACAAGAGTGTCCTGAATCCCATTGCCGCTAGAGCCCAGGACCGGGGAGAGGATATTCTTCAGGGCGTCCATGATGACCGGTAGTCACTGGGTTGTCAGTGAGAAAGAGGCAGAGCCGGGGGGTCGCGCAGTGGGCCGAGCTTTATATTGAGTTCTAGGATCAACCTCGTGTATGAATGAGGCCTATTGACAGGTGCTTGTCATTGGTCAATAAGTCCGGCCTTTATTCAATTCCTTTCCCCGTATAAGCCCTTCCTCCGACCGTCACTGTGATGGCGCGCGCCGTGAGTCGCGTCCGAAGCCTGCGGCTAAGCTCATATAGCGCCTCTGCGACGCCAGCCTGCCCGTGCGGCTGCTGCACGAAGGTAAGGACTAGGGAAAGCGACCGGCTCGTTACATCTCCTTACGTTGGAAGCCTTGCGAGCCTCCAGACCTTTCCAAGACCTTCATTTCAGGAAATACGTACGCGACGCGGGAATTGATCGTGGCGCGGTGCCAACCCCCGAGTTTGCAATTGTTTTACGGGTTCTGTGCGCACACGTGGGCGCTTTGTTGTCAACAGTCACGACGACGCGGGACGCCTCTTCTGGCGCTGCCTTTCACCCCTCTGACTCTACCGCTGCAGTGTCCTTTCAGGTGCTCGTAGGCGCCCAAAGGCCGCAAGGAGAACATGAGAACAAACCAGGCGCGCAAAGGGCGCAGATCCTTTTACCAGGACCGCGCGCGGAGTTCGAAGCTCGTCGTCGTCTCTTGTCTGAATCGCACACGTGCTGGTTCTGTCTGCCCGGCGCAGGAACCTGTCCCAAGGTCTCGGCAGAGTTTGATGCTTGCATCATCGACTTTGCAGGGTCCAAACTCTGTACAGAAGTAGCCGTACAATATTTCTGGCGCCGTTCCTCGTGTTCTGCCTTGCTCATATTCATGTTCAGTGACTCAGCGGGCGTCGAAATACTTCCTCAAAGACAGCACGAAAAAGACGCGCAGTTCAGCGACGTCGGGCAGGGGTCGGCTATGTCGGGATCGGGAGTAAAAATCGGAAATGCGTTCAGGCTTGCGTCGCATAAGATTCATCTCGCAAACCCACGCGCCCGATAAGCGCCCCTGCAGAGTCGCAGCAGACGACGCCATGCCCCTGTGCAGCAGCGGCCCGCTCCCCACCCCCCGCTGCAGCGTCCACAAGGCCGCCCACGTAACAACACCGCACGCGCGCACGTAAAGCCCGAAAACTGCAGGCAGCGCAAGGAAATGGGATGTGCCGCCCTTGGTCATAAGGACTGTTGAACGGCCGAAAGACCAGCAGCGGCTGGGACGGGTGGGCAGGGGGCGCCGCCGTGCTGCGCTGGCGTGTACGTTTGCGCCACGGTCGGCGAGATAGACTGATCGGACGAGAATAATGGTCGACGGTGCCCCATGGGTCAGCGTCGTCTCAAGACCGCTGCGGGCCATGCGCCGCGATGCCGCGCGAGGGCCGGCAACCGCCTAGAGACGGCCCGCCCGACGCCCAGAACAGACTGCGTGGTCGTCGAACAGATTCAGTGCGGAAGAGAGAATAGACGGATGATGACGACGGCAGAGTACATGGTGAGCCGAGAGTGCGGAGACCGTCGCGCATGCAGGCCTCTCAATACACAGCCCACAGCAGTGTCAATGCACGGATCGTCGCAGAGAGCGTAGGCGCGGGAGTGGGGAGGACAAGAGAATCCATTTCGCGTGCCTTGGCGCTAGCTAGAGCCGAGTGAGGGGGATTCGCTGAGTGAGATGGTAGGGGTAGTGGGCGCCTAGTGGGTGTGCGTAGTAAGCGAGATAGACCCCGAGTATCGAGCCAGAGACAGTCATCGTAAAGGAACATGCGGGTGCAGCATCGCCTCCAGCGCCGCGGTCGTCGAAAGCAGCGACGCACATCGATCCCAACCTGATTGAAACTCGCGCCCGACAGGTGCCCATCCGCTGTTCCCCGCCCGCGGATCTCGGGAGCACAACAGCGCCCCGCGTAAAATATCGCAGCAGATGAGGCATCGCACCCAGATATCGACAGCCATTGAGTCAGTCAAGATGAGGATCGAGTCAAGAGCCAAGGCGGAAATCAAAGCCTTCCATATTGGGACAAGGTATCAGTCCACGTGCGACGCCACGGCACTGCCCGGTGCCCCGTCGAAATCTCCCTCGAAATGTAGGGCGCATTTTCCAGGTCCGCGCGACTGCGAAGTACCCCGTACTTGGTCGGTTTCTACTGCTGCACGGAAGCGTCGCCACGTACTAATGCCACGTATACTTTGAGGGGAAAGAAACAATGCAAGGAATCTATTAGCGAAGCACCCCCGGCTTCGCTTCCAGGCGCATTGTCCATGTCATCGGGGTCTTTTAGATCAATGGTGGGCGAAGTCTGTCCGAGAAAGAAGAAGCACTTGTGATCACAATTCGCGGGGGTTGATAGTGACCATACAACGAGTAAGAGAGCTCCCCGATGCGCACCGAGGGGAAGGTACGCGCTCGCGGTCTCGACGCGGGATTTCCCAGTGAATATCATGTTTCCTGTCAGCCTTCTTCCCTAAAAAGAACTGTACTAGGGATCAGGAGATAGTCCCGTGCAGTATCGTGGTACCGAGAGCCGCTGCGGTCCCTCAGAAACACACCTGGGAAGGGAATACGAACGCATACCAATACATTGGCCTTGGATGAGCATCCAGTGAATCGAGAAGAGTCCTGAACCGCAGCGGAGGTCATATTAAATATACTGACATAGAAACCTTACACGTACGAGCACTATCCCCCCAGACGGCCCAAGATGAAAATATGAGTAGAGCACGACGGGTATTTGAAGATCGCGCTCGGAGACGTAAATTCCACGATTCAAGACACAGAAATCCACAATAGATCGGTGGAGGACGGGGAAACCCTACGAGTAGTCACTTCATCTGGAGTCATGGACTCGTGAAGGACGGCAGAGGTGCGTATAACGCGTCCGAAAGGCGGGAGTAGGTAAGCCGTAACCGGCGCTCGCCGCGCCTGGACAGCCTCAGATATCGTTGTTGCATATTACCGTCGGCGAGAAGGAGCAACACGTCAACAGAAGATAGCACATATCAGACAGAAGCCGATGCGAGCTTCCAGAACAAAAAGTGGGACGAAGGAAAAGCGCGGGATGAAGGCAAGACAGACATGATAAGCAGAATGTCAAAAAGAGATATGAAGCCGGCGACTCATGGGCCTGAAGACGACGCGTGCATCCACGAACCATCCGCAAGAGGTAGATATGAGGGCACGGCTGCACAAATACGTGTTCGGGGGCATAGCCGATCCATCGTGCCGCGAAGGCAAGAGCGTAAGAGCGGTCAGCCGCGAAGACTTCATAGAAGGCCGAGAAAATGAAGATGCCCCAAGGAGCTGAAAACATGAAGGCGCAGCGTGGGGTGGCGGCTGTCTGAGGTCAAATGTCTCCAAACGCAGCAGTTAGTGGGCGTCGAATAAACATAAAGCACAGACATGTTGTGAACGAGGGCCTGCGGCAGAGGCATGGCGGCGTTGACAGCGCGAGTGTGAAACCGATTCAAGAAGGCTTTTGAGTTAGCAGCAGAGGGTAGAAGCAGGAGCGCCCACGGTGAAGACCGAACTCTGTTCTGTATGGTGGGCAGAGGGCACGGCTGAGCGTTGAACGCGGTATGCATGAGTATGGCGATCTAAGAAAGCGACGGACATAGTCCTGACGCGACAGGAAAGGATTGCCACCGAGTCTGAGAGCGATATTATATAGAAGCCATGTGCTGCGTTGTTACAGTCTTCCAGCGCAGCCAAGGTTCGCACCAGCCAATAAGATGAAAGAAAAGGGTCACCCACACCCAGCAGATGGATCACGAGCCAGGTTACGAAAGGACGGAGGGCAAGACGAGAAGCTGGAGGCGAAGGTGCGCGAGTGACCGTGATGGTTAAGTTCAACCCGCGTGGTACTGACAACTTGACATCACGATCAAACATACACACAGCCACAAACAACGCCAAACACTGACCCACAAGCCGCCCCTGTCCATTGCGGTGTCCTCCGTTCAACCACCTCGCGGGCGTCGCGTATCCTTTTCTGGCGCTTTTGTGGGCGCCAACCGTTTCTTACCGCTGATTACGTTCGCAAAGGACGTCATGCGTGCTCTAGCGTGCTCGTCTCAACTGACGCAGATTTGGGCGCTGACCCGAGTCTCAATCAAAAATACCCTTTCCGCAAGCGTGTCGAGCTTTGGTCTTTTTTGCCTCTTGCCACCACTCTCGCCACGCTCTCGTTCTAGCTGCAATGTCCTCGTCGCCCATCGAATCATCTCTCCTGGCCCGCTTGCGAGACCTGTACCCCGCTGATGCAGATGATAAGACCTGGGCACTCGTCGCTGCATGCGCTTTCAGCGCAGCGAATCTCCCAGACGCAGTCCCACAGGTTTTCTCGTCCGCCGTCGAAGGTGAGTCGAGCCACGACAAGCGTCTTGCCTTCGCGCGCAAATTGCGCGACGCGCTCTTCAAGACAGGCATGCTCTGTGGCTACCCCAAGGTGCGCAACCTAGCTTTTAAGTCTAGATCATCATCCGGAGTTACTTTTGCAGGGTATCAACGCTCTTGCGAAATTGCATGCTTCAATGCCAGCCGACTTGCATGATAGAGAACCCTTGAGGTACCTCTTACCTGCAATTCACCAGTGGCTAGCACTGACACCTAGCAACACAGAAACCTTTCGACTACCAGTGAGGAATGGCAGAGCATCGGCGAAGACCTCTTTGCGCAAACTTACGGCGAGAAGACCGCCGACGTCCGCAAACTTTTGTACGACATCTATCCTGACCTCGGTGCGTCACCCTTTCGTCGGTCTCGCTCTCATAACCTCTGACTTACTGCAGGTCATTTCTGCATGAACCCCGCCTACGGCTTCGTCTACGGTGGTGGCGGAGTGCTGACGTCCGCCGAAATGTCCTTCACCTTCGTTGCTGCTCTTATTGCGTCGGACGTCCCGACGCAGATTGATTGGCATCTGCAGGGGGCGCGACGGCACGGGGCAAGTATCGAGCAGGTGCGCGCCGTGCGCGAGATCGCCATAGAAGCCGCACGCGCTGCTGGAGTGTCTTGGAAGACCCCGGTGCCAGAGGTCTCAGATTGAGGCGTACACATTCAACACACCTTATCATTGCCCGTCTCTCTCATCCTTCGCAATCAAAGTCCCCGTAACGATGATCCAAGAGCATGACGATAATGAGGCATAAATGACAAAACGAGAAAGGTCGATACAAAGCACACTAGGGACACTAGAGTATAGGCAAGAGAAGATCTATCATACAATCGGAGCATTATCGTGCTCAACGCAGAGCCTGCGCTCCCGCCGAGGTCATCAAGGTATACGCATGAGATGGCGAGCACTGCGCTCACCCCCTCCCTCTACGGCTGCGAGGGCGGGCTCCGTTAGGATGTGAGAGCCTACTAGGACCCAGGACCTGGAAGCCCTCGCCTTCCTGGGCGTATCTCGCCCCGCCGACGACATGCACTGTCCCGGTAGCTAAGCAGAGCTACTCATCGTCCAGGTGTTCCACTCCGCTTGGGAGTGTTGCTCCTGCCCGGCGTCGTCCCCCGCCTAGGCGTCCCCGGCACCTGCCGCTTGGGCGTTGGCGGCACCACCCCCGCCGTCAGCCTCCGCTCGCCGCCGGCCCCTCGCTCGTCCAGCTCCCTCAATTCCCTCGCCGCGCTCATCGCCGCCTGGCCCTGTCTCGCTTGTGGCCGCTGCGCATCGACACGGAAGAGCGCGCGCAACAACGTCTGTGCGTCCGGCGCGGCTGCTGTCGGGCGCGCGTACGCGTTGAGCACCTCCGCACTGCCGCCGCCTGCGACGTACGGCGCGCCACCCGAGGCGATGAGCCGCCCACGGAGTTGTGCGAAGCGCGCGTCGAGCGCGTCGGAGGCCAGGCGGACGAGCGTGCGCGCGCTATGTGCGAAGTCGCGCAACTGGTCTGCGTTGAACTTGAACTGGTCGAAGCGTTGACGACGCTTCTGAGCAAGTGTCGGGCCGCTCGTGGTGGCTTCGCGGGCAATAGCGACGTGTCGACGGGTGGTCTCGTCGGGGATGAGGTGCTCCTGGGGAAAGTAGGATTCTGGGAGCTCTGGGTCATCGGCTCGCTGTTTCCCCCTCGCCTTCGTGGACAGGTCCGCCTGCTTCTCCTTCTCCAGCTTGGCGCGTTCCTTCTTGATGAACTCGTCATAGGTGTAACGGCATTGATTCCATTCTTCGTACCGTGCTTCGGCTCTACATGCATGTTAGGTGATCATTCCAATCCGATAAACTTCGTCACACACTCTGCGTTTCTCTGCGTGTACGTCGCATCCCACTGAGCATTCGTCACGTTGAACTTATTGGGCTTCATCGTGGCGCTGTCGTTGGAGGAGTCGGTGTGATAGGTTGGAAGGTGGATCTTCTTGTCGTGCAACATTCCGATAAAGGCTTCTTGGGCATGGGCATATAGTTGTCGTGCGGTAGGAGTGAGAGTGGGACTGGTCTCGGTGTCGGACGCGCCGCGATCTGCGTGCCAGATGAGAAGCTGGCGTAATCGCTCAGGCTCGGGCTGGTCGTGGTCGATATGCTTGTGAAAGCTAGCGCCAGACACAGACTCATGGGGAGTGGCTGAAAGCACGGGTCAGAACTTGCATCGTGGGGGTGCTACAGAAACGCACGTATTACGCCCGTACTGGCATAGATATCGCTGACCCGTTTCCCTCGCGAGCTGAGGGAACTTCGCCGTCGCCCTGTCGTTGGCGTTCGCGCGTCTCCTCGCCCTCGCGCGTCCTCGCCGCGCAGTGCACGATTCCGCTCGATGGTTGGCGACTCTGCATCGTGTACGGGGATCACTCCTGACCGCCGTCGCTGGTGTTTCTGCGTGGTTGCGGGAGTGGTGGTCGTTGAAAAGCTGCGAGATGATCGTCGTAGCTCGTCCGCCTCCGTCGTCATGGCCTGCGCGTCTTCGTCCAGCTCGGGGGACGAGCGCGTCGGTATACAGGGCCCCTGCCCATCGGGGTCGCGTGATCGTGGATTTGGTACGTCCAGACGCGACGGGGTGGTGGGCGGAACCGAACCTGTCTTCTTCCTCTTCGCAGGGGGCGGGGGCTCGCCGGTGCCGTTCGTGGTGGCGGATGGTTGAACGGATGGCGGGCGTGAAGGCGGTTGAACGCTCGGCCCTCGGGCAATGATGAAGCCACCGGGTTGCTCCTCGCCATTGAACACTGCGTGAATGAGTAGATGGTCAACTTGGAGACAACATGCACGCACACTTCCGTTTCCCAGACTTGCTCCCCTGCTATAGCGTGTCAAATGAGGGGGGATGTGCGCTCTCGCTGATGACCACGCACCGGATCTTTCTTCGCCTTCTTGGTAGACTGCATGAGCGTGTTGGGATCCTCAGCGGCCTTTCGTTTGGTGACTGGGCCGGGCGCGGCAGGGGTCATCTGAGATATCGCTGTGACCAATATGGGTCTGAGCACGGCGGTCATAGATCTCCTTGGGGGGTGCCGCGCGGCGGGACGTGAAAGACGGCGAGCTCGACGCGCGCGACGACGAAGTTCAGGTTAAGACGCGGGTACGCGATTTTTCTCACGGTTTAATCAACAAAGAGCCGTCGCCATTGTTCTTGCCACCGACGTTCATGCCATTGTTCTGCTGCTCGTAATCACCTCAAGCAGACGTAGGGGATGGCACGGGCGTCGACAGCAGACCACAAGCACGACGCGATACCGGTCGTCGAGTTCATCAAGGTCGACGAGGACGAGACGACCAAACCAGTCGGCGTCAGCGACAAGAACGCTCGCACCTATGGTTGTGCGTGTGCAAACATCGAGAGGGAGGGAATGTACTGACTGGATCCCTCCAGACAATGACCTGACCCCGTTCGTTCGCCCGGAGCACTACATCCGGCACATTGAACCCCTGGAGGCAGACCTCGCGCGGCAGGTCGAATATGACATGGACGAGCAAGGTGCGTGGCTGCGAAGTGGCAGGGGGACAAAGCTAACGCACCTGCAGACCAAGAATTTTTGGACGCGGTGAACGCGGAGCGCAAGAAGGAGCAACTCGATCGCGCCAGCTACGAGCTCTTCGAGATCATCATTGACCGCCTGGAGAAGGAGTGGTTTGACCTGGTGCGTCGTCAGTGGCATGGATGTAGCAGACATTCATCCCCCTACTAGACCAAGAATATCCCCAAGCCGGACTTTGCACTCCCCTCTGAAGACTCAACATGCGCGATCTGCGACGACAGTGAAGGAGAGAACACAAACGCCATCGTCTTCTGCGATGGATGCAACCTTGCAGTCCACCAAGGTGCGTAGTGATGCATCCAGGTCGCCTGCTACCTCTACGCATGTCGCCGTCGAGCCTACCAATCTGGACGCGTTGGCCCATCTTCACAGGCCGTTCTTCCGTGTTGAATCGTTGATTGCATCAAGCGAGCGCACATTATGTTCTCCCCTGGTATGCACGCGAAGGAAGTGCTCATCAAGTTCCAGAATGCTACGGCGTCCCCTATATCCCTGAAGGCCAGTGGCTTTGTCGAAAGTGTACTGTCAGCCCGGAGAACCCAGTGGTACGCACCTCCCCCTCCCCTCCTCTGAACGTGGACTAACATTGCGTTAAGTCCTGCGTGCTCTGCCCTAATGAGGGTGGCGCGTTTAAACAGACCGTCAACGGGGATTGGATTCACTTGCTCTGCGCCATGTGGATCCCCGAGACCCAAGTCGTCAATGAGACAGTCATGGAGCCCATAGCAAACCTCGACCGCGTTAACAAAGCCCGGTATAGGCTGGTTCGTGTGCTTTGCCTCTGCCGCTGTTACCCCGCTCATGAGATCCTCCATAGAAATGCAGTATTTGCAAGAGGCAAGACTCAGGCGCGTGTATACAGTGCAACAAGCCCAGTTGCGTGGTCGCTTTCCATGTAACATGCGCCCGGAAGTACGTACCCTCTTCTGTCTGTACATCACTCGTCTGACGATCATAGGGAAAAACTTATGATGCCGATGAAGGGGCCCCAAGGGACGCCTGCTCCGCCCTTGGTCGCTTACTGTGAACGGCATCTTCCTCCAGACCAGGCCGCTGCTCGAGAGGCTTCGCTCGAAGCGGAGGCCGAAGAGGAAGAGGAAGAGGAGGGTGGCGTCGGTGCGTCCTAGTATCAAACGTAGATGTGACACTCCCTGACCGTCTCGTAGCTCACACGAAATCCAAATCTGCCCGCGCGTACGCGAAGACGTACAGGCCACCTATTCCTCTTGTTCCTGCCATCGTCGTCGACCGTGTCCTTGCCTACACTGGGAAGATCCAACTCCGCAAGAAGCCTGAGTTTGTGAGCTTGATATGCAGGTACTGGTCGCTCAAGCGCGAGGCACGTCGTGGCGCCCCTCTGCTCAAGCGGCTCCACCTCGAGCCTTGGACTGCAAGCAATGCCGGGCAAGCCCAGACCGAGGAGGAGCGTGTCGCCAAGCTCGAGCAGCTCACTGCGCTCAAGGGCGATCTGGAGAAGGTTCGCGAGCTGGCAGCTCTCACATGCAAGCGCGAGGCGCGCAAGTTGCACCAGGCGTCTGCCCTTCGAGAGCTTCTTGCTGCGGCTTTGTTTTACAACGAGGGTCCGCTACGCGTCGCTTTCGAGAAGGTTACGAGGCAAGCCAAAAGATATTGTCTGCAAGAATACAACGAAACTGATCCATCTTCCAGTCACGATAAGCAGAACTACTTCCGCTTCCCGGTAACCAAGCAGGAGGCGCCCGACTACTTTGACGTCGTAGCAAGGCCCATGAGCTGGAGTGTCATTGAGGAGAAACTCAACAAGCACGAGTACTGGGATGTGGGGTCTTTCAAGGCACGTCTGATCTTGTTGCACGCTACCACGCAGCTTACGGTTGCCCAGGAGGATGTCAATCTCGTCTTGAGCAATGCGCTGCTGTACAACAAGTCCGCGACACCGTTTTACAAGGCTGCACACCGAATCAAGGCGCATATGGAGAACATATGGCAAGAGATGGATGCTGCTCTCGGCAAGGAGATGAAGGCCGCGTCCGAAACCCCTACTGAGGTCGATCAAGTGCAGCTACCCGCAGCTGAGGACGTCAAGCAGGACCTGAAGCTGCCCCCAACTCAGAACGTCGGCGACCTGGAGCCAGCTTTGTGGGCGCTCTCCCTCCTTGCATCTCGCGACGTCATACAGCCCACTTGCGAGTATGTCATTGACGAGGATCCGCTCTCCTCACTACTAGCGTACGAAGCTGGCAAGCTCGTGCCTCCGCCACCTCCACCGCCTCGCGAACCGACGCCGCCGCCTAGCTCACCGCCTCGTCGGCCGTCACCTCCATCCCGTGCGCCGTCGAAGAAGAGCAAGAAAGCCGCAAAGGCCGAAACCGAGCGCGACAACAGACGCAGGCGGCAGCGCGCAGAGGAACACGAGGCGAGGGAGAGGCAGCTCACCGAAGAAGCTGAGAAACAGGCGCAGTTCGAAGAGGAGATGGCGCGGGAGGCGCGCGAGCGGCGAAGTCGCAGTTCTACGAGTACGCCTCGCATACCTCCGTTCGTTCCGGTTGGACAGCGCGAGGCAGAGGCGTACAGGGCACCTGTTACTGCTGTGTATGCAGATGTGGCGCCGCGGACAAGACGAGCGTCGGCTCAGGAGGCGACCTTCATGAGCGAGGCGATGGCTACGCAGACTCCTGGCGCCGGACCCAGTACGACGGAGGTACAGGAGAAACCTGCTTCCAAAGAGCGTCCGAGAAAACGACGCCGGACGACGACGCCGGTGCAGGAGGTGGAGCGCTTCGAATGGCCGGTACTGCCTGCAGTCAAAGAGGACATCGACAAGAAGGACACGTTCAAGTACTTCAATGTGAGTTACATTGATATCCTTCAGAGATGTTTTTCTCACGCTCTTTTCGCCAGGCTGGGTGGATGTTACCTCCTGGTACGAAGCGTGGCAACCGTGGCTCATTGGATCGCCCTCCGCCGCCACCTCCACCCCCCAAGAAGCGTAGACCCAGTCATTTGAAGTCCGGCCTGTCGATCTCCAGTACGGCCGCTTCGGACAATCAGACCCTGCCTACTCCAAGTCGCTCGCGAGCGAAGAAGAGAGGACGTCAGTCGCGCGCAACCGGCTCTCGATCCCGCCGAGGCCGTCGAGCACCCCAGGAGGAGGCAATGGATGTGGAGGATGAAGAGGAACCCGATAACACTGCCGCTGACCAAATGGACAACGAGGTACCCCCATCTGAGGAAGATGATCCACGCACAGAGGAACCTTTGTCATTTGCCGGCGAGCGGATGCAAGAGGATGAGAACGACGAGGACGAAGAAGAACGTGAAGCGCGAGAGCAGCTTGCTCCATCCTCGGATCCAGCCACCAACCAAGAACAGTCAGAGCCCGAGGAGGAGGGAACGGACCTACAACAAGCATATCAATTCGCTGAACTTTCGTCATCTCCCCAGCGCTCGCCACGGCGGTCACAACGAGCGCGGAATGCGCCGGTTCCGTCTGCGGGACCTACATCGCCGTTACAAGGCTTGCCACCTGTCCCACCTCCAACAGACGTGGTGCCTCAAGCACCGACTCCCCCGAAGTGGCCGTCGCCTGCGCCGTATGCGAGAGGATCCACGTCAAAGTGGGACGCTTCCCAAGATCCTGGCTGGGCTGCAACTGCAGGGGCGTACACAGGACGGTCTCACTCTCGACCTGCTGCTCCCGAGCCCGAGCAGTCGCAGCACTCGTATGCTTCCCCTCAACGCGAGCAACCATATGCCGCCCGCCGTGGACGCTCTCAGCATGTCAACTACCATGACGAACGCGCTGGGTGGCATGCTACATCGGCGTCTTATGCCTCCCGTGGTCCACAGACATACGGCCCGTACGCTCAGCAGGCCTCAACCCAGCCTGGCGCAGAATCGTCCTATTGGACCGCAGCTCGGGGCGAATATACTTCCTACCCTTCATCTGCGCCCGCGGACTACGCTGCTTCACGTCCTTCGGCAGAGCAGTATACTAGCACGAGCACCGATTATCCATCATATCCCTCGCAGTACCAAGGATATCAGGCTCACGAGCCGAGTGCATACGAGGGGTCTTGGCCATCGTCGCCGCAGGAGCGTCCGTCTCAAAGGCCTTTTTCGCATCCTTCGGTGCCGACTCGGAATTTGGAAAGGCTTGTGGCCGCTGCAACATCACAGTCTGCTCCTCCCGGCGAGGATTCATTCGGTGGCGCACTCGAGCTGCTGGCTGCACTCGCGCCGTCTCCACAAGCACCTTTCAGCGCGCCTTCGCCGCAGTCATTCGCAGCTCCCTCCCCACAGGCCACACAGGAGTTACCTCCTTTCACCAGGTCGAGTCAGACGTGGCGGTCACAGTCCGTCAGTCAGTCAACGAGCCCACAGCAACTCGAGCCCTCGGAAGACTATTGGTCACCACAACCGATTCAGGTTCCCAGGGTTCCGTATAGCGTCTCGCGCGCTCAGTGGGACTCGGTCGAGCCGACTCCTATTTCGTCGTCTGCTGCCACATCGCCGGGTGCGCACTGGGGTCAACCGAGCTCTTATGCCCCATCAAGTGGACCGGAACAGTGGGTCCCGCCCGAACAGGCGCAGACTGAGGCACAGTGTGGCGAACACACTTTTCCAGCAGGGCAATACCCTGAGCCTGCTTTGGCGGGGCCTCAGTATGCTCCTACTACGCCGTCAGCGACGCAGCACACGCACCCTGCTCCTTCGGCCTCCCAATTCCCTCACTCTCCTATCACAAGCTCTCAGATCTCTATCTCGCCGGACTTTGATCTCGACCAACTCAGGACAGCCCAAACCCAAGTCAATCGCTCTGTATCGCAAGACCTTCAGTACGCTCAGCATCCATCCATTGAGTCGCAATACGCGCAAGGCATGACAGGGGATATGCAATACAGTGGGCCGCCGTCATATGTCCCCCAGTACGGCCCACCAAACGTTGAGGAGTGGCAGGCGCGCGCTGCCTCGAACATGCCCTCGACAGGGCCTGTCTCGTCGATTCCCTCTGACATGATTGACCCGTATGCCCCGCCTGCAACGACAGAACAACCATCCGCGATCACGTCTTCGGAGTCTTCAGCCCAGAATGTCGTGCACTCCTTGCATGTCGATCCCGAGGCGGAACAACCCACTTCGGGAGCGAACTCGCATGCAGCTCCTGCTCAGGCATCCCAGCCCACCGCTACCATCCAAGAAGTCTCCGAGGAAACCTCTCAAGTCCTCGAACCAGCACAATCTCAGACCGCTACGTCTGCGCCGATTGCTTCGCAGACGGATGCGGAAGATGCAAGCTCAGACGTGGCTCAAACACTCGCTGGACATGTCGGCGCTTCTGCACCTGCTACAGCTCATGATGAATCTGCGATAGGCGCCCTGCTTGGTACGTATCTTTTCCGTCCGAATTGAAACACATCATCTGAGAGTACCACTTCCTCAGGTCTATCTGAAGATCCATCCTTGCGTCTGAATAGACACCACAGAGAGGTGGAGAAGTACAATGAAGAGCATCCGCAATTGCCTGTCCCCGTGCCGGGCTTTGACGACCACGTACGAGGTCGGCCAGTCGCTACGGGCACCGACAAGCCGCACAGTCGGCCCTCGACACCTGTGCACGAAGAGGCAGATGCGGCTACAGGTACAAACGACCATCCAGCGAAGCCAGTCGCTCACGAAGCTGAAGCTGATACCGCCGATATCGAAGAACACGCCGAGCAAGCAGAGGCGGATGCGGATGCGGATGCGGACGTGGACGCCGAGCCAGACGTCGATGCGGCAGCGAAGCAAGAGGGCTCTGAAGCTGACGCGCCGCACGAAGAGGAGGCGATCAATGAGGCCCAAGAGTCCGACACCCCTGCCGAACCCGCCTCAGCACCTAGGAAGAGTCGATTGAGCAGAGCGGACCTGGCGCTGGCTCTCGCGCACTCGCAGGAAGACTTCTCCTCGCAATCGCGCTCCCCGGAACCTCGTAGCTTGTCTCAGCGTCGCAAGTCCACTGCAGCCCGAAGGCAGTCTGTAGCATCGCCCGCCCCTCAGCACATCAACGAACGCGCTGCCATCAAGGCCATCTCGTCATCGTCCGGGGCGGTGAAGGAAGCCGATTTCCAGGCGCCTGGGACACGCGTTGCGGCCGAGGGCGCCTACGATCCCCTCCTCCCGTCTCGCGTGCGCGTCGAGGAGGACGGAGTGCCGGTGCTTGAGGAGCTCGACACGCCGGCGACGCGGCGCGCACGAGCGCTGCGCCGTGCCGCCGAACGAAAGCAGCAGCTCCTCGCGGAGGCGCGGAAGAGCGAGAGTGGACAGGTCGAAGAGGAGAAAGACGAAGCTGGTCCTTCGACGCTGCCAGCGACGTCCGCCTCCGCACCTGTACCCGCTCGCCGTAAACGCGGCCGCGGTCGTCCTCGCACCTCGTTCTCTGCGCATCGGAGGAGACGGGCAAAGGGCAAGGGAAGGGCGTCTGCGTCTGTCGCTGACGCTGACGACGATGCCAAGTCCGAGGACGATGCCCAACCTAAGGACGATGCTAAGCCTGAAGATAATGCAACGCCCGAAGACGATGCAGAGCCTGAAGCTGACGCTAAGCCTGAAGCCGACGACTCAGCCCTCAGTTCACTCAGTAGCGACGACGAGCAGGCTGCAACGGAGGGCGCTGGTGGCGCGACGACAAGCGAAGTTCAGGACGAAGATGCCGAAGGCGAGCCAGATGAGGAGCAGGATGGTGACGCCGAAGGCAGCGAGAAGCCACATGTCGGTCGGATTCGGCGCAAGCCCTTGCATCCGAAAGCCGGTCAGAACTTGCTGAACGACAAAGGGTACATCGACTGTGGAACTTTGGGTGAGTGGTTCATGTCGAAGGGACGAACAGCCTGCTGACGATCCTTCATAGTTTGGGCAAAGATCAGTACGTTTTGGTTCTTTCTATCCCCTGCTCCGATACTGATACCCTGAAGACGCTTTTCCGTGGTGGCCCGGCGTCGTCTACGAAAACGACCAGGTGGACCAGATACCGCGTCCCGTCATCACGAAGTACAAGCGCAGGTCAAAAATGTATCCGCACAACAAGTACTTCATCGTCCAGTTCTTCGACGAGAAGCGCTCATGGTGAGCTTGCTGCCACATTGTGTGCAACTGATTGCTCACTGCATGTACAGGCAAGTCGTCCAGCTGAAGGGCCTTGTCACCCTTGGGGACGACCTCGGTACGTGTTTTCTTCCTCTACATGTACGGATGGCTGACCGGGTGTTCAGCTTTGGATCGAGAGATGTTGGAAGATCAGGAATTTAGAGTGCGGAAATTGCGCACCGAGTTGGACACTGCGTATAGGTAAGTACTAAAGCTTCCTTCTGGATATGTCGCTGATCATAACCCCTTAGAGAGGCCATGGACCAAATGGAGAGCGATCTTGAAGAAGAGGGTATCGAAGCATGATTCACCTATGGACGGTACTTCTTGACCTATGCTTTGTATGCACTCTACGTTGCGTCGTTGTTTCCGAATATGTGACCGCTGTATATGTACTGCTTTATTGGCGCCAGATGCGCAATCCACCGCTTGTTGACGAGGCTCGAATGTTCAATGAGGAACCCGCCAGACTTGGCGGCAAGTCGGACCGATGCTATAGGCCAAGCCGTTTGAGTTCGTCCGCCTTCGTCCAAGTTTCCATACCACCATCATCCCCCACCGGCTCCTTTTGAGGTCGCTTGAAGACGACGTGCCAGCGGACGCTTTGCAGATCCACGCCCTTATAAATCAGCGGAGCCCCCTCGGACTGACCGCGATCACGACGCAGCTGTGACAAGCACTAGGCGGAGTTCACGCCGTAGCCGCCCACAATGGCACCTAGAGGCGGGATCACTGCCCACGACGACGACGAGGATGTAGAGGAGCATCTGCTAGACACCCGCTCCATCCGCTCGACTGCCTCATCGTCCAAGACACTCGTTCGCCCGCCGACATATTATGGGGATGGACCATTTGACGCACCGAGCTCGGACTCATCGGAAGAGGGGGACGCACTGCTGGAAGATAAGGAGTCCTTGGACGAGGAGATTCCGAGGACAAGGTCGCCAGGGCGCGCAGAAGATGGGTTGTATGTCGGTGGCGCGCCTCAGTCGGTACGTGCCCCGCCTTCCCCGCGTGAACGCAGCTGATTGTACCGTAGCGCAAGGGCCCAACGCGATATCTGGTCATTGCACTGGCCAGCCTGGTCGGCTTGTCCGCGATCATAGGCATATTCGCCTCCCTATCGTACTCGGCGAAGGGGTCGGTGTACCGCGCGCCAGGTGTCAAGAAGATCACGATGGACCACGTCTTCAACGGCACGTTCTCAGCAGAGACGAGGGATTTGCATTGGGTGAAGGAGGGTGCGCAGCCAGCTACATTGTGCTGCTCTACAGCTTACGCTCCCCGTAGCCGGCGACGGCGTCTTTTCCGTGCAGGAGGATGGCTACATCAAGCTCGTCGACCTAAAGAATAACAAGACGATGACCAACCTTGTCAACATGTTGGACGTGAAGCGCGAGAATGGGGAGCCAATTACGGACTGGGCGGACTGGCAGCTCTCCGCGGATATGAAGTACATCCTCGTCAAGACGGACTACGTCAAGGTGCGTGGCGTCCACACCCTCATTCCCCTCGAGCTCACGGGCGCGTAGCAATGGCGACACTCGTCCCTCGGCAACTACTACATCCACGATATCGACGCTGGCGAGACGCAACCTCTAGTCGGACCAAATCACCCTCCCACCACCGCGTACGCTGCATGGTCACCTGTTGGTGACATAGCCTATGTGGACTCAGGAGATCTCTACCTGCTCCAGGGCTCTGATCTTTACAACCCCATCCGCGTCACCTATACTGGCTCTCCTACGGTCACGAACGGCGTGCCCGACTGGGTATACGAAGAAGAGGTCTACGGCGGACCCTCCGCGCTCTGGTTCTCGCCCACAGGAGACCGCCTCGCTTTTCTCAGCTTCAATGACACCGAGGTCGACATCTTCCGCTTCGAGATCTTCAACCCAACCGACGACAACGACGCCGTCATCCCGTACACGCAGCCCACCGAAGTACCATACCCGAAGCCTGGGTACTCCAACCCCATTGTCGGCGCCTATGTCTTCGACATTGCCAACCATGTCTACGCTGAGGAGATGCCGGAGAGTGTGGTACTTGGCGAGACGCTACACCTCTTGCAGTGGTCCCCTAGCCTGCCCGCTGACGACCAGATCATCATGGAAGTCGCTTGGGTGGGCATCCAGAGCCTGATTGTGAAGGAGGTCAACAGGAATGCCGACAACGGGCACGTAGTGTTCGTCGACTTCTCGGAGGGCGCGCCGGAAGGCATCGTCGTGCGCACGCTTGGCAAGGACGGAGAGGAAGGCGACGACGGCTGGATCGAACAAGTTCGTCCGTGGCATATACTGGTCGTGATGAGACTGAACTGCTCTGCAGGCGCAGACAGTGTTCCCTCTGCCGAGGGATGTGCTGTCCACGGCGGCCTTTCAAGGCAGCAAGAACGCGTACCTGGACATCGTACCAACCAAGGAAGGGTACAACCATATCGCCCTCTTCCCTGTCGCCGATACTGCAGAGCCCGTCTGGCTAACAAACGGTGAATGGGAGGTGACGAGCTCCATCAAGGGCGTCGGTCAGAACAGCAAGGACGAGTGGGTGGTGTACGTATCTTTCGTCCTAATCAAAGATGCACTGCTTTCTGACAAGACTTTCACAGATATTTTGAAGCCGCAAACCCTATGTCTACAGCGCGCAACCTTTACTCCGTCGCTATTCCTTCGAACCTCACTTCGAGCGCCGTCCCAGATATCACACCATTGACCTACAGCGAGGGTGAAGCATTCAATCCCCATCCCCTGTCCCAGCAATACTGACTTCCTGGTGCAGATGCACCTCTCGCCGAGCAAGAGGCGTACTACTCCACCTCCTTCTCACCAGAGGCAGGCTTCTACTTGTTGAGCTACAAAGGGCCTGGCGTGCCATACCAGAAGGTCGTTCATGTTGGTGACGAAGGTATCTGGATATGCTCTCCTGCCTCACAGCGTGAGCTGAAGATCCGCCGCCAGATTTCGAGTATACTCTCACTACCAACGATCGCCTGTCAAATGTCACTGCTGAGTTCGAGACGCCAACGATAATCCGCGGCACCATTGAGATCGACGGTATAGGTTCGTGATTGAAGCATACCTATTGCCATCGAACCCAGCGTCTGACACCCGCGTAGAACTCAACTACCGCGAGATCCGCCCACCACGCATGGACGACTCTGGTCGTACGAAGTATGCCGTCCTCTTCAACGTGTACGTGTCTGTTTCTCCTATCCCGCCGCTGTCGCTAACCCATATCACAGCTACGGTGGCCCCGGCTCCCAAACCGTCGACCTCCGCTTCGCGGGGTACGACTGGCACGGCTACCTCGCCTGCGGCCTCCAGTACATCGTGGTCGCCGTCGACGGTCGCGGCACGGGCTTCGAGGGCCGTGGCCTGCGCAGCGTGGTCAAGGGTGATCTGGGCTTCTGGGAGACGCAGGACCAGGTGGCGGCGGCAAGGATATGGGCAGGACGCAATTATGTGGATCCACGGAGGATCGGAATCTGGGGTTGGGTATGTGGCTGGGTGTGAGGCGAGTGGGAAGTAAGGCTAACTTCGCTCGCAGAGCTATGGCGGGTTCATGGCCGGCAAGGTCGTGGAGGCGGACGCCGGAATTCATTCATTGGCCATGTCGGTGGCGGTATGTATAAAGCCCCTGTGCCAAGCCGCTCGAACTGACTGTACGCGTCGTTATAGCCTGTGACAAGTTGGCGGCTATACGGTGAGTTTCCGATGCACCAAAACAGCCTGGACCTCCTCTAAACCCTTCTTACCAGACTCCATCTACACGGAGCGCTACATGAACACACCCGAGCTGAACCCAGGCGGCTACGTCAACGCGTCTATCACCGACGTCGAGCCCTTCAAGAAGGTGGACTACCTCCTCGCTCACGGAACTGGCGACGACAATGTGCACTTTGCGAATTCAGCACATCTGCTGGACATGTTCGTCAAGGGGCATGTACGGGACTACGCGTTCAGGATGTTTACCGACAGGTTCGTGAGGTGATTGAGGTACCTTCTCATTGCTGACTTTTTCCACAGCGATCACGCAATCCGTACTCGCGGCGCGTATCGAGAACTGCACGAGTTCTTGACCGGCTTTCTGTTGGAAAAATGGGGTAAAGGCGGGAGGAAGCGGGGCTGGTGAGCGCGAGTAGGACCTAGGGGGCGATGGACGCCAGACGACACCATCATTTCATGTAACTCTACATCTATCCTAGATCAGCACGTACACTTTACTCATCGGGCTGGAGGTCACTAATTTATGAACATCATTCGCTCTCAATCTTTCATCCTCACCAGCCCATGTCCATCACAAACGAACCCGGGCGATAGCTGCGCGGGTCAGGGCCACGACTGAGTTTGAGACCCGTCCGGTGAGGGTCCGGGTCGTTGTAGATCCTGTCGGGCAAACTCTTCCCAGCGCGGCTGATGGTCCTCGTTAGCTCATCTTCTTTCCCTCCCACCACAACTAAAGCCACACATACCAGTAATCGCACGTACAAGGCTTCGAGCCCGTCCCATGGTGGTCGCACCCATACGTCATATCCCCCGCCATCCCACAGCACGTCCAACGATACCCCTGCGGCCAGTACTCGAACATCTTCTTGTCGTCCCCTCCAAACTCCTCGTAGTATTTCTTCTTCATGTCCTCCGATTCTTCGACGATGCACGCGCCCCAGCCGAGCTTTTCGTCCGAGTCCCTGTATTTGCCTTCCCAGGTAACGAGCTCGAGCTTGCCTTCGTGCATGCTGCCGTCGTCGCACTTGCGATACTTGGGTGAGTCGTACCAGATGTTCTTCCGGCAGGCTGCGCGGTGTTTGGGCCAGTCGGCCTTCTGGCAGTCAGCGCTCTGGGGGATGGAAAACAAGTTAAGTCGACGTGATGGCAGTGACTTCGGCGAATTCAGCCACTCACGCAGTAGAAGCGAGACCGGCAGAGGGAGCAACGCTTGATATCTCCCGTGGCGTTGCACACATCGCAGTGATCAGCACTCATGATGATTCAGTGCTCAGCGGCTGGTCAAAGGTAAGGTCTGCCGTATCGAACATTCCCTGGCGATTGCCGCCATGCCGGCAACTCTTCGGCAAACGCCGCTCGACTCTTGAGCAGAACCGTCATGCCATCGTATCGACAACCCGCAAATTGTCCAGTACTCGAGCGCTTGCATAGGTGAAGCTCGCATGGCTGCTGAACTAGTAGCTCCGTAGGCACCCCGGTCATAACCCGCGCTCTTGAAATAGCAGGCCTCTACCTCACCACCTTCTCGTGTGCTACGGCTGAGCTATCATAGTCCCTCACCTGACTTTCTTCCCTCTCACCGACCCGATGATCGTCTCCTCCGGCGGTACACTCAAGGTCCTCTTGTTGTGACGCGGATCTGCATATGCTCACTCTGTTCATCGGCATCTCTATGGCTCGCGCGTGTTCTCTGACCTCAGGGCGGCTTACATGCTCCCGGCGCGATAATGGGTAGTACCAGGTGGGTCTACGGATGGTGCTTATGCTGAGCTTCATTGTGATATGCGGTGTATGCTAGAGGGCGTGCTCAGCTCGCCCCCGATGCATTGCGTCGCCTAAATCCCCATAGCAAACAGCCGACATACATCGAAGGCGTCGATCCTCTCCTGGAGTTGCTGCAATGGTACAAAATCTATGTAAGACATATACTCACAAGCCCTGACCGCGCACCTAGTTTCGGTGAGCTAGCGACAGGTCAACACGCTCTGGGTCGTGGAGAACGTATAGAGAATATGCTGTGAATCATCATCTCCTTTTGTACGCAGTAACAGCGCGCTCGCTCCTTCCTTCTGTTGCGAGCACTGGCCGTTTACCGGGTTAGTGTCTTCCGAGGTACGTTTACGCGGGTACGATCACTATAAGAGCCAAAACTAGTATGCCGTGCAGCCCACTCACCTTGAGCTCGCGCCACCTTCCCCTTCTATACCTAACCACCAGCACCGTACGTCGCCTTTCCCCTACCTCCAGGCCCTCCCATGCTAACGATCCTGCAGACATCACCAAAGATGCAATTCATCACCATGCTCCCAGCCCTCCTCGCCACTCTCGCCCTCGCCAACCCGCTCGTCCCACGCGACGATTTCTACCAGGAGGTCTACGCGAGCACCGATTGCTCTGGCCCCGTCCTCGCGAGGATCGACGACGCCGCGGGCTACTGCAACAGCCTCCCCGCGACCGCGTACTCGCTCAAGTCGTACGGTCCGGGCTGCTGCGGCGCGGCTCTGTACGCGGAGGCGAATTCGTGCACGGGCAACAGCGAGTGGATCTCGGCGGGCGCGAACAACGGGGAGTGCATCTCGTACCCGAATGGGATCAAGCAGTGGACGGCGCGGTGCTGCTAAGTGGATGAGTTGGAGTGGGAGGGTGACACATATATGTTCGGGCAGACTGTGAGACTGTATTCTGGCTCGTCGTTGACGAAGTAGACTTTCGTGCGGAGCTTGGCAGAATATTAGAAGGATGGAAGGCCACTGGTGTCCCACTTGATCTTATTGGGCACGGCCGGTTAGCTCAGTTGGTTAGAGCGTGGTGCTAATAACGCCAAGGTCGCGGGTTCGACCCCCGTACGGGCCATACAAGGGGCTGTCTAAGCCTCTGCCGGGACGCCGGAGAGGTCTAGGTTGCCCCTTGTCACTCTCTTCTTGCATTGTCTGAATCACTTCTATATTTTTCGGAGACAGAGGCCTTTTTGCGCGAAGTTCAGGCTATTAGGGAGAGGAGGACAGCAATCTTTCATAAATACGAGAGCAGAGCCAAGTACAAAAGCGAACAGTCCAAGATGTACAGTCCTATGTATATCACCCTCGTCACCGAACCGCCTCTACAAATGTCCGTGTCGCTGCCGCCACCACGTCCTCCTCCTTGACGTACTGCCCGAGCGCGGCAACCTGCGCCATCGTCATGCGCACCTTGTGCAAACATCGGTGCACAAACCACAGCACTGGCCGCTGGTATTCGATCTCGTCGTCCTCCAGCTGATGTGGCCCGTACACGAGCTTGAGCACGCCCGCCTGCTCGAGCTCGGGCAGCGCGCAGCGCACGTCCTGCAGATCGGGGCTCGTTACGTCGAAGGAGCGATAGTCCGCGAGCAAGCGGTTATACAGCGCCTTTTGGTCGTCATCCGTGCAGCGGGGCATAGGTAAGGGGCCGGAGGGGGAGGGATGTGGGGTGCCGGTGGGAGTGAGAGCCGGCGGGGAGCTGGACGCGCGTGCGTTGGCGTACTTGTCTGGATCGCACTGAATTTGCGAGTCGAGCTGGGGCCCCTGGTGCAGCGCGGCCATCCGCTTGACCACCACGCACTCCCAGACGAGCGAGAACAGCGTGATCGCGCGCGCGTCGAGGGCGTTTCTCCTCTCCAGCTCCCGCACGGCGTACATCGTGATCTTCAGGTCGGGGTCGGGCACCACAGCGGCCGGGTCTCGACGCTTGGTGAGCTCGCGGTGCTCCGCTTCCGTGGCGGTCAGCGAGCGCTCCTCGGCGAGCTCGCGGATGACGAGCGGGCCCATGCCATACTGGCCGAGCGCGATGTAGATGGGGAGGTTTGCGGGCTGGTAGAAAGGCTCATCGAGGGGGTGGCGGGAGACGTAGAGCGCACAGAGCGCCTCGCCAGCGTCCCCTGGGGCTACGTCCTCGGTTCCCCAGTTCATGATCGCATGTCCGGAGGCAGAGGCAGACGTCTTGGATCGAAAAGTCAAGTGTCGAATGGATGTGTGCCAATCGCAGGCTGCGAGAACGTTGCCAGGCAAAGAGTCGTCGTCCGATGAAGCATGTCGAGAGCAAGAGGGATCGAAGGATCAGGTCCCCGTCTGGTCTACCGGACCGGTCGTCGCGCGTCCGCCATGGACACCCCATCGCGATTCGGTTTCGTCTTCCTCTTCACCTTCAAAATCCAGAATTTGATTGCTTGATTTTGCCACAGAAAGTCAATGCACTCACACATATAGCTGGTCCAACAGGTTACAGGTAAATGCGAGGAAAAAATAGGGGCAACCTTTCGGTATTCCGATACGGGGAATCGAACCCCGAGCTGCCGCGTGAAAGGCGGCAATGTTAGCCGTTACACCATATCGGATGCACACTAGTCAATCGTAGATGTCGATAGTGTCGCTATTCTGCATCCAATGTTAACTTACAACATTCTGAAGGTATAGATATGAATGCGCGTACATTACAATGGTCCATATGCAAGAGTCAGTTCTACAAGTCCTTACGTGCTCCTATCTACTGAACACACGTCCGATACCTCCACAGACATTACACGTATCCTCGTCCAAGCCGAAGAAAGAGGAGACCTGGAAAGCGAGTCAGCACCTTCGACCGACAAACAGTCACCTCCAGGCAACTGGGTCAAGCATGTTGAGGAAGTGGATCAAACAAAGACACGCACCGTGCCATCACCCCCGCACCTCCAGCACGGCCTGCCCCCGATCCTCGGATCCCCAGGCGCGTACACCACCGCGCCCGGCGGCGCCGCCCCGTATCCTGTCCGCATAGGTGGCCCACCACCCCACGCTCCCGCAGGCGAGCCCCACGCCCCTGACGGCGTCCCCGCCGACCACGACGGCCGATGCGCGAGCAGCGGTCCATTCGCGGGCACGCGCAGGCCCGTCCCGGGTACGCGCGAGTAGCTGGGGCCGAAAGACGCAGGTTGCGGCCGACCGAACGACGCGCCTGCCGAGCCTGGTCGCCGGTCATGGTACGCGGCGCCGGGAGGTCCTCCGTTGGTCGGTCTTCTACCTGAAAAGGACTGCGATTGCTGCGGGGGTTGTTGAGCCCTCAGCGGCCTTTGCATCCTTCCATCCCCTCCGGGTCCAAAATCCGCATACGTGAGCGCCCCCTCGTACGCGCGACCGTACTTGCGCCAGCAACGCTTGCAGGGCTGGTCGGGGTCACCGTGCTTGTATCCCGTGTTGCCGCACTTAGGACACTCGTATCCCGCGGGGTAGACGAGGACCCGGTTGTCGCGCAGGAGCGGATGGCCGGGCGTAGGCGTAGTCGTGGGGCGGAGGTTGGTGGAGGCAGCGTTGGAGGAAGATGGGCTAGAAGTGGCGCGACTGTGGCTGTTGTTGGCGCTAGAGGGAGATGCCGCAGTTGGCGAAGAGCCCGCGGGCGCAGAAAGGTGCGGCGTGGACGACGATTGAGGTACCCCGTTCACATCAGCAGGCCCCGCCGCGTAGAAATCGCGCGCGAAGTCAGATTCGGGGCGCGGTGGTGCGCTGCCCGTAGGCTGAGGTCTCAGCCCCGTATACTCAGGCCTCAGTCCCGTGTGCTGCGGATGCAACGGCGGAGGAGGCGGCGCCCCCGGCGCAGGCGGAGGTCGAGGCTGCTGCGGCGGCATAGGTGGTCTGCCCATCGGCGACATGGGTGGTCGCGGAGGCATGGGCGGTACGGGCGGAATGGGCGGTTGGGGCGGTCTCTGCCCGTACCCCGGCCCGTATGTCGAGCCTGGAGGGGTAGCCAGATTTTCCAGCGCGCGGTCGACTGCAGATGCTAGTTGGCCGAGCAGACCGCCGGGCGAAGGGCGTCGGCCGCTGCCGGTGGGCTGGGGTGAGAGGAAGACGCCGGTTGGATGGGGCGAGAGGTAGGCGCCGGTGTGTTGAGGGCGTTGCGCTTGGGCGGTCCAGCCTGATATGAGGTGAGTAAAGTGTGAAGGAAGGAAGTGTATTGTGGCGATACGATATCATGAGGCAGATGCGCTGGTTCCTCGAAAGCAGTCCTCACCATTATATCCTTGTGCAGTGGGCTGGGGTCTCTGAAAGGGACGAGAAGGGCCGTATTCAAGGGTCTCCTCCCCGTGTCTATAATCGGGGGTTGGCGTATAGTCAGGAGGATCCTCGTCTATCGACATGAAAGATGGCGGAGGAGGCGATGACGCGCGAGTGTTCGCGGACGGTCCAGCAGTCGGGGGAGATGTGCGGGTCGCTCCTGTAGGCGGCGAAGACAGTGGCACATACGTCGCCGTGCTTCCCTGACGCGGCGGAAGAGGTGGCGGGGAACTAGACGTAGGCGCAGATGACTGATGGGGAGGGCTGTGCTGCGTCTGCGTGGGGGTGCGCGGGGGCGTGTGAGGGGGAGGAGATGCGGTGGGAGACGGTGCTTGCGGTGTATCGGGAGGGGTTTCGTCGTCCACGGTCTCTCGTCGCGGTGGGAGGGCTGGTGGCTGCGTGCTGATCGTCAAGTTGCTCATCGCGTCCGCGACGTCATGATGAGAGGTACTGGCAGAAGCGCCTGCCGAGTCGCTCGAGGCATCTGCTTGATCATGGAAGGTATCCTGATTCTGGCCTTGCTTGCCATCGACCGTGAGGCTCTGAGCCTCGGACACCGTCGTCCCCGTGGGGTTGGGCGAGATGAACGGGTCCGACATCGATGTTGACGTTCCTGTTGCCTGTGGAGTCAGCTTGTCGCCCGTGGCGCGCGCTGCCAGGCGTTTGAAGGGATTCCGAGTCGACATGGAGGCAGGAGGCGACCGCCAGTTCACTGCCTCAACTTCCGTCGTCCGCATGAGATCACCATTGGCTCGGCCCGGCGCGCCGAATCACCCGAACGCGCGAGTTGCTCTTGTTCTGAACGCTCACTGTTGCGATTTTCTTTGCTCTGTGGTATCGGGGACGACCACGTCATTTCCCTCTCAAGGGAATATTTCACTCGTTGGCTCTGCTCTCAAGATTGACCGTCTTTTACCCTTGCTGACGTCGGCCCGCTTACATCGAGTCCAAGACCTTCTATCGTCGCCGAGGTGACCTTTCGCTACGCCGAGCACATCCTGTGCAATGTCTTCTAGCTCATCATCCTCTCGTTCGCTGATACGAGTCGTACTTAGCTGTGCTCGCTTCGACTGAAATTACGTTTATCGATTTGTTGAGCTTGGCGGCTCGATTGCTCGAACTCGTCTGGAGCGCGGACAAGTTGCTTGACGGAAAGGCTTTGCAGAATCAAACGCGGTCTTGCTGCGATCCCCCGAGATCCTTGGCTACCTCCCTTCGGACATCGACGTCGAACTTCTTACGCTAACAGGCAGCCCACTGTTCTCGCCGCTGATCTAACGGACAAGCTGCTCCGACGACAGACAGTGGCAACGAGGCCATCAACGGTCTTCAAGTATTTACTCTCCTACTAGGCTGTCCCTCACGTATCGAACACCCTCGCTTTCTCCAAGACATGTGCTTCGTCAACCGTCTTTCTGCAGAACTGTGACCTAGTTCGAGAGATCGTAGCCTCGGTTCGGCATCGACACGATACCTGGCGTATCATGCCACTAAACGAGATTTACTGCAGGTAGCAGACTAGTCCCTTGCACGGACACGCTGTCGAACTCGACGATGCGTTGTCTTCAGGTCGCTCGACCAAAACCTTGCATTAAAGTCTAATCAGTAGCTCCGAGTTGAGAAACACTACCCGCTCTCTATCACAGCAAGAGGTTCACCAATCAGCATCGGATATGGTGTAACGGCTAACATTGCCGCCTCTCACGCGGCAGCTCGGGGTTCGATTCCCCGTATCCGAATATGTTTGCGTCGAAGTTTTTGTACTCTCCCTCGTCGTTGCCTTTGGCCAGGAATAGTTCCTCATCCTCAAGTAGAGTGTGTCTGTTCAGTAATTTATTCCGGGTCTAGTCCCTATCTCGTCTCATCTCTCTCAAATGATTTACTAAGGATTTTACAGAAAAGCGAAAGATGTTACCAAGATGCGGACCTTGGAGCAGAGGTTGTCGCACAGCTGGGCGCACGCTAGCACTTAATCGGCGCTCAAATATATTTCGACTCCCAAATGATTTACGAAGACCGCCCGACAATGTACGAAGTCGCGCAAGTAAATTACTCAAACTTCTGTGAAGATCGAAAGAAATTACTGAACAGACACACTCTAGTACGCCGCCATCGGTATAAAGCGATTGTTTGAGGCCAGACAGGGTGGGCTCTATCGCTGTGCTCTTTCGCTACTACTTCGCAAGCAAACCGGCAAGATCATACGAAGAGAATGCACTTGTCTGTGCAGCGCTTGCTATCAGCAACTAACCAGTCCATATTTGTACGTAGAAACAGAAATTGGAAGGGCACCTGGCCGACGACAGCGTCGAGCAGGTCTTGCTATGTTTCTCCTCGCAAAAAAATGACATCCTGAGCACAGAACATGGCCCGTACGGGGGTCGAACCCGCGACCTTGGCGTTATTAGCACCACGCTCTAACCAACTGAGCTAACCGGCCGATAGACGGCGAGTTATGGGGTCGTGCGCCAGAAGCGGTGTGTAAAAGAAAGGGAGGGGAAGGAGACCAAGCGAGGGGACAATGTATCTTCTGAGATACTTATTACTTGCTACGTCTTGGACGAGGTTGAATCTGAATAGAATACAACGGGCTACATTGGCCACAATATACCGCATCCAAACAGAGGTCATCAATGCACCCCTCCAATTCTTTCCTAATTCGGTAACTCCGGAGCTATCTTGTGACTGGCCCGAGAAGCCAACCGCGAGTTCATTCATCTCTCTCCTTCCAAACGAGCGTGCAGTTTTCAAGCCATTACGTTAGTTGAGGTAAAAGATCCTGAGGCTTGCCACGTAGACAGGGGCTAGGGCGGGGGTTGCTTTGTCGACGCGGAGGCATTTGTGGCAACAGCAAAAACAGGAGCTTTGATGATGACCCACACTATAGAAATCCTTCGCGCCCTCGAGTGTGGTCTGCATAGCAATTGAAGCCCGCGATCTGGCGCAGGAGTGATAACCATCTTCGAAACGTTCAAATCCGGTGAGGCTTGGTGGTCAACCCAAGGGTTTTCCAAGCGGCCGAAGGCCGCCCGACTATCCCGACGACTCACGTGAAGCTGCCCAGGGTTTTCCGCGCCGCTGCGCGGCGCCCACCCAGGGTTTTCGACTGCGTCGGGCGGCACGCTCTGCGCGGCGCCACCACCCCCACGGCATCTCGTCAAGCGAACTGATGACCATCACATCAAGTTCAACATCAAGTTTAACTTAATGGGATCTGTTCAGTCTCGAAGCTTGAAGACTTTGGTCTTGAGGACCTACGGGAGTCTCTGAAGCTCGTAAATCAGAAAAAAAAAAAGCATGTCATATTCTCATACTACTGTACATACAATATGTGGGAACTACTGATGGGATCGTACGCTCACGAAAGACGCGAAGTACAGTCTAGCTAGACGATCCACACAACCAAACACCAACAACCACGATAGCAATGAACACGCTAGACTGGAGGCGCTACGAGAGCGGGCGAGTCCGAGTATTTATATTACTTGGGGATAGATTGTGTTGTTTATGCCAGTTCCAGACGAGCTGGACTGAAGCGAGAAGTCGAGTGGGGCAATCGGACGTCTCGGCGTTCTGACGAGCGCTTTCGGGTTGGATTGAAGTTCACAAGGCGGTTTAATGCGCTCGGAAGTTCAGGCTTTTTATGATGTGTAAAGTGCGGGTTAACGCGGTTGTGTTTATTTGGTGTGGTGTGTAGGTACTAGGGCTTCTCTGCGCGGGGCGGGAAAAGTCCCCGAATCGTATGTAGGTCTCGGTATATAACTCGAACGCGCCGCCTCGGCCGTCCAGACCGCGCGGCAACACACAATGCCTATCTCTGAGTCAAAATCCAACTATAACGCCTATCCGCGCGTTCCCCTGTCCGAATAATCGCGCAATGACTGCGGTTCCTGGCGGTAGAGCGGTTGACTGGTCGGGTATCCTCCTGCGCCGCGATGCCGGGCGCGATTCCACACTTGTTGATGTTTACCAAGGCAAGGCCGGCCTGGTTTCCACCGGTTCCCTTGTGCGCGACGCGGCTCAGAGGCCTGCGCGGCGGGGAGCGTACAGCCTAGACTGTCGATACGCGGGGAGTGAAGCCCTTGCCGGGGCGGACAGCGCTTGGCGGCGCCGACGCTCGGTTCGGAGTTCAACTCGGCGATGTCCGAGATCACGAGCTCGGACCCGAAGTTCCGGTCTCGGACCCGAAGTCACGTGTAGTCACGTTGATGGTTCGAGTTCCGCTTGCGCGGTGCTCTGCGTGTCTCCGCATGACGGCGAACAGCAGGAAGGCTTGTCCGAGCCCCAACAATAATCTAGATTCTCTTGACACAGCAGGGCAAGAGGACTGAAGGCTTGAGGCGCGTATAGCGCGGCTACTTGATTAAGTAGGGCCCGCCAAAGGACTCGCAGGATGTCATCGACGACGCGCAGACTCGTGATCAGGCGCCGAAGAGCTCGCTACTATCCTTGGTCAGTCATTGCAGACGGATAATGCTGCGGACTAGTTGTATTGAAGGTTAGGAAGCGTGGCGCTCCTGGTTTTCTGTGTCATAAAATACCCCCGACGCGCCCGTTGTACAGTCGCGACGTCGGTGCAGTATATACGGATCCGCCCATACAATCTAGACCAAGTCGACTATATATCGCTTGTTTATGTATGTTTTTCCGCGTTTTTCAGCCGCAGGGCGTATCATCTCCCCCACACCAATAATCTGGACCGTCCTCGGTCAGTTAAGGTGGATGGGTGACTCGGTGTTGTTACTGGGTCGTCGGGCGACTCGCAGTCGACTGCTGCCGCAGTCTCTTGGTAGGTAGTTGTCGGAGGGCGGCAGGGCGCTAATTAAGCTTTTGGCTCACGCCGCATGTTCCGGACATGCATGGTCGTTTAAAAGCCGGCCGTGCGCATCTCCCACGGTTTTCCAACTTGTCCTGAACCACGAAGGTACGTCGCTAGTACGCGCGTCCTGACGCGCCGGCCATACTGACGACGATCTAGAGATGACCGCCGGCAACGAAGGCCCACACTCGACGGTGCGCAAGGAGCACCAAGCTTTCGCCCGAAAGCTCCACCAGATCGAGAAGGATGCGCGCGCACTGCTCAAGGGCGAGGAACCCACTGTGCTGAACTTGGTGCGGGGGATCCAGCGCGATAAGAAGCGCGCGACGATCCTCAAGAAGAAGCTGGTAAGCTCCGTCGTGCCAGTTGTTTCCGGCGCTCGCTAACGCTTGTTTGTAGATATCTCTGTCCGACGCCATCGCGCAAGCGCGCAAACTGCGAGAGACAGGCCCCTGGGCGCCGACCGCGGCGATCCAAGGGGCGATGTTTTTCCTGTTCGACTGCCTCAAGGCATCGGACCCCGAGTCGAAGTGGTACGCGCTGCAGGAAATCGCGCGCCCTCGGTAGGTTCTCGGACATGGTTGAGTGAAGCCCCCTAACGCTTTCGCTATCTAGGTATGTGATCAACATTGTGGGGCTCGATATACCGACGCACGACGCGACGCTGCGCGCTGCTGACCGCGATCGGGTGCCGCGAAGGGCGAACGAGGACTTGGTAAGTCTTCGGCGTTTTTACGGTTTCACAGCTGACTAACTACCCGCAGGATATGCTGCTCATGCAGCAGCCACAGCTGCCCGCCGACTATGTCGCGGTCGAGGCGAAGCGGTGCGGCCTCGGTGAGGTCAAGCTGAGTGGGTGCGCGCCCGCAACACCAGCCCAAAGGAGCCATCCAGGGCAAAAGGCGCACCGGAACGACAAGAACAAGGGCGCGACGAAGCGCAAGCGCGCCGCTAAGGTGCGCTCCCATTTTATTTGATCATTTTGGTGGTTCTATAGCTAACGCTTCAACAGAGGAAGGTTGCCACCGATTCCGATTCCGACGAGGCCGAAGTCGAAGAGCCGGAGCCCGCGCGCAAGCGCACGCGTTCCCAGACAAAGGCCGCCGCCTCCACCTCAAAGGGCAAGGGGAGGGCGAAGGCGGGCCGGAGCTCGGCGCGCGGTCGGCGCGGCAAGAAGGTCGCTACGCCCTCGGACGTCGAAGAGGAGGAGGAGGAGGAGCGCTCTCAGCCCGAGTCCGAGGAGCGCGATGTCGTACCGCCCGTGCGTTTCCGCGTGGACTGGGACCGTCGCCCGCGCGATGCGGACGGCGAGCTCTTGCCTTACGTCGAGACGGAGGACGAGGCTAGCGAGCGGCGTCAGGGCGAGTTCATCGCGAAGGGGCCGGCGCCCATCTACGGGCTGAACGGTGACCTGCTTGGTCTCACCTCGCCTCCTTCCGAGGACGACGCGCAGATGCTCGAGGAGCAGGCCGAGGAGCAGGAGCGCCTCGCCGACGAGGAGGAGCAGATGCTCCGCATCAAGGAGGAGATCCGCGCCCACAACGAGCAGCGCATGCTCGCGGGGTTGGGTGACGACGACGCGCCTGAGTGGCCGGTGGCGGGTAGCTCGGGGCTTCAGCCTGGCTGGACCCACCTCCCAGACGCCGAGGACGAAGAGGACGGCAACGCGGGGCACCCGGGCGCCGAGGAGGAGGAAGAGGAGCTTGAGGACGACGACGCCGAGCCCCCTGCTCTTCCCTCTCCCAAGCCCGCAGCGCCTTCGCGCTTCCCGACGCCGGAGTGGATGAGGGAGGGGCCCTCGGGCGATCGTCCAGCGGAGTTGCTCTGAGAGCTCGGCCGAGGTAAGTCCCGTTTTGAGTTCTTTTTGTCGTTTTTGTCTATCCTCGCTGACCCGCACCATCCTAGCAGCTTCCTTCGAGGAGGGAACGTGGTAGGTAGTTCTGGATTAACGAGGACAATGCGCGCGACACGCGCTTAGATATGTTGTTTCTTGGGTCTCTGTACATTAGATTTTGCTTGTACTTCTTGTTGTACGGACTCCGGTTTTTAATTGTACTTCTTGATTTCTTGGATGATTTAGAGCGATGCCAAGTGACCTAAGAAGCGATAAATTGTGCTGTGCGACCGCCTTAGAGGTCGGCCAGTTGAATGCTGCTCGGCGGCGTGCTCGCGTGGTTTGCACGTGACCGTCGGCCACTGCCGGTTGTGGTTCGACTTAACGAGTCGTGCTTGTTCGCGATAGCGGCGCGAAAATCTCCGTCGTGGAACGAGCTGGATCGGCA